TTTCGAATTACCAACGATACGTAATTTTATTTCATTATTATTTTGCTGCAGGTGAATATGATAAACCTCACCTCTGAATACGTGGACGGGTAGGGTGAACGTTTTATACTTGTTCCATCCTGGTCGTTTAAAAACATTCCATCTGAAAAAGAGTGAAGATCCTAAATTAATTACTAATACGATATTTTCCGTCGAAATGAGTTTCGTGGAAAGAAACCAGCAAAATTATGATGAATTATCCAAGTTAGTTAGATCAGACAAATTCAATATGGTTAAAACAATTTTGTTTTGTCTATAGGAACTTTCGTTAAACCGCACACATTTACGTGTACCCAAGAAACAATTCTTTGTATTTTCCATAGTAAATCAAATTTCTATACCTACATCAAAACCCGATAATTTGGACATGATAAGGTCAGGCATAGACTAGAACCCGGACATAGCTGTACAAATTCTATGTAACGGAACCAGGTTTTCCGGACGTAGATATATCAAGTCTACACGTGTTAAGTACACATCGTAATCCGATAGTCCGACATCGTGATACCAAGTCTACACGTGTTACGTTCACATCGTACTCCGATAGTCCGACATCCTGATACCAAGTCTACACGTGTTAAGTTTACATCGTATTCCGATAGTCCGACATCGTGATACTAAGTCTACACGTGTTAAGTTCACACCGTCTCCCGATAGTCCGGACACCATGATACCATGTCTACATGTGTTAAGTTCATATCGTTTTCCGATAGTACAGGCATCATGATACCAGGTCTACACGTGTTAAGTACACATCGTATTCCGATAGTCCAGACACCATGATACCAAGTCTACACGTGTTAAGTTTACATCGTAATCCGATAGTCCGACATCATGATACCAAGTTTACATGTGTTAAGTACACATAGTAATCCGATAGTCCAACATCGTGATACCAAGTCTACACGTGTTAAGTACACATCGTATTCCGATAATCCGACATCGTGATACCAAGTCTACACGTGTTAAGTTCACATCGTAATCCGATAGTCCGACATCGTGATACCATGTCTATATGTATTAAGTTCACATCGTATTCCGATAGTCCGACATCGTGATACCAAGTCTACACGTGTTAAGTTCATATCGTCTTCCGATAGTCCGGACACCATGATACCATGTCTGCATGTGTTAAGTTCACATCGTATTCCGATAGTCCGACATCGTGATACCAAGTCTACACGTGTTACGTTCACATCGTATTCCGAAAGTCCGGACATAATCATATCAAGACTACGTGTGTCAAGTCTACATTATGAATCAATAATCCGTACATAGATATGCAAATGTGCACATCTACCTACCGTTACAGAATGGTTGTGTATGGATCTTTGCAGTGTCCGATTCCTGTACGAGTTGCTTAGATGATGTCACTGACAAATCGAGAACTCCTCCACTACTAATGCCATGCTTACAATGGTAACGATCATGTTTATTTGCTGGTAAAGGTTTCCTCTGTTTGATTCTATTCCTGTCTTCTGAAGATGGTCTCCTCTGGAATGTATAATACTTAAACGACATCTTCAGGGGAAATAGTAATAGCAACACCAAAACAAAAACACACACAGGTGTGTTAACATTTCGTTTTAACTTTTTGACTACGATAGGCCTGTATATATCTTTTCATATATCCGGAAACTAAATAAGAGGTGCTTTAGCAGCACTTCCCACTTCCTTCGGGAACTTCCCCACAACGCGAGTCAAACGGCAGAAATTACTCCCCATAACCATAGTAATGAGACAAACATGTTATACGAATATAGCGACCACGCCCACCTGTCCTTGACGCATCGCGTGCTGATCCCTGCGTGACAGTCGGCTCTCTGCTAACCTACACCCCGTTGGCCATGGTTCGTCAATGATCATAAGTCTATACAAAGTGAGAAAAATAATGAAAAGACTATTATTATAATGCATTTTATTGCTAGTGAAATAATTTCTAATAATGTATTATATTTTTCTAATTTCGTCCTCCCCCTCTCCCCCATTCACTTCCTTACTGAACTCGAAATCCTTTGATCTTATTGTGGAAAATGAGATTCTACACGCCATCCGTTCACAGTATTACTCACAGTTGCTTAACATTATGAAACGAATTCACTCATGCTACTTGTCCACGCATGTCCTATGCGTTGTAGTCATTTGAGTTTATTTGGAATTGTGGATCCCAAGCTTATAACTATATGCACAACATGTTTGTTGTTCATGGGCTTTTTCGAGATATAAGGGTCCCGCTCTACGTAATTTTCTCCGTTTGGATATACCATATCAAAATCGACTTCCTCAAATGTTGAACACGAACATTCATCAAAATGGTCTTATGTATATAAAAACTTCCATTGTCATGGTGTAATTGTATTTTAGAGAGAAAAAACATTCAAACCAATACTGTTTAGATAAGACTAGGCATTCAAACAGCCTTCCTAATCCGACTGAAATGCTTAAAATTCAAATTTACAACTGAACGTTTCAATAATGTGATTTGATCACTTTATAGTAAATTATTTACTTATTATCTTGGACTTTATTCTTTCTTTATTTATTAATTTATTTACATTTTCCAGACTGAGTTTAGGTCTTACCTCTGTTCGAAAGCTTCGTCTAAACTTTCGCTAGCTGTTGATTTCACCATCGCAAGCTCTACATCGTGAAAGACCCTTCTGCTATGCGTAGGCTTCGTAGTCAGGAAATTGCACGTTGACAAATGACGTCAGTGTAACTATGACGCGATTAGCTGTGACTGTGACGTCACTTCCTGTTCCCCATACCCGAGGAAAAACCAAGGGGTATAACTCCTATGAGCCCACCAGCCCATTCGAATTGACAAGATTTATATCGTTTCGTTATTTGTTGTTGATGCATATTCTTCCCATTCATCATTCCATTGTTTACCCCAATTGTCTACAAGAAAAATATCGACGTGTAATTTTTATAATCTCGTCCTCCATTTATTTTTCCTTTGGTCTCGACTTACGTTTTTCACGAAACGCTCTTCAGTTTAGTTTACGGACATAAATTTGTAGCTCCCATAACAAGAGAACGCAAATGTTTCGCTTTAGGATTGTACAGACAGGATAAAAATAAAATGTTCTGTTTGAAAAGATGTTTTTAAAGAAGGTGTTTAAGCCGCATTGGCTAAAACCTCTTTGGAATATTGTAGAACCAGCCCACCATTCATTCTACTTTTTGTGTTCACAGTAGCAAAACGACTAAACCCTGATTTGATAGTACAAAAGATGATAGTTAGCGCTGGTTGAACAAGTAGACGAGTCAGCGATAAAACGTTGTTTAATATGAATACTGGACAAAAGATCATCATGCTGTGCTTCCAGTGTTAAAATGTGTGCAAGGATAGACATTCTAAATACGAAACAGCAGAGAACTCGGAAATCTGGAATATTTTACTCCTCTGTGCAACCAAATTACGCACGGTGCATATCAAATACTTCGGGCACTTGTATATAATATAGACATCGTTAGGTATGGTTTTCTGACGATAAATTGTAAAACTAGTTTCTACCGTACACGTTGATTAAAAGCAATCTGCTAAATAATTGGTTTGATTAAATCATGAATTAAAATACGGACTTCGAGTTCCGTGAAATGCATAATTAGTGAGGGTTGTATATAGGAATGGATTTTCTAGAACTGAAGTAGAACAAAATGCCCAAAAATGATTTATAACTGAAACTAAAAACTCGAACTCAAAGTAGATTTATAAAATTTACTATCACATATTTCGTGTTTCGTTATATCACCCTTGACACGGATTTCAAACGCTCATACCACTATAACAACAATAAAACTCAGCTCATTTACTGTGTCTATACCATAAATACAAAGCAGGAAAACTCATTTAAGGCCTCCGAAAAAAATGAACATTTCGGACGACATCGTTGTGCTGTCCAGGCAATTATATTAATTACTATCTAACAAGTCACTGCCGTAGCTAGAGATACTGTCCCAAAACCATAGTATGTATCTGGATTAAGACGGTTAGTGAGTCCCACTGATTCTCAATGTATACAAGTACTGTCTTGAATATCTTTTCTAATAACGTCACATTCTAAACCGTATGATTTAAGCCAAGAAGTTATAGGCGAGCCGCGTGATATTTTTTTCATGAGTGATAATGATTTTCCTTAATATGAAGTCCACTTTTATTAAATAAAATAAAAAAGTACTTCCAAGTTATTATGTTTTGAAAGTATAACAACAAAATACAAAACAGTCACATTTTGGAAAAGACACACAAGAGACGTATCTTTGTTTACACCGAGTTTAAAATTTGAACACTGATAGCAGCTGTTGCCATATTCAAATAACTTAGTAACATATTTATTGAAAATAAATTATATGTTGCGGGTCTTTCCTTATTTGACCCCCCCCCCCCCCCCCCTAAAAAAAAAAAAAAAAACAAACAAAAAAATGCAGGCGTGTGACTATACCAAACAAAGGCCTGCGAGACAATTGAAGTAAACCCGTGGAAATAAGCAAATTATTGGTTTGAGTAAAAAAATGTATTGAAATATTTCCATAAACAGTTAAATATAAAGTAATTAGGTACAGTAAAGATTCCATATAGTGAAACGGTGATCATTGCTATTTTCAGTAGGAAAATGTCTTCTACGATGAAGGCGCAATACTCAGAATCACAAGTTAAAATAACATACAAAAGACTTCGTTGCAATTACTCTTTAAAAAGAATGCTTGGATATAAACACTAAGCCGGATTCATTCAACCTAAGCTTGTTTGCATTTATTTCACATCTTGCTAACAGTGCGTAGAAAACATGACGTCACTTTCTAGGACTAACTTTGGAAAATCGAACGCACCTTTTTGCTCCATTCCGGATCTTTTCAACACTTTGATCTCTTCTTACTTCCAATTCAAACGTTTGGAAGTAGTGATATTTACGCATGCGCTTCAGCGTGTTCAATTTAGTGGGGGGAAAACAAAAATGGCGGAAGAGCAGGTGAGGAACGTCCTCAAAACACCCGTTGTAATCTAAATTGTGGAATAAGTAATATACGTTGACTGCACGTGCCATACGGAGATAAATTGGATATACCTCTCTTTCAAATGTTTTAACACTTGAATGTGCATCTAGCACTCAAACTCTGTCTATAATTTGTGTAGTAACGGTCGAAGCATGACAAGACTTTTAGTATGTTGTGTTGTTTACAGAATTTACAATTTAGTGATGTTTTAATTACAAATGCGTTTACTACTTTGCATGGGAAAATGATTTATGATACATAATCAATGTGTCAGAATGTTGGTCTTATCACAAATTAAAACAACCCCAGACTCGAGCAAAGTTCGATTTGCAGTCGGTGTTATGGTGATCAACTCTTACAAAATGCCAATGCTCTCGACATGCGAATTTTTCAAACTGTGTTGTTATGGCTAATGTGTCGAAATTAAAGTTATATGACATTCATGAGAAAATAATGTTGCAGTTACCCTTGATAACACTTCATTTTATTAGCTTTTATACTAAAAATGAAACGTCGCTTCAATTATCACAGATTACCTCTCTTTTGTAATGTTCTTTCATTTTAAGTTAATATACATGTGCTCTCACTCATAATTTGAATTGGAATTATGTTCAGCTTGACGACAGTGATCATTATAGTAAATATATAAGCGTACTGCTATTTTCATGTTAATTATTTTGGATTATCTGAAGGTTCTGGCTTTCTATATGAGATTTTATTTTAGTCTAGATTGCTTGGACAAAAATAAATTCACAGATAAACAGGTGAAACTTTTCAGACTAAATTCAGACCAGGACATATTTTAGGGTTATGTTGTTTAGATTTTCTGGGGGCATAACTACATTTGAACTCAAATAAATTGAATAACTTGTGAATGGTTGTAATCCCTAATACTCTACACAAGATAGAAAATTGATCCATATAATCACAGTTTTACTTAACTAACGTACAGTTTTATCTATTCCTAAGTTACCATCTTCAGCTTCCTCATCCATTGGATGCGGCAGAGGATATCCCATGACAGGAAATAACCAAAAATGTGTTTCAACATTTTCAGGAGCTACTGCAGTTGGAGAACTTGTGTAAGCAGTTCTATGAGACCAATAACACAAGCTTACGAGCAGATGCAGAAAAGGCTCTTGTTGAATTTGCGGATTCTCCAGATTGTTTAAGTAAATGCCAACTTCTGTTGGAAAGAGGAAATGTAAGTTTTCTTATGTTCCTGATAAAATTGATTTAATATTTACACTGCTGTGTCATAATTTGTACTGATTTTTTAGTTGTTTTTTTTTATGAGAAAACATTTTGTACAAATTGTGGCAGTAACCTCATTGATATACATGTAGTTGGTGCAGATTTCCCTTTTTCATCCCAAATGCTTTTTGTACATTTATGTGAAACCTGTATAATGGATCAAGTTAGTGCCGGTTTACTTATTTCATTCCAAGCACTTTTAGTATAACCTATAGCTGTCATACAGGGTCACCAAGATGCTTAGGGAATCACCATTTTGTACATTTAAGGCATAAAGCAATCATAATGATAAACAATTTTCTGTAATGGTTTTCAAAAGATGACCGCTACATTTATTGTGCAAAAGGGCAAATGATTATTACCAACAGAGTCTAAAGTGATATATTGAATTAATTTACCTTTCAATCAATATGTATAATAATGTATTTGGTGTAGACAGATGTTACTTTGATTGTCACTGTGAAGTTGTGGATTTTTGTTGAGAGTTTAGCTGTCCCTACAAAGCATTTTTAAGTATGGAAATAAAAAAAAAGTTATTACTTACATATTTACATTGATTGTGTGATATGTAAATGTTCACATTTTTTTGAATAAGGTATACAGTTGATGCTTTTGTTAAAAATCTAATTAAATTTTTCAGTCGCCCCTTGCACAACTGCTGGCAGCAACAACCTTAACAAAGCTTGTAACACGCCCAAATGTGACCCTTCCCTTGGAACAAAGAATAGATATAAGTAAGTATCTTACAGTTCACTGAACTTTGAAAACTCACCATGGTCATTACAGGGTTAAAACTGATTTTTTTTGCACTGAAAATGTTGGCCTTGTTTTACGTAAGGCTATGATAACAGTTGGTAGAGTGTTAGTCTACATAACCTCAGGTGACGATCCAGTGTGCATGATTAAGTGCTCCTTACCTGTGGCGGTTTGTGTTTCTGGAGAAGCTGAGAAACTGACAAGTGTGTGCTGACATGTTTGTGTCTTTTGGCAAGATGTTTTACCTGTTTTGGATATCATAAGCCCGGCCTTCTCTGTGTTGTTCAGAGAGTAGTGAGGTAGCCACCAGCTGCTGCAGAGAGCTTAAGCTTCAAAATGGCCTGAGCTGTTCATTCACCAAATGACTTGTTTGAGGTCATTCATATGAGATTGACATATGGAAGTGGAAATCTGGAATAACTTTCCAAACCTAATACAAAGCTGTTGCTTGGCAAGTTGTTTGTAGTATTGCTTAATGCAGTTCATTATTCAAATCCATTTGGATACTTTGTTCAAGAATTATGCAGTGTACAAGTGTAACAATACTCATTGAAAAATTGAAAATGTGGGAGACTGTTGCAAAAATATTGTTTTTTTTTTTTGTTTTGTTTGGAAGCTTGTATTTGTATGATACAATACTATCTTGAGGATTTCATGTAAAATCCAATTGAAGACTGTGACACACTGAAGAAAAGTTTTGAACATGTGTAAGACATGGTGTTAAGAAGTACAACTTTGGTAATTGAATCATTTCTGTTTTTCAGGAAATTATGGTCTTAACTATTTGGGAACAAGACCAAAATTGGTGCACTATGTACTGCAGGCCCTTGTACAGGTAAAGTTTTTAACTAATTCGTTTGATTATATTAGGTACTTATTTTACCTAATTTAGTATGAATTTTTATTTAAGAAATGATGATGTATTCTGTTAGTAGGAAATCATATCCTGCTACATTATAGTAGGAGAGGGGCATACAGTGTTTCTCATTGCAATCACTTCACCCTGCATCCCATCCTATCTGGCCATGTTGTTCAGTGTCCCTTTTCAAAGCAACATCATATCAACCTCTGTACAAAATTGGTTCATATTTACTCCATATCATCAAGTTGCACCCCTCATCAGATTCTTGTTTGCAATCATGTCTTTAAATTTTGTAGTTTTGAAGTATTCAAATTTTCTGTGCTAGAAAACATTTTTCTTTTCTGATTGCAGAGTTTTTAATTGAAATATCATATTGTAATTAAATTCATTCATTAATCCAGTGTTTTCACTAGGATTTGAAACAGATGGTTGTCCAAATGAAATAGCCGAGTGAATATGAACCTGCATGTTTTATTCTGAATACAATATATATGCTCACAAAACATAGCCAGTTTAAAGTTGCTTAGTGACAGGCTAGTTTTTCTGGCTGTTAATGAGAACACTGCATTTATAATTAAACAGGAGAGACCTATGGGACAAACCACAAAACTTTTAGGGGAAAAACAGAATTTTAGATCTTGATTTACATAAGATTTTTAATGGATGTTTCTGATGTTAATGGTCAAGTGTATGAAATCCTGTCTGGGAAACTTATATTTGATCACCAAATGTGAAGAAACTTTTCATGACGAGACGACTGACCCTAACAGCTATTTATATGATTTATTTTTCTGATTATAGCTGTTTGCCAGAATCACAAAACTTGGATGGTTTGACTTGAAGGATGAAGAATACACATTCAGAAATGTTATCAGTGATGTTACAAAGTTTATACAGGTAAAATAATTTTCTACACAAGGATTCTGTGTGATTATATGGTGACAGTTAATTAAGAAATTGATTAACATTCAAAATTTATTGAATTCAATTGTCTGGAATTGATATCCCTCAGCCTTGATTTGTTTTTAACTATATTCTGTTTACTATTCAGAGTGGCTTCACACAACATGTAATGATTGGTGTACAGCTGCTGTCACAGTTGGTTTGTGAGATGAACCAAGTCAGCGAAGTAAGTACCAATCAACGAATATGTGTTACCTCTTATAAGAGGGAATTATAAAACCGACGTGTTGAAAGAGATACTTTGAAATTGAATATTATATAGATACCAAGGTATACTGTGAATAGACAGTTCATATAAAGAGGCATTTTAACTTTTCAGAAAATCTATATTAAGTTTTAGGCAGTTGCTCTGATGCACAGAGTGTTATAAATTTTTGTGCTCTGATTTGTAGGATATGTAATGGAAGGTTGCTTCTTATAAATTATAGAGGGAGTGTAATTATAGAAAGTTTAAGGGTGTAAAATTGCTTGTCCTACATATGTTTTAGGTTGTAGACTGTGAAGAACAAAAGTCCCAAGGCCCATATATATACCACTGAAAGATATGAAATATTTCACATTTAAAATATTGCCAATGGGGGAAAAATTCTGTGTCCCAAACTTTCTGCATAGATGATGTAAAGGGTATTTAGAATTGGAAATACTTGATCAATCAAATGGGAGATGTTGCTAATAAAACTAAGACAAGTCTTCAAGAATCTGATGTGTGATAAGTTCATGTGAGTTTGGTTCAGAACAAAACTGTCTTGTGTTATTGTTTAAGGTTTTTCTCCTTGATATGAGTTTGATTTTGAATTGTTTGCCAGGCTGATGCTAGCAGATCCCTAACCAAGCACAGAAAGATTGCCTCATCATTCCGTGATACTCAGCTGTTTGAGATTTTCCAGTTGGCATGCTCCTTGTTGCAGACTGCTGCAGGGAACATTAAAAACATGAACTTCTCTGATGATAGTCAGGTAAACCAATGCAACAGTTATCAATAAGCTGTAGTTATTCATTATACCATATAGCTGTTGTTTTCTCATGGGTCAAAATTTACAGGATTTGCATTTAAAACCATAAAAAAATAAATTGAAAATTATACAGTCTAGAATACACATGTGTCTCATTTTTAGCTCACCTGGCCTGAAGCACCAAGTGAGCTTATGTTGTGTTGTGTCTGGTGTCAACTTTTCATTTCAAACAATTTCTCAGTAAGGGAAACCCCAAGGGTAATGATATTGGGCCTTCAGCATACTGGGAAAAAGGAACTACCAAGATTGTTCAAATGAATGACCTCGACCCATTTTCAAGGTCAAAGGGGTCAAATGTGTTATAATTATGAAAGAAATAATTTTCAATAACCAAAAGACCAAGGGTCTGTTGAATAACCAGAAAACCTTAGATATTGAAATTTCACCAATGATATGCTGTTATTTTCAGCATGGTTTCATTCAACATTCCTTAAGACTGGCTCACAACTGCTTAACATTTGACTTTATTGGCACATCTACTGATGAATCATCAGACGATCTGTGTACAGTTCAGATTCCTACATCTTGGAGGTCAGGTAAGGTTTAAATTTGTCCTCAACTGTCTAATTGTTTCAAAACTAGTTTAGCCATTTTAGTTTTCCATCTGGCCCTGTTAAAAATTGATGTAAAATCTTGAGAACAACTCCAACAGATTTGGCTCACATTTATCCCTTGGTATCATTAATATCAAGTTATACACCTTTTTATGTTAAGGTCAAAGGTCATATTTTGCCCGGAAGCATGGGCATTGACATCATGCTGCTGTAGGATGCAGTAAAATTCATTATCATGACTTTTGTACCATCTTACAAGCATTTTCTAATCTAACCAGTGGTTTTTATAAAATTTAAAACATAGTGAAAAGAATTCTAACCCAGCCTTCAACAACTGGAGAAGAATAAAAAGCATGACAAACTGGAAAAGAATGAAAGACATAACAATCAGATTTCAAATATAAGTTGGTGATTTTGAAATGAATAATAAAATGATTCCTATGTAACTTCACAGTTATCGCTGATTAATTTGAATATTGGATAATTCTTTTGATAGCCTTCCTGGATTTTGCAACTATGCAGCTGTTTTTTGACTTGTATTCGGGATTGCCTGTGACATTATCTCCCTTGGCTCTCTCCTGTCTTGTCCAGATTGCATCTGTCCGGCGCTCACTGTTTAACAACACAGAGAGGGCCAAGTTTCTCAATCAGATAGTTGTTGGTGTGAGGAACATTCTGGAAAATCCACAGGTAGGGTCTTTGAGTGCATTCATCTTTGTCATTAAATGGTGAAAAGTTGGATGTGATGTTTTGATTTTTGCACATCAGTGCTACTGGTTATGATATACACATTTTTATGAATGTTTGAGGTCTTTGATAAAAGTTTGGGAATTTTCATCAATTATTGCCTTCTTTATTCTGTGTTTTAGACTTTCATGCTGATTTTCTGTACACAAATGTACATACCAATATCAAGGATATGTTTTTAACGAAAGAATTTAGAAAGATTGTTATTGATAAACTGTTATGTTAACCTCATTAGGGTGATTCTTCAAATTAAATGATGCACAGAATAAAAGTTGTATATCATTACTGTCATCATATCACATAATAAATGTATCTTGTCTAAATTCTGAAATACGATGATTAATATTATCTTCATTTATCATTTGCCAGGTGAAATGTATTTTTGTCATCTAAATCCTTGAATATTGATGAAATACCATTTTAAAAGACCAAACAATCGCTGTAATGTGCATTTTTTGTTGCTTGCTGATAAAGACAAAATATTGACATCAATTCAAATTTCAAAGTGACAAAGCCTAACTTCATTTTATTTTTAAAGATAATTTCAAGAAATTTTTATTTATGGATAATTAAATATTGGTGAATACCAGTTTTACAATATCTGCATCTGTAACATTTACAAAACAAGTGTTGTCTTTCAGGGTTTATCTGACCCTAGCAACTATCATGAGTTCTGTCGCCTACTGGCTCGACTGAAGTCCAATTACCAGTTGGGAGAACTGGTCAAGGTAGATAACTACCCAGAAGTCATCAAAATGATTGCAGAGTTCACAGTGACTAGTCTAAGGGTAAGTTTGTCTTATTGTCCGTGTTTATGACCAGTTCATGTTAACAAAAAAAAAAGTGAGGATTTTTAATTAAATGAAAATGAGAGCAAAACTGAAACAAAGGCAATTATGTTTGTTTGAACAGTAGAATTAGGTATTGACATCAAATAGTTGTTTACTTTTGTAGCAAATGTGGCAGTTTGCTCCGAACAGTGTTCACTATCTGTTGAGCTTGTGGCAAAGAATGGTGGCTTCAGTACCATACGTGAAGGCAACAGAGCCCCATCTCTTGGAGACCTATACACCAGAAGTTCTCAAAGCATATACTATGTCCCGTCTGGAGTCTGTAACTGTTGTACTAAAGTAAGTCATTTTGAATTGTTGATGTTCTTACTTCCTTTTAGTCTGTGTCCTGGCCTTTTTGATGGTTTAAGAGGATCGATAATGTTATGTTCCCTTGCCATTCTGAAGTAATTTTTAGCCATGAAAACACCAACTTCAGCAGAACATAAGACCTCGCTACCTTTGATGAGGTGTGAGGTTAGATGATCTCTTCTCGGATGTTTTGTATTTCTCAGGAAGCTTTGATTGTGCTCTTGGAAAAGTTTCTATAATGTCTAGTAGCTCTCTATAGCATGTGACACACCTTCAGCATGGTTTTCATTAAGTTAGTGACCAGCTATTACAAAGTGTTTCAGTCTGGATGTAAGCAAAGAAATGAAGATCTCAATGAGAACACCTTACATACAGCAGCATTCTTTGTGTTTCAGAGATGGCCTGGAGGATCCACTTGATGACACAGGGATGGTTATGCAGCAGTTAGAACAGGTTTGTGACGATGATATCTATGTTACAGTGTCAGGCTTCTTAAAGTTAGGGTTTTAGAACAGGTTTGTGACTATGATATCTATGTTACATTGCCAGGCTTTTAAAAGTTAGGGTTTTAGAACAGGTTTGTGACTGTGATATCTTTGCTACATTGCCAGGCTTTTAAAAGTTAGGGTTTTAGAACAGGATTGTGACTGTGATATCTATGCTACAGTGTCAGGCTTTTAAAAGTTAGGGTTTTAGAACAGGTTTGTGACTGTGATATCTTTGCTACATTGCCAGGCTTTTAAAAGTTAGGGTTTTAGAACAGGTTTGTGACTGTGATATCTATGCTACAGTGTCAGGCTTTTAAAAGTTAGGGTTTTAGAACAGGTTTGTGACTAACTATGATATCTATGTTACATTGCCAGGCTTTTAAAAATGAGAATTAAACCACAAAAGAAAGTACCCATAAACATTTGATAATATACAGTAACAGGTCAACCAAATTGATAGGTGATATGAGATATTAAATGATACTTGCATGTGATTATCTAGGTAATTGGGAAATGCTGAAAATGTTACTTTTTATAAGCTCACTGTCATCAGATGATTGGTTATTGAAATCGCCCTATATCCGTGGTCCGTCCGTCCATAAACAAAACATCACTATTTCTTAAGAAGTACAGGATGGATCTTTCTTAGACTTCATGTGTAGGTTCCCCTTGGTCCTTGTTGTGCCCTTTTGATTTCAGGACTGATCATAAAAGCAAAAAGACTGACAGGCAGTCATCTTGGATTTTGACAAAGAGAAAAAAAAATTATTATGGCTATTTCTTAAGAAATAATGGATCTTTCTGCAATATTATATGTAGCTTCCCCTTAGTCCCTAGGTGTGCCCATTTGATTTTTGGCATGGTCAGAAAAATGAAATTGCTGGCATGCAGCAATCCTGAATTTTGACAATGAAAGTTTGCAGCTTTGCAGGGGGAAACATTATTTGTAGAAAATATAAAAAAAAAAGACCCAAAAATTATTAATAATAGATTGCACTGAAATCATATTTCAAGGGTTTGTAGGTCATAATATGATAACTGGTTCTGGATAGATCGTATTTCATTTCTCTGATGTGTACTTAGTTATCTACCAGTGTGTACTTAGTTATTTATCGTGGGATGTGGTTCTGAATAGATCATATTTCATTTCTCTGATGTGTACTTACAGTTATCTACCATTGGGCGTTGCGAGTATGAAAAGACTTGTGCACTGCTGGTTCAACTGTTTGATGAAGCTGCCCAGAGATATCAGGAACTGATAGCATCACAGGGACAGGGTGCCGAGATAACCATACAGGAAGGTTAGTTCTACTTCATCTGGTCATGTTGCATTGACCCAGTATTAGGCCAAATAAAATTAATTCTTAGTTTCTCAGGCACCGACGTATCTTAATTTCAGTGCCACGTCAGCTGTTTTTATTGGAAAATGTGATAAAATTAAAAGGAAAACTGCCGCTTAAAAAATCAGCTTAACATGGATACGCCAGATTTCTTGGGCATGTACGGTCACTGGAATGTGCCGTTTTGAAATTTAGTTTCCGAACAGCATTTCTGACAATGCCAGAATGATGGTGCTTTCAGTAGAAATAAGTGCTGTGGAGCATTGTCTCTGGATTCAGTGAGTCTTGCACCGTTTCTGGACTGGAACACACTAAAGCCACAGGGTCCGAGTGCACAAACTGTTAAAACTGTCAATAGAACTGTAATGTGTATCAGGTGTGAAAGGCCACGTGTGATCTATTGGCAAACGAAATTTTCTAGCAGGAATGCAAAATTTTGGATCAGTATTCTTGTGGATCTTCTTTGCAAGAATTGAAGACAACCAACAACAAAACACCTCAAATCAACTCTCTTCTTGACAAGTGTTATATCAGAAAAAATCTTGATTGTGGTCAACCATTAGAGGTGCCCTACTTCAATTCCAGGGATTTCACTGATGTTTGCCAATACTGTGGCAGAAAGGATAACCTCTGTGAACGAGAACAGGGGTGCAACCTTGTCTGTGAAACATGTTCCAAAACAAAAAAATGCAGCTAAAATGGGGGGAAAATGCAAAGGGCAAGGGGAATTGCTGCAAGAAAGCAAAACATTATTAACTTTCAGGCTAAATGTGGACCTTGGCATTGACAATGTTGCTTGAGGGAGACCTTGATATCTCTATCATTTTAGAAAATAAAATGCATACCTGCCTCATTGTTTCTGAGACAAATAATTTTTTTTTTAAAAAACTCCTACTTTTTAAGGAAAATGGCCTGAGAAACTAAGAATTAATTTTATTTGGCCTTCAGCCCATGCTTTGTAAGAAGGCCATCCATGTCCTTTGCTATTTCTTTGTTTTGTGATAAGCTCATCTTCTTTTTTCATTTCATTTCAAGTTGATGTGTATTACCTGCTGGATATATTGCAGTAAGATGAAAAAGTAATTCCTTTAAAAATGTGTCAGCAAGTTTTTATATCATTAGATCTAAAAAGATATGAATTTACTCCTTGTCTCGAGAAAAATATACATTGTAGATATATGAAGACATCGGAGAATAGTTGCTTAAGTCTCCTGTTGAGGTTGTCGAAAATTTTAACCAGGTACATGCCAACAGATTTGATGTAAGTACAAGACTATGATTTTTTTTTCCAGGTCGGCTGTCATGGCTGGTTTATATTATCGGCTCAGTGATAGGGGGTCGTGTGTCATTTGCTAGTACAGATGAACATGATGCAATGGATGGAGAGTTGGCATGCAGGTGAATATACAAGTTTTTTACACAATATAGAAAAATCTGACTGCAAATACCCTAAAATCATCAATTTTTTTTGAGTGGAGGGGTGGGGGATGGGGGGGGGGGGGATTTATTTTTGTTTAATCTGTGGATACTTACAATCCATGAATTTATAATGTTCATGAATGGTAAACATATTTAAAATTGGCCTAGATAATAATGCAAATGGATTTTGTAAACAATATATTTATATGAAGTCAAATTCCTGAAACTGTAAATGTTTGGAAAACCATGAATTTTGAGCACCTCGGAAATATATGACTTTTGTTTTGGTCATTATTGTGATTATGTTATTATGCAGTATGTTTGATCCCCAAAAAAGCAATGTCACATCTTTAGTTTTATCACAAACATTCATTGGTTGTTTTGGTATATATGGTATATAAATTTTTCTTGCTTAATGATACATTTTGATATCAGAGGTCCTTTTTGTAAGGAAAACAGACAGATTGACCAGAAATATAAACACTAAACTGGTGTGAAACTTATACAGTGAAAAGTCATATTTACAATGACAGATAAATATTGCTAAACATGAAATACAGTGAAAAGTCCTATATATTTATAATGACAGAAAAATATTGCTGAAATGCTCTTAATTGATGATGTACTATGAACAACGCTCACTTTCTTTAGTTACCAAGGAATCAAAAATGTCTTTGTGCTAAATGATTGCCAAAAAAACTTCTGTCTAGAAATGGTTATCAAGGTATCCCAGGTACTGAAAATAGTACTGAATTATTACACTATACTCCAACAGTACTCTATAAAAATGTCTGAAAGTTTATGTATTTTTTGTGGCCAGGGTTTTGCAGCTGATGAACCTAACAGACAGTCGGATTGCTGCTCAGGGGGGTTGTGAGAAATTAGACCTGGCCATTCTCAGTTTCTTCGAACAGTTCAGAAAAATTTACGTTGGGGACCAGGTCCATAAGATGTCAAAAGTAAGTATTTATTTTGTCAAGAGCACCCGAACACCACAAACTGACTAGAATTTTTGTCCTTTTCAAGACGGATGTCAAAGTTTTACAACCAAAACATTTTAATGGTTGTGAAGGGAGATCACCAAAGATAGATTTGACCTCATCACATCTGGGGTCACACTAATGCTTCACAGATACTGGTCAACTAGTCAAAATTTGAGTGTTAGTTTCATTTTCAGGGCATGGTGGCTTAGGTCACAAAGATTGGTACTTATAACATTTATATCAAGCCAAACAATAGATGTACAGCGGCAGTTTAGAGATGGTAGAATACAAGTTTATATTATATTACAGTATATTTCATTGTTCTCCATGTAGCATATCGAGTAATACTTTAAAATCAAATATTTTTATTGGGCCCAAATTCCCCAAGTTTGAAAAAAAAGATCATTTGATATTAATTTTGCAGAATAATATTGTAAATGTACTTAGTTATTGCAATATAATTTTAGTGCACAATCACTTTTTCTGGAAAAGAACACAATGATGAATTTGAAAATGGACAATAATTGCTATAAAAGCAGCATATAGTGACTACAATTAGCAAAGCGCAATATGTTTGGCATGAAAAGTGCTTAAATATGACTACTGCCGAAATATGTATGTTTTACAGTAGTTCTCTGGATAAAATTTTATTTTTAACTGAATCCACGAAGGGAATGAAAATAAAAAACCCACAAAAATGACACTACATTAAGTTGACATTTACAAGGATTTTAGTAGTTAATTTTCCCAGGAAGGTAGCAACAGACTAGAGATGTGGTATTTACTTACAGGTATACAGACGACTCTCTGAGGTGCTGGGACTTAATGATGAATCCATGGTGTTGAGTGTATTTGTTGGTAAAATGTAAGTTATATTCTGCACACATGTCATCTATTTTTTAACATGACAAAATTATGAGAGATATTTGATGTGATGATATACTCTTGCTATATTGGGGTAGGAGCTGGGCTTAGGTGTTTCAGTGATGGGGCGATGATCAGATATAATCGATTATTTAATCTTTTAACCACACCTGATACAATGATCAGTTGTAAATTTTCATTGTGTTTTAGAAAAAACAAAACTCATGTTATTCAAAACAAAGACGATAACTGACAATGAGATTCATTCTTTTGCAAATTTTATGTTAATGAAATATTTTGTGTGAAAGTTACAAAAAAAAAATATTGAACATACATTCAACCAGTTATGTAATTCATTTACTACATTGAAAAACTGATATCAACTGATAATCAATGATGGATTTCATACGACTTCCTGTTACTGAGCTCTATTTCTCATAATCATCGTTTAGTGTAACCATATTTATCTTCATGTGTGGTATACCTTCATTTGTCAAATAGGTCACTGAAAGTTTCAACTGTAAAATCTTAGAAATTTGTTATCTTTCAATAGATCATTTAGATAATTGTAGTTTTGATCTTGACATTTTTGAAACAACAGTGTGATCGTTAGGTTAGTCTGGGTGTGAATATAGATTATGTATATCACTGTAGTACAGAGGACTGAACAGTTTATTTGTTATCCTGTATGTAACTGTCAATGGTTTCAATTCTCTAGGTTGTATAAGAATTCTGATATTTTGTTACAGAATCACAAATCTGAAGTATTGGGCACGAAGTGAACAGATCATCTCTCGAACCCTACAGCTGCTTAGTGACCTTTCTGTAGGCTACAGTAGTGTGAGGAAACTGGTCAAGCTGGAAGCTGTTCAATTTATGTTGAATAACCACACGGTAAGTCCGGATTAACTGTCATCACTCTAGCAGCTTAAATTTTACATTAAACTTAATGCCAAAATGAAATGTGTGTGTTGGGGTTCTTAATAGGAGAATATTAATATCTTATGAAAATTTTCTATTTGAAATCGTCTGGGGAAAAGCTACATTTTTTTGTTTGTGAGAAAATTATCAGGAAGTTTTTGCCCTTGTATTACAGAGTGAACATTTCCCATTCTTGGGAATCAGTACCAACAACCGGCCAATCTCTGACATGCGATGTCGCACCACATTCTACACAGCATTGGGGCGGTTGTTAATGGTGGACCTTGGCGAGGATGAGGAAAAGTTTGATAAATTTATGATACCTTTAACAGGTAAGATTTTTTGAATTTGTCAGAAAAAATAGTAAAATGAGGATATTTACTCCTTCACAACTTTTATTTAAGTATTAGTTATTATGTATTTTAAAATTAAAGTTTCTGTGTCTTTCAAATACACTGATGTTTATTGTTTTCTTTGTTTTTTCAGCTGCATTTGAGTCGGTTGGGAACATGCTGGCATGTGTGAATACCCCAATGAAAGCAGAGGAAGCCAAGGTAAATTTTCTCCCACACAATCCTCCATGTATTTTGAAAGTTGGGTGCAGCTTAACCTAACCATGTATTTATGTAAGAAAGTGCTTGAAAACTGGAGGTACAGATCTTGAATATCTTCAGATTGGGGAGTTCTGTACCCTCATACAGGGGTACTGGGAACATTATCCTCAGTAAGGTTATCTTAATATAGCCCTAAGGTAGTTATATAATTGTATACTCTATTAAAAATAAAACATCATATTGCTTCGTAGTATTATAAGCTAATTTTGCATGGGTTCTTAAGAAATTTTAACCAATCTATTGGGGAATATGACAGAAACAATCTTAATGAAAAGTCATACTTTAAAAACTAACTTTTTTTCTTTCCCTGCTTTCTACTTTCAACATGTAGTTATATTGAAAACAACTTATGGTCTTAATGTATTATACTCAATTTTAATCTTCAACTGTAAGAGATTGGATTAAATAGATTTAATAATTATCTTTTGATCTTTTACTAAAATCAAATGTAAGTTTTATTTTGTGAAATCAGGCCTGTCATATTCTAAATGTTGAAAATCGATTAATTATTTTGCAGCGTTCCTTGGTAGGCTTGGCACGCGATCTGAGAGGCGTGGCTTTTGCTTTTAATACGAAGACAAGCTATATGATGTTATTCGATTGGATGTATCCTTTTCTATAGCCATGATAAAGAGAATGTGTCCTTAGTCGGCTTGTTTGCAAATAAGCCTTTCCAGCATTTTGTTTCCAATTCCAAGTTTCATCGCCTCAGGTTGTAATACTTGAAAGAAATTTGATTGTGGGGTAGAAAATTTCTTTGTTGTTTATATATCCGCATGTGAAATATTTCTTTATCTGAACTGAAAACTAGATTTTCCATGTCGTCGTAAACTCCAGACACATACTGTACATTTGTTTGAGTACCCAGATAACAGATTACTGTATACTAAATACAAAATTTGGCTATATGTGTACCCAGCAGTCAGTGTATATGCATTCGGCTTGTTCCTTAGTTTGCATGATATTGATGATCCAAAAATCAAACATGAACTTAAATAAATTCAATGGAGTGTTTTAAAACTGTTTATTTTTGAAAATTATTTGTTTAAAGATTGGTTTGTTAGGATTTTCTGATGGTGTAGTGGAAACAGACTTGTCTTTCATCTAAGGATTTTCTGATGGTGTAGTGGAAACAGACTTGTCTTTCATCAAGGCAGGTTTGGTTTCCTGATCACATGTAAACAGATATGAGGGTCACCTGGCCAACTACACAGGTTTGCTCCAGGTACTCCCTAGTACATTTCCCCACACACTTCCATCTGGGCCAACAAGAGTGATTAGTGGAAATCACTTAAATTTTACAAGTTCTTTATTTTACAAAGTTACCTTTAAAGACATATTAGCAAACACATGGTTTTGCGAACGCTGATATAGAAATACTTTTAATTTGTGTATGATGAGCGGTTGGTAACTCAGTCAAAATGGATGCCATCCAGGGGTATTATCGTACAAATAATGGCAAGGGATTAGATTTCGTGATTGACCCTCCCCTCATATTAACGCAAAAATAAATGCTACATGAAATAAATGTGATCTACAGTAATATACATTGATTTATCTGGTTTCTCATTCTTGTTACAATAAACAAAGTTTACAGTATTGTAACAAAATGTTAATATGTTTGTGGAAAAGAAAATGGAGATCTGTGAGTTTTCTTTAACTGGTGCTAGTTACCCAACATACACCCCAGTCCTTCAGCGAGCTATTGAGCTCTGGTACCATGAACCAGCAGTCACTACACCTGTACTGAAACTCATGGCAGAACTGGCTCAGAGCAGGTAAGTAATGAGCTTCAGTATAACATAACATGTAAGTGGGTATGCTGTCTCATGTTTAAACCTTGGACACCATTTCCTGGGTAAAAACTGTTGTAAATATCATGAAATTTTACAAATTCATTCTTTTCTCTGAAGCAATGTTTGATGCATTTCATGTTTATGGTTTAATGGCATTAGCCATGTAATCATACACTATAATTGTCTGGTAAGAGATCTTATTTAGACATTTGCTGATGATTGTAAATCAGTACTGGCAGCTAGTCGTCAAATCTCTAATCACAAATTTTATATAAAATGCTTCAACAAAGATCACTTCAATATCTCATTAGTAACATATCACACCAGTCCATGTCTTTAAACTGAGTTGTCATGTCTTAGGGTTTCGTCTGGACATGTTTACAATGCAATGGAGTGGTACAGAGGACCCCCACTACTTTAGGGGAATATAGACTACTGTAAACTGGGATATTTTTGCCCTTGCACCATTATACATAAATTCACCCCATGCTTATTTCACCCTCAGAGTATTAAATAAAATGATTATAGAAATGAAACAGATTTTTGTCTTCATATTAAATTTAGCCTCCTTCATTGTTCAGGGACAAAAAGTTGAAAATTAAAAAGTGTCTTAGAGGAATGTAGAATGGCCTCTGAGTATTAGCTTAGCCATTGAAGGTGTAAACCCCCTTGATCAACCAATTGGATTGAAGCCTTGCATTCAAATTTGTTTTGGGCAAAGTACATGAGGAATAGTTTAAATGAGGTTCTCAGATAATCTGTTATGCATTATCTTCTATACAGTTTGAGAAATGTCAGTACCATCTGCTTTAAACTGTAGGTAGGATTCTTCTGAATCTTTACTTTATTGTCCTTATAAATATAAATGACTTGCTTCCAGATTATTTTGATTTGAAAGAAACATGGCATATAATATGGTATGTAGAAATAATAGTTTTTATCCCACTGTCTTCATCTGTGGTCTGAGATTTTGACACTGAAAGTTCCCCTTGGTACCTAGTTATGAAAATGACAGTAATTTTGACAATGAAAATTTGTTATTGAGAAGTGCTGGATGGATCTTTCTCAAATTTATATGAAGTTTCTTCTTGGTTCCTTGTTGTCCTTCTGATACATGGATGGATCAGAAAAATGTAGCCATTAGACAATGATTTTGAATTTAGCAGTTAGAATATTATATTTTGCAGAGGAATTTTCAAATTTCATATAAATAAGAGCAAAAACAAAGAAAAGAAAAGGCAGAAAAATATCCTACTTTGAAGAACAAATAAAGATCAAACGATAGTTGGTGCTAAGATCCCTCTGGGATCTGTTGTACAATTTGATTTTCATAAAATTAATTTTGATTCGGAAATATTTTATTTGTAGGTCTCAGCGGCTACTGTTTGATGTTTCTTCACCAAATGGATATCTTCTTTTTAGAGAAGTCAGCAAGATGATAGTCACGTATGGTAAGTTCTGTGTTTGTATGACAACTCCCATCATTTCACTGTATGGAAATATTTTCTTCATAAAGGATATTGTGTAGTGTCTTTATAGTAACAATTCAAAGTGTGTCTTATGTTTATGTATCATTCACAAGTGTGCAGCACAAATGAAAGATATAAAAAAAAATATTAGACAAAGGAGTGAAATATATTTGTTATAACTGAGGATACTGTTAAATTTTCTATTTTCTGTTGTTTTTGCAAATAGCATATTTAGGACAGAAATAAAAGGACAAAGCTGACTATACTGTAAGAAGCTGTAAGAAACAGAAAGCCAATATAAGATTTGCATTGAAGTATTTTCTCTTTTTTTTTTCAGGATCTCGGGTGTTGTCATTAGGAGATATACCAAAAGACAGAACTTACCCAATGAAGTATCCTTTCTGTATTGCATCAGTTCCAGCAATTGTAGATGGAAAATAGTGACTGTAGAATTATGAATTGTAATGTATAAGAAACAAAAAAATAGATAAAATTAGATCAATTGAAATGGCTGTTGAGGTCTGAAATATGTATGTTCCTGCAAGAAATCTTACTGTCCTATTTTTCTATTTGGATTCTTCTTTGCAGAACAGCATCTTAATTGGCCTATGTGTCTTTAGGCGAAAGTCTGAGGTACAGGGTTCTGCAATCCAAACCACTGGCAGTTTGTGTTTCTCAGGAAACTGAGAAACAGAAATATCTGTGTCAATGTGGTTTTGTCTTTGAGTAAGACACTGAACCCTAATTGCACTGAATGAGCTTCCTGTATGTTGCTCAGTGTGATAGCTACCAACTAATATGATGACACCCGACTTCAAAATAACCCTGGCTGTTCAACGAGTGATTATCCAACAAACACCTAGATTTGTATGAATGATTTCAGTATTTGATCCTTTACTCCAGTTCAGATTGAAAGGAGTGTCCATTTGTTTTTCAATGTTAAAGGCAGCATTATGTGGCTCATATGTAAACTTTGGTGTGTTTCGACTCTATGGAGATGACGCACTTGATAACGCACTGGGCATGTTTGTCAAACTTCTGCTGTCAATATCACAACGGGATCTCATGGTAAGTTGATCATTAAACATGTTTGTGTTTCTGTCAAATAGCTCTGTATTACATTGTCAATAAATGATGTTTCATTTTGTCAAATAGTCACGTCACATTGTGAAACAAAACAACACGTTAAACATGTTTATGTCACTCTTTCTAATAGTTCTATGTCAAATTGTCAATTTGTGATATGTCATTTTGTCAAACTGTAACATGCCTTGTATGCTTATTATGACGTGATTCTGTATCCTGGCGTGATTTACTGTCTACTATTTCTGTGAACAGGACTACCCAAAGCTGAGCCAGAACTATTATGGACTCCTCGAGTGCCTGGCCAATGATCACATGACATTTATCAGTAACTTAGAGCCTCAGGTCTTCCTCTATATCCTCACGACCATCTCAGAAGGACTCACTGCTCTAGGTAGGGCCTACCACCTGTATAACATGCACTTCTGTCTCCTCCAAAGACATTTGGACATATTTACTGCCAAAATTACTATTCTGTACAGAGTTTCAGTTATATCATCAACTGATGGCATATGTTGCATACTATTTGATAATGATCATTCTTTCTCCAAGTTAACATTGAGTTGAAAAAATACGAAGTATGTGTCTTTTAAAATGTGATGCAAATCCTTTTGATATTTTGCTCACAAAAAGAAAATTGATATGCAAATTACTGTGAAGAGGTTATTGAGAAAAATGTTCTTGTTCTTCAGACACAATGGTTTGTACAGGGTGCTGTGCTACCCTGGATACAATCATCACATACTTGTTCAAACGCCTCACAACCAAAAAGAAGAAATCTCACCCTGGAACGGTTCCAGACAGCGAGGCTTTCCTGCGTATTTTAGAACTCCATCCTGACATTCTACAACAGGTATTATACCATATATCCTTCGGATTCAAAATAGTGTTGAAAACCTGTAAAAGCACATGGAAAACTGAAACTGAATATTGAAGAAAAAAGAAATGAAATAAGAAATCTGTCTATGTTTAGTATTGAATACGAAAAAAACACGGGGAAACCAGTCTAAACTGAATGTTGAAGAAAAACTCATGGAAACTTGTCTGAACTGAACCCTCAGGGAAACTTCTCTGAACTGAACCCTGGATATCAGGGTAAAAATTTGCAGTTATTTCACGGCTACATAATGTTTTCTATCTGTTGTAGATGCTGTCTACTGTACTAAACATCATCATGTTTGAAGACTGTCGGAACCAATGGTCCATGTCACGGCCATTGTTAGGTCTTATCTTATTAAATGAAGAGGTATGTGTGGCTATTTTGCTCGCATTTTACAGAACTAAAATGTGCAAGGATATTTGACTGAGCATCAATTCGATGAAATTTAGTCAATAATTTTCTAACATCATTTATAGCCGAGAAAGTATGTTATTTAGGTATATTGAAATTTATATTTACACTTTTAGTGTTCTGTAATTTTAAGAGTTATTCCTCCAGGTCAAAATATTCCTATTTCATCCCCAAAGATGATAAAAGACTTTAAATATCTTTGACATTGTCAGGCCTGGAAAAATGATGTGGTTTTCACCATAATCAACCATTTGTAATGGTGGATTTTATGATAGAAGTTTGTTAATTGAAGTCAGAACCTTTCTTTATGTCTTTCTAGCTGTAGATCTGTACCACAGTGTATAACTTACCATGGCCATTTTGTTATTTTAAACTGTATACATGTATGTGAGTGTCCTGACTTCTGTCTTCTTCATTTGGTGTTATTTGAGATCAATATTGCACACAATTTATCAGCCCTAATAACGTTTTCGGAATTGATGTGCATGTGAGAATATAAATGATAACTCATTGGTTGTATTTCAGTACTTTAACAAATTACGAGATAGTATTATCTCCAGTCAGCCCGGGGATAAACAACAGAGAATGGTCCAGTGCTTTGAGAACTTAATGAATGGAATTGAGCGGTCACTTCTGACCAAAAACAGAGATAGGTAAGGTTTTGTCTACTATAACCTTTGTATGTTCAGTGAAACTTATCTATCCTTTTTTAGAGTTCATTGTATAGTAGCTAGGACAATTTGTAATCTGTCCCCAGTTGCTCAAAGGTTGGTTTGAGTTTGCCAGTGGTTAGCGAAAAATTTCATTTGTTGTCACTGAAAAAACATTGGCATTTAAAGCAAAAATTGACAAAAAATATCAATCTGGCTTGTATAAACAAACCTACAGCTATAAAAAAAATCAAAGAATCCTCTCTCCCCCCCCCCCCCCCCCCCCCCCCCCCCCCTTCTTTTAAGTACATGTTTCTTTGGAAGTTCTGTCATTGTGGTTCAAAATGTAGACTTACAGTCAAACTTTGATGTTTCGAAGTTCAAGGAATTAGCAAAAAACTTTTATATATACATCAAGACTTTATAATCATTTGATGTAGCCTTGACATTTTCATATTTATTACCATAGTTGATTACAGAATATTTCTACCTGAACAAACACACCAAATACTAAAACAAAGTTAAGATACAGAGGGACAATTTTAAACAACAACATGTTATCATAATCCTTTTATCAGGTAGCGGTTTCGTGGAGATGTGAAATTCTGCCGATGTACTTGTACAGTATAGGTATTTTGAGTTTGAATCATGTGTTATCAGGTGTTATTGACTGTTTTATCATGGCTAACAGTCCAAGGAGTAAAATTTTGGATAGGGAAAAAAATCTGATACATTATGAAATTTGAATCATCAAAGTTTGATACATAGAATTTTGACTGTAATTTATAGGATGAAATATTTGTGAGGACTTTCTTACATGGTTTAATCTAAAGTCATTGTTTCAAACTTTCAAACTGACTTTCTTTAGCGTGCAGTTTACATTCCCTGCCTTACAGTAGACTATTATAAAGAGCTGTGGTGTGAAAACATTCACTTGTAACAAGAGGCCCAAGGGGCCTGCATCATCCATGTGGCTTTTCTTGTGCACTATTTGATCACTTGTGGTTTGTCTATAGTCACGAAAACGATGAATGTTTCTAAGTACTGTAAACTGGTATATTTTTGTGGGGCTCAAATTTTGAGGTTTTCCAGAGTAATGCCTTTTCATTGATACTTGATTTTGTAGTTAAATCTTGATTGTTCTGTCATCCATGTCAAATTTTATATGCGAATTTTTCTGGACAAAAATAAATTGTGGATTGAGAGCTAACCTCAAATTCAAGGAAAATATATCTCCCATGAAATGATTAATTTTATAGTAACAGATATTTCACAGTTATACAGTTTAACAACAGTTTCAATGTGATACATTTTAAGAATCATATACTTTGTTTTGATTATTTTCAATTCAACATGAATTGTTCAATCATTCATTTAATGTATTTGTTGCAGGTTGTTTCCCATCCAAATTAACCATAATTCCAACACTGTGTTTTCATTTAAAATGTAACACTATTTTTGTTGTACTGTTTGTCCTATCAACAATTTCTGTTAAACATATCTAATGATATTTTACAATTATGTCTGTTTTTATCATTGCCTCCTAAACCAACATTGTCCCAGACTTTCACCTGTACAGTTTTTTGAGCATTTTTCAAAATTATGTCTTTACCACAGGCCTTTCTCAGGTTGGATGACTCTAATATTTCTGATCTTCAATAGAAAATTGATTTAATTCTTACCCACAAATCTGTTTATGAGGGGAATTATTTATTGTATGATCTGTCTCATTATTGTAATATTGAAATTTTTTTATCCTTATATATTTCAGGTTTACACAGAATTTGTCAGTGTTTCGTCGTGATGTGAATGACTCTTTAAAAGCCCCTGGTGGCCAAAGTCCAATTCCTTCATCATCGTCCTCACTAGACATGATGAACTACAGCTAATGCTGGTTTTCTGGTGTGAGAGTGTTTCTAGGTAATCTCTTAAATGGTCACTTTGGTGTCACCGATTCATCGGATGAATGGTGATTGTTTGGGTAACTTACAGCGAGGATGGTCATTTTCGGGACAATTGGACATTTAGCTATGGTGAGGATGGTCATTTTCAGGACAAATGGACGCTAATTGTTGTGATGCTTGTCTGGACAATTGAACATTAAGCTACGGTGAAGATGGTCATTTTCAGGACAAATAGACATGAAGCGTTGTGATCATTCTCTGGACAACTGGACAGTGAGCTATGGAAAGGATGGTAATTTTTTAGGAAAACTGGACACTAAGTGATTGCGAGATTGGTTTTTATATGACTGACTGGGTGTAAAGCTTTGGTCATGGATGCAAAGCATTGTGATCTGTGTCAGGATGACTGAAAGCTGGACTAAGGCAAGGATGGATTTTTTCAGAACAACTGGATGTTATACCATGTGATCTTTTTGCCTGGACGATGAGTTTTTTTGAGGACAGACATTTTATAGTGTTCAGCATTTGAGATGAGTGGTGATTCATTAACGGATAATAGGAGGCCATGTGGATCACCGTTATCATCATCATCATTGTTATCATCAGCTGTATCGTTTAAAATTCAGCTAGATTGGCTTAGTCCTGAAAATCGAGTACATATGTATTAGAGTTCATGGATAATTACCCTGGCTTCTGTCAGGGGAAAAAAAACCTACATCAGGCTGTATGCTACTTTACTGTGATGGAATTTTGTTCCCCGATGTGTTCACAGCTGACATAGGGAGTCATTGATGATAGGTATCATTTGTAAGGTAGCATACACATTGATGTCCACAACATTTATCTCTGTTGATGAGTTAAAATGCGTTTTTATCACGAAATCCAGAAGTAAAGTTTGCACAGCATGGACAGTTTTGTATATGAAATCGGGAAGGGTGCTTTAACAATGGTGGGGGATATGTTGAATCAAAACAGAAGTTATTTGAACAATTTCTGCTTTATAGCATATACATGTATAGGATATAAGTAGAAGGTTGAAATGGAAAGAAGGGTCATTGAATGTCTTGAATGTTTTTGAAGCAAGTGTGATATCACTGTTAAAAAGTATCCCCTTAATATGCATGACTGTGGGAATCAGTGTGAGTGTTTAACAAGTTTTCTTTTGAGGGCATGCTTCACTGTTTGTTAAATGTTGATGTTGTGAGAGGATGTTGTATGAGGTCATATCATTCATATTTACAGGTACAAAAGTGTCATTTAGTCTTACAGTATGGACTTAGTGGGAGCTGTTTTTATGATAGGAAGAGGTGAAGAAAATAAGATGATTAAACACATGTAGGACATTCTGTAGAGGAAAAATAGAGGTTATTCCACTGACATCTTATATCTTTGAGTTGTGTAAAAATTGTTGTGATGGTGACTGTTTGCTACATGGCACATTGAACATGTGATTATTGTGAAAGTAAATCTTAGCAAGAGGTATCGTAGGGTACTGAATGAATTTATTGCTGCCAACATTTTTGTAGGTTAGTTTCACATGTATCGTCAATGATAAAAGACACTGAAGAGGTTCTTTTGGATTTTAAGTGTACTTCAGAAAAAGGTAGCATACATCCTTAAGTTTAATTACTGTAGTAATCCTAAGCATTGAATTATTGAGTAGAAATTTTTTAACTTTGTTTTCTAGCAGTACATGCATTCCTGATTTTTTCTTTCTTTTTTTTTATAGGTAGAACCAACAAATATTTTTTGTCAGAAATTGTTAAAACTGTTAGAATTGAAATATTTGTATTGATGTGGTGTATTGATTCTTAATGCTTAATGATTAATCAGTAATAATAGAAAATTGTCAGAAGCAATACAGATTAAATTGAATCGCAGTGCATTATCATTCTAAATTAAAACATGATGCATGAAGTGAGAGTATGTCATTAAATCTACATGTTGAATGTTGTAATTTATAAAATAAACCCAATCTAATACCCAGAATAAAGTGAACAAAACTTAAAAAAAAAAAAAAATCAGAAAGGACAAAAAAGTAACACCTTTTTATTTTCAGTTAGCTAAATAATTTGTAAGTTTTCATTTTACCATTCATCAAGCTCTGTTGGATTAAATTTAAGAATATTGGTGTACATTTGGTGCAGAATCGGAAGTGCTTTATATAGGTAAACTGTATGTTTTATCACTAGACTTTAAAATTCCCATAGGAAGGGGCTACATGTAAAATATATCAGTAGTGTTAGGATAAAGTAATTAAAAAAAAGTGCTAGAAATTGTGATTAAAGCCATCAAAAGAGCTCATGGTTTTAAATAAATTTAAGTGCCGAATTTCAAAATGGAGTCTTTTAACTTGCCATCAATTAAAGTGTCAGGTAAGTTTATGATAAAGTGTCTTTCATCTGTCTATCAGATATACAGGTTCTCAAAATGAAATATTTTGAAAAAAATGCAACAGACTTGGGTCTGCTTTATAGAATTATTCTATATATCAATTGTTAGTTTGAATTAAAAGTGCTCAAACTGTTCCAGCAAAGTGCTTGACATACCATGTATTTGTGAATTAATGTACATTCTACATAGTGCTTGTAAATTGTAAACAAAAGTGCTTGATTTAAAACATCAACATATGTATTCAGTACATAGAAGTAGTTTGTGGTCTGTAGCACTTAATTGATGTAAATTGTGATATAAAATGATTACAGTGCAACATGATATAGTCCGTTTCCTAAGAATTTATCACCACAGACTTGCTGTGATAGAAAGATTAGGAAAAATTTCAGTCGCTTAAGAAAGTTGGTTTACATTATACTACATAAAGAATTTCAAACCTTTGAAAATCAAGCCATTAAAAATGGCTAATTAGACTGCTTGATAGCCTCACTTTCAAACCGCTATTATGTCATTGCTAAAGAAAGTTGACTAAATATTGAAACTCCATTGAACGCTTACTTTCAGCCTTTCCATGGATGTTGAAAAACTTACCTTCAGCCTTCCCATTGATGTTGAGAAACGTTTACTTTCAGCCTTCCCATGAATGTTGAGAAACGCTTACTTTCAGCCTTTCCATGAATGTTGAGAAACGCTTACTTTCAGCCTTCCCATGGATGTTGAAAAACTTACCTTCAGCCTTCCCATTGATGTTGAGAAACGTTTACTTTCAGCCTTCCCATGAATGTTGAGAAACGCTTACCTTCAGCCTTCCCATGAATGTTGAGAAACGCTTACTTTCAGCCTTTCCATGAATGTTGAGAAACGCTTACTTTCAGCCTTCCCATGGATGTTGAAAAACTTACCTTCAGCCTTCCATGGATGTTGAGAAACGTTTACTTTCAGCCTTCCCATGAATGTTGAGAAATGCTTACTTTCAGCCTTCCCATGAATGTTGAGAAATGCTTACTTTCAGCCTTCCCATGGATGTGGAGAAATGCTTACTTTCAGCCTTCCCATGGATGTGGAGAAACGCTTACTTTCAACCTTCCCATGGATGTTGAGAGAGAGCATTTGTTAATCCACTTGTAACTATGACCGTGATATTTTCTTCTGCCATTCAGTTCAGGTTATAAAATATATAATGTGCAGATTGAATTTTTTCAAATATTAAGATGTCATATTCTAAAAATTTGTATCTGTAACCTTTATATTGACTTAACCTGCGATCATGGGTTGTTATAACACAAAGCAGCAAACCTGCTACAGAGGCACAAGATCAAACTTCTGCCAGAATTGACGGTACATCGTTGTAACATTGTACTATTATGATACAGTGTGGATATGGAACTCTGAAAAATTCTCTCTGGTTCCATTTATTGCTTTAGTTTTACAATACATTGTCTTTTCAAATGTTCTTTTTTTTTTGACATTATAGAGAGGAAGTGCTTCTTTAAACCAAAACAAGCTTGCTTCATTTACCTGTTAAAAACGTGTTAAATTGTACTAGATATGTTATAAATAATACTGTTTCATCATCTCATCAACATTACTGTAAGATCATTGTTTTCATGGGGGTAAAATTTTCGTGATTTTTAAAACAAAATCATTATAAAGAGGACTCATTAAATTTACTAATATTACTTTTAACACTTAATTTATACATGGACACAGAAAAATATGGATTAATAAGAGTACCCATGAATCAAAGAAAATAAAATGCCCATGAAAATTATTGATTTTTACATGATGTGTTATTCATGTGTATGTATGTTGGTATCATTGACTTAAGGGGATGTGTTTGATTGTGCATGTGTGTAGCAGTATATAGAGATGTGATAGAATTGTTGGTGTGGGTGGGTCAGGGAAATATGAGGATTGTGTTGGTGTGTTATTGAAGAAGCCAGGATACATATGTCACGTGTACTGATCACGTGTGTCCTTATATGGAGTGACACACACTGCTAGCAGCAGCACATATGCTTCCTGACAGTACGATATCAGAAAACGAAGTAAAATTGTTTTCCATGTTGTTACTCTATAGTATGTTGTTTGGAGGAAATAAAATATAATTGATAATGATTACCCTGTTGTTGAGTGAATCTATTTACCGATGAATTCTCATTCCAAGCAATGGCATGACGTCTGATATTTCACAATTTTTGTGTCACCTGCAGTGCTGGCGGACACTTAGGGATCACTTTGTCCGTCGTTGTCGTCCGTGCGAAAGCTTTCCGGACTTTTTAGCCCACCATCTATTCAAATAGATGGTGGGTTATTCAAATCGCCCTGCGTCCGTGGCCGTCCGTCCGTAAACAATTCTTGTTACCGCTATTTCTGGAAAAGTACTGGATGGATCTTTCTCAAATTTCATATGCAGGTTCCCCCTTGTCCCTAGTTGTGCATTGTACCTTTTTTGGACTGATTCGCATTCAAGATGGCCGACAGGTGGCCATCTTGGATTTTGGAAGTAAAAGTTTGTTACCGCTATTTCTGAGAAAGTACTGGATGGATCTTTCTCAAATTTCATATGCAGGTTCCCCCTTGTCCCTAGTTGTGCATTGTACCTTTTTTGGACTGATTCGCATTCAAGATGGCCGACAGGTGGCCATCTTGGATTTTGGAAGTAAAAGTTTGTTACCGCTATTTCTGAGAAAGTACTGGATGGATCTTTCTCAAATTTCATATGCAGTTTCCCCTTGGTCCCTAGTTGTGCATTGTACCTTTTTTGGACTGATTCGAATTCAAGATGGCCGACAGGTGGCCATCTTGGATTTTGGAAGTAAAAGTTTGTTACCGCTATTTCTGAGAAAGTACTGGATGGATCTTTCTCAAATTTCATATGCAGGTTCCCCTTGGTCCCTAGTTGTGCATTGTACCTTTTTTGGACTGATTCGAATTCAAGATGGCCGACAGGTGGCCATCTTGGATTTTGGAAGTAAAAGTTTGTTACCGCTATTTCTGAGAAAGTACTGGATGGATCTTCCTCAAATTTCATATGCAGTTTCCCCTTAGTCCCAAGTTGTGCATTGTACCTTTTTTGGACCGATTCGAATTCAAGATGGCCGACAGGTGGCCATCTTGGATTTTGGATGTAAAACTTTGTTACCGCTATTTCTTGGAAAGTACTGGATGGATCTTTCTCAAATTTCATATGCAGGTTCCCCTTGGTCCCTAGTTGTGCATTGTACCTTTTTTGGACTGATTCGAATTCAAGATGGCCGACAGGTGGCCATCTTGGATTTTGGAAGTAAAAGTTTGTTACTGCTATTTCTTGGAAAGTACTGGATGGATCTTTCTCAAATTTCATATGCAGGTTCCCCCTTGTCCCTAGTTGTGCATTGTACCTTTTTTGGACTGATTCGCATTCAAGATGGCCGACAGGTGGCCATCTTGGATTTTGGAAGTAAAAGTTTGTTACCGCTATTTCTTGGAAAGTACTGGATGGATCTTTCTCAAATTTCATATGCAGGTTCCCCTTGGTCCCTAGTTGTGCATTGTACCTTTTTTGGACTGATTCGCATTCAAGATGGCCGACAGGTGGCCATCTTGGATTTTGGAAGTAAAAATTTGTTACCGCTATTTCTGAGAAAGTACTGGATGGATCTTTCTCAAATTTCATATGCAGTTTCCCCTTGGTCCCTAGTTGTGCATTGTACCTTTTTTGGACTGATTCGAATTCAAGATGGCCGACAGGTGGCCATCTTGGATTTTGGAAGTAAAAGTTTGTTACCGCTATTTCTGAGAAAGTACTGGATGGATCTTTCTCAAATTTCATATGCAGGTTCCCCCTTGTCCCTAGTTGTGCATTGTACCTTTTTTGGACTGATTCGCATTCAAGATGGCCGACAGGTGGCCATCTTGGATTTTGGAAGTAAAAGTTTGTTACCGCTATTTCTGAGAAAGTACTGGATGGATCTTTCTCAAATTTCATATGCAGTTTCCCCTTGGTCCCTAGTTGTGCATTGTACCTTTTTTGGACTGATTCGAATTCAAGATGGCCGACAGGTGGCCATCTTGGATTTTGGAAGTAAAAGTTTGTTACCGCTATTTCTGAGAAAGTACTGGATGGATCTTTCTCAAATTTCATATGCAGGTTCCCCTTGGTCCCTAGTTGTGCATTGTACCTTTTTTGGACTGATTCGAATTCAAGATGGCCGACAGGTGGCCATCTTGGATTTTGGAAGTAAAAGTTTGTTACCGCTATTTCTGAGAAAGTACTGGATGGATCTTCCTCAAATTTCATATGCAGTTTCCCCTTAGTCCCAAGTTGTGCATTGTACCTTTTTTGGACCGATTCGAATTCAAGATGGCCGACAGGTGGCCATCTTGGATTTTGGATGTAAAACTTTGTTACCGCTATTTCTTGGAAAGTACTGGATGGATCTTTCTCAAATTTCATATTCAGGTTCCCCTTGGTCCCTAGTTGTGCATTGTACCTTTTTTGGACTGATTCGAATTCAAGATGGCCGACAGGTGGCCATCTTGGATTTTGGAAGTAAAAGTTTGTTACTGCTATTTCTTGGAAAGTACTGGATGGATCTTTCTCAAATTTCATATGCAGGTTCCCCCTTGTCCCTAGTTGTGCATTGTACCTTTTTTGGACTGATTCGCATTCAAGATGGCCGACAGGTGGCCATCTTGGATTTTGGAAGTAAAAGTTTGTTACCGCTATTTCTTGGAAAGTACTGGATGGATCTTTCTCAAATTTCATATGCAGGTTCCCCTTGGTTCCAAGTTGTGCATTATACCTTTCTTGGACTGATCCGAAATCAAGATGGCTGACAGGCAGCCATCTTGGATTTTGAGATTAAAATCTTGTTACTGCTATATCTGAGGAAGTACTGGATGGATCCTTCTGATATTTCATAGATATTGGTTTCCCTTGGTCCCTAGTTGTGCATTGTACCTTTTTTGGACTGATTTGAAATCAAGGTGGCCCACAGGCAGCCATCTTGGATGTCGACAGTAATACAGCACAAGCATATTGTCCATTATCCACCTGTAACTGACTGCTATCTAATAATACTTTGGGATCTTTTTCAAATGATATTTGCTAATAGGTGCTTAATAAAAATATCTTGTGCCATCATTGAGTACATTCAATGAAGACCAGTTCATGAACATTTACAACACCTGTAACACACACAAAAAAAATAAACAAATCATCAAGAACTGAAAACAGATCCTCAAATGGTGGGCGCCAAGATCCCTCTGGGATCTCTTGTTCAGTAATGCTTTTAGTTATCAAAATGAAATTTGGCATATGCCTTTTTGTTGCAAAGGTACAGATTAAGTTCGATTCCCGGCTGTCTGTGGCCCTTTTTTGCAGAGTTATGCCCCTTTCAACTTAGAAAATTTCCTGGGAATGTTGTTTTCTAGACTTTTTTTGGCTTATGCTTCGAGTTATCGAAATGGAATTTGGTATATGGCTTCTTGTTGCCAGGGTACAGGTTAAGTTTGATTCCTGGCTGTCTTTGACCTTTCTTGGCTGAGTTATGCCCTTTTGAACTTAGAAAATTCTCTTGGAATATTGTTTACTTAACTTTCTTTGGTTATGCTTCAAGTTAAATGAAATTTGGTATTACAACTTTATGGTTGATCGTTGCACATCCAGTTCAATTTCTGGGTGACCGTGACACTTTATGCAGGCGATTTTTTAGGCTCTGAATTGCACATAGAGATGTGATAGAATTGTTGGTGTTGGGGTCAAGGAAATGTTGAATTTTGTGCTGATATGAGGCCCAAATGGGGAAATGTAAGTTCTTTAAAATCCTTCTGAACAAGGATATTGTCCAAGTTTGGTCCAAGTCAATCTTTATGAAAAGTGAATCTGACATCTGTTTGACCAAAAGACGGCTACCCAATAGGGAAATCATATCTGAAATTATTTGTCATATTTGAAACTCTTTAGTAAATGGCTGAATTGCTTAGTTGGGCATATGGATGATGCAGGCCCCTTGGACCTCTTGTTACAAGTGAATGTCTTTACACCACAGCTCTTTATAGTGGTCTACTGTATGACAGCTTTTTAAAGCTACTGAATTTTGCTGATAATCACAACACAACAAGTTCGCAGGATAAAGGAAGTCGGCTTCAAGTTTTGACCGTCATCACTACAAGCGGAATTGATTTGCAAAACAATCTTAAAGAAATAAGATCAGTACCACTCCTAAAACTAAATAAGTATAACTACATACAAGGAATAGAGGAAAAGTCAGAAGTGATCATGACATGTAACAAATATACTAGTAAACTTCTCACTTCTCTGACTAAGTTTAAAGATGTTGGAATTATTAATTTAATAATTATTTTACTGCAGAAAGTTCGTACAATAGGATTGGACACAAGTTTTACCAACTTTAAAAGCCCTCTCCATTACATAGTTTATACACCAATACTTAAACAACAAGCAATGAAACATATATATATAATATTTTTTATTGAAACATAAGGGAAGGAATGAAGAGAAGGAAGGAGGGTAGAAGGAAGTACATAGTACAAAGGAGGAAAGTTGGGAAATGCAGATAACTAGCCAAATCGCTCAGATGCATCAATAATTTATTTTAACAGCTCTAGCTAAAAGCGAGTTTTCAGCTGAACTTAGCCTTACATCTCTGTTTAAAAGAACGTTTATCAAAATATCATCCGGATACCACGACAGTTCGGTAAATATGGTGTTACGAATTTGTATATATTTGGTACAGTGAAGTAAGTAATGAAAGGAGTTTTTGGAGGGACGTCCGCATGAACAAGATGCAGAGTTCGTGAGATCGGCTCTGAATAGGTCATAATTGAGTGTGCTTGCTCTGTTTTTCAAACGACAATGAAGAATACTTAGCTTACGAGGGCCATATGATAAAAGGCACGATTTAAGCTTGTCGGTGCTTCTTGTACATAGTTTGGTTTTAAACAAATTCTGTGAACCAATAGTTTTTAACGACTCGTCTAAATGAGTTACACATAGATTGAAGACGGTAAGTTGGCTGTCGTAATTGATCTGTGTTTCTTAAGTTATACCTAGTGAGAGTGCCAATATGTTCAGGAAGAAAATCAGCGAGGAGAGATGGTGTAATCACGTTAGTTATAGTAAATTATTGAAGAATGCTGCCGACATGTGCTGTATATCTTGGGCTTCCTTTGCTGAAATCTGTGTCAGCAGCAGTGGCCAGACCGCGAATGAATACACCCAGATATTCGGAAGTTTAAAAGCGTTACTCTCTATCTCCGTTTCGGCATTTTCTGGCTGGCGTTTTGAGTACATTCTGGCACTGGTTTGATTGCTGATAATATCATCAGATATTGTACAAAAGACACTCAAGTGAATAACACTTTCTAATACAAATTTACAGTTAGGTACAACAGAGCCGTACAACAGAGCCAAACAATGAATTAAACGGTATCATACAGCTGCTTCGTTCTTCTAGGACTCGTCAATGACGCTAAGGGCACACATTGTGAAACCTGGGGGGCGATTGAGAAAATCCCAAAGTGATAGAAGAATAGTCAAAATGCAGACAGAAATGTGCACCAGTCCCGTAATTAAATAGATTTCGTATATCATGTAATTTCAGATAAAAGTCATGTATATGGGAATATTCTGAACTCATGACTTTCATGCGACACCTTCGCTTAATGCAGAGTCTCATTCGCTTAAAAAAACGCATAAGATGGGCATATTGAGAATAAGAGTCCTTGGATTTGAAAGATGCATCTTGCCGAAAGATTGGCCTCTGTAAATTAATTCTTCAAAATGAAATAAAATGTGAATTGCTGGGTTATCATCCTTTGAACAGCCAGGATCATTTTGAGATGTGTCGGCACACAATGGCTCCGGGCTATCTTGGCTCCTCTTAAGATGAGGTAAAACAGAACAAAAACCTCTATTTTTTGTGAGGAAGAGTTGAAATAAGGTATGTATAAAGAACATGAACGGATTTAAACCCAAACCCCTCCCAAACTGTTTATCACCAATGTACCAATGCGACGGCAGCAGTATAAAAACAGAAGTTGTACAGAATGCACCTGTTTGTGTATTTATACAGATATACATTTGGACTGACAACCAGAATAGACTGATGGAATGTGTTATAATACCCTCTTTCAAATACCACGGGGAAATGCACGTTTCAGATATTTAGGTGGATTTTGTGTGTGGTGGTCAAGAAATGTCAACGAATTTAAAATGAAAGATGTTTTCGGTATCAAATGGGACATTCGTAATTTTCCATTCGATTGCGTTACGAGAAAATATCGACATGTTAAATTCTGAATTCCAAACTCAAAATCGTCCGGCATTATTAATTCAAGATTTTAGTGCGTACCCTTGTGTTGTTATCTCGTATGCGTACCTGAGATTTTGACAGTTGGCGCGAGATTCGACGTGATGCCGTGATCAGCATGTCGGTTCGAAGTGTGCCTGTTTTGTTGATGACGATTTCTTTACATTTTTTGAAGAAGGTAATATGTTGATATCAGTACATATATTGAAGTTATGTCAGTGATACAGAATTATCAAGTCCACCCCAACCCCCAAAAATACCAACATATAAAGACCGGGGAAAAGCACAGTCCCACTTCGAGCGTATATTGTCACCTTATCCCGACACCAACCCACATGAAGCATATTGTCACCCGACCCCACTAGGCATGTATGAATTTAGGATAATCAACAAGGTAGCAAACTGCACTTTCAGACCGGATTAGCCAAAAATTCGGACAGTGCTTTGATTTTAGTCAAAGTTTCATAACTGTTCACGCTTTGAACTTTTTTCTCATGTCAAGGGGTTAAAGGTGAAGGTCATTAAGTGATCCCAAAGACAAAAGTAAATGATTGACACTAAACATTAAAATATTGTACAGTTCTTACTGAAATGGCATGCTTGGGTCGAATCACTAATTTTGAAAATGACATTTTATACAGTAATTCTGAACTGCCAAATTGATACTAAAAACTCCATAGTATATTGACCTGAAGTGCTAGCTCTTGGCTGTTTTCCAAGAATAAAGGTGAAAGGTGGTAACAAAGAAGAACGTTTTGCACTATAACTGAAGATCCCATGTTTTGGCTTCTATGATTTCCAATGTAGATTCCAGGTACTTTCTCTGTGATTAATTTGCTTCTTATCAAAATTACTTTCAAGATGCAAATGCTTAGGTCAAGGTCACCATTACTGAATCGTTTCCACATAAGTTATACTTGTTTCAGTAGCTAGTCAAATTCCTTGCTTAGGTGGCCCATGTTTGTCTGCAAGGCAAATAAACAACATACCCATATATGAACTAGAACAAAGTAGTTGCGTTTGTAAAGAAAATGCAATTGCTTTTAGGTCATAGGTTTAAGGTCAAGGTCATTTACTGTTACGATATAACATTAGATTCTGTGCATATCTTGGTTTAAAAAAATCAAGCTATATTTTCATTTCCCTACTTTCACTGATAATTTTGTATTGCACTTATGAAGATTTCAAATTGTTTCCAACATTTAATTTTGTACAAATGACATCATTTAATGTTGAAATATGAATTTTTAGACATTTCTTTCCTTCTTTTTCTTTCTTTTAATTTTTTTAAAAACTTTTTATTTTGTCTGGTCGGAAGGTTGAACCAATTTAAGGTGTACAATTCCCTCCTTACTCATTTTTTTTAGGGGTGGGTGGGTTGGGAGGGGGGCATCAATGTAATATAGTGAATAGAAATATTTGATGCGAAAGCTGAAATATTCAGGTAAGTGGTAAGGTACCTGTGGACCTCTTTTTGAATTCTAGAATTGAAATTCTATTTACCCAGAAATGATACAAAATTAACAGTTCTCTTATTATTTTCAGGAAGTGGCCTCTATTAATGTTTCTACCAGCATAACTCAGCCTGTAGATAGAATTTCCTCAACAACACCAGGGGGATGTTTCAAACCTGATGACACAGAAACTGGTAAAATGCTTAAAGCTTGTATTGACATCAAAATGTCTTGCCATATGCATATTTGCTTGTATTTTTTTTTCGAAAAAAGACGAAAGAAAACAAAGATTTAATACAGGATGTTATTTTCGATGGTTTCTATTAATGCAATTTTGGGGATACATGAAAACTGGAAAAAGTGAAAAATGAATAAAATTAAATATTGATTATAATAAAGAATCAAAGTACTGAAAGTACTGAGAGGCTAAACGTATTGAAAAATGTTCACAAATAACCACTAAGCTATATTACTTTCCCCATACTCCTACACTTTGGAATGCAAAAATTACTAAAATAAGAGAACCAGAGGCTATTTTTCTTAATTTTAAGCGATTTCATATCTTCTTTAATTCTTATTTCAAATTTGACGACAATAATGTGAATAAACAAACAAAATACACACAACCATATATCTATCGCCAACAAGCCAAATGATAAATAGCTCTATGATGAAGTTGACTAAATAAACCCTTTGAAATACCCAAGATGTTGCAATTACTATCCTATCAATATGAGGATTTAGACAAATCGAAAGGACTTTATACCTACTTCTTTATTTTGAATGAATTGCAAAGTTATAGTCCTTACTTATTATAGTTATATCTGTAGTTGAGGAAAGTAGATAAGGTGTACACAGCATTTCAGATAGATAAAAGTGTAAGTAATTACATTAAATGTATTTACATGCCTATCTTACTTGAAGTATCATGGTTAGACTTTCCTTCCAGTAATTATGTCTATAAAGGCATAGTTCTATGAGATTAAACCAGACTTCCATATATATACAAATTTTACAATATTTTCACTATAGCTACTACTTTTTCTGATCTCCAATGCATTAGATAATGTCACCATGACACGCTAAATGAATAAACATGTTATGGAAATATTTCGTTTTAGTTACTTGATAATTATAAACATGAATATTTTAGGGTTTTATATACGCGCTTTGTTTGAAGGAATATTTTCATTTCAAGGAACTTTGATAGACATTAACAAACCTTGAGAAATCAGCACAATCAACCTTCATCAAATAAAACTAGAAGACAAAAAATATAAGTTATAACAAAGTCAACATCTTGATCAGTACAGTATTAAAAATATATCATTCATAAATCATGAGCACCAAATGTACCTTGCCTATGAAACGCAAACTTTTTATCTTCAAAAACTTGAAAAAGTGTCATGGCAATGGGTGTGAAAATCCTGAAAAAAGTGTCATATCGGCGGGTGTGCGCGTAGGACGAACAGTCCAATTTTGTGACGTCTAATGAGGTAAATTGATGTTATACATTAAGACGATCTTGCCACAACGACATGGATTAAAGCAAAATTGATGTTCTGTTTGTAAGTTTTGTTTGTTTATCACTGCTGTTAGTTGATAATTCAAACCAAGCCCCTAGACTAGCTTCTTATCAGGGCGCCAACTCGCACGTACAGTGTTCTGTATGCTTACATCATGTCGAGAATTCCGTAAAATATATTGTTCAAAATTTATCAATAGTTCAACCACACTGTGCTTCTTTTTTGAAATATATAGTAATCGTATTGTTATTAATAAAAACAAACTAATTTTGGATGCTTTTAAAATAGCGATTTGAAAAATTGCTGCATTATTTATGCAGAAAATTGCTGCTAGAGGGCTCTAACTCTTTTCGATATTTCAGCCAATGAGAAAACCAGGATCGGTAAATTTTGTCTGAAAGGCTGTCGCAATAGGCTATGTGTACTGAGAACATTTAGCGTAAAAATGATAATAAAGATAATGAAAGACCATTTCAAGAATTAGTCATTGATACTCTTAAATTCTTTTTGAAGTTTAAGTAAATTATAAAAAACCCCAACCTTCACAGTATTAAACCTCAATTTTGACACACCCTGTCTGTGTTTACAGAAACTGATGAAAAACCAGTGCTTTTTTACTTGTTCCTGCTACTGCTGCTGGTTCCAGTTGCCATAGCAACATACATGTGTATAAAGTAAGGATTTATTTCTTTTATTCTTTTAATGCCTCAGTCCATTTCATCTGGGGAGTTCCTACTTCTATTAAAATAAAATTCTAACAGCAATTTATTATAAGTGACCATATTAGATAAAAGGTCCTATACAGTTAAGCCTCAGTATCTTATAACATGATGACTCATTATAACTCAAAGTATTTTGTTGGTTCGGGCTACACTTCGCACAAAGCATTTAAACTTTACTTAAATCGATTACTCGGATAACTCCAAGTTTTCCCACATTCTCCTGACTTTGAGATAATGAGGTTCGACTGTATTTCATAATTTGATTTTAAGATAATTCTTCACATGCAGGAAGAGAAAGAAACATCGTGAAAAGGACAGAGATGCAGAGTTAGCTTTTCAAAGGTTCCAGCGGAAACATTTTCAACATGGAACTAGAAAAGGAAGGAGAATCCAAATAGAGGTATCTTATGTTAATGAATTTTAAGTATAAATATATAGCTTCACTAGTTAAGCTTTCATGAATGGCACCATGGTGACTGAATGGGTAAGTTGTCTGTCTTTATTACTTGTCCTCCACCTCAGGTTCAAGACTTACGTGGGGCAGTCACCAGGTATTGACTGTAGGGTGGTAGTTTTTCTCTGGGATCTCCGGCTTTCCTCCACCACTCAAACATGTTGTGTCTTTAAATTAATTGGATGTAAAGCAATGAGAAACTCTAACAGCTTTCACAAACAACAAAAAATACAGATATGTCAACAAAATCTTCATTCAAATTCAAGATTGATGCAACTTGAGCAAAATATGAACAAACAGAATATTTTACTTGAGACTCCTTACAAAGCACTTGGAAACAAGAAGAATAAGACCAGGCATTCTGGAAGGGTTATCATCTCTTGCTTCATTGATAAGGCTTGCCATTTAAATCTTGGTCAATCCAAGTAAGTAATGTCAGAGTCTAAAATAAAGTGCTTCTAAACAGAAACAGTTATAAAACTGACATAATTGTAAATTACCTAGTGGTTTTTGAAGCCTTAATTTTGAACAATGTGTCTCATCATATGGTTTATTTGAGGATAAAGATATGAAAACTATTTCAGAATTAAAGAAGTTTTTTTCAAGCTTCATTCCAAAAGATTTTCACACAGCCAGAGTATCATCTTTGAAGAGGACATACTAAATAATAATTAATTTTTGTGGGAGATTTATTTTCATTGAATTTGTGGGTACTCATAATCTACAAATTCATATGTTTTGTTAAGATAAGTTTATGTTTTGAGATATATTTATCTATAAAAATCAAGTGTCTACTATGATAAAGTGATTTTTTGAGAAATTATGAAAATTGAGGCCCATGAAAGTATATGATCTTACAGTAAAGCAGCGAAGAATAATTAAGAAGGAAAAATAAATCAAGTTAAATTTGGGTTTGCTTATTGTAGAATTCCAAGGTCAAAGTTTTTGTCCTTGTGTTGAAATAACAACTGTTAAATTAGTTATCTTCAGTGGGATATTTTTTGAAGCATTAAAATCATCCACAAAAAAAAGTGAAAATTAAAAACAGTGAAAACAACATTTACAGTATAACATTTATTATAAGATCAGAATATTTTTCAAATAAATCTGTGATGCTGTTTTCCAATAGTGAATTTGTTTATTATACCGGGAAGACATCAGATAAAGTATTATGAATCCAATATTTTACACACAATATAGGTGTCGCCACCATCAGATGATGATAATGATCACCAAAGACGACCCTTTGGTAGAAGACGTGTTCACACAACTCCATCTGGTGACTACGATTTAATTACAAACAGGGACCAGGACTTCCATGTATACAGAGGTTTGTTGACAGTTCTAATGAGTACATTATCAAAATCAGTCAGTCAACCTAAGTACAAATTTGTTAAAAGTTTTAGCTGACCTGGTCAATGTGAGCTTATGAGCTATACTTTTTTGTTCAGCGCAAGTATATCCGCAATTTCTCCAAAATTCTTTCTCCTTTTTACTTCTTTTTTCCTCTTCTGCACTGAAACTGAGGCTTGAAGTATATTTACAAGGAAAGTTAGTCTGAAATGGTACAGTAGTGTTCTGTGTAGAATTCTCAGATTCTGAGAAATTACTACATTCCAGACATGTTTAAAGTTTCCCACATACTGTATAACAAATTTACTTCAAAACTGAAATACCTGTCTTATCATAGCCAGCAGTATTTTTACCAGAGCAGGAATGAAAAATGCAAAATTCAATTCTTTCTTCAATTGAAGTTTTCAGATTAAATATTTGTTTTATAAACAACAACAAACGATGGATATTCGATTAGAAAATTGTAATGAACACATCCAATATAAAAACCATACTAATAAGATCATAACAAAACATATATATACATAACATTGGACAACATGAAAACATATAGAAAATTTTGCATTCAGGGCTGTCTCCGCTGCTTTATGTGATAACCAGATGTATGAATGAAGATGAGTATGATTCCTACATGCAGGCGAGTCCTAGTCCGAAATAGGAAAAGGTGGTCCTGGTTGTAGGAATGAGAAGTATAAATGAAAATTTTGAACATTGGTTGATCGAGAATGAAGGTTTAAACTATTAAATAAAACATGACAAATTTGAAAATGAGTAAAATCAGCTTGTTGCCAGGCGAAGGAGTCCTGTACAACGAAGACTGCTAAAATAGTACACAGTCTAGGTAACATCGCCAGGCGAGGTCCTGAGTTCTACTGAAGAACCAGGCGAAAATGGTCCTGTACGGATGCACTATAACTGTACTATACGAAACTATGTATGTAGAAAATTAATTGAAAAACCCGTTACTTGGGGCTAATGGACCAAATTGATATGCGCAGCATGAGAAAGCCCCAAAAAATGAAGTCAGCACAACAGATTTACAACATGTCCGCTCGTTATCTTGAAGTGATACTAAATATGGTAATACTCATTAGTATGCATACAATGTAAACAAACAGAAACGAGGTTAAAGGTCAGAACTGACTATATATATAGAGCTAGCTAGTAAACACATGAATGTGACAGACCTCTAGGCATAGATAATTAAGGTAGCATAATGGTAGAAATCAGTAGTTTACAAACCAAGTTTAATAATTAAATTATTAAACAATAACATGTCATGCAATTCATGTTGAAAAATAGCAAAATTTTGGCACTGGGAAGAAAAGTATGAATAGTTTTCTGGTATGTTACACCTGTATGTGACAGCCACTCACACCGGGAAGAAAAGTATGAATAGTTTTCTGGTATGTTACACCTGTATGTGACAGCCACTCACACCGGGAAGAAAAGTATGAATAGTTTTCTGGTATGTTACACCTGTATGTGACAGCCACTCACATCGGGAAGAAAAGTATGAATAGTTTTCTGGTATGTTACACCTGTATGTGACAGCCACTCACACTGGGAAGAAAAGTATGAATAGTTTTCTGGTATGTTACACCTGTATGTGACAGCCACTCACACTGGGAAGAAAAGTATGAATAGTTTTCTGGTATGTTACACCTGTATGTGACAGCCACTCACACTGGGAAGAAAAGTATGAATAGTTTTCTGGTATGTTACACCTGTATGTGACAGCCACTCACACTGGGAAATGAATTTCACAATTCTTTGTTGGGTCTGATCTTAAAGCGACTATAACGTTAAAAAACACTACAAGAAAACGATATAAAATGTTCTATTTTCCAATAGCTATAGTTATGACGTATCCGCCTTTCATTGATTATAATCCAATATCAAGTGTTTGACGTGTGAATGTTATGATCAACACTACTAAAAGTATTATCTGATAAATGTTGAATGAAAATAGTTGTGTTATTCGCTTGAATTTACTATCGACAACATGTGCTTGTTGTTGACTGCAAGGTGGGGCCCAATTGGAGGTATTCATTCGAAGTGTAAAAGTATGACGCCAGCGATTTACATAGATAATTCTCGCACGACAAAGCCAAAACAAAACGAATTACTAACATTGATTGTTAAAAATTATATATTATAACACTATAGAATCATTAACTGCAAACAAGAATTAGCAAAAAGGTGCAAAATCACGTGTCATATAGAAGACATGTGCGTTTGTTTACCTCGTAATCTATTTTTTCTTTGAGGCGGAAGTAAATGACCCACTCGGCTTTCTTCGTAATCAACCAAGAGTGAACATGTTTATAAACAATAGTCCTGATAAACAATGTCTGACACTGAAAATATTTACAAAAACAACAAATTTGACGTTATAGGCATATAGGCATGTGTATCGCTTTATTATGGATATATTATTCATAAGCCGAATTCTCCATTTCCCGATGTTGAAATTGAAGGTAATAGCCGCTTTAAAGTTAGACAACAGGAAATAACATCTAAGGGAATGGATGATGAATTCACACTAACTTTGTGTTTCAGTTATGAAGAATGCAAAGAATTACCATCGCTGCAGTGAAGTGTCTGCAGGTTCTGTGTTCCTAAATGTAAGTGTTTTAATTTTGTTATATGTAAATATCATACGTAGTCAACTAAATTATAAAAGATATATATCTACATTGTAATACTGGATATACAGTAGATGTAAGTATTGAATGTTAGTCAATTCTACGTTGTATGTATAAGTATGATTGTATACATGGTAGGAAGTTTGTCAAATCTCAAATTTTACATCAAAAAACTTTTTTATGGGTTAAATATCTTGGATCTTTCACATGTAAGATATGAAATCACAATTAGAAGAATGAGTATTTCAAGTTCCTATAACATAATGAATTTTTGTGGAAATGAATTTTGTATAATCGATTTCTCTGAATCCATGATTTTTAAGGATACAAGCCTAGGTACCCCAACTTGTATGTGTCAGCAGTCCAAACGCCGATCAAGCCATCCCAGTAGTGTCGGTGGCAGTCACCTGCTGATGGTCCCTTCCTGTGGGCCCGGAGGGTCAAGTCGGTGTGCCTCTTACCTCACTCTTCACAGTGCCCAGGAGCCAGATCCTCCTATTATGGATATACCACATAGCCAAAATCGACGCCAGACACATTCATCATGTGGTGATCGAGATTATCACCACAGTGGACGCACCTCCAGTGCTAGTGAGTATGTGAATGTAGAACTAGAGTTCTAATAGCACAATCAGTAGAAGACTTGATTGTGACGTTTCATTGACTACATGGTCACCTTCATCAGACAAATGACCAGTGTGGAGTGTACTAGCACTGATGTATATAGTGTACAAGATGGTAAGAAATCAACCAACTTTTTCATCCCATTATTTTCAACCTTAGTGTACATGCTATTATAGTTCAGCCGAAATAGTTGTTTGAATCAAAAGTTCAGGAAATAGCGGTTTTTGGAAAGCTTTCAAAATCTAACCCCTCAGAAATATCCACAAAACTACAGGACTTTAACCTTGTCAATAAAATTTGAATGCAAAAAGCTCACCATTTATTTGAATGTTTTGTTTCAAATTAACGATTTTTTCCCTTTGAAATTTTGTGTAAACTCTTCGATATGTCTATTCTTTGTGTAATATTCACCTCCAAAACTTGATCCTATTTTCAAACAAAACTGTGTTATTAAGCATATAAGATCCCGCTTGAAAAAGGCACATGCTTTTTATTATGTTAAGACTAGTGTATTGTAAGAGAATATATATACTTTCTGTTGGATAAAAAGAGTGATAGTATATCCAAAATGAAGAACATGCAGGGAAGAGATTAGATAAAGGAAGTATCCAAATACCGATCATCATTATTTTTTCCATGTTAAATTTCTGTATGACTATTGTACCTCATTCTCAAGAAATGCATGCTTTGTCAACTGCACATATCCCAACCCTTCCCACCCAAGGTTATTGGCATCAGGGCTGGATATACGAAAGCTGAAGTCAGACAGCTGGCAGAGTATGCTTCAAGATACTGCATACCTGTGTATTGTTAAATTCTGTAGAGCTACAATATTTCTTAATTGTCCTTTGTTTGTATTAGTTGACAGAGATTAAATGTTGAGCCTATAGGCATATAACATGCATTTCCAATAATTTGATTCTCTGTTAAAAAAGTTTTCTGGGTATGTGAATTTGCCCTATCTTTCATGACTGAAAAGGAAGTGAATTTAAATCCCAGCCGAAAACATTATGAATTATACAATACTTAGGTTACTGGTTTGTGCTTATACATATATTTACTTTGCACTTGAATGATAGTGCATTTCACTTAGTGCTTTCTGGTATACTAGAATAGGAGAGCCTTATGATAGGTATGTATCAAGTAGAGGACTGACCATCAAAATGTCGGTTCTAAATTTAGTGGTGTATCAAATAAACCTAAATGATTTGGTGAAAGTTGAAAGTTCATTTAGCTGTTTTGTGAAAGACAGGGCTGAAAACAGTTTCATTATCAGAAATTATGTTAATTCTGTGGAATTTTTTCCCCTCATTTCTAGGAGTCCCACATTTGTACTTGCACAACTCACAGAAGCCAAGCCACTATGGATCCTTGCCTCACCCCCAGTTGCTGAAGGATGGACTAAGTCCTGCTCCACTGTATAATGACTATGGAAGATACAGTGGAAGTCCCACTAAATCAAGAGGGAGACCGGAGAAAATTGCAAAGAGTCTGCCATTTTTATATGACTTTGCTCTCAATGGAAAATGCTATGCTCAAAAAGATCCAACATATCGTAAAGATTCCTGGCAGACAGCCAAGGGAACTGGACATTCTCAACAGTATGGAAATGAGTTTTCCAATGGAAGTTGGTTCCCAAGTGAATCAGACATAGCAGAGTACTGCACTGCACATGAAGATACACTGATGAACTGTACGGACAATACGGTTTTTGAACAAGGTCCTAACACTTCAGAGGGAAAGCCACCAAACTTTAGGATGTACAGTAGCAGTCAAACACCAGCCAATCCCACAGGTAGACATACTGTGACCCCACAAACTGTTAAGGTTCAGAATTTCTCTGTAAGTCGTGTGTACACGGAAGATGATACTGGCAGTAAAAAGGCCCTATTTACCTCCATGTATAATAAAAAACAATCTCTCTTGAGTATTGAATGCGATTCAGAATCGGCACTGAATGTTGTGTCTCAGGATGGTGATAGCCATGATAGCTCCTCACACAGACAGATGGATTCAATCAGTGCGTCACAGTCTCTCTTGGTAGATAATGGAGGGAAGCAACCATGTCTCGTTGCTGATTATGAAAATACTACTTTTGAGACATCCATGGTAGAAGTGGTGCCTCGACTCAGTCTTCCTCCCCAGGAAAATATTGGTGACTTCCATGTCACTGAAAATAAAATGGCTGATGCACTCATAGACCCAAACAACAACCTTCAGGCAAAACCATGTTTATTTCTGCAGAAAGAGCAGAACTCTGTATGTAGTGATAATTTTGTCCTTGAGGAGGGGGAGAGTATGGTTTGACCATGAGAGGGGACAGAATAGTGTGACCTTTAGGAAGGAGAATAATGGTGTGACCTTTGGGAAATGAGAGTATGGTGTGATCTTGAAGAGGGGAGAGTATGATTTGACCTTGAGAGAATATGGTGTGATCTTGAGAGTATGACTTGACCTTGAAGAGGTAGAGGTAATTGTATGTTGGAGAGAACCTTGAGGAGGAGGGGTGGGATGGGGGTGGGGAGATAAAAGCATGTTCTTTGGTGGAGAAGGGAAGGGGAGAGAGTTATCTTATAAAAAAGGTATTAAATATATGGCATTAATGGGCAGGGTTGTGGGATACAGCTTTAAAGTGCAGTCCGGTTCTATCCCAGAGATAGAAGAAATAGAAATGACCAGTGTAATGAACTTTAAATTAATTTCTGGCCGACATTAATCTTAACTGTACAGTCTTAATGGAGTATAATGCTACAAATATAGATAAGAACCCACAGGTACTTTGTGACCTGAAAGAAATGAAACTTGTATTGTGACCTTGATAATCAGAATAGGTTGCAACTTTGAAAAGGTCAAGGACAATGTGTGACCTTGAATATGGAATAAGTTTGAAATTTTGTGAAGGTGGAGAGAAATATGTGATCTTGACCTTGTGATTATAACGTAACATTGAAGATAGAGGTTACAGCATGATCTTGAAAGAGGGCAGAGAATGGTTCATGATACAAATAAAGTATGCAAAATCCAGTGTGGTGTTGAGAAAAATAAATTGTTGAAATTTGAAGTGTTTCCTTAATTTTTCCCCCCAACAGGAAAAACAATTGAATAAAAGAATAAGTAATTTGTAGATTTTAAAAGTTCTTCAATGATTCAGCAATTTCGAAGATATTGAATTTTATTTGTACTCGGTTTATAGTATGAAAAGTGACCATAGTAAATAAACTTCATGAATAAACAAGCATTATGATGATGCATATAAATCTCCTCTTATTGTACCCCCTGCAATGACGTTAGTTGGGAATGGGAAATTATACTGGAATCAACATATCCATCTGTCTTTGGACACAATGTTGTAACACCTACTCCTCCAAAGCTTTAACATGGATTTTGACTAAACTTGGCACACATTAAACATGACATGACCATGTGTTTTCATGAACACCATTCAGTTCTGCAAATTTTTACCTGTCAAATTTTGTATCATTTTACCAATATCTATTTTTTCTGACATGAAGCAAAGTCAATTGGAATTAAACAAGTTAAGGCCACTGGGTCAGAGGTCAAAGTCAAATTTGAATTTTTGCTTGAGTTATTCCCCTCAATACTACTTATATATTTACTCATTAGCCCTACGGTGAAGCCTGGCAGCCGAAATGTTTGGGGTATAAGTTAGTCCCTAGGCAACAGTTCTACTGTGTACATTAAAAACTAAGTTCAATATTTAGCCATATATTTCCTGTTTGTATTATTTCTTTGACCTTACCTACAAAACTGATGTTTGCATTTTAGTAAACATCAAGTCTGGGGCATAGAAAATTGGACCAATTTACACTTATGTGTTTTTTCATTTTGTGAATTGTTTTTTGTAGAAACTAGAAAATTCAAAACAGTATGTGAATTTAAATGTTAATACTCAACATATCACTCAACAATGTAATGAAAAGATATTATCGTGGAACAATTTTCTGTTCACTTCTTGTACTTTCTTGCCAAATTGGAATCAGCCTTTTTTGATACTTCATCAGTTGTTGAGCTGTTCCATCAGTGTGTATAATATTCACTAAATGACAATTTTTTTCCCAAACAATACAAATTAAAAAAATAAAGCTGTCAAAATGTAAATATAAGAATACAATTTTTGTTTTTGTTGTTTAATGGTGTGTTAACTGCTTTTTTAAAAGATGTTTCATTATAACTCCCTAACATTTAAACTATTGTTAAAAAGATGCTGTTATACCTACATCAGTGAACAAAAATTCAGAAAATAACATCTGTTATATACCGTAAATATTCGCGTATAGTGCGCAGGTACTTTTTGGAGATCAGATTTAAAAAAAAAAAAATCTACAGAAAAATTAATTGACTGGTCACTGCGACAAAACATTTGATGTGGTCTGATCCATTGATAATTAGGAAAGCACAATGAGCGTGACCAGTAATCAGTACATTAAAAGATACATCACAAAATATACAACGTAAGATTGTCAAAAATTTTATTATGAAAATAAGATTTGAGCATAAAATTGTACAAAATAATAGTTATAGAATACTATATTTCTAATATATATATTTCATTTATTTGTTGTTAAGATTATACTGCTGAATATACATTCTGATAGTCTATGTAATACTTCCCCTAAATAACACTAACAGAAGCACCATCTGTAAACTACACCAACCATTCGTAAGTACTTCCATCAGAAATTGTCACAATATTTATACCCATAATTGTTGCACTGGTGGGAATTAAATCTCTCATTTTTGACTCTACTGATAGAGACGACTTTCAAAAAAGATTAAATGCTGATTAGTATTGGTAATTCATAAAACTGCCTCAGGAGTCTTTAGCACCAAAAGACATATTTCTTACAAAGAAACTTTTTATAATCAATGTTACATTAGATCAGGATCTCTTTGAGCATGTTGTAATAAGTGACCTGTGATATTTACACACCACATGTGCCATAATTAAAAAAAAAAAAATCTGTTCGTAGCTTGAAGTAATTTATACAAAGTAAATCATCTGCTTCCTGTTTGGTATGACTGAAGAAACCCAATCCCCCTTTGCTGGTATCAATTGGTTTGGCAAAATACTGTATACCTGGTAATTTTTAAGGGTCAAAATTTTGGCAATTTTTTTACGAAATCATGTTTTAAAGAATTTAACTTTCAATAGATCCAAGTCTTAACATTTCATGAATTTAAGTTTTGTGGTCATGTTAATATATCATAAAATAGCGAAAATATGATACCCTCCTTAAGAAAAAAATGTACTTTACAAAGTGTAAACTATCTTGTAATAAGATAAGTAATGTAGATTTTCAATTAAACTTGAGTTTTTATCTCCTTGTTGCCCAAATAGTGCAAAATGAAGTGTCTTCGATTTTCAATCTAATCATTCAAAAAATAAAAGAAAAAGAAAAATTTCTAATTATTTCGCCTAAGTGTTTGAACCAAATTTGACAGAAGCTCTTCAATTATTTTTGATTTCCATTGATAGACTGATCACAATTAAAAAAAGATCCCATAGCAGATTTCCTTTTACACAATCATACATTCATTACTGTGAAATCATTAATTTGTGAGGGTTTATTTTCCTTGAATTTGTGGTTACTTCATAATTCATACAACAAAATAATAAAACTGATCAGAATGACATGGATTTACATACCAGTGGATTTTGTAAGGTTAATCCACAAAAAGTCAACAAAAATGTAAATTTTTAGTAAACCACAAAATTTGAGCCCCACGAAAATATGATTTGACAGTACCAAATTTTAACATTGTCCATCCATACAACATACTATAATAGCACTTTGAATTTATCTCAAATCAGTATGAATTAATTAACCAATAAAGCATCTTCAATATGTCATAAAAATTCTATGGTACTTTGGGAGATATAAGCTTAAAAATGTAGTTTTTTTTCTAAACCACTAAATAAAGCACTTTTCTGCAATCAAAATACTATCATTCCTATATTCTCTGACTTTGCTGAAAACACTGCATTATGCAAAGAACATATATAATTTTACTAGCTTATTCTTGTATTCAATGATGAATTGCTCCACACTACTCTAATGTATATAACTACTAAAAACTCACCATGAAATTTCTGTTTGAAAGTTATTATGCACTGAAAGTTCTACATTATTCTTATCAAAGTTACAAGCACTACTAGAAATATCAAGTTATCAAGAAAAACATGTAAGTTCATTCATTTATTTGCAATATACATTCTTCCATGCATAAAAACCTTTCAAATTCTTGTAAACATCCACCTTAAAAATATCCATCATTAAAAAAAATGATTCACTTTACATTATCAATCTAAATAATAGGTTTCAATGGCTGCTAATTTCTGTAATGTTAATCTTCAAAGTAGTCATTGGTGTTGGTTTGGTAGAATGCAATTGGCTCTTGGTGTTGCGCAGTGTAATAGCTTGGTCCCATTGGGTTGTCATAAGACATACCATAATCGTACACTGGTGTAGCTCTCTGATCGAAAGAATTGTTGTCATATATGATCCTCCGAGGTTCGTCCCTGTATCGCACTTGTCGTCTGTCACTCTTCATACTGCTCTGATCTCTAGCAGATCTCTTACTTGCTAGTTTTCCTTTGCTATTATTTCTACAAGAATAACAATAATTCTATTAGCTATAGGCTCATGTTCAATAATATCGAAAGTGTCGAAACATTTGTCAAGGGATTTTTTATCTTTGCATAAAACACTTCATTTTCACCATGTGTTTAAGTCATTTAAAAAAATAGGACTTATTTTCACCCTTGTATAAAACACCTGCTTTTCACCCAGTGTTTAAGTTTCTCTAAAACAAAAGAAACATATTTTCACCCTTGTTTAATACATTTCATTTTTACCCAGTGTTTAAGTCAATCTGAAATAATAGAAACACATATATTAACTTTTAACTTCAATTTTCAACCGACAAATTAGTTCATATTCTTTCTCAACATACAATAAGAAAACAAAACACTCTCTGTCCAAAATTAATATTACTAACCTTCGAACAAAGACAATTCCCAGAGATATGATGGTGATGAGTAGCACAGCTGCTATGATAGCAGTCACTATGACTACTGTTTGACTGTCCACATCAACACGGGTAGCACAATCATTCGCTGAAAATGGAATTACAATATAAAGAGTTTCCTTTAGAACTGACAAATACATACAGCGTCCTTCCATCTTAGTCTTTGGTACAATGTTAACCTTTTCTGTATTGTGCTTTTTTTTTTTTTTCATCACTGTAAATATGTCTACCTGTAACGGTTGTATTCATGAAAATTAAGAATGCCCAATAATCTGATCAGAACTTAGTATTATGAACCAAATTTGTTGAGATGTTGTCTTGATATGACATTTGTTCTGAATGGGACGCGATGTGACAGGATGGATGAACATAATAAAGCTTGACTGGTCACAATTGGTTTTATTGCTAGAGAATTTGGATTTTTACCAGCAGCAAAAAAAAAAAAAAAAAAGATATACTTATTACAAGGCATGCACTAATTGCCAGATATATGAAGTAGCTATTTGGATCCCACACCGGTCAAAGTCAAAGCAAAAATTAATTCAATAAAAATTTCATTTCGCTACGAGTATGGAAAATCAATTTTTCATGATTGCCGAAGACAATGAAAAATCACAATATTCATACATGTAATGAAGTTTTGTGAACTTAACATAACTTTTAGATGTATTGAAACTAGATATCATGAATGACATGAAAAAATCTCTTTTACTAGATGAATTTAAGAAATTTCATAACCAAAAGCAGCAATATAAAACAAAATTTCCGAGAAACTTTGAGATTATCCATTATCTTTTAAAACAATGGAGTAATTTGTTTCACTTTAAGTCGGAATTTGCAGTATATATATGTCCTTTGACAGGTTTGACACAAAACTGCTGGCAGAAAACACTTGATGCATTTTTGTTACCTCCCCTGAAAACTTTTCATTTCCTCATTCCTTGCAATCCTTCTTAAAATTTATCAACCAAATAACACATTCCTTGAAATCTGTTCCATGAAACATATTTCAGCAGAGAAACTCTTTAGAAACAAAGATACAGGTCACAAATTAACATAACATACATCCTTAACAATGTCCAAAAGTAAACTTACAAGTGGAACTTGTCCAATCGGAGGTAGACACTGATGGTCGACAGTATTTGCAGGAATCTGATGGATTGATGCCATTTGATGCATAACATACAGAGTTGATGTAACAGGCATCAGACTGAAATATACAAAGGTATAAATACATACCATTACCATAAAATTCATAATTTTCATCGCGATTTTATTTTCCTTATTTTACAGGTACTCTTAATCCTCAGATTCATAGGTCTATGTATTAATCAACTTATTACCATAAGAGTTGTTATTCAATAAGCCCAGGTGGCCAACAAATAACTTCTATAGCTATATACAGGAGTTAGCCTGATATTACATAATAAGTTGTATGTTAAGAATGAAAGATTTGCCTTCTGGAGTCACTGAGTGACTGATCAGAACCTAAACTGACCTGAGCTGAACATGTGGCAAGAGTAGGTGTCTGTTCGATGGCACACTGGAAACAGGTGGAGTTATATACAATGATAAGTCCTTCATTAGTACTCAAGGTTGTACCATCATTGCTGATTTTAACAACATAGCTCTTTTCTTCTGGAATGGCACATATCACTGCGGTCAGCCGTTGGAACACAGCATTTGTTGTTGTTGTTGTTGATGTCCTGACTACTCCAGTACTAGTTACCTGTTTAAAACCATACCATCTTAACCAGATAGAAACACATCAGAAATGAAGAGAGATGGCCAGCACATGAGGTAATTTAACAAACATATAAACAATACAAATATCTATTTACCTGTACTTTTGTGATGTGACAATTCTATCTGTACTTCTGTATCTTAACAAATCACCTTTACCATTGTGAGTTGAAAACTTACCTGTACTAATGTGTGGTGACAACTTACCTATACTTTCATGTAGGGAAAACTGACATGTGATTCTGTTTGGTGACAACTTACCTGTACTTTTCTGTAGTGAAAAACTTACCTGAATCACTTTGTGGTGACAACTTACATGTAATTTTTTACCTAACAAATTACCTGTGCTTTGTTCATGACAACTCAGCTACATATAATTCTGGGTGGTTGCAACTTGCGTATTCTTCTGTGAGATGAAAATTTGAACATCTGTGAAGTAAAAATTTACTTAAAGTTCTGTGTGTTGGCAAATTAACTATACTTTTCTGTGGTGACCACTTACTGCTGTGAGATGACACCTGTTCTTTTGTGTCATGCCAGCTTAGCTGTACTTCTAGATGGTGACAGCTTACCTGTATTTCGGAAGGAGGATAACTTACCTGTACTTCAGTCAGGTGGCAGGTGATGGAACTAGAGTTGATGAACTTATCTCCATACACAATGATAGAATTACACGTCTGTGTGAGAGTATCACATACAACGTTGGTCACCTCTGGTACCACAATAGGGACCTCATTCACGGTCAAGGAACAGTCTGGTCCAGCGAATCCAGATGAACACGTACATTCACCTGTTGGTGAATACATACAATGAACACATAATACAAGCAACACTATTTTTTATAAATTCTACTTATAGTTGAAATCACACCCTGTCAAGTCATTATCCCATGAACTTTTGTTGACTGGATTTTGAGATATAATACCACGAAAGAATTGGAAATAGTTCTCTTCCAATAGCAGAGCGGCCAAAGTGCCTGTTTACATTCTCAAGTTTACTTTTATTAATGTTTCGATAATATAAGAATTTTGACGTTTTATTGAAAGTTTGTAGTGATTATGGTGTATTGTTTCTGGAAGGCACAAATCAGTGTTCATTAAGGAATCTATTTTAAAAAAAATTTCAATTAAGAAACAAAATAACATTTTTTCCATCTTAGCAAACAATAGAATCTACAGAATCCCTTAAAAATGAATTTTTACAATGTGTGAGGGAATAGCTCAGATTCTGACTCACCTGCTGTACATGTTCCTTGGCTGGAGCACTGTTTAGGACAGAGAGTATTCACAATGGTTGAAGGCAAAGTTGGGGTAGAGTTAGGAGTGGTTGTTTCCCAGTTGTTGGTGTCTTGCTTCACAGCACTGTTACATGCTTCCTGTAAACTGGCCAAACCCGAATCAGCCCAGGATAATGAATCAGTCAACTGGAACAAAACAAATAAACATCAGGAATCTGTTGATGTTTTTTTCCACCTCTAACATGAAAGATAAATTTTTCCATTAAAATAGTACACCCAAAGTTTTGTCAAGATATTTTCAACCGTGTAACACTTTGAGGTGAAGTGACAAACCTGATTTCCCCTCTGGTAGGTCATGCATGATACTTTCAGAATTATGGCACGATACATAGAATTTTAAGATAACTCTAAACACTTACTGCAAAATCATTAATTTTTGTGGGAAATTTATTTTCATTCATTTTGCAGGTACTCTTAATCCTTGAATTCATATATATAGTAACTGTTAAAATCAGAATAAGTTAATATATAAAGCTATATTATCCACAAAAATATATGACTATAGAATTACATTTTGAATCTAAAAGTAGTTGTGAACTGACCTGGACATCACGCATACAAGCATTAACTCGTTCCACCACGTCATTTGGAAGGATGTTCTGACACTTTGCATAAGTAGCTGATCCCACAATCTTATCACCACATATTGTTTGTGCCTGGGCTTCAGTAATACCAGTACTTGTAGGCCATGTGAGGGTCTGCAGGAGATAAAATAATGGAAATATTTGGTAGCCCTACACAATCAGTAATTACATAACCAAAAACAATCTTAAGATGTAATTTCATAATTGTAAATTAAAAGAACATAAATCTCTAGTTAGACTTTTAAAATGGACATCTCCAGGTTTCCAGTTTTGACACCTAGAAAGGTTTACATCGACTCATACATATTGATTTGAACTTTAACATTAATATATTGGTTGGTTGGTTACAGATTTTCTCCCAATATGACTCCTGCTGCTTTGTGTTGTTTCAAAGACCATAGTCGAGAATTTTGTTGGAATAATATTAGGAGAAGACTGAAAAAGTCTGAACACTCTTAACAAAGTTCATCTATTTTTTCAGCCTAATATACTTATGGAAGATCACCAATTCAACTTAATTTCGCTCTAGTCTTATAACCATTTAACTCACCTAAGTGAACATAGGATTAATATCTAGTCGATTCATTACCATCCCACACTCTGTTAAAATCAGTGTCAGTATGCTTTACCCTGGTAATCTGTCTGATGACGTTGACAATATATAGTCATTGAAATGTCACACATTTATTTATTGGTTGTGATATAAGAACACCTATTCTATATCATTTATTTGCCATTTTATATGCAAAATCACACATGTAATATAATTGAACAATAATCAATGAGTGTTGGTTCATCTTCGTATTTTTTCTTTTTCATCTTTTCCAAATATGATAAAAGTTTGTCTATTAACACGTCTTAATCATCTGAACTTACAGTGAAAATGAAGAAAGGAGACAGAATTTTTAACTTTTTGACAGCTCAAGAGTTTTCCTTATTTTTTTAATCAGTCAATTCTTTTTCAAATGCTATATCTTTTTATCAAAGAGAGCTTTTGATGTAACTGGAAGAATGACTCAAAATTAAGTATCTACTAGAAAACATTCAAACACATACATGTATGGTATGCTCCTGAGCTAACACTAAATGCCCCCTCCCTCCATTCAATCCCCCACTTCCATTAAATTGCTGGGTATATTTAACCCTTACCCCACATCCCCTACCCGACTTCCATTAAATTCCTGGGTATATTAATCCCTTAAATGCCCTCTCCATGCATTAAATCCCTGGGTAAGGTTATCTCCTGAATACCCCCGCCCCCCCACCCAACTTCCATTAAATGGCTGGGTATAAGAAACCCTTAAATGCCCCCTTCCTCCATTAAATCCCTTGCTAAGGTTAACCCCGAAATACCCCCTCCATTAAATCACTTGGTGATGAAAGACTTATTGCACGTACAGTTGGAGCATCATAGTTAGCATCATACTCGAAGGCTGGGTCTGCTGTAGCACGTTTCTTTCTGCGTCGATTTGCCTGCTGTTCGTCTGCTATGGCCTCACTAATGAGCGTATCTGTCAAGTCTAACCCTGTTAAAAGATTAACCACACTAGGTATAGCAACAACCATGTATGACAGAATAGTATACAAGTGAGTTTCAGTTTGGGTGGTTGCAAGCCTTTTACTATACACCCTTGGATGCCCATACTCATTTCCAAGCATGGCTCAGACTAAAATGTTTGCCACTTCCTTTGATACACTTATCAGAAGATATCACAATCATAGGGGGCATCTCCAAAGCATTTGGGAATTTTTTTTTTTAATTTCAAAATTAAATCTTTTTGACTTACATTGCCAGCTTTAAATATGGGAAATACCTTAAGTACCTGAAAAAAGCATACCTTCACTGATCAGTCAGACTCGCCATACCTTTCAAAGTTAATCATGGAAAAGCATAAGTGGGACTCCACCTTCCAGATGAAAGGCATTTTAAACATTTTTTGAAGAAATCCCACATGACTTACCGGCTGTTGACTCTCCACATTTGTAAATATCCAGATTGAAATCACAGGAGAATGATGCATCATCATAACACAAACAATAAACTGGAGTATTCAGGGTGACGGTGGAAGCGTACCCTAGAGTATAGTAGGAGTCTGCTCGGTTCACTCTGTACAGAAAAAGTTTACTTTTTACCATATTAACACACCATACAGCATAAACAACATCTACCAGTCAATTTCCAAGTGTTTTACTACTGAAACGTATGAAAAACGCTTGTCACTTTTCTATTTTTGATACTTATTATTTTTTGAATACACATATTGTTGGGCAATTCCTACATACCACCCTGCCCTACTAGGGAGTAACATAAACATGTTTCTAATGTTCACAGGTGTCACAAAGGAAAGAAGGCATATTTACAGCAACGTCTAAAGATGTCCTGAAGGATGCAGAAGCACTTTGATTTCTCCAGATGTCATGAGTACGGAAATACTTAAAAGTACCCATGAAATCAATAGAAATAAAACCCCACCAGACTAATAATACCACAGTTTTATATGTTCAATCAGAAAAAACTTTCAGTCATACAAAAGTGTTATTTCAGACCACATTCAATTAGATACAGGAGAGCCATTCAATGAATTAAACTGCATCATACAGCTGTTTTGTCCTTCTAGGGCTATTCAGTGATGCCAACACCTTAAAATTTCAAGCCTCTGGGGCGAATGAGGAAAATCCAAAGTGATCAAACGACAGGGAGGTAAACTAGCCCCATAATTGAATCAATTCTGCAATTTTCATATGTCTGATAATTTTAGAGTTGAGTACATGTGTATATTCTGAATCATGTCATTATTCTAACGAAGAAAACCTCACCTCCAGGATCGACTAAAGTCATTTGGTCGGTCTGCTGCATTGGTGACAGTATACGTTACACCATCAGCACCCACAAGATCGTTATCCTTGACCCCATCATATTTTCCACACAGACCTGAAATACATCAATTTAAAATAGATATTACATCTCACTCACAATTTTTTTACTGGGTTAATAGCCCTGTCAACAGTCATTTCAAGGCAGGGTCTCTTTGTAATAGCTGTTGGAGACCTTACTGAACACAACTAAGGACATGGACACAACCACATAAGTAAAGACTGGATCATTTCTTAGCTCCTTACACAAACTGCCATGAGCAGAGAGTGTGAAACCACAGGTCTCTGATTGTTATCCAAGGGAATGAAGGCCAGCCTACAATCCAATCTTAAAACTTGAAAAACTTGAAAGAGTTTTGGAAACATTTTGATCCAGTTGTGTTGTCAAATGTTCATGATGTAGGTGCCAAATAATAGATGTCTGAACATGATTTTTAAAAGCTTCAAAAACATTGTAAAGATATTCAAGACAAAGATTTAAATTTCTTATCTCCTTTAAAACACTTAAAATTATCAATAGGAAGAATGTAATTTACCTACCACATAATAAACCCGCCCTATTACAAACAATTACTGAAATAATGCTTAGCAATAATCCCAATCCCCAATTTTCTGTACCTGGTGACCCTACATGGAAAACTTACTGAACCAGTCAAAAAGCCTGATTCATTCTCAGTCACCTAGAGGTTAGTATCAAAATCATTTCTAGCAATACAGTCCCAATATCACGCCACCATAGTCATTAGGCAATAAACCAGTTTCTGACAATAAGCCCACCCATCACATATACCAGATAGAACAAATATTAATTCCATGTAAAGGAAATAACATGATAAAATAAGAAGAGTACAAATTTGTCAACAAAGCTTTTCTGTCTTTTGTCAGCTTATTCAGGCAGATTATATCTGTATCATTATTGTTCAGGAGAATTAAAAACCAATATTTTTAATATTGTTTCATGATAAGTCTGCCCCCTTTTTTTTTGTCAGAACCTCAGTCTGAGTCATGAGGTAATGTGATCGTCACCTGAGGTCCTGTAATAAGCCAACCCTCACTCTGAGTCAGAGGTAATATGTTGCCCCATTGGGTCATGTAACAAACCCATCCCTGACTTTGAGTCAGAAGTAATGTGTTGGCCCCTTCGGGTCCTGGCCCATGCCTGACTTTGATTCAAAAGTAATGTGTTGGCCACCTGGGGTCCTGTAATAAGCCCATCCCTGACTTTGAGTCAGATGTAATGTGCTGCCCCCTGGGTTCATGTAACAAACCCATCCCTGACTTTGAGTCAGAAGTAATGTGTTGGCCCCTTCAGGTCCTGGCCCATGCCTGACTTTGAGTCTGAGGTGATATGTTGGCCACATGGGGTCCTGTAATAAGCCCATCCCTGACTTTGAGTCATATGTAATGTGTTGGCTTTATGGTCATGTCCTGTAATAAACCTATCCCTGACTCTGAGTTTGGAGTAATGTGTTGGCCACTTGGGTTCCTGTAATAAGCCCATCCCTGACTTTGAGTCAGATGTAATGTGTTGCCCCCTGGGGTCCTGTAATAAGTATTTGCCCGACTTTAAGTTAGAAGTAATGTGTTGGCTTTATGGACATGTCCTGTAATAAACTTATCACTGACTTTGAGTCACAAGTAATGTGTTGGCTCCTGTGCTTATTGTAAGATATTATTGTAATCAGTATGCAATAAGGGAAAACAATATGAAATTTTGGATCAAAATCAGAGATTTAGATCATGGCAGGACAGTTTCTAAATCATAGTATTTGATGGAAATTCGACGTAACAGCAATAGATATGGGTGAGCTTATTGGTGAAAGTCAGACCAACACAGAATATGTTTCATGTTATGATTTGTTTCATTTTTGAATGTTTCTTTAATGTTTTAACAAGTCATTCAAGTCCCAAGGAACTCTTCTAAAACAGATTTTAATAATAATGATAATTATTATAGTAGTACACAGTACATATAAGTATGGTCGTACCCTCTGTCTTGTTCACATCCAAAACTGATGCCTCAATGTAAATGTTCATGTATTTGTCTTGGTCGTTCATCAATATCACCTTAGTGCCGGTTGGCAGGTAAATCTACAGACAAAAACAGAGCAGTTTTAGTTTAAAAAATTGTCCACAAAAGCATGCTTTACTTTGAAAGATATTGTAGGGGATGTTAGGCTAACAAAGGGAGATAATTACAAGCACCCAATGAAAACAGATGAAGTCAGATAATAAGGTAATATAAGGACAAATTACAATGATAGAGGGTAGTCACTAGTGTTGCTTGGCTGGTGATGACTACTTCATCAGAATATCCTGTTCAGGGAGATAATTCATTAGGACAGACCTTAATAAGGAGAGAAAATCACTTCATCAGAGCAGACCTTGATAAGGGGAGAGAAGAACTTTAACTAGAGGTACATTTATAAGAGAAGACAAGAACTTCATCAGGGCAGACCTTGATAAGGGAAGATAATCACTCACTGGGACAAACCTTGATCAGTAGAGATAATAACTTTAACTATGGGTAAATTTATAAGGGGAGATAATAACTTCATCAGGCAAGACCTGAATCAAGTTAGGGGATAATTACCTCATACTTGTTACCATCCTGTGCCTGGTAGATTTTGGAGCCAACAGTCAGCTGAGAAGTGATGAAAAGTCTTCGACTAATTGGATAGGCCTGGAGTGCTCCAGGTATACACTTGTCAACTTTGATAACATCATCCCCTGATCGGACCAGAGCTCCACAGTTGCATGTTCCTTGTTCACACCTCACAAACAGTGCTCGAACCTGGACAAATTAATTACATTTTTCAACCAATGAAATTTCTCACAGGTAAATATGCAATTTTTTTAAACTTAGAAACAAGTCATATTACCAAGTTTTCAAAATTCTTGCCTTCATATGCTTATTTTGAATTGTTTTCATTTGTTTTATATGATCTATATAAGATATGAGAATCAAGTTGTTTATATGGTATTAAATATTGTCAATGTAACAAAAATTGTGCTTTTAATGTTACCTTGAAAGTGCCAAAATAAAAATATCTTCATCTGATTTGAAGAAATACTGACATTGTTTTATTTTCATTACTGTAAAGTTGTTAATTTTTTTGGAAGATTAATTTTTTTATTAAATTCATGGGTCCTTTAAATCTACTTAACTGAAAATATATGAATTTACAGTACATGACATTTTTCTTACCTCTGTTTGGTATTCTGAATTCTGGTACATAATATACTCTCCAGGTATGAAATGGTCATACAATCTGCCAATGAAAGATCGAACTGTGATATCACATATGGCATAGTTAATATATATCTGACCTTTCACATTCACCTAAATAGTAAATTTCTGGAAATTACAGGATATGAAGTTTGATGGTTGTCAAGCATGTGTGCTTTCTCTTTCCATATATCAATGATTACAATAAAAATATGAGAGCACTCATCTGACTCATCAGTCAACAGAGGTTCCATAAAGGAGAGAAAGGAAGGGAGATCACTCTATATCTCTGTCGTCATGGCTCATGGGATTTTAGGGAGAACAGGATTTTTTAATCTTTTGTTTTTTGGTTACAAAGATGGGTGCAGGTATTGTATTTGCATACTAAAGTTATGGTAATTATTACCGAAATGAAATTAGCAAATGCTTTATTTTGTGAACTTACCTCTTCACACATATTCACAAATACATGATTTAGTCAATGCTGACCAATAAATGACTTTAAATTCATAAATGATGAGCCTTTAAGAGACCTGGACTCTTCAAGACTCTGATATCAGTTAACAAAGCAACATGGAAGCCATCCAGAGTTATTTAGGTACAAATAATAGTGAGGGATTTGAATTTGCAATTGACTCTCCTCGCTTATTGATGCAAAAATCAATCCAACGTGAAATATAGGCAATATAAAGCAAATTAGGATTTTTGAATCTCTGACAATTTATGGCAAATCAAATGATAAGGTGATAGAAATTATCCACTTTGTAAATGTTTCTTTCTCCCATTTGTGTCATGAATATTGCAGTACATTGAGTTTAACAATACTCAAATTCTTTTTTTTTTAAAACCAGATTTTCATCTTCAGAAGTTCTTTGTTGCTGTGTTGTTACTTACGTGCCATCAAATGTTTTCATATGAGGATCATTCTGAGAATGACAGAAGCCAGTCAGGTTGGAATCTTCTATTATCACCTGAAACCAGTTACGTAACAACAATAATTTTACTAACATACAAACATGCAATTTTTTTTCAGTATAGATATTGGTGCTATTATTTAAAATGAATTTTTCCACAACAACCATAATGGAATATAAAAGTTTGATATGAGATTTGAGTGTCAAAATTCCTTTGATACTATTAAAGTATTCAGGGAATTTTCAATATGCCGATTTTATGGATTATAAAAGATATCGTATTTTGATTTTATTTCAATCTGAAACAGTTCTCTTGTTACGGAAAAACACTGATTTACAGAAATGTCTTTTGATGTATTTTTTCTTTGTTTTTCAGGCAGGATCTCCTTTCAAAAACTGGTTGCTACATAATTGAACATCATTTGGGAGGCCCATCACACACTATCCACAGCATCTAATGGGTGTAAAAAATTCTACCTAAAGACAAACAAACAACAGCATAGGATGGCCCATGCTTTCAGTTTCCTGAGAAACACGAATTAGAGAGTGAAATACACGTCTAAGGCACACCTGAAGTGGCAAAATTTAATTATCTACTACTTACAGACTTGCAAAAACATATCAAACAAACTTACAGTGACATTCTTAAGAAGAATTTCACTTGTTTGGCCACCAGCATTGTCCATCATCACTATGTTGAGCGTTCTGTTTCTTGGACCACTTATCAAATTGTCAACAACAGCTTTGATTCTCACTACAAAGTTTTGATTGGAATTGTCGGCTGTGGCCCCACAGGTTGCTGTGGTAGCGTTAGTGGCAGTGGTGTGGATGGCCAGGTCTGGGATGACGGAGCCATCTGTACACAACCTCTGGCCTGTGCCTTTGACCACTTGGGTTTTCATCTGGATGTTACAGGATTGGCCATACTTGACTGCACAGAAGTAGCCGACAGTCTGGGTCAGGGAAATTCTTATTTCATACGATGGATCTCCTTCTCTTACAGTTATTACAGCACCTTCATTGACCTGAAAAAAGGTGATAAGTACATGGTAGAACATTATTTCAAATGTATGAGAAACACTTTGCTGTAGGCAGAGTTCCTTTTTTCATAAATACTGATGAATTTGCGGAACAGTTGAACTTAGACAAATAGCCACTCCCTGTGGTACAGAGCCTTTGTATTTCTTATAATAGCAAGAGTCCCAACTTTGGAGATTCTTGTCAATAGGCAGTAAAAATACAAGAGCAAAGCTATCATTTACCGTGACTGTGAAGACGATACTGTCACTGCTTAGAGGTGGGCTTACACCATTTCCACATCTGTCAGGGTTCCAAACAACCACTGCACACCGAATCTGTGATACAGGTAAAACATATTTACATGTCAAGGTCATACAAAAACCTATAAGGTCATGTATAAAATAAACTATATAAACAAATCAACAGATCTACATTACTGTGAAATTTCAATTTTTGTGTGTTTTTTTTAATTTTTGTTCAATTCATAAGTTTTCATCTGTAAATTCATATGTTCATGTACTGCTATAAGGAGCAAATTTAAAGAGCAACATTTAGTAATGAAATTTAGAGTTCACTCAAAGTTATTTTTGGAAAAAACAACAAAAATACCTGTTTTTTTATGGCAAACATTTAAACCTTAAAGCCATACAAAGACTCCCCACCTTCTGAATGTCTTGTATATATGTAATACAGGTAAAATCCTTTCCAGGGTCATATAAAAGCCCACTAAGTCATGTATTACAGAAACTATATGTAACAGGTAACACACATTTCAAGGTCATACAAAAGCCCAAAAGATCATGAATTGTAGCAACTATATGTATCGTGTAAAACCCATCTAAAGGTCATATAAACCCCCACAATATCATGGATTACAGAAACTAAATGTAATAGATCAAACACATCTGAAGGTCATAAAAAATCTCACAGGGTCATGGATTACAGCAAATATATCTAACAAGTAAAACCCATCTCAAGGTCATACAAAATCCCACAAGGTCATGAATTATAGCAACTATATGTAACAGGTAACACACATATCAAGGTCATACAAAATCCCACAAGGTCTTGGATTACAGCAAGTATATGTAACAGGTAACACACATCTCAAGCTCATACAAAATCCCACAAGAAGATTACATTAAGTATATGTAACAGACAAAACACATGTAAAGGTCATACAAAAACCCAGAAGGTCCTGGATTACAACAAATATATGTAACAAGTAAACCAATCTCAAGGTCACACAAAATTGCACAAGGTCATGGATAATGTCAACTATAAGTAGGAATCACTCTTCTGTCAGTAAATCCATGCCTGGTAAACTGATAGTATATCCAAATATCTGTTGTTAAATAAGTAGAAAATACTTTAGATTATCCTTTAATAAGCACACCTCCTGACTTGGAATCAGAAGTAATGTGTCTTAGCCCCTAAAACTTACTGCGGAATAAACAAGGGAAATTATTCTAGGGTCCAATGGCCATCGTAATTTGTAAAGTCAATATATGTGGAATATAAACATTAACATCACTTATTTAACAACAATTGTAAAACAAGCTATCAGCTTATATTAATCACTCTTGTTGGCCCCAATGGCAGCATGCGAGAGGTCTTACTGTGAAAGGATATTAAAGTACCCAAGGCAACCCACATGGTCAAGCAAGATGACCCCTACCAATTCACAGTCTATCAGGGAATTGAACCACAGTATTACTCAACCACTGATAAATTTTTTAGAACACAAAAGCTCTCATTAACATACATTTAATAATGACATCATACTGATAACACAATTTTACAAGTTTCCCTGAAAACTCCTGGTCTGCACAATTTAAAGCTTTTTAAGTGGACTTACTCCTGTGGTCAGTAGACCTGCACTACTGGACAACTCTGTGGTCTCGAGAAGATTGGTGGTCACTCCAGAGGTCAGATTGACAGTCTTAGTAAGAGATTCCCCAACATACCACCAGATGGCATGCTGAGCCCCCTGTTCTGTTGATGTAGTGATACTACAGTCATAGGAAACTTTACCCAAGTTTGCAGCGACGGTATGAGTGAGGACCGGTTGTGTGGCGATATTTGGGTAACTGTCTAGGGAACCTGGGTGGAATAAAACAAATTCAATGTTGGTAATATTTCAAAATCATTTACTAAGAAGGCTTTTATTATTACAGAAACATGGAAGTCAACTTTATTTACAAGAAGTCTCTCTGCTTGTACCTTCCGCCCCCCCCCCCCCCCATATTCTTTTTAAGTCTATCCTCTTTAAACATCAGTTCTGCCATTTATTCATCTGTTATGACCCCTCCCTCTGGATTACTAAAACATGAACTCAGCAGAGGTATTGTCAAAATGAAACTCTCCCAACATTGGTTAGATTAAATCCCTGATAGAGTGATGAAATTGATTCTATATGGACGAAAGGAGGAGGCGGCAGGACAAATATGGGTAATACTACATGCTACCACATTGAAATGATTGGGCATAAATACTACATGGAATGAAAGACAAATTATAAAAACAACAATATCTCACCTGTACAAGCTGTTGTTGGTGCCACAGTGGTTGTTGTTGTTGTGGCTACAGTTGAAGTTGATGTTGTTGGTGCCACAGTGGTTGTCGTTGTGGCTACAGTTGAAGTTGATGTTGTTGGTGCCACAGTGGTTGACGTTGTGGCTACAGTTGAAGTTGATGTTGCTGGTGCCACAGTGGTTGTTGTTGTGGCTACAGTTGTTTGTGTTGGAGTGGTTGTGGCTACAGTTGATGTTGTTGCTGTTTTCCATTAAAAAATTAACATGTGAATTATACATAAATTTGAGAAATTTGAGTACCACAATATCCTTTTAATTAATGACATCATTATAACCTTAAATAAAAAATAAAATATGAGGTCCATACAACATCTACAAATCAGTTTTAAATGCTAGTTTCCTAAACCTGGACTATAATCTCTCAAAATTTTGCTTCAATCTCATTCATCAAGATATTTTATGCAGAACTTTTTCTTGTATCAATTAGCAGTATATCAATATTGATCAGAAACAGAATTGAAATTAAAAAGAGTGAAAATGAGAAAAAACAACATACTTATTACATAACTCTTAAAATGAAACAACATATGGTTTATACAGAATACATTAAGCAAAGGGAAAAAATTAAACAAATAAAAAAAGAAAGATTAGCAGAATACACATAAAAGCAAGAAAAGGGGCATAACTCTTGAAATTATGAACAATGTTTTCTGAACACTGAATGCAGGATAAAGTGACAGCCATTATATGAAACTTTTAAAGCCAAATTTCATCAGGATGGGGTGCATGATGTATGGACAAACAGACAAGGATGAACAGACAGACATGGGCTGTATGATCTATGGACAAACAGACAGGGATGAACAGATGGACATGGGCTGCGGAATATATAGACAGAGATGAACAAACAGACATGGGCTACAGGATATATGGACAAACAGACAAAGGGAATGCTAAAGGGCAAAAGTATATGTAAATGAAAATAAAAATGTCAGTGAAAACATAAGCTAATAACAATACAATTAAAATAGTTATGAGTTAAATTGTGAAAAAAAAAGATAATGAAATTAGTTTGTGTACGCATGTATCAGCTATGTAAATCTTACATGATAGTAAAGGCTGACACAAAAAAATGATTACAATTAAACAAAAGATAGGCACAACAAATCAGAGTATATAAGTATATTATATAATTAATACAACAATAAAAAAGAAAAGAAATAAAAGAAAACAAAAGTAAGATAAAGCATAATTTTTTTCTATGACATAACTGTTCCATTCAAAGTTATTTTTTTTACTAATGTAATGAATTAAATGATTTTTATGTGACCCATTCACAGTAAAATGGTTACATATGTAACCATGTGACCAGTTTCACCTGTATAACACATCACTTATCAATAACAACCGCATTTGAAACCAATCCAATATTAATATATTATTGATTTTGTAAGTGTGACAAAACAATACACAGCAATCAAAATGCAGTAAGCTTAGAAAATATCAGATTTAAAATCAAAAGATTTATGACCAAAATAAAGGATGTTATTTTCTGCCCTCTGATATGGCAAAGCAGGAACTTGATTTTTCATTTTTGATTGTGGCAAAGAAGAAATTTGATTTTCTGCTGCAAGCATAGGAAAGAAGGAATTTGATTTTCTGTCGCAAACATGGCAAAGGTAGAATTTTCGAAATCAATCACCAAAATCACATGGAAAAATTTCTTGCTTATTGAGTGACATGGTATGTCGACACAACGGAAAACTTTGAATGTATACAGTTTTAAAGTTGGGATGTTGGGTGTGCGTGCAGTACTGTAGGGTTTTTATAAGTTGAATACATGTATACTGGTAGTTACCACTGCTGGTTTGCTCCGTCGTAGTAGTGGCATCAGTAGTAGTAGTGGAGGTCATCTCAGCTGTACTACTTGGTAGTGTGGATTCAGTAGTGGTGATTTCTGCAGTGGTAGCTTCTGCAGTGGTTGTAGTAGTGGGTAGTGGAGTAGAAGTGGAAGTGGGTATTTTAGTGGAAGTGATTTCTGCAGTGGTAGTGGTTTCTGAAGTGGAAGTGATTTCTGAAGTGGTAGTGGTAGTGGGTGTTTCAGAAGAAATAGTTTCTGAAGTGGTAATTGGTGCTGTGGTTAGAGTAGTAAGAGTTATATTAGTTGTTGATTCAGTGGTTGTACCTTCCGTTGTGGTGACCTGCTCTGTCGTGGTAGAGGGCGGGTTTGTGGTCGAAGTTGCAACCTCTGTGGTAGTTGAGGGCAGTTTTGTGGTTGAAGTCGTAACTTCTGCAGTGGTCGAAGGAAGTTTTGTGGTTGAGGTTGCAACTTCCAAAGTGGTCGAGAGCGATTGTGTGGTCGTAGTTGTAACCTCCGTAGAGGTCAAAGGTTGTGTGGTCGAGGTCGTAGGGGGCATAGTGGTAGATGTAGAAAGCTCCGCAGAAGTAGAAGTTGTGAGAATTGGAGTACTGGTTGTTGTACCTGATTCTGTGGTTGTGGTGGTAACCTGTTCAGTGGTAGATGTGGTTTCCGTGGTAGTAGTGGTCACTGCTTCAGTTGTAGTGGTCATGACCTCTGTTGTTGTTTCAACATCCAGAACATCTGCAATTTCTTTACATGCTTCAGTTATTTCCCATCCTTCAATGACGATATTGGCGTATACATTCAATGTACCAGAATAGCCTATAAACAATGTTGTCACCCGGGTTACGGATACTGTTCGAGATATAAACTGAGTCGTCGAGGCAACAACTTCACCGTCAAAGTACAATGCCAATCCAGTCTGTATACTCCATGAAAACTCTATGTTCACAAAAACGTTAACCTGTAGACGTGTCGTATAAACTGTCCACTCTGCTGTCGCCGTGGAAACTGTTAAGTAAAGTCGACTATGACGATAATACATTGCCACACCATATCCATCAGGCTGATCTCCACCAAAATTTAAGATGTACATGTTTTCAGTGAAGGTCACAACCTTGACATTGAAGCCCATTGTTAAACCAAGTCCACAGGTGGTGAGGTCCGTAATACAGGTGCTCAACTGACCACTAAGGTCAATGTACTGACTGACACCATCCAATTGTATTGCTTGACCACTGAGTCCAGTCACGAGCGTTGGATTCCCAATCAAATTGAAGCTAGCAGATGAGGTAACCAGAACATTGACGTTGATGGACACAAAGAAGAACGACACCACTGTAATATCGACACCTGAAAAACAAAGAAAATTGCCTATGTAACATCATGAAATTTGTGGTTAAAACTCTAGACATCCTTTCAAGGGTAAAATTTTTCATGGATATCTCAAAACTATATATTTTTTTCTCGTAGGGCCCAAAGTAGCAAATTGGTCACATTTGGTGACCAGTTATTAGCCCATAAAGCACCTGAAACACGACTCGAAAGCGGAAAAAAAAAATCAAAACATTATTGGTCTTTGACTCACTTTTCCAATAGGCACAAAGATTTTGTCTATAACCATGAAAACAAAGACATGGGCAATTTTTGAACTTAAAGTGATACTCACTAGAAATTACCGACCATGAGTCAGCACTCAGACTAGCATTACAAATTTCCAGAGGAGATGCAGGGTTGAAAAATCCATTACCGTAGCAATCATTCGAAATGAAGCACACATTTGACTGAAATTGAATAAAATGCATTTTCATATTTAGGTAAAATCAAAATAAAAAAAAATTATCAGAAAATTAAAAATTACACTTAAAAATAAACTTTCAATAATTTCTTTTTCTCAGGACAAACTTCCCTCTATCAGATCTTAATACATATATAAAAGTTCCACAAAACCCACCTTTGGTTGACATCCATTCACATTGCACTCGTAACATATAGGGTTAAAGGTGACAAACAGGATTGCTGTAGTGATGACCACGCCCCCTCCAGCATTGCTTACGGTGATGTTGAAAGAACCGGCATCAGGTAGGTCACAGATCACCTGTTCACTACTCACATAGGTAGCAGTCACTGTTAAAGTGTTACCAGTTGCTACGTAGGTTGTCGTTGTTTTCTTTATTTAAGAACAAACATGTTTTCTTTAGTAATTAAGTATTATTTATCATCATTATTTTTCTTATTAAATCTCAGAGAACTGCTTCGTACTGCATAATACCTAAATATTTTAGAATGGTGGGTTGAAGGGTTCTAGTTTTTGGTTATAATTTTGTGGAATAACCTGGTGCTAAACCACATCTCAGAAATCTGTAAAGAAATATTTTTCCTGCTCACAAGTCACTCATGGAATCTGTTACAAAAAAACATCCTTGTGATCCTTATCATTTATTGACAAGGAGCCATTTCCATTTAGAATTTCAATGGTTATTTTGTTCTGAAAATCACTTCAATCCCTCAATGTAAATATTCGCAGGGAACATGTGTTATCAGACTGACAGCTGCATCACTTCTTCATAACAATGCTCAATAAACTGCTGTCATTCCAAACAAAAGAAATAGTGCTCAACACAGCAATTACGGTATTAAGAAAAGTTTCCACTTTCAAATTCATATGAAAAATACAAATTAGATTTGTAATCATACTATTAGACATGATTGCTGATAATGATGACATAAAGAAATATATTAATGAAACTGTTCTTGAATTTCAGGTATTTGGTGAATCAGGGAATATAAATGCAATTTTTGTTTCAAGCTATAAACATCATATTTGAATGCAGCTATATGCATGGAACTGTAATGAGTGACATTTTATTAACCTGTAACTTACCTCCATCCTCTGTAGTATACAGACAAGTCCAGCCCCCTCTATGAATCCTTCACCTGTGATGGTGACTTGCTGACAAGAAAAGCGTGTGATGTCACAGAAAGGTTCGGGAAGGACATCCACGGCTGGAATGTCCTCCATAATGATAGAGCAATCCTCGCCCTTGAAACCAGTATTACACTCGCACACCTCTGAAAAGTATTGTTTAATGTCATCAAACATACTACAACACATTCGTATGATCGCCCATATAATTTGAAAAAGACAACTTCCTGATTTTTTTCATAATATTGCTCCAAAGATACACAAGCATAAATTATGCAGGCATATCATATTAAAATCATCATGATTTAATTTCATGAACAAGTCCTTGTTTCATAACTTATAAAATACAATATTACACCAGATAAGAAAAGTTTTCTTGAGGCCAAAACAGTCCTCATACATCATACATTTATCATAGATTTTCATAGTAAAAATAAAACCTCAAGTGTTCTCATCAAAGAACATTGTGAACAAAGCCTTTCTTATATATGAATAAAGCCTTACTTACGCTCAATACAATTGCCGTTACCACTACAGAGACCAGGACACAATGAGTCTATCACTCCAGGGTCTGGAGCGGGGATTCCTCCCACTGTGATCCAAAGTTCAACATTGATCTCCATCTGAATTGTGCACAACTGTAAAATAGCCGACAGAGCTTCATCTGCCCAGTCAGCATCATCCATGATCTATAAATAGACAAAAGGTCATCCATGATCTATAAATAGACATAGGTCATCCACATTCTATAAATAGACACAAGGTCACCCAAAATCTATAATTAGACACAAATCCATAAATGATTCAGTCTAAGTGACAAATACTGCTGATATCTTTACCTGAAGGTCTGCAACACAGGAGTCAAGGGAAGCAGCAAACCCAATGTTGGGGATGTCCCTGCAGTTCTGGAATGCTACGGTACCTTCTATGTACGTCTTACAAAGGTTCAGTGCATCAGCCTCAGTAAGGCCATTAGGAGTTGGCCAAGTGAAGTCCTGAAATCAAAAGATTTTTGGCATTTAAGAAAAATTAAAGAAACATTTTTGGTACACTTCCTTGGTAAAACTTGTGTTTGACCTAATTATTAGTGATTGTGTTCCTGTTAGTTCAAATATGAAAGATTGATGTAAATCTATCAAATAATCATTAGTTTTTAAAGATTATAGATGCTATTTAATTACATAGCACCATCAACCCATCAAATTCTGAGCATTTAGTTTTCATTGATATTTCTTATTATTTTTGAATTTTTCTTTTTTTTATTTAACTTGTTTTTTTCTGTATTCAGCAGTTTACTTGTTGTTTAGGCTATCATCTGTCAGCAAAATTTCTTGTTATCTTAAGGGCAGAGAGTACAAACAGATATTTAAATTCAACACTAATTGTTAGCAAGATCATTTGCAATATACCTGTTATCTCTATCTATGTTTAAATGCAATGCTATACAAGGCAGTATTTTTCTTTATCAATATGAGAAATAAAAAGAACATTCTGCGATGTCATTGCCATATAATGCAGATGAAATTAGATTTAAATTTACTTTTTATATTTTATTTTTTTATTTGCTTTGAAATTTCTTATTTGAAAATTTACAACCTGATTCTATCCTTACCTCCGCAATGTATGTCACATTAAAATCAAACAATATCTCTGGTTCTGTCGAGTAACATTTTGTTGGTGGCTGTGACCTCTTCAGATAGGTTGCTGTCATATCCACGCCTGGCAATTACAAAACACAAAACATGATACTCCAAAATTAAATCTACAATATTTATTAAATCTTTGAATTTGTTTGCTTTATTTCTACATATACTGTCCTTGAATAAATTTCATTTTTGCATTTAGGGTCTGGTCATTCAAATCATTTCTACAAGAAAATTTTCTTTGCTTTTTCCACTACCTCAATTCTTTTCTTTCATAAAAAATAGGGGGAAAACAAAGATTTTTTAGGCCAGAATTTTTACACTAATATTTGCCCATTTGTTTTTGATGGGCCTTTTTCAAATAATAATCTTTTTCTTTTGATAATTTAGAATTTTTCCAGAGAAAAGTGATTTTTTTCCCCGTTAATCACCGTCATTACTCCGAGACTCATTTAGAATCACAGGTCTCAAGTTGTCTGAAGTCAAAAGTCCAACTTGCTTTTGACTAAAATTAACCACAACCTATGGTACAGCAATATCTGTATACAGACAAGCCCCCTTCAGAAGTGGTCTCTGAAACTAGGTGGTCACTTGGTAATCTTGGTAAATACTAGCCGAAATATATCGCCGGGCTAAAGAGAACGTCTCTTCAGTTTGATTGGTTGATCCTAAGACTAGCACGCCAGATGTCCTGGTTCAAATCCTAGCCACATCATTGAAATAAATAATGACCTTTGTTACACTGGCATCCAGGTGGTCACTTGAGAGAGGTGGTCTCCAGTAAATGATACTGTAATGGGCTGTACATATCAATCGTACTTGCCAAAACAACTTTACATGACAAAAGTTATTTACCATATCGAGATCTTTTCTTTCTTTTTACAGTTTCATCTGCAATGTTCTCCAAAGACAGAGGCAGGTTACAGGACAAAAGGTCAAGGTTATTTGTACAGATCATGCCATCAACATCACAATCACAGTATGTCTCCATAGTTACAGGCGGGGGCACGTCCTCTGGACAAATTCCATTGTACAGACTCTCTATTCCCATTTCTGTTACCCTATTAGAACACAAATGACAATACTGTAACATCATTAACTTCCGATGGGATTCTCTTTCATCTGAATTCGTCAGTGCTCTAAATGAATTCATATGTCTACAAAATGATAAACAGATAAAAGTTGACATGGCACAAATGGATTTCTTGCACAAGATTTATCCACAAAATCAAGTGCCAAGGAAGATGGAAATTTTTCAAATTCCATTTAACATAAGCTCACTCATCTGACATATCTCCAGGTGAAATCCAGTGTTTTAACCCAATGATGCTTTGGTGAATTTTGCAAATATAAAATTGAGCAGTTATCAAAATACCAATCAGTAAGACAATTTGGAGAGTTAAGCTAGTTTTCTTGGTATATAACCTCATGATAAGCCTGGATTGAATTGTAGTAGCTGGTGGCTACCACATTGAACAACATACAGGAGGCCTATCGCATGCTATCAAAAGCAGACTGCACAGGATGGTCTGTAATCTTATTTTCCTGAGAAAAACAAAAGTCACAAGGAGGGATAAACAGAATACAGTTTGAGTCTTCACATGATGTTGTTAAGATTAATGTTCTACTGACCAAGCTATGGCAACTCCTTAGAAAGAGTTAAGATTATGAAACCAAGAATGGGAGCATGTGAATCTTCTCTTTTGGTATCAGTTAAGGTCATGCAATAAAAGAGCTCATCTAAATTAAATCCAACTTCCAATCAACACACATTTCTATTGAACATTTTAGAATTTTTTGTGTGTTAATTCATAAATACATCAAATCCCACGTAATAAAATGCTTTAAATGCAGTCCTTTTCATAAAATTTGCCTTTCAGCCATTTTCAAAATATTTACGTTCACTTTATCAGTTGCAATTGAAGATTTAACATTTTCCATTGTCAAGGGAGGTAACCACTCTGCTTTTAGGTTTTAGTTTGTATATATTACAAACACATCAAAGAAAACTCTGAAGACTTCCTGATGATAAAAGAGGATTTTTAAGGTAGGAATATTTAAAAAAAAAACTTCCAAGGCTTTCCAGACATGACAGTGAACTCAAAGTATATATAAGCTGAATTCTAGGATTTTCATTTCTGTATGAACCATTTCTTATGAACATGAACTCTACCTCCAACTTCTAGAGAATTCTTTTGGCCGTTTTTCTGTTCCAAAATATTCTGTTCCATCAGGTAATATCAGATCATTGGAAGATTCATCATCAAAATTTCCACATAGACCTGATTGGACAAAAAACATTTCTCAGAGTAAAAGTAGAAAATGCATGTACTGATAAACAGTAAATACTGTATTTCTCATGTAATAATTTCATGTCTTGAAATAAGCCTATCACTGGTAATAATTCCATATTTGGTAATAAGTCTATGACTAGTAATAATCTAAGTTCTGGTAATAAGCCCATGTTTGGCAAAAAGCCCTTACTGTAAATTTTCATTTCTTTCAAATCTTAACCCATTTATTCATTTCTCAACACACTAAAAGAATCCTTATTTGATTTAAACCTTGTTAGTGGAATTTGTGATAACAAAATCAAGTGCCCACATAATTTGGAATGCAGGAAAATGTACCTGATTTTAACAGTATATTGACAACTTAAGCCTGTACAACTACAAAATTTTACCTTCAGCATTGCCATAATCAATTGCAGCAGCTTTGTAAAACACATTGATGAATTCCTTTTTCTTTCCAGCAATCTTCACGGTGACATATCCACCCGTTGGTAGCACAATCTACAGTAATAAGTTCAAGATAACATTTACATCCAACTTACTTTGATCATTTCTATAGTATTATGTTTATCTCTAAATGACCCCCTACTTGCTAACTCTGTCTCTAAGTATTATTTTAAGAATGTTAAGATCATTTCTAAAAAAAGTAACTTTATTGCTTATAATCCTTAGAAAGTTATTGTAACTTGCCTCTACAATTGACATTGCTGAACAAATCACTTAAAAGTCCTTAAATGTACAGTTCTTAAGAAGAAGATTTACTAAGTACAGTCTCTAAGATTAGAGTGTGGTTCTCAAGGAGATTTACAAATCAGTTACAACATCCTTACAATTATAGTCCATCACAAGGTTTTCAAATAACTGATGACAGCATTGACAATTATAGTTCTGAAGAAGAATATAATATCAATGTCTTCCTGAATTTCCTTTCTAATTATTGTTAATTAAAGTCACCAGCATTTACATTCAATTTTCTGATGTAGAACTAATTGCTGACAAACCTTGTAAGCCTTTCCGTTGTTGAAGCTGACAACATAAGTTCCTGCTGTCAGGCCACCATTGACGTACATTCGTGGAATCAGTGGTGCCTTTTTGCCATTATCCTTGTCCCCACATCTGTCAATTACAATGACATCATCACCTGCCCTAACTGCCACTGCACAGTTACATGAAGCTCGACCATTACATCTACGATAGAATGCTCTCACCTGTAAAAAAAAAAAAAATAAAAAAATCAAATGTTTTTCAGTTACTAATGTTGATTCATTTGTAGGAAAATTATTTATATAATAATTTGCAGTGTATCAATCACAAATTACAATAAAGACTGTTCTTTTCAATGGGTTTTGTTTTCTGCTATTTTCAAGAATGAAATGTAATCAAGCACAATTAATATCTATGAAAAGAAAATAACATGAAGACCAATTGGCTGTTTCACGGGAAATACATCTGCTTCGATTTAAAGTATTTAACTATTGAGATAAAAAATCTTTCGTTGCATTTGTATGTTATCTGCAATTTTTTGAAATTACCATGAACAATGAAACTTGTCAATAACTTGAAGTACATTCGAAGGTGGATCTACTACAAAAGGACATGAAACATTAGAGAAACTCTGCATGGGCTGAAGGAAGAACAATCACTGGATAATGTAAAAGTTGATCTTCAAAATTATTCAGTTGGTTGTTTTAGCAGAGTCTATGAAACTAACTTTCCTTTCCTTTAACTATTTAACGTTCACAATTCTCGAAACAACAAAAATTAGAACCCCTCAAGATTAACGACCCTTACAGTCACCTTCAACTTAAGTACAATAGCTACTCTACACAAAAAACTCACCTCATACGGTAAAGTCTTGTGTCTAAATAACACAAATTCACCCTCAAAGAAATTGTCATATTTCCTGTAATAGAAAGAAGATTTTCAATCACCAACCTACTGTATATCAGGATATATTTGCATGGTGCAATCTTTAAAAGAATATTCAAAATGTATGGTTTTCATTTTTTAGCAAATGACATTCTTCTATCTTCAAGGTTCAAGAAAATTGAGAATGCATCTTGAAAAGTAAAATGCTGAAAAATAAATTATTTATTTTAAGTTATAGTCATTTGTGAAAATCGGAAAACATTTTTACATTTACATTAGCAAAGATCTGTGAGCTTAATACTTGGTCTAGAAAGATTCTAACCTGCCATCAAACGTGGTGATGTGTGGGTCATTGACTGATCTACATGAGGCTGTGCGATCCTCATCAATCACTTGAACCTAGAAAAATATTCAGACAAATTTCTAATAAATCTGAAATATTGGGGAAAAAAATTAACATTTTTATCAGTGGAGTTTGGTGGGTGGATAAAAGCAACAGATTTTGCAACTGAAATAAAGATCTGATGTGTGTAGGTTTTATCCCCACTCAGTTAGGCAAGTGTCTCTCAGACAGCTAAGAAATGGACTAGTCTTAGCTGGTTTTAGCCCAATGTCTTGGATTGCAAGTGATGAATCTTCCATATGTTGTTCGGTGACACAGTCACCTGCTTTAGCAAGGTGACCCTGCCTCAAAATGACCTAGACTAATGATGTGACAATTACTCCAGCAAAAATCTTAAATGGTATAGACAGGATGTATTGTACATTTACACAAAGATGGACGAAGGGAGATTACTCACTAATATGGACACTGATGTAAATTGTGTTATCGTAGTGCTATCCCACAGCATAGGTGTCAAAAGAACAGTCTGATCCTGGTCATTGTCCTTGAGACCATCAAGAGTTGCTCTGACCTTGATGCACATCTCTGTCATCCAGTTGTTGTTAGTGATGTAGACGGAACAACTGTCATTGCCGTTAACCTGGAACATGGCCTGTGGAAGCATTCGTCCCGAAGGACAATAATTAAGCATTGCCTCTGAGAAATTATGGGATATCTGGATACTGCAGTTGGCATCCATACCACTGCAGAACATTCTTGGAGGAAGTACAGATTTTATTGACACACATTTGGAAATTCCTCCCTCATACACCTTTATCGTTGTCTCTTCAACCTAAAAAAAACAAAAACAAAAACCATCTTTTAAAAATCTTTCAATCATGAATACCAGAGTAAATATTTAGCAATATTTTATGTTTTAAATAAAACTGATCCTCAAATATCAAAAGATAACCAATGATGGTGGTCTCAGTTTGTAAGACAGAATTTTTTGTTTTACAGTCTAGATTTAATTTCTATTTCTATCCCTATTCATATCAACACTTAACTGGCAACACCAACTTTCCCACTAGATTTTAAATCTTACAAGTGTGAGTGTGTGGTGTCTATCTAGAAGTTCCATCACACACCCTTACTGCATTTTGTCAAAGCCAAATGTAGCTGTTTCAGTGTTTAAAATGGTACCTTACCTGTAAAGAAGTCATCAAGGAATCACTCCATCTCTCAGGCCCCATTGTACTGTTACAATGCTCAGCAAAACAGGCCATCACACCACACATAATCTGGAATATACACCATCTTAAAACATTGTATTAATCTCACAATAAGTCCATGTCAGGTAATAAGCCTGTCCATCTATATTGCAGTTCAGCTAAATTGCTAACAATTATTTCACTGTCCAGCAATAATCCCACACATTACTTCAGGTATGTCGTCACTTGTGGGCTTATTACAAGGCAAATATTGTAAAAAAAAAAAACTAGGCCCCAGTTATGGAAAGCAAGGCTGAAATTAAATGGCGCTTCGTAAAAATTGTAATTTTTGACACTGAAAAAACAACCAGTTTCAAAGAAAAATACAACACTTAAAAATATTGACAAAACTACAGTTGTGAAATGATAAATAATGTTCCCAAATTGGCTGAATTCATGTTTGAAAATTTTACCCTTATCTAGCTTTTAGCAACTGGAGTCAAGTATGTCCAGAGGCAATTTTTTTTTAAAACTCTGCACTGTAATTTTGTTCAAATGATCTATCAATTTCTTTAAATTTTTCTTATTTAAAAATCATGGTCGATATTTTTATTCTGATTTCATTTTAAATTAGAAGATATCTATAGAGCATGAATGCCCTATTTCCATGCATAAAAGTATCACTGAAAAATTTGCGGACGTCAAATGTGACATCTGACTCTTTAATCTTGACCAATTACTGCCTCAATATAAGGTTTCATGATACACTATAGTAAAAATGAACAAAATCTGTTAGGAGGTTTGCAAGATATGACATTGATTTGAAACAGGATTTGATGAAACAGGACAGACACCCATGAGTAACACTATCCCCACTTCCCCACCCTTACCTTGCTACCATAAGTAATTTGTCCAAGCATTTCCTCTGTCAATTTACTGGAGTAAGTTTCGTTGCCCAGGTCCTGTGATATCACTGTTCTGTTATCATTGTACCATATAACCTTGTAAAGATAAGACCTAGTTGTCATGGTAATAGGCTTGTAAGTACAGGTTAATGTGACACTGCCGTTAATGACATCCACATCAATTTCAGGCTCTTCTTCAAATAATGGCACCACTGTATACAAATAAAAAAAAATCAACATCAAAATAAACAGAATAAAATGAATCACAAACAAAATATTAGAAATATATTAAATACATAACCCTGATTTTGTTAATGACATTTTTATCAACATTATGAAAAAGACAATGATTAAATCTGGATTTGACAGACACCTAATTCTCCCAGTTTGTCAAAAACATCTCACTATATCTCATTGTAAAATATTTAAATCTAACTCCCACAAAATATTTCTTTTTTTTTTCTCTCTCTTTTATCTGTAGATCGTCTTATACCATCATTAAATATGATGTCATCAACTTTAAAGCAAACTTTTCAAAATGGGTTTTTCACAATTGACAAGAAATAAGATCAGAGAGAAAAAACATGGGATTTCTGATTATCAGGAAAGTAATTCTACAATAATTTTCTACATCAGGTGATTTTTGATGACCATTAAACACACATTACTTACTGTAGGCAATGTTGAGCTGCTGTATGATATCCAAGGAAGCAGGCGTGACGGAGAACCTATCAATGACCATGTCACAGAAACCCTGTCCAGTGAAGGACTGACCAAAGTAAAAGTTTGTGCCCAATGTCAAACTCAAAGTGCCTCTATCAATGTAATTTGTAGTCCTCGCAACTCTCCTGTCATCTAAATAAAGACCAAGGCCTGTCTGTAAACTCCATGAGAACTGGACAAGATAATAACGTCCAATCTTGAACTTGTTCGTATACACAGTCCATTCTCTGGTCCGTGTTGTGATTCTGCAGTAAAGTTTATTCCTTGTAAACCACATAGCATATCCATAATGACCTGGCTCCTCTCCACCGTTACTCAACACATATACTTTTGTTTCAGTGACAGATCTGATTTCGAGTCCAAATGTGAAGGTCACACCAAGGTTGCATAGTCCTATATCGCCAAGGCAACCACTGGTTTGGTCACCAAGATTGAATGCCTGGTCTACACCATTTAGATGAAGTGCAAAACCTCCAAGTGACCCATACACCAGTTGGGGTGAGCCAATCAGATTGAACTGATAATTACCAGCAAATAAGATGGACAACTCAATCCTCAAAAATAGGAAATAGTGGACAGTGATAGTTCCAGCTGAAAGACAGAATATTTATTTCATTTTCCTATGCCAATTCTAAAAAAACATACGCACACAAAAAAAAAAAAAAAAAAAGAAAAATGATAAAACTACTATAAATATCAAATACTTCAACATCTACTGTAATGCCATACATTTTTGTGAAATTTAATTTTTGTGATTTTTCAAAAAATCACTATTCTGTAGATATTTGATTTGATTCTTGGATAAATGTTGGATACTAAATTTACTAAATATTACGAGAGTTTGTGGACATGCAAATTTGTAGATAAAGAGTATACCCTATGAATTCAACAAAATTCATTCCCCATGAAAATTTATATTTTTACAAAAACCAAGAAAACAATTCTGGGTACATGAAATTTTCTACCTAATTCATCAACGAAAATAAGCAAGTATATCATATAAATTTGAGATCTTCAATTTGTCAAGAATTTAAACACAATGGAGAATTAAGTTTTTTTTTTTAATTTGATACACCTTATAAACACAACAAACTAAAATTCCATGTACTACTAAAATCAAGTATTTATGAACAAATTATGCGGAGGCACATTGAGAGGAATCTTAACTGTTTATCACATTATAATGATATGGGCTAAGGGGCTATAACAGCTGTAGTGCTTCAGTATTACCCAGTCAACAAATAAATGCTTAAATAGACATCAAGATATTGAAGCTGCTGGCCGAGCTGTGTACCTGAAAAGAGGCAACTTAACTATATACTGCCAAATAGAATTCTTGGGGGACTTACAAATTACATAATGAAGTAAAATGCCCAAATTGAATGAAGATGAACCACAGCTGAAATACAAATCAAGTATATATAAAATACGATATTCCTACTTAATACTGGTGACTCACCCTGTAACTGTGTCCAGCTTGTGGTGGACTGGCTAATATCACAGACCTCATTTTCATTGTTTTCATTTACTGCTCCATCCTCATAACACTGAGAATTAATTCTACAGATGTCAGTCTGCAAGTAAAGTTTTATATACATGTACAGTGTATAAAGGTCATTCTAAATTTTATGATTTCAATGTCTTGTAGTGTATTTGATAATAAAGATGGGATTTTCCCCAAAATTTGCTTGGAAATTTTTCTCTTTTTAAGATGTTAAATGATTTTGTCATATTTTAAGTTAGTGAACCATAAACATTTTGGGTTTTTTCCCAATCAACTTTCATAAATAGAATAAAGAATACATAACCAAAGAAAAACAAAACTGTCTTGTAAATTTCTGTAATTATATTCTTGTATACAGGGTATGAAATATTTTTAAAAACACATTTAACTTGAACTTGGAAAGAAAGAGACAGACAGCTGACAGACAGAAGACAGCAAACAGACAACAATCAGACTTACCCGATTTATGCAGTAATCAGAAGAATTGCAATAGGTACAAAGTGAGTCATAAACCACGTAATCCAGTCCATCACTGAAGCTAAGTCCATCATTTGTACACTTCACCACTGCATGAAACAGGTCTACTATTGTTGGCAATATACACAAGATGTCCTCGTACGACTGGAAGGTTGCTATTTCCAGAGTCGTTGGCTATGATAATATAAACACACATCAAGTCACTATATACAGTGGACCCTTGTTTGTCAGGACAGCTTTGTTTCCGACCGAAATTGAGTATTCTGGACTGCCAGGTTAAGAAAATTTTTAAACAAAAGGACACCGTCATTCCCATGCTAAATATAATTTAATATTGATAAAATTTATTGTGCAATTTTGTAAGAATGAAATTGCAATTAATTCTCTTTTAAGATTTTAATATAAAAATCCTAGTCATCTCCCTTTGAATGACTCTTCTTATTGAAAGAAAATGATAAACATTATCCGTAGACATCAGAGAATCTAGAATTGCACATACTGTCACCAGTTAATCAACTATAGTAGAAATTTCCCGAGGCAGCTGAGGATGACAATATATACTTTACAAACTGCCGGCAGAGCCCAAAAGGGGAGGGATTGATGTTCCTCCCATATCAGATAAAAATCAGATATTTGGTCTCCTACAAGAAGCTGATTGAATTTCTAGAAGATTTTGGTGCTCAGAGCAGGCCCTATAAGGTCATACAGGGGCAGCATTTTACAAAGTATAAATTAAGATTCTTTTCCTAGTGGTACCAGTAATCTTTCTTGTCAAGGCTAGTTTGAGCACCACAAAAATATATGGTTTTTACAGTACTATAAAGAACTGACCATAAAGTGTCTTTCAGCAAAAACTTGACCTTATCACTGAATGGCTACACTATGGCCCACAGTGGTACCCCTGCTTGTTTTTACAATGTGAAATCAAAATCATAAAACCATGTATGTGTCCTTCATATCATCTTACCCCATCCATAATGTCGAAAGAACAGGACAAATTGGCAGCAGGCAAGAACCCCAAACCAAAGATGGTAATTCTCTCACAGGTGGTTGTTCGACGATCACATATCTGGCCACGCAGAATATCCACTAGAGATGGAGGGTCAGCCAGGATGATGGCACAGTCATCACCACCATAACCATCAAAGCAGGAACACACCCCTGGGTGGGGTTAAAGTTATAAAATTAAAACTTTGTTCACATTGTTTAAACATATCTTGGGGTGCTGAAGTGAATTTTTACATATATCATTAGACAATACAAAATGTGCTTAATACTAACAAATATTTGCCTGGAAGTCAATCTTATGATGTGTCTGGGAGTCTGAAGGTTACTAATACAAAGATGTGAATGTTAACCAAATACAGAATAATAAAGATGTCTATCAAATCTTACCAGAATATTAAATATACTGTAAACGTATACAGGCAGATAGCTATTTCCACAGTCTGGGGTGTATTTTGCAGTTCTTATAGGCAAACTATACACCTGGGTGTTAGTTCTGAGATTTATGTACATATGCAAACCTGTATCACTGATACCATCTTTAAGAGAAAATCATAAACATGTGGGAGATCTCTACAGCCAAATTGCTTAGGACTGTTTTGTGTAATTTGCCCTTTCAACCTTCTCTCCTCCCCCCAAATCAGAAACAGTCAAGACAGATATGGTACCTTCACTACAGTTGCCTTGGTTACTACATTCGTTAGGACAAATGAGGTCAAAGGTGTTGGGAAACTCCACTTCACCATCATCATCCACAACCCAAAGTGTGATGTTTGTCTCCATAGCCAACGTACACTGTTCTGTGATGTCAGAAAGAGCTGTATCCAACCAGTCTACAAATGTTCCCGTAATCTGAAGAAAAATACCAACATGATAAGAAGATGCTGACAATTTATATCAGTCACAGTGTTGGTAGCAAGCTTACAGTAAAATGTATCACTGTAAACTTACATAATTTTGCAGTAATTTTATTTCAGGAATTCTATTTTAGCACTTTTTGCACTAAAAGTATTTATGCTAAAATAAGATTCCTCTAACAGCAATTCTGAATTTCACTTACATGGCAACCACAGTGGATGCACTATTTCATCATTAGGTTACTTTATCAAAAGTGATGATGCACTAAAATGCTTATAGTATCATAATAATACAACTACACAATAATGAAAAATTATAAAATCTTTCTTCCTTGGAGAATTTTCCATCAGAAAACCGTGTACCTCTGACAGAAGATTTTTTGGATTACGCAGGTATTTTTTGTGTTCCACTTACATGAAAGAAAAGTAATCCTTGTTCTTATCCATCATCCTTCCAATATAATAATCAACTGTTTGCAAAAAAATATAGGTACACGGAAATAAGTAATTCTTATTGTTATCTGATTCTTTTTATCTTCCATTTTACAAACTCACCCCAACATCTGTTACACAGGCATCAACTGTGGCCGTGAAATCAACTCCAGGGACAGACACACAGGCATCCCCAGATGCTGATCCTGATATAAATATTGAACAATTCCCGAATGCCATATCATATGTTATACCAGTTGCAGTGGGGAAAACAGGACCCTGAAAAAGGTAAAATCAAAATCTTTTTTTCCTGTAAATTATTAGGGATTGGCAAAAATTAGAAATGAATGTATAAGCTCATATTTTTTGTATAAAAAGAAGAAATAGCTAGAGCTGTAATCCTAAGGATAACTAATACATCCTTGTTTCATTTTAAAGGAAAATTGGACAATATTTCAATTTCAACAAAACAGAAATCCACCTTAGGTTTCTATTGAAACAGTTCTGGAAACACATGATATAACAAATTGTAAGCTTTGATAAGTTTCACCAGTTGACAAAGTTTTATTGAAATTGTTCTTAAGTAAACACCTGTGTATAGTTGACCAGGTTACCATGGCAAACTAAATGTCTGCATGCTTATATATACATGGTTCCTAATATTCCTGTGTTGTATCATCTATATAATTTCATTGAAATTGTGTAAGAAGTGTAGGAGAAACTCTCTGTAATCTGCATACCAATACAAGCTGTACATTGTAGTTATAATCTCACTTTCTTCTTACCATTTAAACTGAAATTTCATATTCTGTTTGCAGTTTGAACTAAAATCTTGGTCCCCTTCTTTTTCTCTCCATCCTAAATAGCTCTCTATCATCCTAAACAGCTCTCTATATTAGCTGCAAATAACTACTATCAATGACTAAAACTAAAAATGACTATCAGTTACAGAGTTCACAATTCTGAATTAATTCACTTACTTGAGAGTTGTAATTAATGTCGAATTCAAAGAAGATTTGAATCACACTGGAGATACACTTGAGGGGCTGCTCACTTTCTGCTACTAAATCAGCAGTAATGTCTCGTACTGAAACATTGAACAATCACATTGCTGAGTTACTGTTAAGAGTGTGTTGTATGTAAAGGGTTGTGTGTGTGTAAGGGAGTTGGTCGGTGGGGGTGCAAGGGGTGTGTGTGTAACAGGAGTGAGTGGGGTGTAAGGGGGTTGGGTGGGAGGTATGTGGTTGTGTTATGTATAATTATTTAGTATTTTATGTGTGGGTGTGTGTGAGTGCGGGTGGTGGTGTGGGTGTTGGTGTGAGGTGTTTTGGCATGGGTGGGAGGAGATAACATTTTCTACCAGTTAAGTCTTTTATCAAAATATGTATCTTTAGTACATTATATTTTGATTAAAATACATATTCTTCTTGGTACATTGTCTATACCCATGGTTCTACCATTTTCATTTCATGTCTCTGAAAAAAGAAGCACATGTTTTCTTTTTGAAAAGTACACCAATTTAAATATTTACAGAATTAATCAATATATTTAACATGATAAATGTTGTTATTATGTTAATGTGCCTCTAAATCATAACACCAGATATCAATCATAAATACACTCCATATTTGCCTGAATATCATTACACATCAAATGTCTAATATCTATGTATATTCATGTAATATTGTAAAGGGCAGTTTTCTACCATGGTTCAAATTTTTGTGAATTTACCAAAAACTTAAAGCAGAAAACAAGCATTTTTTTCAATGGAAGTCATGGTGAAACAAACTATGAATTTTTCTATTAACTTTTATTTCTAAGTTGTCTTTTTTACAATTTAACTCCATTCTTGCAAAAAATAGAAGAATCCTTCAAAGGCAACAGAAGCAGTCACTTCTGTGCTCAAATTGTAAAGGTAAATTTCTGGTAAACTACATGGTGCACTACAGAAGAGCACTGGTATAACGCATTAGTGATTCACCAGATTACAATTTCTTTGTACAATCAATCAAACATCAAAGTCTGACATCCACTCACCTCGTCTGTTTCTCCTATTACGGATGATTCCACAGTTGACGACATCATTGCCAATGCCACACTGCGGTTCTTCATTGAAGAAACAGTCACAGGAGTAGCCACCATTACTGGTAAGGGAATTCTGGAACTCCAGGTTGGTCTCACCACAGAAACCATCATACAGAGTGTCACTTAACTTTACTCTGGCAGAGAATAACAAAAATAAAAATTTCTACAACTTTGCAATAGTTTTCTTTTGTTTGCAAATGAAATTTGAATTAATCATAAGATACATTTGTTTGAAACCCAAGTGAATCTTTTATAGATAGTCAAAGTGATGGATTAATTAAGAACTAGGATTATGATCCTCATCTTGTGACCTTGTTCTTGAAATACCAGGTAGGTCTTTTGTAAAATACAAAACCTTTGAAACTGAGACTTTATATGGAAAACCATACTTATGTCTTTTATGAGATTAAATCTTATTTACAATCAGTCAACTATAATGATACACAAAACTTAAGACATGTATTTCTTGTATTGATCTGGCAATAAACCCATGTCCTGAAATAAACTCCTGTTCAGTAATAATCCCATGTCCAGTAATAAACCCATGTCAAATAATAAGCCCATGTCCTGAAATAAACTCCTGTTCAGTAATAATCCCATGTCCAGTAATAAACCCATGTCAAATAATAAGCCCATGTCCTGAAATAAACTCCTGTTCAGTAATAAGCCCATGTCCAGTAATAAACCCATGTCAAATAATAAGCCCATGTCCTGAAATAAACTCCTGTTCAGTAATAAGCCCATGTCCAGTAATAAACCCATGTCCAGTAATAAGCACATGCCAAGTAATAAACTCACCCATGAAGTTGCTGTTTTCAGCATTAATAACAAAGGTTATTTCATGATATTCTGATATATACCCCCCAACCCTTCCACTTCACACTGAGTCAGACCTATATTGAACATGTATGGTACAGTTACAATTGAAAAACAAGAGAACACAAAGGAGTCTGGTGCCTGTTAGTTTTATCTTCTGTTTTCTCTGTTTTTGCACTTCATTAATGAAATTTGAAAATTTCTCTAAGAAATACCAATCTTTGACTAAACGTCCAAGATGGCTGTCTGACAGTCATTCTGTTTTTCTGATCCATCTCAAAATTGATAAGCCACAACTAAAGACTAAAGGGAGGAAACCTACACATGAAATTTGAGAAAGATCCATCCAGTGCTTCTAAAGAAACAACAATAATACTCATTCCTTTTTCAAAAATCAAAGATGGTCACCTCTTGTCATCTGGTTTTCCAATCAATCTCAAATTTTAGAATGATCTACTTTCAACACTGCTCTAGAAATAGTGATGACAAAATATGACTGTCAAAAGACCAAAATGTGGGCTTTTCTGATCAGTTGAAAAATGAAAATATGGAAAGGCTGATTAACAGGGTTAGCAGGTATGGACAGGTAGTGTCAGGAGGTAGGCTTACCATAGGACAATGAAAAAGCATCAGTTTGTTATCTATCATGTATATGTAGAAGTTTAGAGTACACCTTATTGGCCTTGGCTAGAGGGAATATTCCCTTAGTTGAGCAGTAGAGTGTGCCACTAGAAATCGAAGGGTTGATTATTTGAACCACAGCAGTGGCAAGGTGTTTTTCGTTACTTTTTTCTATAACATAACATATATTTATCCCACTGGCAGAAGCTGAAAAAGGCAGAAAGGCATGGCAGACAGTCAAGTGCTTTTGCTATTTTATCAGATTGATTCCTTCACAAAGAACTGATTTTCATCCTGTATACTATATACATATATATGTGGATGGACTAAGACAGTACCAGACTTAATATCTAATAAATACTGTAGCTTAATATGGGATCTGTATTGTTAGAAACTATTTTGATACAAACCTCCAAGTGACTGAGAATGAATCAGGCTTTTTGACTGGTTCAGTAATATTTCCATCTGGGGACATCAGATCGTTGTCTTGTACACCATCAAAGTTACCGCACAGACCTAAAAAGACACGAACCAATTCATAACATGACTCAGAAGAAAAACCAAAACATTAGTTAAATTAAATAACCTTACTTAAATGACATGCTGCTAAAATACTTTCTTTCGGGTGCTTATAATCCTAATATAATCACAGTGATACCTCTCTATTAAGACTACCTGGGGGTCAGAGTTTGATTCATTTGGTTTTAACCAGCCTACAGCCAGTATAGGGCAACAGCCAAATGAAGGTCTCAATCCTGCGACTGAGAGGTGGAGGGCTAGTGATAAAGGCACTCAGCAGCCCAGTGTTTATGCTACCTTGATTTTACAGCAGCCTCTGCCTTGTTGAATTGGAAAATTATTGTAGGATTGCCAGAAAAATTGGGAAAATATTTTTGAAATTTGCTTCATTTTGGGAAAAGAACTCAAATTTTGAATAAGGAAAACAGCCTTTTTGTGGCCGTAAAATAGGGCAAAGAAATCACTGCGGCCTCAACCACTCAGCCACCGCGGTCCTACAGGGGGTCAGAGTAAACTTGCTTAATAGTGGGGTGGTCTTAATAGTGATGTGTACCAGAATGGCCTCTGACCTTCAAGAACTATGCAATTTTTAAAATCGCTGAAGATTTTTCATTTGTGTCATTAGTGAAAGGTCGCTATGATGGGGTCAATAATCTTTAGTTAGCAATCTTTGGGACTACTAAAACTGGTCATAATACTGAATAGCAAGGTGGTTGTATACTGTAGTGACCAATACAAAGATATATAAAGAAAAAAATAACAGGACTGAAGAAAAGATTAAAAATGCTGGTAAACGCGAGGTGGTCATATACTTTGGTGACTAATACAAAGATAAATAAAGAAAAAAATAACAGGACTGAAGATAAGATAAAAAATGCTGGTAAACGCGAGGTGGTCATATACTTTGGTGACTAATACAAAGATAAATAAAGAAAAAAATAACAGGACTGAAGATAAGATTAAAAATGCTGGTAAACGCGAGGTGGTCATATACTTTGGTGACTAATACAAAGATAAATAAAGAAAAAAATAACAGGACTGAAGATAAGATAAAAAATGCTGGTAAAAGCAAGATGGTCGTATGCTCTGGTGACTAATACAGAGACATATAAAGAAAAATAACATGGATTGAAAGAAAGTAAAAAATGATTGCAAGGTAGTTGTAAGTTTGAAGTGACCATTACGGGAGGTTTCAAAGTAGTTTTCAGTATAAGAAAATGACTGATACTGGTTTATATTTTTTCTTTTCAAAATTAGATTTCATCTCTTAAATCCTTTCAAGTCTCACGAAACACAATTTGAAGGTTTGGTTTAGAAAAACAATGAGGTCTCTATCATTCAGTTTAAATTTTCCTAACATGGAAAAGTTTCTTGAACACCATATCCATGTACACGGTTCTGCTGTAAACTTTCAACTTAATCAGTTACCTTTGAAGTAGAACAGTATTTCCCCTATATAGAAAAACTCTCAGAATCATTCAAATAACATCAACTTCCATGGTGCTTCATTGTAAACATTATTATTTACAATCACTGCCAGTATACAGAACCAAACAAAAGAATGACATAATATGGTTTACTGAAACTTTATGCTATCTTCTTTAGTAAAGTTCTCTTGAATAAATCTACATGCAAGTCTGTGGTCAGATAAAAGACATGGTTTTTTGCCTATGGTTGTAGTCAGTGTTAACATAATGAAAATTATTTCATTCTACTTCATAATTAAGTTTTCCAAATAAAATGAAATTCAAGGACATCTTTCTAACTCTTAATGTCTGTCCCAGCTATGTAGAATGTTGTCCCTTTTTTAAAATCTCATCAATATGGAAGATATATTTTGTTTTACCTTCAATATTTTCTATGTCGCTGGAAGCTGACTTCATCCACACGTTCATGAATTTCCCTCTCTTTTTGGCTGTCACATACGCACCATTTGGAAGGTAAATCTGAGTGACAAAATTCTTCATAAGTCAAAGTCCTTGTATTGTAGCCTATTTTTTTTAATTCTTTCAAAAGGCCCATGGGGTCTGCCTGGTCTAGTACCGACAGTTATTGAAGGACAATTTCTGAATTTTGACCAATCAATGACAAGTATATGCTGGCCAATTTGTCCAATCTAAAAATGGCAGCTGCAGTAGTGTTTGTATTACCATTATAAACCACCATATAAATTCTAGTTCAAAATCTGACAACATCATAACATTATGAGATAAAAGATGCTTACTACAGAATTAAGCTGAAATAAACTGAGCCATTCTTGAGGACAAGTCTCTAAATACCTGCCCATCTTATATGTATCTTTGAAAATGAGTTAGTAAGTTCCAATGTTATTTGACATCTTTGTGCAACAATGAATCTGTTTATATCAAATTTTATTATTATCCTTCTGTCAATATTGATGGAAAAGTCTTTGAAACATATGGAAATACCCTGTTTTTATGAAAGCTTACAATATATCTATTTCATAATCTACCTCATACATACACTTTTTATCAGTGGTACCTGACTTCACAAAAGATAATTTTTATCAACTTTTTTTAACCTAATGATGTCATTATTAACAACCGAAATCAACATCATAGAAATGAAATTTGTGAATGACTTGTTAATAAACACGAAACAACTTGATTTACAGTCCAAAAAGTCTCCACGACAATGAAACTTACAACATAAGTGGAGCCACCGTTCTTCTGATATATGTAAGTCCCAGGCGTCAACTCTCCGTTTAGGAAAATCTTCTTCACCATTGGTCGAACTCTGTCTGTGTTTGTTGGGCCACAGACGTCCAACACAATGACATCGTCACCTGATTGTACAGCTACAGCACAGTTACACGAGGCATGTCCATTGCAGTTTCGATAGAAAGTGTGCACCTGAAAAGTTTAATAGGAAGTAAAATACATTTTCCAAACTACTCAAAACTGTTAAGAGACCATCCTTGTGAAGAGACCATCTCCTGTTTAGAGATTCAATTGAACCTGAATGTTCTTATAAATTTCAGAAAATATTTCCTCATTGCTACAAATGAGGTCTCTGATTAAGAAATTAATCAATTGTAATGGGTTAAAATTGACATGAATAATAGAAGAAAACAAGTTAACACCAGAAAAGGGAAATGAAACTTACTGCGTAGGGTAAATTCTTGTGTTTGTACAGTACAAATTCACCCTCAAGGAAGATATCATACTTCCTGAAAAAGAAATTGTAATTGAATTAAAACAAGAAAATTATCTCTTAGACGTGAATGCCCTTGCTTCAAGACATTAGTATCACTGTATGACTAACTTGCAGAATTTGTTCAATGTGAACTTTGACACTTAAACACTGACCTTTGAACAACTTGCTATAATTAGGTGTCACACTTCATTTTACCTTACTAAGGGCTAAATATGAACCAAATCATATAAAGAATTTCTTGAGATATCGGATAACTGGTAATTTTAACGGGTCAAAATTTTTCAAAAATTTCTTTTAAGACAATCAAATTATATTTCGCCCAAATTAAAATTTGACAATCTTGATATAATCTTTAATACACTTGCTTCATATCATTTAACTGATGAAAAATTTTCGCAATCCTGTTGATTTACAATGAAAGAGTAAAAATATCATCCCCATGAAAATAAATGGCTATATGGCTTATGACTAAATGCCTGCTCATGAAATTTAGAAAATGTAGACATTTCTCATTTTTTATTTTGCATCCAATATCTAAACATATCTGTTGAATTGAACACATCAGAGGAAGATATGAAATACAGCCAGTTACAAGAGTTAAACTTAAAAGTAATGAACTAATTTTCATCAGCAATAGTTTAAATGCTACGAAACTTGTATTTAATATATATACTTATACATCATAGTCAAATTTTTCAACGATTGAAAATTTATACTCCATAACATTTTCCAGCATTCATATGTATATTTCTGTACAAATTATATTTCTGGAAAAGATTTAAAACACCTGAACATTTGCTTTAAATGTTGGTATATAAAGCTTCAAAATATTCAAATTATTAATTTATAGCTCAATAAATGCAATTCTTCTTGTAATATTCATCAATAAACCACAAAAAGAAAATGTTAATATAAACTATTTTAGAACAGCTTCAATACCAAAAATAACTGTCAAAGAGCTGACAAAGAAAGTAAAACTTACAATCCGTCAAATGTAGTCATGTGAGGATCATTTATAGATTTACAAACGGCCGACTTGTCACGATCTTCCACATTCAGTTGAATACGATCTGTGAGGTACTTGGTCAATGAACTTGCAGTGTTCACTCGTATCTCCACTTGAATGGACTTCCGCTGGTCTCCATCATTGATGCCATCAATTTTAGCCAAGATGGGGATTTTGATATCTTCTTGCCAGGTAACATTAGTGGTAGCCATGGCACCACAAACAGTCATGTGTCCAGTCAAATTGTTTACTGCAGCAGGGAAGACAGCCTGTGCTATCGGTGGACCACCAGGACATCTCTTCTCCTTGTTCGGTAGTAGTGATGTCCACACAGATATATTACAGTTGTCTAATCGGTCAGCAACCTTACACAGAAGTCTCGGAGGAACCATGCTCCGGAATGTCAGATATTTGAATTCACCACCCTCTAAAATATTCACTTCCTCTGTGATGGTCTACAATAAAGTATCAGACAAATGTGTATCACATATCATAATATCGTATGTAATATAGCACCTGCATTAAATTATCTATACTTGAAAAACAGATATTAAATTTACATCTGTAGTACATATATTATATATCTACACATTTATTTAACTGTTATAAATATGTATCTATTACATTGATATAACTACACCTTTATTACAATGTTATAACTACACCTGTATTACATAGTTAAAACTTCTCCTGTATTACATTGTTTTAACTACACCTGTATTACATTGCTTTAACTACACCTGTATTACATTGTTTTAACTTCCCTTGCATTACATTGTTTTAACTAAACCTGTATTGCATTGTTATCACTACCCCTGTATTACATTGTTATAACTACACCTGTATAACACTGTTCTAACTACACCTGTATTACATCGTTTTAACTACACCTATATTACATTGTTTTAACTACAATTTTATTACATTGTTCTAACTACCCCTGTATAACATTGTTATCACTACCCTGTATTACATTGTTTTAACTACACTTTTATTACATTGTTTTTACTACCCCTGTATTACATAGGTTATCACTACACCTGTATTACATTGTTTTAATTCCACCTGTATTATATTGTTATAACTACCATAATGTTGTACATATAGAGCACACTTTTTGAGGTAAAAACTGTCATCAGGCACCTTCTAGAAGTTGTTCACATATAGTAATTAAATGCATTAAGGTCACGCTCATTGTGGTTTCCTTATTATCCATGGATCAAAATATCAACTATTGCAATGCCGTAACAGGTAATCATATAAATATATCTTTTTAAACCTGACCCCAAAAAATGTACCTGCACATTATACCCAAGTGTGCACTATACCACTATACATCAGTATTACAATGTTACATCTGCACCTATATCAAAATGTTATAACTCACCTGAATTATGTTATAAACAATATTGCTGTAACTGGGGGTTCCTTTGGTGATGTCACAATTGTAGGCAAAACAGGCAGAAACTTTACAGTAAAGCTGTAAAAATAAATCAATTCATCTGAATAAAATGTGTAAATTATTTATCAAAAGATTTTCAAATCAAAAATTAAAAGTAAATTTGTCAGGGATGTTGCAATCTCCTCTTCCAATGACCTTGAAATGAAATTACTTCAACTATCACATATTTAAATCAATTATGTAATTTGCCAACAGTCCATACAAAAGCTCTCAATACTTGATTTTTCAAAACATAAAGCTACATTACAAGGTGACCTTGACACTGCATTACAAGGTGACCATGACCTTCCTTAACTTAACCTAGTCCAGTGTGGAACTCCATTTATCTTGTGTGTGACCAGGTTGTAAAGATTTAAAGATCAACCATGCATGTTTCTGTAAATCACCAAACTTGGTGTAACCTTAACCTCCGTAAATTACCCTGTAAAATAATGACACTTTACTCTTCATCATTACCTTGACCTTTATTACTCACCCCTGTTCCATATTCAGGCTCTCCGTACATTTCCTCTGAAAGTGTAGCTTTGTAGTCATCTCTTGTAAGGTTCTGAGTGAGTAGTTTAGATTTTCCAAGATACCAGTCCACACGATACTCCACGTTCGCTCGTAATTGCTGGAAACGACATGTAAACTTGGCCTTGCCGGAGTCATCGTCCATATCGACAGTGAGAGTAGGAGCAATAGAAAAGTTTGGCAATCCTGCAAATACATATCAGTCATTCAGACTCCACTCAGGTAAGTGTCAAAAGTTCAAGTTTTCTGAAATTTATTCAACTATGCTGTAAATCAGGTATATAAAAATCATGAAATTGTGAAATTACTTATGATAAAATAGAAATATTCTATAACTTCATTTCCCTGTAAGTAAAGGTCACTTTACTAAGTCGCGACAACCAGAGACTGTCCTTTCACCAAGCAGTATGGTGCCTGCCATGAGAGCTAAAGGTCCATAGTTCAAACCATAGTAGGGTAAGAAGATACTTGTCTTCACATTTTTCTCTTGCAGATTTTGTTCGTGACCATTAATTTGTTATGTAATTCCACTTACCTATGACAAAGCCGAGATATGACAGAACTTCCCTTGAAGCCAGAAGGATACTCCAGTATTCTAACTCCATTTCGGTAAATGTTCCAGTAGAGTGTGGTGCTCCAACAAACAGATTACAGTCCACAGGATCTGGCACGTTCCGGTACAAAAAGTCGGTAGTGCCAGCCTTTGCCTCATAATCAACAAACATATGAAGTCCAAATTGCTGACTCCAAGACACATCAAAATGATAAGAAGTGTTGACACTGACAGCAGTTGAGACAGTCCATTCCTTGGTACGGGTGCTCACAGTGAAATACACTTGGCCATTACGGTAAAACATGGCATATCCGACAGATGCAGGTTCGTCGCCACAGTTTGTGTATATGTACATATCATCCTTGAGAGATCTAAATTGCAGAGACAAACTGATTGTTACACCTAAGGTACACGCATCTGGATCTTGCAAACAATCATCAACGTTGGACGAAATGTTGAAAAACTGGTTGACTCCATTGAATTCTATGGCGTTCCTGCCATTGTCATTAACATTGATGGTCAAGCCTCCTTCCAAAGGAATTCTTCCAGCATTGGTTATTAAGTAGTTTTGTTCAATAAACAGGAAGATCAGGTCATACCAACTAATTGAAGTCACTAAAAGTATCAAATATTGGGTGAAAACACATGCATACTAAACATATCATATTTTGCCAAAAATAACATTGTTACCTTGAATATTCATGTGACTAACCTTGAAAATTTATTTGGGGCTGTAACTCTGAGTATTCCATACTGTTAATAAGAAAGTCAATAATATTTCCAGGTTTCACTGTTAACTAAATGAAATTTGAAAATTCCTCTCAAAAAATAGCAATAAAATCTTTGACTATTTTCAAAAGAAATAATGATAACAAACTTACACTGAAAAAATTCAATATGATTGCCTGTTAGCCATTTTGTTTTCCATGATCATATTCAAAATCCAAACAGGCACAACCAGGGAAGCTACACATCAAATATTCTTTCCTTCCACGACATCTCAAGAAATAGCAGTAATATCCTTAATTTGTAAAATTAAAGATGGCCACCTCTCAGCAATTTTGTTTTCCCAGTTAGACTCAAAATTCAAAGGGCATACAACTTTCTCAAGAATTTCTCAAGAATCAGCAATAACAAACGTCAAATATCATAATCCAAGATGGCCACCTGTCAGCCATTTTTTTCCTAATCAGAATGAAAACTTTAACAGGCACAGTTAGTGACCAAGACCCTATACATTAAGTTTGCATCCTTGAAGTACTTGTCAAGAAATTGCAATGACAAACTTCCTCAATCAGTCTCAACTTTGATTGCACACAATAGGGAACAAAGTGTAACTTACATATGAAGTTTAAGAAATATTCTTTCAGTACTTGTTAAGAAATAGCAATAGCAATCATAGTTTATGGACAGATGACAGACTACAGATGAAAAGCAATTTGACAATGATTGGTTAAAACTTTTTAGCTCACCACATGTTCAAAAGCATTTTAAGTGAAACAAATGCCCTCACACTAGGAATAAATTGGAAATGCAAACATGATTTAAAGGACGTGAATATCCAATAATAATCTTTTCCTAGTTAAGAGGTGGGCTTATTATCTGACATGACTTTATTGCTGGATAAATACTGAAGTTACTATTTAAAGGTCACTGATGTATCAAATTATATTTTCGCTCTAATATCAATAAGAAAAAAGTTGAATGCAAATATATATACAGAACGACCCCACCTCCCTGTCATCCAATTAAAGGGAGGCTATTTGAAAGACATTGCCATACTCACCACTGATAATCGTCCAGTCAGACTTGGACACAGCAACCCTGCATCCTAAAGAGGGGTCTCTGGGGTTCACGTACCAGTTATCATAGCACACTCCATCAATCACACACACATCAGTCTGTGGACAAAATGAAGCTGCACTTTACAAATACATATTAAACATATATTATTTTAATGGGTGTGACACAACAGTGACATATTCAAAATTAGGTCTCAACAAATAAATATCAAAATTATTATAAGTCATTTTTGAAAGACAAGTAAAATTAGAATTTAAAGCCAAAGTTTTTTTTCAATATTCTCTGCTTTCACATCAAAAATTGTGAATGAAATGCATTAAAGACATAACTAAGGGAAAATTAAATAATCCCTCCTGTTTGGACACAAACCCCACCAGACCAATAATCCCTCCTGTTTTGGACACAAACCCCACCAGACCAATAATCCCTCCTGTTTTGCACACAAACCCCACCAGACCAATAATCCCTCCTGTTTTGGACACAAACCCCACCAGACCAATAATCCCTCCTGTTTTGCACACAAACCCCACCAGACCAATAATCCCTCCTGTTTTGCACACAAACCCCACCAGACCAATAATCCCTCCTGTTTTGGACATAAACCCCACCAGACCAATAATCCCTCCTGTTTTGCACACAAACCCCACCAGACCAATAATCCCTCCTGTTTTGCACACAAACCCCACCAGACCAATAATCCCTCCTGTTTTGGACACAAACCCCACCAGACCAATAATCCCTCCTGTTTTGCACACAAACCCCACGAGACCAATAATCCCTCCTGTTTTGGACACAAACCCCACCAGACCAATAATCCCTCCTGTTTTGGACATAAACCCTAGCAGACCAATAATCCCTCCTGTTTGGACACAAACCCCACCAGACCAATAATCCCTCCTGTTTGGACACAAACCCCACCAGACCAATAATCCCTCCTGTTTTGGACATAAACCCTAGCAGACCAATAATCCCTCCTGTTTGGACACAAACCCCACCAGACCAATAATTCCTCCTGTTTTGGACATAAACCCTAGCAGAACAATAATCCCTCCTGTTTGGACACAAACCCCACCAGACCAATAATTCCTCCTGTTTTGGACATAAACCCAAGCAGACCAATAATCCCTCCTGTTTGGACACAAACCCCACCAGACCAATGATCCCTCCTGTTTTGCACACAAACCCCACCAGACCAATAATCCCTCCTGTTTTGGACACAAACCCCACCAGACCAATAATCCCTCCTGTTTTGGACATAAACCCTAGCAGACCAATAATCCCTCCTGTTTGGACACAAACCCCACCAGACCAATAATCCCTCCTGTTTGGACACAAACCCCACCAGACCAATAATCCCTCCTGTTTTGGACACAAACCCCACAAGACCAATAATCCCTCCTGTTTTGGACACTAACCCCACAAGACCAATAATCCATTCTGTTTTGGACAAAAACCCCACAAAACCAATAATTCCTCCTGTTTTGGACACAAACCCCACCAGACCAATAATCCCTCCTGTTTTGCACACAAACCCCACGAGACCAATAATCCTTCCTGTTTTGGACACTAACCCCACCAGACCAATAATTCCTCTTGTTTTGGACACAAACCCCACCAGACCAATAATTCCTCTTGTTTTGGACACAAACCCCACAAGACCAATAATTCCTCTTGTTTTGGACACAAACCCCAGAAGACCAATAATTCCTCTTGTTTTGGACACAAACCCCACAAGACCAATAATCCCTCCTGTTTTGGACACTAACCCCACAAGACCAATAATCCATTCTGTTTTGGACAAAAACCCCACAAGACCAATAATTCCTCCTGTTTTGGACACAAACCCCACAAGACCAATAATCCCTTCTGTTTTGGACACAAACCTCACAAGAGTAATAATTTCTCCTGTTTTGGACACAAACCCCACCAGACCAATAATCCCTCCTGTTTTGGACACAAACCCCACAAGACCAATAATTCCTCCTGTTTTGCACACAATCCCCACCAGACCAATAATCCCTCCTGTTTTGGACACTAACCCCACCTGACCAATAATCCCTCCTGTTTTGGACACAAACCCTACAACACCAATAATCCGTACCCTTTGGACACATCCTGTGCTTGTACAGTTGAGACAGATGCCGTTGTAGATGAAGTAAATGTTAGCCTCACTCTGGATAATGCCGTTGTTGCTAACAGTGACATTATAAATGCCATCGCTAGGCAACAAACATTCCACAGTTTCAGAGTTGAAATAGACTGCCTGAGAAAATCCCTCGCTTTCCACAACTGACAAATTCATCTAGAATGTTAAAAAAAACATAATAATAATTACCAGAGATACATTGAAGAATTATTCAATTTTAGAAAACAGGATACAAAATCCTCAAAACTTTGTAATATGATGGATTAAGGTGGAGAATTAATCTAGTGCATATTGAATAGCTCAACAGTTGCATTAAATATTATGCTGAGCTCAGGATATTCAAATATGCCATCCTGTAAAATTTTTTTTACATCAAACTGCAACTGTCTGCTTCTAAGAGTAGGGATAATATTTACAGAGTATCTTATTACTTAAAGAGGTTTAAATATTTGATGTCTGAGACATTTCAGTGCCTTTTTAAAGTCTTACACATTAGACATTTACACATCAGAGATTTATTTGTTGAGAAAGACATCTCATTATGAAATAGGTGGAGTTTTAACTTAATCTTTTTTTTAACCTTTGTCCCTTTTTTCTTGATTTTACCTGATTTATCAAAAGTGATTTTATTTTGGAATTGTGCAAAAAGATTTTGTTTAATGTTTATCAGGAATATGGTAATTCTTTCATAATAATTTGCAAAGCTCTAAAAAGAGATATATTTTCCTTGTGACTATCCAAATTCTCATTGTTATATCACAAAGATGTAAAAAAAAACACCTTAACTTTAATTCTGACTACGTCAATATAAATCTCTTAGAGATTTTTCCTTTGGATTAGGATTTTCCTTAAAATTTACATTTCACCGGGTAATGGGGTGACTTGAGTACTGTTTATGACATCACTAAACACATTTCAGCCTGTTACTACACTAAGTTGGGGTTTTTTCATGTTAAACCAATTTTCTTGATGTATTATTTACAATAACTTTAGCATGCAAATATGGTACCTACACCCATCTTTGTATCCCAAAAATAAAAGATTAAAAAATCCCGCCCTCCCTACGATCCCATGAGCCATCATGGTAGAGACATAGAGTGTGATCTTCCGGCCTCTAAAAAACCTTTATGGAGCCCAATTAAGGGGCAACCAAGCAGAAAAGGAAGAGGGGAGGATAGGGTGGAACTCCAAAACGTTATGGTAAGTATATCATGAAAATAGGTTTACATGAAAAAACCTCAATTTCATTTCAGTAATAATTACCATAACTTTAGTATGCGAATTCGTCTTACCGTAGTGGTGACTTGATGCCAGGCAGGCCAGGCCAGGCCAGGCAGCCCATCCAGCACAACAGAAAAATAGAAGGGAGGGGAAAATGCCAGAAAAGTTGCAAGGTCCTCCCCATGTAGGAGTAGGTGCTCCAACGTGCTGCTATACAGAAAGACATGGCCCAGGACTAACAAGGAGGCACAGCCACTGACTGTGCCACCACAAGAGGTCCAAACGAATACAGGCCTTCATAATGGGAAGCTAGGGATTACAGATAAAAATCTGTGAAAGTATCCCTACCACTCCAAATGGTGGCAGACACAACCTCCTAAAAGGAGGGCCCATTAAGCAGGGCCCTAACCTCATGAGCCTGCACCTTCACTCTTGGAAACCGACTGGCAGGAGATATCTCGTCCCTGTTTGATGGGCAAAAACAGACAAGATTGAGATAGTCAAAGCAGTCTATCTTGCTCCTCCGCGTTAGTCAAAGCCGGAATTCTAATGGGATCGGGCAAGAACCCTGGGACCTAATTATTAGCTAAGAAGGAAGGATCAGTTAGGCGAGTTACGGTAGCATAGCCTCTGGACCACTGTAGGCAAGAAGGCAGCGACGACCAAGCATGGACTTCACTCCTCCTATAACCAGAGGCCAGAGCCAGAAGGAAGACTGCCTTGAAAGTAATGAATTTTAACAAGGCATACTCCAAAGGCTCATAAGTCATAAGTCCCTAGTCAGGGAATCTAGCCCCAATGCCAGATTCCACTGTGGAGCTAGTTGCCCAACTCTGGGTCTATCCAGAGCAAAGCCTCTGATTAGGGCAGAAAGAAAGGAGGATGAAACTATCTCCTTCCTGCCGTAAACAGCAAGGACACTGGCAATAATGGTACGATAACCAACTATAGTGCCAGGGACCAGATTGCGGTTTCTAAACAAAGAGAGTAAGAAGTCTGTAATCAGCTGCACTGAGGCTTCAAATGGACCAACCTCCCTGCTGACACATCAATAACAAAAGATCTTCAATCGCGACTAGTAGATGGCAGAAGAGGAAGCTGTGATAGATTGCACAATGCAATCTGACACCTCTCAAGAAAAGCCTGCCTTAGCGAAACTTCGTGAGATAGCCTCCACGCGCGAAGGACCTCCTCATCTCTAGCACATGGAGAGCTCCAAGAGCTCTTCCCCAGACCACTCCTGCGAGGGGCACTTGCCGTCAAGGTAAGCTCCCCGTGTCATGGATGCATCCGTGAACAGGGTCATAGAGAGAACTGGCTTGGTTAGAGGCACCCCACGGAGAATGTTCTCCTAAATGGTCCACCAACGAGCGAACTCCCTGATCGACTGGGTAAGAGGAATCCAGGCCTCCCAATCCCTAGACAAAGGACAGGGGGAACATCTAAAGGTCTGATGTGAAGCCTCCCTAGGGGGACCACATCTGCTTGGGAGTTGAGATACCCCAGAAATCAGGAACCAATGCACCTGGACATGCGACTAAGCAATGAAGGTCAGAGCCAGTGCCCTGGCCTTGTCTAACTTCTCCAATGGTGGAAGGGCTAAGCCCTGAGCTGTATCAAAACGATTCCCTCAGGAAAAGGAAGTCTGGAGATGGGGAAACCTCTGACTTATCGCAAGAAGGAAGAAAGCCGACTTTGAGTAAGACTTTCACTCAGGTGAAGCATGAGGGAATAGTTGAAATAGATGTGGACGTCTATTCCACAAGAGTGAAGAAATCCCATGACCACCTGCTGCAGCTTTGTGAAAACCAAAGGCGCTGTCGTAAGCCCGAAAGGCATGGGCCGGAATTGGAAGACCTTGCCGTAGCATGTAAAAGTCTGGAACTTCCATGCCGACTTCCTGATGGGGATATGGAAGTAGGCATCCTTCAGATCTCTCACAGACAATGCCCAAACTTCTTCCATTATCTCCCACCACTGTGGAAGAAACACAGAGAGATGCTCTCCCACAGGGAGCTCCAGATGGGGCAGACTGAGACCCTGCCAGACAAGAGAATTGTCTGCCCACCTGGAGCCCAATCCTGCAGGACAGGAACAAGAGCTTGAGACAGGAGGACCGTCGTCCACCAGACCGGCTCTTGGTCTGCCACTGCTAAGAACCAGAAGGAGACAGGAATCCTTCTTTTTGCCCTGAGGAGGGTTCTTACTCTTCCTACCCTTCCCCTTATTGCCCTTGAAGCGAGACTACGACTTGGGCTGTGCAAAAGGCTGAGCAGCCGAAGACTTTGCCCTCATCTTGGGAGATGCTGACCCCTGCAAGGCACTGGCCTCCTCAGTCTGGAACCTCTTCACTAAAAGTGTGACTGAATCCTCCTTCATATCCTACTGAACAGAAGGAAGAGCTCCCCCAAACAGGGTAGAGCCTGAGAAGGGGGCAGTCAATAAACGGGAGAGATAGGGTTCCTCAACTGGGCGGTTCTTCAAAACTGAAAAACACCTAGCCAACATGATATTGGCACTGGCAAAGCCGTCAATGCCCTCAATGCTGCATTCATGACAGAAGTTACTAGGTCCTGGATATCGGACTGTTCTGCCGACCCATAGGCAAGTCAGATACCCTATATAGACAAACTGTCAGGAAGTCTATAAAAGACAGAATTTGGATGGAAAGACGTAACATTATCACGCTCTTGTAATGTTCCTTCGAGCTGAACACCACCTGGTCCACAGATTTGCCAGGCCAGGCCGCCAGCTCTCTCAATTCTAGCCTAGCTGGCTGAGAGACTAGTTGCCCGTCGTGCGTAGCATAGTCGTTGGTGTTAGTCTCAGACAGATCGCCTACGCTGAGTGGCAAACCTGGGAGTACAGGTAGAGGAAGAATTCTTCACCAACACCCGAGCCCAGGCAGAGTCCAGAGCTGAAGACACAATAGTGCTTTCTGGCAGAGACCGGTCAGATTGAGTGGTTGTCCGTGAAGCCACCAGAGAACCTAAAAGGGTGATGGACTCAGGGATTGATGATGCGGATCACTAAAGGGATCCGTAACCGGCCACCGGAAGTCCCTACCTGAAGGTAAAACTGACGGAAGACGGGAACACTTTGTCCAATTCGACCCTTGACTGCGCCGAGTCAGGTTGGGCTATCTCCCCCCCCCCCCCCCCTATCAAGAACATGCCTGGACAGGCGAGACCACCTCTGCTCGAGGATGGAGCTCAAAGAGACAAGAATTCCCCTGACAGGTATGGCCAACTGGTTCAGAACCGGGGGCAGAGGACCTAGCAGGTTTACTTCTCCTGCTGGAAGAAGAGGACAAATCCCTCTTATGACTGGAGAAGCATGCCGAACAGGCTGGGAGACCTTGACATAAGACTCCATGGCGAAGTCTCACTACAAGGCCAGCACAAAGCATAGCCATCATGAGGTTTCCATTCCCAAAAGAAACGGGAACACCCATCTGCTGTACCCTGACGTTAACCAGCGGTGGCCTTACTTAAAACAATCAACAAAAAATTGTAAACAAATCATAAGGCAATACAGTTTTGTAAAAATCTAACAAAATGAAGCCACAAAAACAAAAGGAAAAACCAACGTACCAAGGCAAGCACACTGAAAAAGAAGGCCACAAAAAACAGCCGACAACGCTGAAACCAAAATATAACCTCCTGTAACTGAAACGGCGGAACTCGCGGTCATGCACTCGAACATGTGGAGGAAAAAAAATGGCCCGAAATATTGGCACAAATAAACATAAAAATGTCACAAAAGACAACATAATTTGGAAATAAAGATAAAATTGAGTGAAATAAATATTCAGGTAACAATACAACGATAGGAGAGAAAAAGTAGTCAAGAATTCAGCTGAACATGTCTGTTTTTCGCTGGCACCATAAAGAAAAGAGGACAGATCACTCTATGTCTCTACCATGACGGCTCAAGGGATCGTAGGGAGGGCGAGATTTTTTAATTTTTCTGGGATACAAAGATGGGTGTAGGTACCATATTTGCATACTAAAGTTATGGTAATTATTACTGAAATGAAATCATAAATCTGACTAGAATTGTTTTTCTTACTGGCCCCTTAGTGTTTACATTCTCATGGTTAACAGGACTATTTTTAACATGACATTTTTGACCTCAGAGCCTAAAAATCCAGAAACTTTAAACGTGTACTTACTGATAAAGACTGGTAGCTACAGGTCAAATTCTCTGTATCAGCAAAATAATCGCCATAGATTCGTAGGGTTCTACAGGATCGGGAAACATGGCTATTACATAAGAAACCTCCATCAAAGAATGATATATCTGGTGGTCTGTTGTAGTCAACTTCACACGTATCTCCTAGCCAGCCATTGTTACAAACACATTGACCTGTTGTAAAGTGAACCAAGAAAAAATGCATGACAATATTAATGGTCCAGTGATTCATAATTTTAAAAATCTGCATAAAAATGTTGACATGTTTTCGTCTAGTGAAATATTAGAACCCCTGACTTCATTATACAGCTCTACTGTATGTAACTGAGGTCATTATTTATTTCAGTGCCTTCGCTTGGATTCCAACTTGGGACCCTTGGCTTACTAGTCTGATGCTCAACCGATTGAGCTAAAGAGAAGTTCTCACTAGCCAAGCAGTTATATTACAACTAGTATTTACCAGGTAACATATTCCCCCTCCAGGAAATAACTTGTCCATGAGTTTCCAGTGGTTACAGCCATGCTAATGGGGAATGACTAAATATTATTCCAAGTGGGGGCCAGTGTAACAGAGGTGATTATTTATTTTGATTCCTCTGCTTGGATTCGAACCTAGGACCCTTAGCTTACTAGTCTGACTATCAACCAATCAAGCTAAAATGCAGTTAACTGTAGCCTAGTGGTATATTGTGTATTTACCAGAGTTTCCTGTATCTAATTTTAAGGTACTGTGTCTCTTGAGTACAATCTTATCCTCATGTTATGAAATCACAACAGATCCTTAGAATAAAAATCTTATTTACTTGTTTTCTCACACAGATAAAACAATCATTATTTACAAAATACATCGTTTTATGCTACTGGTCTTCCTTTTTTTTCCTCTCCAAAATAATCACATTTAAAAAGTCATTAGGTATCAATAAAAGAAAAAATTCTTTCAAATCCAAATCCTCAACAAAAAGTGTAATTTAAATAATAAAATCTTATATTTATGTGAATTTCTTTACTTTCAATGCAGTTTCCATTGCCGTTACATTCATCCGGACAGATGGCATCAGTCACTACAGGGTCTGGGATTACTTCTCCATCAACGGTTACCCATAAGTCCACATCCACTTCCACAATGACAAGACACTGAAGAAGGAGATTATCCAATCCTTCGCTGGCCCAGGAAATATCATCTGTATACTACAGTGTAAGGAGACAAGTATTGGTTAAATCTATCGATTAATTGTATATATTAGTGGAAGCCTGTATAATACAATTTAATGATACAGATTGATAAAATTTATCTGTTGTCTGTTTATTACAATAGGAGAAGTATTGTCTAATTTTTCAATCCTACATGTTATATTCTGACTTTTTTTCAAACACCAACAAGAATGTTTGAAGTGATTTCACCCACATACAGTTTTTTACAAACCATTCCGGTCTTTCTTGATGTTTATGTTTCAATAAATTCCTACTAAATGATAAAATGTGATATTGTTTGATGAATGCTTTTTGAAAATAACAAATTACTGCTCATGTGATTTTTCTTAAAAAGCACCTATGACTGAAATATGAAATCATTTGAGGTATTTTTATACTTGACTTTTGTTACTAACTAAAGTCCAGTTTTAAGAAATGAAGTTGCTAGGGTGATGACATTCAACAGGAGGAATTTTTATATAATAACTGCAAAATCATTCATTTTCAGTTTTTTTTTTGTTTTTGTTGATTTTGTAAGTTCTTTAATCCACAATTCATATGCCAACAAAATGTTAAATTTGTTTTGTGTTCTATTAAGTAGACTCATTTTATTTCAGTTATCCATTTAATAAATTGTCTACAAATGTAAATAAAAAAAAATAATAAAACATAAAATTTGAGCATCACGAAAATATATGACTTTACACTTATACTGGAGATCTTTGCCTTGACTTTGAAAATTTGTTAAAAATATTGTTGTAAATGAATAGTTGAAGGAACGCCTGATTTATTCTACAAGTTAAAGCTCTGTAATACGCCCCCTGGGCTTATTGGCTGACAAATACAGTAAGTACCTACCTTGATATCGTCTATGCATGCCTCTGTGATTGGACTGAGGACCAGACCAGGTACACCAAGACAGTTCTGCCCAGACACTGGTCCCGACATATATTGCAGACATATCTCAGTGGCCATCTCCAAGGTGATGTTACTTGGTGTTGGCCACGTGAAATCCTAATGAAATCAAAAATCTGATTTAACAAATAAACTAGAACACTGACAGGTCAGCAAGGGCCCCGCTATGTGGCTGGAAAACCCTTCCCAACATCCCCTGTCCACCACCCTACCCTTAGACAGACATAATCCAGACAAGTTTTGGTGACAAAGGGCAATAACTCTGCAAATATTTGTTGTTGAAACTTGAAATTGGTTTGTGACACTCTGCATTCCCTAGATATATAAATATAGCAAGTTTGGTGAATGTCGTTCAAACAACATGGAAGTTATAGGCCGGACAAGTTTTGGTGACAAAGGGCCATAACACTGCAAATTTTCGCTGTAGAAACTCGAAATGAGTATGTGACACTTCGTAATGTGAAGATAAGTATATGTAGTTTCATAAAGATACGTGCAGTTGTCTCTGAGAAATGCCAGAAGCAAAAAAAATGGACAGACAGACGGACGGACAACCTGATTACTATAGGGCACCCGCATCTCAAATTAAGCAGTGTCTTCGAGTCATACAATTGCGGGATAACGAGTATCAAAATGGAGAACTTCTCATGGCTAAAGGCACTACTACGAGTACTAGATTGATAACTGTACAAAGTTTCGAGCAATTATCTTAAACATTTTCAAAGCATTGGTTTAGAAAAATTGAAATTTGTGATTTGCCATGTTTCCATGGTAACAATGAAAGTATTGAAATTGAGAACTTTTCCACAGCAAAAGGCACTAACTACTACATGACTACATGATAACTGTGCATAGTTTGAAGTAACTGAACAGTTTCAGATCACTGGTACGGAAAATGACCTTGCATGGATGGACACACAGATAGACGGAGCCCAATTTAATATCCCCTACAAATGTGTTTCTTCAGGGATAATAACAGTAGTGTGTAACTATTTCTCTTATTCTGCCAAACATTATAATTTGTCCCTTAGAAATTCAAACATACAGAGCGACAATAAGCAGTGATTATTTTTGTCTTGTTTTACAATCATAAAAAGGTTGCTTCCCCTAGCTGAAATGTGTAACATTTTCTCAAAATGAAGCAAAATCCAAGAAGATTCTCCCGAAATTTCAGCAAATTTTACCATATTTCCTAATTTATGATGGCACAGCGTAATGTTAAATCAAGGGAGAAAAACCATTAATATGAACTCCTGATTTTTGTGTGTTCTTCTTTAACTGTCCCTTCACTATAAACATCTTCCTCATGTTTTAACAAAATAACTCTTTTTTTTTTTCTGTTTTCTGTTGTACCCAGTGTATATTGTTTATATCAAATCCCCAATTTTTGTGTGTTCTTCTTAAACTGTCCCTTCACTTTAAACATTATTCTCATGTTTTTTATTATAAAACTGTGTTTTTCTGTTTTGCGTTTCCTGTCGTACCCGGTGTATATAGTTTATATCAAATTCAAACTCCACTGCAGTTTGTGATGAGAAGCATCTGACAACTGGACTCTCCGCAGTATCCACCAGTTCCTGTGTTATGTCCTTTTTACCTTCAAATATATAATAGCACAATTGTTTTCACATAGCAATGGTGAACTTTACTTTTTCAAGACAAAAACTGATAATAGTTATATGGTCTGAACAGATCTTTTTTTACTAACAAGCAAATTCTTTTCAACCTTTGTATAAGACAAAAGACATTTATAGGGCTATGAGTGGAATGAGACAAATGTTAGCCATAGTGAGAACAAACTGTTGGGCTACCATGTGCTCCAGGAGGAAAATATGCAGATTATAGATTACTTCAAATGTTTGAACAAATCTGCTTTCTTCTTTTGATTGAGAAATTTTTAATGCTTATATAAATAATGTTCTTGTACATTTAAAATTTCCTTTGATAAGAGATATGATATATAAAAGTACTACTGTGTTCTTACCTCTCTTGAGTTTGTTTTTATTCTTTCGTGTTCTGATTTCGTCACATTCCATGAGGTCCAAACTAGGACCGCATTGACCAGACTGACCTGTGGAACAGTCACAGTAGGTGGTGGTCAGTTGGTCAGGGACAGCTGTTGGACAATATCCACGGTACAATGACTCATGCCGTGCCACTCTGAAAGTAGTTAAACATATATTTTTAACATACTTTATCTATTTAGTAATAAGTCTAACAGCATCTATTATTGATCATTATTAACAAATGCAATTTAATTGTCCTGTTATAAGCCTATCCCCAATCCCCTGACTTTATTAATAGCCAGATGTGATGTGTTAAAAACTAGATGTTAAAAACAGTGGATAAATCTGCACTGTCACCAATCTATGTCTTCTATTGCACAACAAGGTCATTCAGGTATAATTTATACAAAGTGTTGTACCTGTCTCAGAAACAAGACTATTATTTTATCATATCCAATGAAATATGGTAACCTATGAACATTTTTGTGTACATGTCACTATTGTAATAAAAACCTAGAGCATTTTCAATGGCTACTCCAATCAGAAATCAATTTCAAAATATCGAAATGTGATTTTCACAAAAAATAAAAGCTTTGAAGTCTTGTTTTCTAAAATCTCATATGAAAGGATTCTGTATGTGTAAATCTATCTAAAACTTATATGTACCTCCAACTTAATGAAAATTTGTCTGGAAACTTCCCTCTTTCCCCAGATAGACCTCCTGTTCGAAGCCAAAAGTCATTTGTGTCATCTCCATCATATGTGCCGCATAACCCTGTAATATATAGGTCATAAATTACTACAAAGAACTCTGTAATAAAGGACATGTGATATAACAAACAACCCTGTAATATAGGACATGTGATATTACAAATAACCCTGCAATATAGGACATGTGATATTACAAACAACTTTGTAATATAGGACATGTGATATTACAAATAACCCTGTAATATAGGACATAAGATATTACAAACAACATTGTTATAAAGGACATGGATTATTACAAACAACTCCCTAATACAGGACATGGGTTGTTATAAACAACACTGTAATATAAGACATGGGTCATTACATACAACACTGTAATACAGGATATGGGTTTTCACAAACAACCCTGGAATATTGGACATTGGTTATAACAGAAAACCCTGTAATACAGGATATGGGTTTATTATATGAAATTTTGACAGTTGCATTATAGCATCTTGCAATAATTTATTATGTAGATTCATAAATCACTTGAGAGTTATCCTAACTGGTTTTCTTTTTGTTAAAATTGATACATCAAATTGTAGTGTTCACCTTCTGAATTTTCAAAGTCATAAGAGGAAGCCCTGATCTTCACATTGATGAACTGGGTGATTCTTCGCTTCCCTTTTGTCACTATCACCTTTGCTCCCGTCGGTAAGATTATCTGTTACAGTAAACTTGTGTAAGTAAAAGGACATAATTTGTGCATTCTTTAAATTCTTCAAAACAAATTCACAAACACATATAATAATCTTTCAGAAAAGTGCATGAAATGTGTGAGTTATCAAAACAAATCAAAGCAACATATCTGCTGATAAATAAAGGTGAGGATAATTTTTTTTCTCATCACCAGGGAAATATTTTATGACATGATTTAAAGGGATTTACAGCAGATTGAAAGTGAACTAGAACTGTGGTTTGGAGGCAAACTCACACACCTGATATAGATTATGCACATCTACAATGTACAAGGATAATAGCCAACAAGTATCGTTGAAATTATTTCAGTAGTTAAGAAGGAGTAGCCAGTACATCATAGCGTCTACAGACAGACAACTTGATTCCAGTATAACCCCTCCCACCAATCTTCATTGCATGCAGAGGGGTGGCTTGGGTGGGGGTGGGGGGTATAATTATAACCGCCTGGTCAAACGTGAATTGCATTTTTTGAGGAACATTAAAGGAAAATGAATGTACATAGTAATTTTAAATATACTCAGAAATTTATGATTAATATCTAAATTCTTACACAAGACTTCTGAAACCAGCCTATCATTTTTCACTTCAGCAAGTCTCAGGCGTGTCAAACAAAAAAAAAAAAAAAAGAAATAACACATTTTTATGGAATCCATTAATGAGACTATGAATTTCTCGGTCAACGTTATTTTCAAGGTATCCAATTTCCAAAATTTCATTCCATCCTAGACAATAGCGAGAAAAATAGAATCTTTTGAAAATAGCATTTACTATACTTGCAGAATAAGACAGTGAGCATACAATATGAAAACTATATGGTACTATCACTGACCGTGTATCGTTTTCCTCCACCTGACCTGATGACCTTTGTTCCTGCAGTCAATCCACCTCCATTGAGGAACATCTTCAGCGTGGTTGGCTGCCTTCGTTTGGAAACTTGAGCTGGTCCACACGAGTCCACAAGAATGACATCATCCTCCACTCGTACAGCCACAGCACAGTTACATGATGCTTGGCCATTGCAGTTACGGTAGAATGCTCTCACCTAAGTCATATAATGAGAGTATTGTGATATCTATAAAAAAGCACTGGTCTCAACACCAAAGCCAAAGTTCGTCAAACTTGTATTCAAATTTAAAATTTATGACATAAGAAGCCATAATTTGATGATTATGTTTATACAGGGTTAAGCGTCCTCACAACAGCAAGGTCATGAGAGCATGGGGAAATTCCAAGATAAACAAAGTCTGTATAGTTATATAGTCTCCTTATGATTAATCGAAACACAGGGAGTAACCAGCATTTATAACTGGTAGTTGAAAACAATAGTGATGCAGTTGTAGGTCAAAAGTCAGTTTAAAAGGCATGGTATACTTTGTTTTGTTTGTCTGCTGGGTGTATTGACTTGTGAACAGTCAGAGTCATTTTGAGATAGGGATTTTATTGTGTAGCTGGTGGCTACCTCACTGAATAAGATACAGTAGGCCTGTTAAATGTCATCCAAAGCTACTGGGCTCAAGTGTCTTGCTCAAGGACACAACCATATCAGCACACAGGTCCAGTTCTCAGCAACATGAAAATCACAAACTGCCAAAGGTAGCTAACCACTCGCCTTTGGGTCTTCACCTCTGGTTATGTAGACCAGTATTCTAACTAAATGAGCTATCACAGTTCCCCACAATTTACAAAAAATTTGCTCTATATTAAAAGACACATAGGCCTCAGATTAACAGATGGACAAAGCAAGAGTCTAGAGTCTGTCCAAACAGTCCTGGTGGAGGACCAATGTGACCATAAATGACATTTCCCAAAGTTACAACAAACAGCAAGTACTAGTACTTTAATGATTGGGGGTACAAAATTGATGACACCTGCTATACAAATATGATGTGACACCTGCGATACAAATATGATGTGACACCAGGGATACAAATATGATATGACACTAGGGATACAAATATGATATGACACTAGGGATACAAATATGATGACACCAGGGATACAAATATGATATGACACTAGGGATACAAATATGATATGACACTAGGGATACAAATATGATGTGACACCTGCGATACAAATATGATATGACACTAGGGATACAAATAAGATATGACACCTGTGATACAAATATGATGTGACACCAGGGATACATACAAATATGATGTAACAGCAGGGATACAAATATGATGTGACGCTGGGGATTCTAATATGATGTGACACCGGGGGATAAGAAAATGTTGTGACATCCAAGTATCTTTTAGTTATTTAATGATTACCTCATATCTCCTCATTCTATCTCTGTATAAAATGAATTCTCCTTCAAAGAAATTGTTGTAGTATCTGCAAAACAAAATATGATCATAATATATAATATATACACAAAGTTATACCACATGATGTATATGTACACAAAGTTATACCACATCATGTATATATACACAAAGTTATACCACATCATGTATATATACACAAAGTTATACCACATGATGTATATGTACACAAAGTTATACCACATCATGTATATATACACAAAGTTTCACCACATGATGTATATATACACAAAGTTACCACATGGTGTATATGTACACAAAGTTATACCACATGATGTATATGTACACAAAGTTATACCACATCATGTATATATACACAAAGTTATACCACATGATGTATATGTACACAAAGTTATACCACATCATGTATATATACACAAAGTTATACCACATCATGTATATATACACAAAGTTATACCACATGATGTATATGTACACAAAGTTATACCACATGATGTATATATACACAAAGTTTCACCACATGATGTATATATACACAAAGTTACCACATGGTGTATATGTACACAAAGTTATACCACATGATGTATATGTACACAAAGTTATACCACATCATGTATATATACACAAAGTTATACCACATGATGTATATGTACACAAAGTTATACCACATGATGTATATGTACACAAAGTTATACCACATCATGTATATATACACAAAGTTATACCACATGATGTATATATACACAAAGTTATACCACATCATGTATATATACACAAAGTTATACCACATGGTGTATATATACAGAAAATTATACCACATCATGTATATATACACAAAGTTATACTACATGATGTATATATACACAAAGTTATACCACATGATGTATATGTACACAAAGTTATACCACATGATGTATATGTACACAAAGTTATACCACATGATGTATATATACACAAAGTTTCACCACATGATGTATATATACACAAAGTTATACCACATCATGTATATATACACAAAGTTATACCACATGGTGTATATATACAGAAAATTATACCACATCATGTATATATACACAAAGTTATACTACATAATGCAAAGAAAAAAACTGCTAAGCTCATTTGTAAATACATGTATGGTTGTGAAGTTTTCAAATAAATAACGCTTGAAGAATCTGATAAGCCTCAAAATGTTGACAGGGAAATATATAATTTGACAAGAGGTACACAGGGCCAGTAATGGACATTTTCAAACTTCCTTTGATTTGTTCTCTGGATTTATCACCCTATGATCAGCCAGAGTCATTTTGTGGTGGGGCCTTTTTTTTGAAGCTGGAGGCTATCACACTGAACATCATGCAGGAGATGCACAGCATGCTATCCAGAGCAATTGGGGTAAAGAATTCTGTGAATGGACATAATCTTGTCTGCACTGGATTGTTCATAATTTCAGGATTCCAAGAAAGTGATCTGAATAGGAGTTACCAAATCTCCATCTGAGGTATGTTGATCTACACATCTATTGTAGCTTTTTTATCATCTGAACTTCAACCCTAAGTAAGTAATCTTCATTTGGAGAGTAAGAAATCCAAGATCCAGGTCAAAATCGTAAAAAATGCCTTAAATTTGGAAAATTCATCAAAATGCTTGTAAATGGTTCCAATGAAATAAAGCCCTCAGTGTTTTATGAAACTATTGGGGAAAATTGTAGCAGTAGTTTTGATTTCATCATGCCATGCTATTGGATAAAGTTATCACAATCAAAATAATTTAAACTTTCTATCTCCATACTATACCATTGCAGAAAAAACGCACCTTCCATCAAATGTTGTAATATGTGGATCATTGATGGAGGAACACGTGGCCGTCCTATCTCTATCTATCGCAGTCACCTGTAACATCATATTATCATAAGTAGAAATATTGTTAATTATCGGATAACAAAAAACAATAGAAAATCTGAAACAAAACTCCAATTTAAACTACATAGACTCATTACACTTTCACTGAATTCTCATCTTTTTTTTTATCAGTTCTTCAAATCTCTACAGCTGGTTAATAAATATTGGATGCAATAGACTTGGTTTTTATGAATTATTTATCCTCTTTGTGTCTCCTGTCAAGAGATGTTTATTCTACTTAGAATATATATGAGAAAACAAAAAATACAAAGATTATTGTCCTGGCCAGGAATTCACAATCCCCTTATAAGTGTATACACAGTATATACTTCCGACCAACGTACCTGCAAATTGTTCGTAAATGTTATGATGCTTTTTTCTGCACCAGATGTGATATGTAGTTCAAACTTGATCTCTCGTGTCTGATCTCGGTCTTTGAGACCATCAATCGTGGCTTTGACAGGAATCTGTACACCTGACCAGTTATCCTTATCAATAATAAATCTACAAGCATCATCATGGTCAATGGTTCGTCTTTGAAGGCCAAACACAAACTGTACAATTTCTTCAGTAGTTCCTGGGCATTTCCTCTCTTTTCCACGTAACAGTTCCATTGTGAAATATAGATTACAGTAATCTTCTCTGTCTTCAGGTCGACATAGCAGGCGAGGTGGAATGGCCAAGCTCATCACAATCAATTCTGCAGCTGATCCTTCATTCATTGACGGGTCCAAGTCATTTGCCTAAGATTTAAATTAAAATTTTCTTAAAACAAGGAGACACATGAAGTCATTTATCTGTTATTTGATGTTGAAAACTTCTTCCCACATCGTCAAACTTCAAAAAATATAAAAATAAAATGATTTCTATCAAGAGAATCCATATGCCTGTAATGCTTATCTGGTATTTAATAAATTTCACAAAATTTGACCCCTATGACCCTGAATATGGGTCATGATCATTCAATTCAGGCTGTCCAGCACTTCTTGACTAAAAATTAGGGCTAATTTTAGGGCTAAAATTACAAAATTTTAGGGAAAATTTAGGGCTAAAATTAGGAATTTTGTAACTAGAATAGGGAGTATGAAAGCATTAAACTGACTTACCTTTGCAAATTTGACAAAATAGAAACTAACATACAATGCCTTAATTGCAGGAATGGTGTCTTCCAGGGTTTCAGTGTCCCAGCTGCTGTTGGCTGTGACCTTAAGAATCACACCTCTGTCACTCAGTCACAACCAATAACAATCTGGGTACATAGATCCACTGGTCAACTGCGTTTCATTGTCTACCCTGAATTAGAACTACAGACTACATTAAAATACATTTTAAGTATGAATTTAATGAAAACATCTTCAGTAATTTGTAAGAAATATAAAAAAAAAGTAGGAACTGAAGTGAAAAATTAGGGCTTTTTTAGGAATTCCCATTGAATTTTTAATTTTTTTAGGAATTTTAGCAAAACTGAAAAAAGTTATTTTAGGAATTTTAGGGACGCTGGACAGCCTGTTCAATTTCAAACTTTTCCATGTTTCATCCCAGAAACCTACCAGCCAAAATCAAAAGCTGTTTGAAGGTTTTAACAAATCACCCTTGTAACTTTGAAGGTCAAGGTAAATTCTTTATTCAAACTTTGTCGAGCTTCATCCAAGAAACAATTACCAAGTATCAAATAGGACTTTCTATTAATCAGAAGAAAGTCATTTGAAAGTTTAACAAATCTGACCCGTGTGACCTTAAATATAGGTCGCGGCCATTTTTTCCCCTATAAACTTTTCTGGCTTCATCCAAGGAACCTAAAGATCAAATATGATCCTGGGCCACTTGTTTATAGAGAATAAGTTGTTTAAAGGAAAACAATGACACTAAAAGAACAGATAGATAGATAAATCTTTAATTCAAGTCCCTAATCTTCCATGCCATAAAAATTCGAAACCACATATGGGAGCAATTGTAATCAGCTGGAGAGTGGTTATCATTTACATCACATGTAGCCTGGTTTCTGATTAAGATATATTCTTTGATGGATAAACACCGCTTTAAACTAGAAATTGTTGCTAACGATTTTGCAGGCATTTCACTTCTTTGGTGACAATCTTGGATATCGGACAGAATCCCTGAAAAACAGCACTAGTTTAAGTTAATCTCAGCTTCATTTACGGCAAACCTAAACAGAATTCCACGTGCTGACCTGAGCAGTTCGAAAACATCCATTTTCAAAATGGCGGTCATGGCAGCCATCTTGGATTTCGGACCAACTTAGAAAATAACAAGTCTTCGTCAGGACAAAAATGGTAGTCCTTCATCCCAGCATGCTACAAGCCTAATATCTGTTCACCCTTGCTTTTTTTTTGATCAAAGATGTTTGAAGATTTCATATACATTTGACACCTGTGACCTTGAATGTTAGTCAAGGTGATTCATAATTGCAAGCCTTATGAAACAACACCTGTAGATCAGTATATACTAAATACTAGTGCTCTACACCTTGTGGAACTTGAGAAGAAGATTGTTTAACACTGGTACCCTATATTGTACATTTCAACAATGATTTCAACTTTGACCCCTTTCAGAAACCGGAAGTTGCCATTTTTCCTGATAACAACATATGAGAAAAAACCTTCGTTTGCCAATATCTATCACATATCCAAAGATGAACTTTCTATCTTAAAACGTTAAGGAAGTATAACTACATCAAAATAAATTAAACAATTTTTTAAGGTTCAAATATATTTAACCCCTGTGACCTTGAACATGAATCAAGGTCATTCATATTAACAAACTTTATTTTACACTACTTGAGTATGATAATGACCAAATATCATGAGCTTAGGCCTTTTGGTTTTTGAGAAGAAGATTTTTAAATTTCATGTCACAAAATTGAACCCTTGAACTTTGGTGCCTACCGAAAACCGAAAGTTGACGTATGATGGTGTATTTTTTGTCCAATTTGGTAGTACTTTATCCTAGCATGCTACATAGCAAATATGAGAGCCCTACATGTTTTGGTTATTGGAAAACGTTATTTTAATAAATTTAAGTTAATTGACCCCAGTGACCTTGAACATAGGTTAAGGTCGTTCATATTAACAAATTTAATTTTCAACCACTTGAGTATGACTTGGACCAAATATTATGACCTTAGGCCTTTTGGTTTTTGAGAAGAAGATTTTTGAAGTTTGTATCTCAAAATCGCACTTTTGAAATTTGACCCCTACCGGAAACCGGAAGTTGTCATTTTATGAGAAATAATATTTATATCTAATTCTACATCACATATCCAAAGTTGAATTCAGTACATGGAGCCGTTCATGAGATATTGACACTAAGCTAAAATTGGAAATGACGTAATTGCGGCCATTTTGTTATTTCAACCTGGTTCAGAATCTCGCCAATTACTAAAATGAATATGTGGAGAATTTTTTTTCACCAATTAAATCAGAAATTTATTAAAGATTTTGGAATAATTCAAATTCAAACTTTTTGTCGGCATTTCAAAAGATCAAAGAAAATTTTCAAAATGACGTAAAACGGTAATGAAAAACGTTACGGAAAAAGTGAAGATATCAACTTCATCAGATAATCATTCTGCATTGATTTATGGAAGAATTTTTCAAAAATCTTGAAAAATAATTTTTTTTTAAAAATTTGTGACCTTTGACCCAACAGCGAGCTTTTTTATTCGACATATTTTCTGATAACATGTCATGACAAAAATTTAGATAAGGAAATTCTCTACAAATAATATAATGCACAAACTCGCCAAAATGAATGGTTTTTAAGTTACAATGTTTTAATGTTTTTAGTTTATGATGTCATGGCGGCCTGTTTGACCTATTTGAAAATGTTCCCGTAGCACCTTCAGACTTTCATTAAAAACATACTAAAAAAACCATCAACCTTTCTTTCACTCATCTGAAGATAGAGACTCCACAAAATATGGAAGAAGAAAAAGAAGAATAATAAGAAGAAACATAACAAAAACAAAAACAAAAGGTCTTTTCACATTGAAAGACCTGAAAATACCTGTGAAACTGCTCCCACATATTACTGTTCATTACATTTGAAACAGTTTCCATTCATTAGTTCGATTTATAGATATACTCTAGTAAGGGATGTGCTGGCTGATTTTATTTTATTTGTATCAATGCTGCTTCAAAATTTTAGAACTCCTATTTTTGTTTTATCTACTCTACGGCAAAAATGGCTGATAAACATATCGACAAAATGACACTTCATTACAGAAGTACAACCATGCCAATACCTGAACAATTGATCATCTACAAAAATACATCATTCTTGTATGTCCAAACCAATTATGACAACAGATGTTAGCCAAGACAATGATGTTCTGTGAGTGGTAAAGTTTAAAATTTGTGATAAATTTTCAGTACTCATACTCAAAACGATCAGTATTACATGGTAGTGATTTAATGATACAAATGACACCTTATAAAAGACCCCACCCCCCAAAAAGTGGTAAAATACAACATTTGACTTGTTTACACAGGAAAATGGGTGATCAAAATCTAACCATTGTTATGCTATAATGATGTGAATACTAATTAAATCTGTTGAGAGATTCATATTAAGTGACTTTTGACCCTTGAACCGTGACTGAGGTAGAACTTTATGGCCCAATAATAAGGTCAAGAGGAGGGGTTCATTCAACATCTTGTTCATAAGCATGCAGAATGCTGGATGAATACATACATGCACAGATAATGCAATTACTATGTACCATCATTTTACTATGTAGGGTGTACAATGGGAGACCTTACAAACAGTAACATCAGCATCAACAAAAAACTTTTTTTTAATTGAGATTTTCTGAAGTTTTTCTTGAAATATTCAACATGTTGAAAATAAATTATGGCCATTCTTCAAGTGTCTAAATGACATATCATTTCAGTTCAGAGTGACTTACGTAGACTTTAACAGACAAAGCAGTGCTATCTCTCCATGGACCTCTTGTGCCGTCACAGTCTGAGGAATCACAGGCCGATACAGCACAGTGTAACTGAAACATTGAACAAACACTTAAATTGTTACAGAACTAATATGCAAAGTAACAGAAATATACTGAAGACTTGAACATCTTTCAGTTGGCATTTATGGCAAATATGAATGTTAAGTTGAACAAATGGAACATTTGCATTGCTTAGAAATTCCTACATCATTTACAGCTCAATAAATATATCCTGACTTTCAGAGTGTGCCACCTATGTTGGGCTGCTTGCATCATTGAAAAATACATTGAGTGACCTCCCTTTATACATGCCATATAATTCTTTCACTTTTTGATATTCTGAGTGACAGGCTAATGGTTTCATAAAAGGGTTTTTTAGTTGGAATATTACATAAAAACCACATGCATAATCTCAGTCATGCTAGATATATGAAGGGTTTAGCTAACTGATGTTCATTCTGAAAATGTACTATATTTCCCATGAAAATTGATCATAAACATTTGTGATTGATTGATTGATTGAAAAAAAAATTGTTTATTATCTGGTATGCCACTAATATCCAGAAACATACTTAGGTGACATTTTTTGAGTCACTGTTGCTAGAAATTTCAGCATATTTAGTTTAGATGAAAAATTTAGGATCTTACACTTGTTCCAATTTGATAAGTGATATTATGAAAGGAGTCTTAGGATTTTTTTCATTTAAGTGAGCCTTTAGAAGGGGGAAAAACAACCTGTGATGGTTCATCAATCACCAATCAAATGGAAACAAACTTCAGATAATTTTTTCACATGATTGTTTATTCAGCCAAATATTGCAGAAAATGTGCATTCTCAATCTCAGAAGTAATTTTTGATCTTCATATATATGATCTCCATTTTTACATCATAATGCAATCTGCAAATGTGTGATATCATTTCATTTTCTAAACATGACAAATTATGTAATACAAAAACTATTTCAAGGGTACATTCATGTGATATAAGCTTATACTACACAACTATATGAAATCTGGCTACACAGTCAGTAAGAATGTGGTACAGTAGAATTAAATGTCATGCAGAATAATTCCCTATTGTCAATACCCACCGAATCACCAATGCTAAGTTGGAAAATGGCATCTTCAGACAGAATGCTGTAGAATTTGTTGGAGCTTGAGCTGTTGAAGATTGTCCCATTGTTATCATTGACAAGGAGATTTTCTCCGTGATACCAACGTACATTGTAGGAGAGGCCATCAATTTCAAGGGGAGTGAATCCACAATTAAAGGTAACTTTCTCATCATCACCAACAACAAAAGACAGTTCTGGTCGCTCCGTAAACTCAAGAGTGACTGTTAAAAGAAATTAAGCCAATGAGATCAAGTTCTTTGTTTGCCAGTGTAGTATGATAAAGTGAAGCCATTTTTATATTTTGTTTTCAATTGCTGTTTCTTTACTTAATTTTTTATCAGTTTACTTAATCATGTACCTCAATACATAATAATAATAAAAAAACAGGATGGGAAAATTTAGGGTGTTCAATTCACCATGGCCATGGTAAAGTGAAGCATTACACTATTTCCTTACTAATTAACATCAATTGTTTTGCAATTCACCTTGATTCAATCATATAAACACATAAATAACAAAAAAAATATGTCTGGGGATGGGAAATTTAGGATGGGGCAGGGGAGGGTTCACGTCAAATAAACTGGCATGGCCATGGCAGGAAATTTAGGTTGGGGTAGTGGGGGCAGTGGGAAGTGAGGTAGGGGTTCAATTCACCAGGGCCATTCTGGTATTTTGATCCCAGTTCATTTACTCATGCTGCGCAATACCATTTTACACCTGGGTCCTATCAACAGCAAGGGTCATTTTGAGGTGGATTCTCCATGAAGTAGCTAGTGACCACCCCGCTGAACAACATGCAAGAGGTCCATCATATGCATCAAATACATTTTAACATCTTTTAATTAAATGCCTATCTAAATATATTTCAATGTACATTTGAAAGCATCTCTTAACAGCTTTAACAATCTAGTAAATCTCTGTAAGATAGGATTTCTCCAATGCATATACTTATGAATGTGGTGATGCTGAACTTTGAACCCTGAAACACAAACTGATCTGAGGTCTTGTCAAAGTTCATAAAGTGACCTTGACATTGGTATTATAAAAGTTATTGTGACTGAAATATTTCTTTGTTTATATAGTGACCTTGACCTTGGAATTAAACAACACAAACTGATCTGATATATTTCTTTATTTATGTAGTGAACTTGACCTCAGAATGCAGAAACATAAACTGAGTTAATGTAGTGACCTTGAACTAGAAACCCTGAAACAGATTTTCTGAGGTATCTTAATGATTGACCTCTGCATAACAGACGTAACAGGATGAGACAGGACAGAAATGTGTCTTTTTGATGTGTCTATAAGTGAATACCACATCAGGTTTTCTATCTCCAATTAAGACTCTAAGTCTTCTATACTTTGCACTTGGTGTGGTCAACAGTACCAACTACCTCCACAAGGGAAAGTACCTGTGACTCCTTTCTCAAGACTCATCACTCAACCAGTCCAGCTAAAGGGGAATTCCCCCAAATGTCAAGTTAGAAGGTGACCATATCTATGCATAATCAAAATCTGCCCTACCTGACTTATTGTCCTGTATTATCAATAAATCAAAAGTAAAATTTAAATAAAAATAAGATTATACATACCTATGGTTGCTCCAAGTCCTACAGCTACATCCCTTGTTGCCTCAGTAACGCTCCATCCCTCAATGATAATGTTAGCGAACAGATTCAGTGATACAGAATATCCAATATATAAATTTGGATTGAAGTTTGCATCCTGGAGCTCATAATATCGGGTTGTTTGGGATACCATAATACCATTGAAGAAAAGACTGAGGCCAGTCTGTAGACTCCAAGAAAACTCAATATTAATGAAGTCATCAACATTTCGGAAAGGTGCGAACACTGTGTAAATTCGTGTACGGGTACTACATGATAAATAGAGACGGTTTCTTGAGTACCACATTTCAATTCCGTAAAAACCTCTTTGACTATCACCATTGCTGATTATGCGCATGCCTTCTCTGAATTTTAAAACCCTTAATTTGAAACCAACAGTCAAACCGAAAGAGCAAGTCTCTAAATTGCCAAAGCAGGATGCTTCTGCAGTGTTTTCCAAATAGATAAACTGGTCTTGGCCATTCAGGAGTAGAGCAAGGCCTCCTGTAGGACCGGGAATGAAACTTGGGCCACCAGATATTGTGAAACTAAAACTGGATGTCCTCAGAATGTTTCCGACAATTGAAAGAAAAGTTAGTCTTCTTATAATGATATCGATACCTGTGAAAAGATTGAAAACCATATATCGTTATACAGCAGTATATTTTCAATAAAACTTGTTAATTTTATCCCTACACTCATTTGTTTAATATAGTACATACAGTTTAATTGGTTTTAATTTGCAAGACTCATTGCATTAAAATGAAATATGTATTTTTAATTGGTAATTTTCATTTTTCATCCAGCTAGTCGAGCCAGGATGTCAAAGTTGAAATACCATGGAAACAAACATATATTTGAAATGAACAAATTAAAGATATTTACGAGAAAGCGTTGACCACCCTTGAACAGATGTGCTTGGCAGACAGACACGTGTTGGGTCTCCGGGATAAGTGAAGCCTCTTCCATAACACACTCCATCAATAACACAAACATCAGACTGTAAAAGATAACACACTTCAGACTGTAAAAGATAACACACACTTTGTCAATAATACAAACATCAGACTGTAAAAGATAACACACACTTCAGACTGTGAAAGATAACACACACTTTGTCAACAACACAAACATCAGATTGTAAAAGATAATACACACTTCATCAACAACACAAACATCAGACTGTAAAAGATAACACACACTTTGTCAATAATACAAACATCAGACTGTAAAAGATAACACACACTTCAGACTGTGAAAGATAACACACACTTTGTCAACAACACAAACATCAGATTGTAAAAGATAATACACACTTCATCAACAACACAAACATCAGACTGTAAAAGATAACACACACTTCAGACTGTAAAAGATAACACACACTTCATCAACAACACAAACATCAGACTGTAAAAGATAATACACACTTCATCAACAACACAAACATCAGACTGTAAAAGATAATACACACTTCATCAACAACACAAACATCAGACTGTAAAAGATAACACAAACATCAGACTGTAAAAGATAACACACACTTCATCAACAACACAAACATCAGACTGTAAAAGATAACACACACTTCGTCAATAACACACACTTCTGACTGTAAAAGATAACACACACTTCGTCAATAACACACACTTCTGACTGTAAAAGATAACACACACTTCAGACTGTGAAAGATAACACACACTTTGTCAACAACACAAACATCACTGTGAAAGATAACACACAAATCGTCAACAACACAAACATCAGGCTGTGAAAGATAAAACACACTTCAGACTGTGAAAGACGAAACACACTTCAGACTGTGAAAGATAACACATACTCCCGACTGTGAAAGATTAAACACACTTCAAACTGTGAAAGATAACACACACTTCATCAACAACACAAACATCAGACTGTGAAAGATAAAACACACTTCAGACTGTGAAAGATTAAACACACTTCAGACTGTGAAAGATAACATACACTTCCGACTGTGAAAGATTAAACACACTTCAAACTGTGAAAGATAACACACACTTCATCAACAACACAAACATCAGACTGTGAAAGATAACACACACTTCATCAACAACACAAACATCAGACTGTGAAAGATAATACACACTTCGTCAATAACACAAACATCAGACTGTGAAAGATTAAACACACTTCAGACTGTAAAAGATAACACACACTTTGTCAATAATACAAAAATCAGACTGTTAAAGATAAAACACACTTCAGACTGTGAAAGATTAAACACACTGCAGACTGTGAAAGATAAAACACACTTCAGACTGTGAAAGATAACACACACTTCCGACTGTGAAAGATAATCTGTCAGTAACTAAAAAATGTTGACTTCCAAAGAAACAATTAAAGAATATAAGTTACTGCAGAAAAAACAACTGAATTTGTGTCCCTACTCAACTTAGCATTGAAATTCCAAGCAGGAAACACAAATGAGTTTCAGTACTACCTGTTCTTATTGATGGTGCACTGAAGTGTTACCACAAGTGTGGTCACTCCTCTGGAAATTCATCTCAAGCTGGACAGTTGGAAAGCTAGATAATTAAACAATGAATTCACTCTATCTGTCTATTAAACTGTACCAAACAAATCTCACTATAACCTGGATTATAGAAATGTGAACACTGAACCCTCTATAGAAATGTGAACACTGAACCCTCTATAGAAATGTGAACACTGAACCCTCTATAGAAATGTGAACACTGAACCCTCTGGATCTATCTATAACATGGTACCAAACAAATCTCACTATAACCTGGATTATAGAAATGTGAACACTGAACCCTCTATAGAAATGTGAACACTGAACCCTCTATAGAAATGTGAACACTGAACCCTCTATAGAAATGTGAACACTGAACCCTCTGGATCTATCTATAACATGGTACCAAACAAATTTCACTATAACCTGGATTATAGAAATGTGAACACTGAACCCTCTATAGAAATGTGAACACTGAACCTTCTGTATCTATCTATAACATGGTACCAAACAAATCTCACTATAACCTGGATTATAGAAATGTGAACACTGAACCCTCTATAAAAATGTGAACACTGAACCCAACACTGAACCCTCTATAGAAATGTGAACACTGAACCCTCTATAGAAATGTGAACACTGAACCCTCTGGATCTATCTATAACATGGTACCAAACAAATCTCACTATAACCTGGATTATAGAAATGTGAACACTGAACCCTCTATAGAAATGTGAACACTGAACCCTCTATAGAAATGTGAACACTGAACCCTCTGTATCTATCTATAACATGGTACCAAACAAATCTCACTATAACCTGGATTATAGAAATGTGAACACTGAACCCTCTATAGAAATGTGAACACTGAACCCAACACTGAACCCTCTATAGAAATATGAACACTGAACCCTCTATAAAAATGTGAACACTGAACCCTCTGTATCTATCTACAACATGGTACCAAACAAATTTTACTATAACCTGGATTATAGAAATGTGAACACTGAACCCTCTATAGAAATGTGAACACTGAACCCAACACTGAACCCTCTATAGAAATGTGAACACTGAACCCTCTATAGAAATGTGAACACTGAACCTTCTGTATCTATCTATAACATGGTACCAAACAAATCTCACTATAACCCATGCTACTGTCTGCATTTTCTAGTATTACTTATCAAAGTTCATATTTCTGATAACGACACTTTTCTTCTGAAGATCATAACATACACCTTTTCTAACAAGCTTTTGAATGTTTAAAAGTTTGAGTTGTATTTGCCCTGATACTGTTACATACAAGAATTTTATTCTTATAATCATAAAAAAGTTTTTAAAAAACTTAAAAAGCCATTCGGAGAGTTATAATTAACATCCCAAACCAATTGAATGACATCTTACTGAAGAACAGACTGAAATATTTCTGAATTATTCCCCTTCCCATTTCCTGCGAGGCCCTAATAAGCAAGAGTTACCTACCCTTGGTTCACATTTTGTGAGGGTACATGTCTCACAGAGAGCATTGTACACAACAAATGTCAGGCCCCTGGCAGATTGAGTCACACCATTGTTACTGACAGTAAGTTCGTAGAAACCAAGTCCAGGGATTGGACATTGCATCAACTCCAAGTTACCATAGATACCAGGAAATTTCAACTCTGTTCCCTGAAAAATAATTCAATCTACATCAATTTATATTTTTGTTGCTCTGAAAACAAAAATATCCTATTTCAATTTTCATTAAAAATCTTCGCCTAAACCTCCACAATGAGCACAAATCAAATGTGATATTGGAGGTGCAAAATGAGTGGGGTGATCGGGCTTGAACAGAGTGCTGAATATAATCTCTGTCACTCAGCTGATGAAGCATGCTTTTTTGACTAAGTTGGAAGAGCCGTTAACTATCATGCCGGAAACATGGCTTAATTCCTGTCAGGAGACACAGCAGAAATGTCTTTAATCTTGTTTTATCACACAAGTACAGGTTATTGTATGTTTTTTTTAAATAGTAAGAGATAAACATACATTTTTCAACAAGAAGTGACAGGTGAGTGTGTCAAGATCAACAAAGTCTGTTCCATAAACCGTCAGAAGATTTCCAAGGGAAGGTAGATTGATGTCCCAGAAGAAACTTCCATGTCCAAATGAGGTAACAGTTGGAATGTCATTCACAGAAACAGCACAAGCGTCTCCCAAAAAGTTATCATCACAATCACAAACTCCTGAAATAAATTTAAAATCAACCATGAACACAAGGCCCAATGGGTCTGCAACACTCATCTGATATTCAATGTTCATCAAAAATAGAATCAGTGTTAATATCACAAATATATTGACATGAACACCAATGCCATTCAAAGTGTGCACATCCAATCAATTTTAACCTATTTCCACTACAGCTTCTAATACTCATCTCTAAACAGTGACAGTTGTGATCTGGACCTTTAGCAAAATCATTTTCTAATTTATCTCAGAATTTGTTGGGCTTTGACCTAGAAACACCTTTCCACCAAACAATTTAATCCCTGTGACCATCAATATGGGTCAAGGTCATTGCTCTTCCCAAAGATAAGTCATTCTCTCAGGAACCTACCAGCCTAATACTGTGCTTCAGCACATTTTGATTATACTGTGCTTCAGCACGTTTTGATTAGTCAGAAGAAAGTGTTTCAAGGTTTTAAAAAATTCTTTCCATGTGACCTCCAATAAGGGTCATGGTTGTATCTTTTCGCAAACTTTGTTGGGCTTCATCCTATGAACCTACCAGTCAAATACCATGTTTCCTCACCTTTTGGTTAATCAGAAAAAGTCATTCAATTCATGTTAAAAAAAAACAAACATGTTTTGTTTCAGAGTATTTCATTAAACAAGAGGCCCAATGGACCTGCATCGTTCACCTGGTATGTTATGCTTCAGAGTATTTCATAGAAAAATTACAGAATTTGAATATTTAAGAAAATAAAAAAATTCAAAGACCATTTCTACTGACCTTCTTTACAGGTACCTTGGCCGTTACATTCAGCAGGACACAGGTTTTGTTCTAAATTAGGAAGTTCAAATGTTCCACCACCGATAGAGATCCAGATGGTAAAGTTAAAGGTCAGCTCTATGAAACACTGTTCCTGTATGTTATCCAACAAGGTCAGAGCCCATGTCCTGTCATCAGTTAACTGTTATGAGGTATAAATAGACAAATGCTTACAATTAGATATTTTTGAAAGTCAATTTCCGTAAATACAAGTGGAACATATAATTTGACAGGAGGATTTTTTAGGGCTCTTTAACAAATTATGGACCCCCATTGGATTTATTTTATGATGTTGCCAAATTCCCATAATACATACTTTACTCCTTGAAATTTCCTTCACAAATGAATTGGAAAGCTCTTTCCCAAATAATTGGGGAAAAAACCCTGGATTGGATTGTAATTCTTTCATTTCTTTCCAAAATAATTTTGTGAAAAAAACCCTGAATTCTTTCATTAAGTATGATGTAGATATAAGATTTAAATTGATTGCTAAAATTTTGGGATTGTGAACCATCAAAATAATTTACTTGGCAGACTATCCAAAGATGGTACAGAATAATGTCATATCTAAACTGAGATAAATCATTTCCCAATATGTCACATGTGTAACAGATTCTTTTACTTGAAATCTTACCTGGATATCTTCCACACAACCTTCTACTGACAGATCAAACTGAATATTGGCCAGGTTCAAACACTGAGATGACCATGACACTGAGGTGACAAAATCCTGACAATACTGCAGAGCCACTTGATAGGTGATACCTGAAGCTGTTGGCCATGGTGGTATCTGGTAATGTCATTTAGTATAAAATGTTAGAAACTTCAAATTAAACTTACATTCTGTCACAGAATATTCTCAAGCTAGGAGGTGGGGTGGGGTGGGTAGTTTAAGTGATTATATTTTCTTATACATTCTCATCCTTCTAGATTCCATAGAGTTAAATTTAGCGAGCATTTCGTAAATGTATATGTCTATCTTGTCATAACCTGTATAATATTATAAATATAAATGTCACAATTTCTTTTTATATATACACTATGATAATGACCTAGAGAAGTTATATATTTCATATGAAACATAACTTTGCGTACACAAATCTTGACCGGTTCATTGTTTTATGTGTGACAGGAATTTCTGTAAATTCAAAACTACCTGAACCATTTCAACTTATTACGCGAAAGCAGTCTTAGACTTTGTATTTACAAAGCTATCCACTGATTAAGTTTTAGTTTTCACAAAGCCTTACACTGATTAAGACTTTGTACAATGTTTAAGACTTTGGATCCTTAACGCATTTCAAAAAGACTCTGAATAATTGACTTACCAGATATTCATAATCAGGGTCATACTCAAACCTGATCGAAGATCGATTCAGGAAACACTTGGTTGTTGACTCTGAATAATCGTTCAGTATTTTATCCGTGATGTCCATTCCTGTAAAGTCAACAGATTCATATCTAACTCAAATTAGAAACAACTACAACAATGGATGCAGAAAATGAAAGTATGACAAATATATTTGATGTTCGTCTCTACCAGACAGTGTATTTCTTGTCAAGACTACACACTATATGCAGTAATTGTTGTTGGATTTTTTTATAGTTGCAGTTTTACCTAAAGTATGTAGTAGTTGTATTGTTAAAAGTCATTTAACAGAAGATGGATTTCTCTAACAAATTTATTTTCAAGGGTAAACATTTTTGTGATTTTTTTCAACACTTGAAAATGGCAAAAATTTAAACCTGAAAATATTTATCTCTTCCATTTGTAGTTTGTTCCTAGGCTACAAGTTTTTCTCTGAAACTGTCATTGTTAGCAAAGTCAGAAGTTTTATTCTGGGAAATGAATTAAAAACAAATGAAAAAAAAAAAAAGATTTTTCTCTTTTTACAATGTCATTTCTTCTTTTTGGTTGTTATAAATCACAAAAGCTAATTTAAAACAAAACAAAATATGAGTGATCATTTCTTCAGTGAAGAGTTACCTTTCCTTCGATTTGATTTTGTCTTTAAGGAGGCGCCACAGTTTGCTATTTGCAGAGTATCACCACAATTTTCATTGGAATTCATGCCACATTGACAATACGTCACCATGGAATCGTCCTCTACATCCAGAGGACAGAACCCATCATATAAGGTGTCTTCTGTGTCAGGATTAATCCTTGAAAGACAATAATTGTTGAGATTCAGACATCAACTAAAATAAGATTTTTTTTGCTCCTCCCCTTTTAAAATAAAACAAATATAAAGATCCTTCTAAAATTACTCCATGACCAGAATATTGTTTCTTTTATTTTACCCTCATCACTCACCAGTCTGTAATTCTTAATTTAACAAGGTGTAAGGTTTACCATTCCACAGGAATTTAGCCTGAATGCATTGGTTTTTGTCAGGATTTTAGAAAAGGTTACTGGAAATGTACATACTTAAGTGCTTTCCCATATCCCCCTTAGCATTTCTTACCCTACCCAAAATATTTAAGTGTACATACTGCCAACTGCGTGAGAAATCCATTGGTTGTTTGGACGTTCCAGTGTACATAGAGCCATTCCGCATTCGTTTATCATTGGCCTTATTGTTATCCCATTGACCACATAATCCCACAGAGCTGTTGAAATCAGCAGAACCAGCCTTTACCCAAACGTTGATATATTGTGAGGTCTTTCTTCCTTTCCCAGTCTTTACTACAACAACCGTGCCATGGGGCAAATATATCTGAAAAAAAAATCATGGCATTTTTATTGTAACAGGTTGGTTGGTAGAAAGCTACAGTATACAGATATCAATTTTTTTTTCTTTTTTCCCCAAGACATGAATGCCCCTTGCCCCATCCAATATATGTATCACTGTGCAATAAATTTGCATAAGTTGTCAAATATGGCCTTTGACCTTGTAAATTTGATTAACAATTATCTGAACATGACAAAGTGGAAACAACTTGATGCTATGATACATACAAATCAAACCTGTTGAGAGGTTCACAAGATATGACCCTTGAATGAGAAAGATGCACAGATGACACAACGGACAGAATGACGAACATGGGTAGCACTACAGGCCCCAACCATAAAATGATAGTGAATGTATTGATAGCTCCAGTGCTTGAGGTACTAAAAGCGGAATACATAGAAAAGTTAACTTTCAGGAAATTGCTTTCAATCTAGAAATGATGATGTGGAAAAAATCACCAATATTATCATTTTTCCCTGTTTCTATGTTAACACATAAAGAATCTATAATGAGAAGGTCTTCAATGCAAGAACCACCATCAGAAGGTAAGCTGGACTGGATTTCTGTATTTTAAGTTTCTATCCAATTTTTTGCCAATCTGCTTTCACAGTGGAAGTAAATGTGTACCAGATGAAAATATCTTCAAAGCAAGTATGAAGAAAACTTGATCACAATATGAATTCTTGTGAACATTTGTGAATTTGAATCCTCATAATTTTTAACTTTTGAAAAACTTTATCTGAAAATACTTGTGAATTTGAACTCTAATAGCGTATTTGAAACATTTTCAGTGATTTCAAGAGTACTCTCAATGAACAAATTCATATGTCCACAGATCATTAAAATTAGTATTTGTAGCATTTTTTGACTAATTTATCCTTGAAATCAAGTTTTTTTTTTATTTTTCTTCTTTTAAAAATAATGAGTCACATTGAAATAGATGATTCTACAGCCCTTAGATGCTAATATTTGTTAATTCTTACTGCCACTCTAAAATACCTTATATAATATTTGACAAGGATTTTGATTCTGATTATGTTCACTAGGACTTTTTCCTTCATGTCAACGATACTGTCTATACACTCAACAATGTCCCCATTCCGATTCATATGTCACTACTGTATCAATGTTTAATGAATTTGAAAAAGTTGTCAATTTGTGCTCTTCGACCTTTTAACCTTGAGTATCATTATCTTCATCAAATATTATGTAGATCTTGATGTTTTGATACTATGGGATAATATGAACCAAATCTGTTGATATGAGAATGATACAGATGGGACAGGAAGGGACAGGGATGGGGACAAGGACGTGGTCAGGGACCAGAACGGGACGGAATAGGATGGACATACATGGCGATATTCCCCATAAAATTGGGAGGGCATAAAACAACTACATATCCTTATTGCAGATTTAGGAAATGGTACAGGTAAATGATGTTTGTGTTACCCACCTCGTACTTCTTTCCTCCACCAAATTTCATAATCCTTGTTCCTGGGGTCAGTATACCATTTAGGTATATCTTAACAAGCATTGGCTGTCGACCACCAGCTACTGGTCCACACTGATCAAGCAGGATGACGTCATCTCCTGATCGTATGGCTACAGCACAGTTACATGAGGCACGTTTGTTACAACTCCGGTAAAATGTCCTTACTTCAAATGGCAAAAAGAGGTGAGCGTATAAAATGAATTCTCCCTCCAGGAAATTGTTGAACCTCCTGTAAAGAAAAAAAAAAATGTTCCCTGAAAATAATTATGTTTTTGTGGTTTGCATTAAATGCAATCCCTTTTGATGTAGTGGTTGTATAAAAATATCTTCCTTGTCTCACAATAAGTTCATGCTTGGCAATAAGTCCACCTATGTATATTGCAGTTTTAAGTAAAATAGCAAACATATACTTTATGTAAACCAATTTTGTTTTGTGATTTCAGCATCTTGAAACTGCATTCATTATTTTTTGTAAAACTGTGGATACTAGTTTATCATGTTTGCACTATTTGTCTATCATCCATGTTTTAATTAAGGAAAACTGACTTTTGGTAATCTGTTCGGAGTGAAAATTTGCAAAAATGAATTGCACATAAAGAAACTTGATGGCGGTTTTTTGTTGTCTGACCCTAAACCCATCTCCTCATTCAAGTTTAATATCCAATGTCTTCACCTTATAAACTAGTATGAGATACATAATGTTAATTCTGCAGAAGGAAATTTTACACTTACCAATCATCAAAACTGGTCATATGGGGATCGTTGATGGATTTACATACGACACTCTTGTCACCATCAGTAACAGTGACCTTGACCTGACCAATGGTATCGTTGAAAGCTGTATTTTCGCCACACTGAATTGTAGCAGAGATGTTTAAGTCGCGTTCCACCTCTCCATCATATAGAAGGTCAACTGTAGCAGCTACAGGCAGACGGAAAGGGTCCTCCCATGTTTCCATGGAGATAAGGCCACCACAAAATGCCTCATCACGTGAGGAGCTGAACCTGTCAGAAAGAAGAAAACTACATGAAGACTCTATTAAATAACATGAAACAAGCTGACATTTTGTTTTCAAAAAAATTTTCTGAAATGTAATTAGTACTATGAAAATTTATATTTTTAATCTTCGTTCTAAGTTTTAATCTTAATTCTATGCTTTTTCTAGACCTTAATTTTTTTATTCTGGATATCAGCCAAACTGCCCGAAATGAGATGATGAATTTAGTGAAAAGTTGCAAATAAATAAAATGAAACCTGGCCTCAAGATGTTCAAATTCGGAGCTATTCAGTTAAAGTTAAACAAAGTACTGTATCGTTTTTCTTAATGCACTTAGATAAGAGCTAATTAGTTCAAATTAGTACAAAGATATTAAAATGTTACTACTAATAATTTCCAAAAAAGTCACAGCATCAGTACACACTCGTCTCTAAATCTGACACATTATGGTGAGAATTATTTACTGCAATAATAATACATGTACAACAAAAACTGAAAATAAATAAATAAAAAAATTCTTCGTTGACAAAAAATGTGGTCAATCGGGAGGCATATAATAGTGATCCCATACTTACCTATAACCCAGAACTGCTTGATGCAGTAAATTCCCATTTGGACATACATCTGCTTCTTGTAGGAATTTTGCATTCAGCCTGACAAAACAGGAGTTGTTTCCCCTTAGTGAAGGTGGGAAGAACAGTAAAGGTGGCACTGTGGTTTTTACAGGAACATCCCCAACAGGTCCACCCTCCTTGATCTCTAACTCAGTAGTCATCACCTGTCAGAAATAAACATTTTTGTAAATTTCATGGTCATTTAGATGCTGGGTCTCCATGAAGAAGGTAAAGTGTCTTGACTATGGACAGAGATTTTCCTACAAATGCCATAGGATCATCAAACCAAGCATCACGGATCTGTCTCTGGGGTTATGTAGGCCAATCTAACCACCTCATATATCATGGCCCCCAAACAGCCAAATAATCATGACACAGATCATGTAAAAGTACATATCTGTATATATGTATTATCTGTTCAAATGTACAGGTTCAATTTGTATTTCAAAAACTTCATTTGACCTTTGATCTCTACAGCCATTTCCAAAATGTATAATTAAAAGAACACAAAACACAAAGGTGATACATTGCAAAAATAATAATGTTGAGGACATATGCATATTATATCAAAACCAATATAGGAACAGAGAGAATACACTGATACAAGAGTCTTTACAGTTCAAATGTCTGAATAATTGACAATCATGTCTTGGAAACTGAGACTTACCCTGACTTCTGCTATGAAGGTGAGACTGTGTCTTTGCGGTCCACGGGTGTTGTCACAATCGTAGGAATAGCATGGGGTTACATGACATGAAACCTACAACAAAAATGCTGCAGAGTCATACTGATGTAGACTAGAATAAATTTTGATGAATATTGTTCCCTAAAAGCTGTAAACTTTAAGACATAAAACAAATTCTATCAAGAATAAGTTTTATTTATTTTATTGGAGAGTTTTAATCAAATAAGTCTTTTTAACCTTCAGTAGAATGGTTTTTTTTGTTTCTTGTAATACATGTACTATTATATCATAAATCTCAACTCTTTTGTTTTCAAGATTTCATTTAAGTGTTATCAAATATGGTACCTGTGACCTTAGAGTAAGTCAAGGTCAATTTCTTTAACAAAATTTGTATTTGTGCATATTCAGTATATAGAGCATCTAGTTAAAAGTTATTATTCTATGTCATTTCACACTGAGGAATTTACTCCGAAAAGAACAAAAAACAGTTAACCATCCTTTAATATTAACTCACAAGCAATTTGTGTCATATGTTCAAAACTAGAACTTTTTGCAATTGGTGATGAACTTTGTAACACTGACCTTGACCCCATAACCTCCATCACCATAAGTTGCCTCATCCATGATGTCGCTGTCTTCATCTAGCCTGGTTGACCTTCTAACAACACCATTAACTCTCCAGTCCAAGAGGTAACTCACATCTCCTCTCTCAAGTTTGTCAAACTTGCAAATGAATTTTGTCTCCATTGAATTTCTGTTATAGTCCACAGAAATAACTGGCTTTTCAGGAAGTTCTGGGAACTCTACACAACACAAGAATTTTGGGTATATTATACTGAAATACTGGAATCTGTCATCAAAACTGAACAGTTTGGAAGTGGGAGATTATCACTTGTAAGCTGATTAACATATAGCTGGTAATTTTTGTAGGGCAAACTTTTCACAATTTGTTTTTTTTTAACAATTGAATTGTATTTATGAATTAAAAAATTTCAATCTGGATTTGAAAACACATCTAATACACACAAGTCTCGTTATTAGACAGATTTAATTTTTGCAATTACTTTAATTTACAAAAATATCCATGGACCTAAGAGGTATATGGTAAAGGACCAAAGAAAGTGGGCAAGATTTTCTCCTTACCACCAATAGAATAATTGGAGCAATACATAACTGTTTTCTAGCTTTGACTTATTTTTAAAACTTGTGTTTTCAGTAAAGACAATGTTGATTTTAGACCAGCAAGAAACGAAAACAAAATATGTTAATTTTGAACAAATATATAAGAGCTAGGAAGCAGTAATGATGTGTATTTTGAGAACTATCGTTGCCTAACATTATATTATTTAATTCAATAATTCATGGTTTTCCAAAACTTTCCCAAGTACATGCTAGAATTCCTGGATAAATAGTGTGCTCATGAATCCAGCTATAACTATAATCCATGTCAACTTTCATCCATAGTCTTTTTCCCAAAGACATATGAATTCATCGATTAAGGGTAGGATATACATATTCATGAATTTAGGGTCCCCCACAAAAATGACTAATTCACAGTAGTATCAATCAGTTTTTCCCAAAATGTTGTTAATCTTGATATGATAAAATAACAAGGCTGATTTCAAATTTCAAAAATACGACAGATGGATGGACAAACAAAAGAGATATCTGTTCCCTGCAGCAGGACAAACTATATATCAGAGATTTTAACATGTCTTTTCTAAAATTTAAACTAAATAATCACATCTTTTGAAGTGACAGACATGGATAACACTACATTTCCACTTATCCAATGTTATAACATTGGGTAAATATGAACCGATGTGATGTGATGTGGAGGGACAAAGGCAGGGAAACAAAAAAAATGGATTGCATCTTACCAATAACAAAATCAACAGCAGAGATCACAGTCCTCTGCCAATTCAACATCAGCCACTGTCCCAAGATAAAGTGTGCTGTCGATCCCCTCCTATAAAATCCTCCAATATGAAGATGGCCAATTTGGTAACCCAGTATAGTACGCTTGATGAAGTTTACTGTGCGTCCTCTACTAGCACCGTCAATAAAAATCTCAAGCCCATAGCTTCTACTCCAAGTCCATTCAAATTCCATAAAGGTGTTTATGGTGGAAAACCTAGTGGACACTGTCCATTCCTCTAGCATGGTGCTTACCGTAAGGTAGATCCTACCCCTCCTATAATACATCACGATTCCACGATAAGCAGGATTATCTGCCCCTGATGTGAACAATACCATACCATCAGTCAAAGTTAGAATATTGAGAGAGAATTTGAATGTAAAACCTTGTCCAGCACACATATCAGGGTCACTTAGACAATCCAGTGTGTCTGTGATGTTGATGTAAGCTGAATTGTCATTGAATAAGAATGCATAGTCTCCTCTCCAACCGTTCACAAAAGAAATCTGGCCGTGGAAGGACACATTTCCGCTCAACATTAATATTAAGCCTCCAGATATGGACAGGAATCGCTCTCGGTTAGCAACAATCAAACTGGCTGTGAATGAAAAGAGAGAGAGGGGGAAAACAGCTTTCGTTAATTTTGAAAAATTATTGTTAGGATTTAAGCTTGAAGAGACATGTTCTGAATTGTTTTGTTTACGAGATTGAAACAGCAAGCAGGCTTTATATCACAATATCAATTAACAAATATATAAATCTTTAATTTTCATCATGATTTTTTTACTTATTGGATTTGCTATAAATAATTTATTTTTTATCAAAAATTCTGATATTTACATATTATTGATTTTTTACGAAGTTTTATTTTATACAATTAATCACACCGATGACTTAACCTTCATTAAATGTTTATTCTAGTAGTTTTATTTTACTCTTTCATTCCAACAAATTATTAATAATTGACCTTGTCAGAGTTGCAGGCTCTGATGCCTTGATGTACTCACCATTGACCTCTGTCCATGCAGTCCGGCTGATAATTGGGAAACAAACCCTGGTGGCATCCTGAGGGAAAAACTGTCCTGTCACGTAACACTCTCCACCAATTACACAAATGTCATCCTATGAATGGTGAAACAAATTCATCCAACATATTATGTTAAAGGTTCATCAGATGAAAAAACAATTCAACATTTTTCTGAAATAGAGTCTAATATAAATCCAGGGTGAGAAAGCGCTGTAAAATAATTTTTTTTTTTTGTGGACATTTGATTTCATGGATGAATATAACTCAATAAATATACTGTTATTTTAGCAGTTTATGGCCATCTGAATCGTTGGAATTAGAGTATCCACAAAATGAATGAAAATAAGTCCTCCACAAAACACTATGATTTTACAATGTATTTTATTTGGTACAACGAAATTTTACCGGGTTAACATTATCAGTGAATCAATGCAATGATAAATTCATGCATCCGAAATCGTTACTTTATAAACTGCTTTGTAGAATGTGCTAATAGTGCAATCATATTTCAATGCAATAAGTTCAGTGCAAAAAGCTCAAAAATAAGGTTACCTCTTAAACTTGTAGGTTTCAAGTATCACCATAATTTCTATGTATTGCTGATTGAGATTATATGTATGAAGACTAGAAAGTAGAAAATGTCTGCAGGACATGAATGCCTCCCTTCCATGCAGATAAATACAATTGTTTCATGAATTTGCACACGTTGTTGAATGTGACCTTTGACCCTTAACCTTGACCACCTTACTAACATGATCATGTGTAAAATAAAATGTTATGATACCATGAGCTAGATTTGAACAAAATCCATTGAGAGATTCTTATAATATGATATTGACTGGAAAAGGGATATGACAAATGGACATGGACAACAATTTTCATATAAACAACTCACCTTATTTGTGCAAATTCTGGAGTTGAGATCACATGTCTGGCAGAATGAATCATACACAAGATATGGAGCAGGATCACTCTCCAGAGTACCATAGTTACTAATCGAAACATTCACACTTGTTGCACGGACCACTTCACAAATGACGGTATCCATAGAAACGTATGTTGCAGGTTTTGTGATGACTTCATTTGTCTACAATCCATGAAGATAAGTTTATTACAAGAGATCTTACCCTCCAGATTTCATCACAGGAGATGTTCTTTTATCCCTTATTATTGAGGCAGTGTAGACAGGAAAGCAGAATTATTCCCCTTTGTTCATTATAGCAGGCAGTGTAAAGTTTTCACATTCACAACATTTTTATTAACTTTTTTTTGTTAATTTATTAAATGATGAGAAAAATAGCCCATTGCTAAGATAATGACAAACGTTGCAATTAATAGTATGATCTCCCATTATATAAATGTGAAATGTTGTGAAAGACTGACACAAAATTCATTCACTACATTTTAAACAGTCAGAGATAACTCTGACCACTATCTGTTCTTTTTATAAACAAAGGGGTCAGAAGACTTCTTAGCATCTCATACTCTTTAAATTACCTGAATGTCTTTTATATGACATGTTAAATTATCATTTCGGATGAAATTTCTCCCATAGATAATGAGGTGAGAGCATGTGCTGACTCTTCTGTCACAGAGTTGTCCCCCTTCAAAGCCTAGTAAGATGGGTGGATCAGCTTTCACCAAAGAACAATCTCCCCCTGCGAAACCATCAGCACACTGGCAGACTCCTGGATTTGAAATGAGAATATTATGTGAAATCTATTCACAGATGCCATTGAATCAGAAACAACAAGCTTTGTAAAACAAATCTGGAATAAATTAACCCAATGTCAACATTAAATTTAAGAGAAATCCTCAAAAGACTCCCAAGGATAATTAAAAAATCATTATCAACTGCTGGCAATCATGTGGCTTAAGTACTACTCATATATACCAAAATTCAGACAGAAAGAAATAATTGAATAAGGGGTTTCATTCCTGAGGAAAAAAAACAACCCATTCTCTGATCTTTGATCACAATGGCATTTAAAAGAAAATGAATTGAAATTTCAAGCATAAACCACAATAAAAGGGGCTGTATTTGTGCATAAATATTCATTAAATTGATGAAAGTGTAACGATTGTCACTCCTGACAAACTTCCACCTGAAGACGGACATAGAGAGGATGGACACATTTAATTACCGGTATGTATAAAGTAACATCTCTGAAGTCCTTCCTAACCATATTGCAGGAGGTTTAATGCTAAAACTGATATGGATTAAAAACAGCCTGTAGTCTTAGAGACAAAATACTGACCTTCCATGCAGGTACTGTTGTTATCACACTCCGGACACAGCAGGTATGTTGTGTTCAATGGGGGGACATAGTTCCCTCCAACCACTATCCAAAGATCAGGGTTGGTGGCTAGCTCTGTTAAACATTTGACCTTTACAGTAGACAGCGCCTCAAACGCCCAAGAAACATCATCTGTAATCTGAAATATATTACATAAATTACAATATTTTCATATTCAGGAATGTGTAGAACTGTAATTCACAAATCCTTTATTTAAATCTCATACAAATTCTAAATTCAGTTTTAGTTCTGGCATTGTTGTTATTTGATATTCTCACCAATTCATGAATTTAAATTCTTGTTGTGGTATGATGTTCATTGTCAATTTTCAAATTGTACATTGAAACAAGATTTTATGATATCACGATAGAAAGGGTTAGGTGATGTCATGATGGTAGCATTGTAAAAGGCAAATAAATCTGCTATCAGAATTTACAGCTGTGAATTGACAAGAAATCAAACTACAACTTAGTTGTGTGCTCAAATGCCAAAAGGCCATAATTGCAGATGTAAAATCTGTTTCATAATTTCTACCTTTTAAAATCTTTTTAATGTTTTTTTTTCCAAATTTAACAACAATGCAACAAGTTTCTTTTGAAAACAGCGGTAGTTTGAACTCTATAAATGAAACAACCCAGCAAGCAATCACAATATCTGTTGCAGTTCCTTTGTAATGTGAACTTTTAATTCATTCCTACCCTTTGAATCCTCAACTTACTGCAATGTCTTCTACACATGACCGGATGCTCACGTCAATTTGAGCTGATATAAACCCATTACATGTGACACCAATTTCAGCGGAGAAAACATAATCCCAACATATCTGGTAAGCTTCTGTCTCATTAATACCTCCTGGGGTTGGGAATGTTCCTGCCTGTAAAAATGAAACATCAAAATGGCAAATTAGTCACAGAACTGGGGAGAAGTAGTTTCAAACAGAGGTAAAACCTTACTGAGCTTGTACAAGAGGTTACAAGGCTATGGTGGGTCAAACAGAGGTCAAATTCTAAACAGGCTGTATAAATGTCATATAGGGTCAAACAGACGTTAAGTTGTAATCAGCTTTTGTTGATTGACATACAAGATTATGTAAGGTCAAACTGAGGTCAAATTTTACATTGACCATATCAAGAGTGACAGCTTAATCAGTTGCAGATTTAATTGATGGACAAAGATGAGTTATGTCCCTTGGACAGCTTCTTCGCTACTTACAGTTGCTATATAAGAAGCATTGTACTGGAACATATCCCAAGGCTGAATACTGAAGCATCTAGTCAGAGGGAAGTTTTGAATAGAGGCTGTAATATCTTCCCCTGTAAACAAACAAAAAATGTTAAGATTGATGATAAATATCATAAATAATGAGGTATTATCTTGATTTAATGAGCTGTAAGATCATCTTGATCTATTGCACTCAACTCAAATTTTTTTGGGTTTTTTTTGTGGATTTTTGTTTTTGTTTTTAGATTTTCATAATGTTTCTATGATATTTTGTGCAATTACATTTGATCCTATCTTGTTTTGTAATGTTGTTCTAAAATGAAGGAAATCTGAAAACAATGTTCTGGTGAAAACAAGACATAGATAAACATACCAGGTACAGCATCAACGTCACACCTGTAGAACAGACGAGAATCACAGGTCACATTTTTACCCTCCTGACATGTACATGTGTCCTCCATTTCTAATGAATCCTCCTCGTTGTCAGGACAATAACCACCAAACAAGGAATCCTCCTCCCTAGAAACAAAACAAAGACCTAAAATATCCTGTTTACTTAAAAAAATTTTTTACAATTTACCTTTGATTTTGTGGTGTACCTTTCCCTACTACAATGTGTATTATAGGGTTCAGATGGGATTTTTATCCTTCATCCTATCACAATATCCATAGAAGCTACAAAGCATTCAAAGCAAGCCTGATTCTTTCAATACCATATCATAGATCCCAGGAAGCAATGATTATTCCTGGTTCTTTCACATTACAGGGGCCAGGAATGATTCTAACTTTGCCTGGTCTTGTTTAATTCACATTACAGGAGTAGAAAAGGTTCTTATTTAACCAGTTTCTCTTGCTCCCACATTACAGGACCAGGAAGGGTTCTTATCAGGCCTCATCCTTATAAAATCACAATAAAGACGTTCAGAAAGGGATGTTCTCTTACTTAAAACGTTACAGTTGATAATTTCTGATAAGTTTATTTTTATTAGGGTTCTCACCTGACTCTCCACTGGAGGGAGAAATCATCAGGCTTCCTTGAGTTTGTGGTGTCCACCGTTCCATTTGGCAATGTTAAATCATCATCCATATCCCCATTAAATGTTCCGCATAAACCTGATCACAGAAAAGATAAACTTTTTTGTATATATAAAAATTTTTTGTATATGTCCATTTTTAAAACTTCACAAGACTGACAACATTAGAATTTCCTTTGATCAATCTCTTCAGAAATTTTTGATGATAGACAACTTCTGAGTATCTGAAGAGTACGACTTAACCTTTCCATCTCTAAAACTTGTGACAAAATCAACAGTTTATATGGGAATCTTAAGTGCTCATCAACGCAGGCTGAGATATCATGTTCACATTAAATGGCCTGCTTTATCCCACTCCATGATCGTACAAGTTTTATGAGCAGGTATGACTGTTAAAGTTTCTTAAGTCACATGTCTTTGAAAATAGGTTACCTACCTATTGTCTGGTTAAAATCAAATGCAGAGGCATGGACAAAAACATTCAGGTAACCTTGTGGATCTCTCCTCAAATTTCCATCCTTTATGACTACATAACTTCCTGTAGGGAAGTATACCTGTACAAAGAACATTATACATTGAAGTACTTATATACAATATATCATGATTAATCTGCATAACATACATTAGAAAACATCATATATACATCTATGATAGTCAAAAATGAACTGGTGATAAAAAATGTGCTAAAGTACCTGTATACACCAAATAAAGTCAAGGTTCATCTATTGTCTGCAAAACCTACAGATTATATATGGTAAAATGTTTTATATTTTTTCTCTCAGTATTTAAAACTTTCAAACTATTTAAACTAAAATGCTTAAGCGAAAAGGAGTTGTATTTTTTAAGTAAGTTATTCAAAAAAGGCTTTGCATTTCTTTATTAATTAAATTTTAAGGAATCTGTTTCTCTATACGATCATTTGACACTGAAGAAAACTGAAAAAAAATACAAATCCTCAATACGACAAACTTAATGGTATATGTAACACATTATTAGAAGACTCTTGTCTCTATTACAAAGTAAACTTGCCCTGTGTTCATTCTTGTCCTCGTATTTCATGACGCGTGTCCCGGGCGTGAGATTATCATTTAAGTATGACCTTATGTCAAGGTAAGGTTGGACAGTGTCCGTTTCTGGCCCACATCTGTCTATCAGGACTACATCGTTGCCAGATTTCACAGCAACAGCACAATTACAGGCTGCATGTCTGTTACATTTTCGAAAGAAAGCTCGAACCTAAAATATACCAAATGCGTAAAAAAGTCAAACTTGTTTTTATCATCAACACATTATGTGGAAATAGCGGGAAGAATTTTCATTCAATTATTCATGATTTAAAGTTTGTTTAAATAAAACAAAAAACTCCATAGATAATCATTAAATATTTCCTTTTGCAATAAGAAGTCGGAGGAAGTGAATGGCATATATTGCTATATCAGGTGGTGTAGTTGTTATTCTTCTTACTTGAGGAACATGACATTATTGACTATGACTGTCTAAGATTTACATGGCAATTGTCATCAGTGAAGCAGAAGACACTTACTCTTCTTGAACACCTGGTCTTAAAATCCTGGTATTCTTCAGGAGTCTCCATATAAATCATTCTTCCATCCATATTTGAATCAAGTTTCCTCAAATTTGTGATTTATTTTTGTTGATATGTAAGTATTTTTGTTTTTTGTTTTTCAGCAATTAAAGTTGAAATTTTGAAATTTAGATATTGATAGTTCAAAAGATGTAAGTCTTTAATAACATCTGACTTACCTCGAAGGGTAGGGTAGCATGTTTGTAGAGCACAAACTCGCCTTCTAAGTAGACATTGAAGTATCTATCAATAAAAACAAAAAAAATTTATCTATTGTCAATAAGTGATGATCACTTAAGTAGATTCTGAATGATTCTTCAACATATCATTTAACATACCATATTTTTCTGGCATTAAACCCATCCCTGGTAATAAGCCCACTGCTATTTACTGAAGTTCATTCAAAAATTCGAACCAAGACTACTTCATTGACTTATTATAAGAACATCCATATAAATCAAAATCATAAACCAATACTCTTTCAGTATTATTTATACATTTGTATAACTTGATAAAATATACCTTGTAAATTTTTCATAAAATAAACAGTTTATTGTGAAAAAAACAACACTGGAATTGTGCACATATCACTGATGTCACCAACTTAGGGTAGAGAACATTTCTTCTTATCTTCTTGTGAATACTATTTTGGCAAAAAGTCAAGTTTGTGTCTCCAGGAAAAGAATTCATACAAATACACAACATTCAAATTTGATATGGGGAAGCAAAAAGTATCGAAAAAATAAACATTTAAAAACAAAATTCATGTTAAACTCCTTTCTTGTCAGATTAGAGCACAGACCTGCCATCAAAGGTAGTCATGTGTGGATCATTGACTGATGAACATAGTCCTGATGGATTGATATCTTCCACAGTCACCTGAAATCACCACAAACTTATTACACTCATGCAATTATAGATGTTTCTCAAACACATTCACAATACTCAAACAGTCAAAGCTATGGTAAAGTTTTGGGCTATCAAGATGTCAATCATTAAAGCAGGCTCTTATGTAGAAGTCAATCCAACTTATGGTAAATTAAAACTGCTAGCTAGATAAACTGTCAGACTTGTTCATGCAAATGAGCATGGAAACTAGTCAACATATTGCAAAGGGTCTTAAAATCATATATAATACCAAAGTAATACAAAGAAAATGAGATCTAACATCCAGTCTGGTAGATTCAGTGATATCGGCAGTCTTCCTAGGATAGATTCCTAGTGGAATACAGGAGTCCGGTTCAAAGATGTGTAAACAGCAAATTAGAGGACCAGACAACATCCGTAAGAAGAATGAAAGCTGTTTAAAGATTGACAACTTTTAAACAGTTTTAATTCTTCCTGAGGATGTTTGCGGAACACCAGAGTAAGTTATGGGGTCAATATAAGTAGGAGAAATTAAAAATACAGGCAGTGCTACAACTGATCCATACAACCATACATTAATACAGCAAAATTTAGATATCAAAATGAAAGAAAACGACTCTCTATATAGTTGGCCCAGAGAGAGAATTCAAAACTATAACATACCAAAAGGTTACCTTAAATGTAAAATCTGGCAGTTGTAAATAAAACAATGTTTAATAATATGCACCTGACAAAGTCATTCCATATTCAACAATAGCCCAAAATCAATTTATTGTGGACCCAAGTAAAAAATTTTGAATGCATCACTCTTCACCATAAAATACAACTAGATGATAAATTTGGCAGTTATAAGCAAAATGGTGTACTTTGAGATATTCCCCTGACAAAATAAGTGATCGACTGTTGAATTGCCATCCTATAGATTCTGTCTAAAAACAAACAACAATGAAAACTTTTTTTGTTGCTTAAAAAGCTATAGTTACCTGAACAGAAGCATCATTAGATACAACACCTCCATCAAGGCTAGATTCAACCAGAAGTGTCCTTTCCTGATCACCATCTTTAAGGTTGTCAACTGTTGCCTGAACATCAAATTCGTACTCTTCATCCCAGTTGTCCTCTGTGATCACAAGACCACATGGGATGCCCTCACCAGCCCTCTGAATCTGTACTTGTGGAATTATCATTCCGTTACATGAAAATTCCTCTGTCTCTTTCACCTTTGCCATTACATGAATACTACAATTTCCTCTAGATAGCGCATGACAAAATATAAAGGGAGGGAACTCCATTTTTACCTTCACCTGTTTCTCTTTCTGTCCCTCTGTTAAAGTAAGGGACTCTGTCAACACCTGAAAAAAAGCCAAAATTCTTGGAATTTATGTGTTTTTTTAACTGTTTTTTCCATGAAAAAAGAACACTGTTACTCCATAACAAAGCTGGGAACCCATCATTGAAGATAAATGCAATATCCTTACCACCTCTATTCAAAGAATTTTAAGAATCTATGATAGGATTTATCAGAATGCAAAAAAATATTAGTGATGTGCCCTTGACATCTCCATAACACAAACTTACCCATTGTAAACAATGTATTGGTTTTAACCATTGAAACAGTACACACAGATTTTAAAGCAGACAGCTATTTTTTTCAGTCCTTTCGTGTCAGTTACAAACATGTTTAACATATATAATTCCATCCTTTGCTTTGAAATGAATTATTACTTTGTGAAAAACGTCAGATGCCTTCAGAAAATGAAAAGTGATTTATGGCATTATAAATAATGGAAAAGCTAAATATGAATAATGATCAATTACCGTTACAGAGGCACGAATTGTGTTGCTTAATTTTACTGGACTGGTAGTGTTATCACAGTTATCCTCGTAGCATGCTTCAATCCCACACTGCACCTGGGAGCCGTAAGTAAAATTCTTAAACTTATTTAAATCTGCATCTTCTTGTGTCATGTTGGAATCAGTTATGTTGTTGTCCAAGATTACAGTGTCAACAATTTCACCATCAAGAGTCCAAACAAGGGAGAAAAGTGAGTTGTTCCTTTGTGTTGGCAAATCGTAGTCACAGTGGAACCAGAATCGCTGAGCAGACATGTTGTATGTATAGCTAAGAACAGGGGGATCTCGCACCAGGGGATATGCTGGAATAATGATTTCAACAATGAACTCAAAACAAAATAGTTCGAAAGTCTTCAAATAATGTCAATTTAGGGAATCACGGCTCTTGTGTTTTATATCCTTACAATTGTATAATTGTCAACAAACAAGAGTAGATTAGTTACAGATGTCTTCTAATAAAAATTATGATAATTTCGTTATTTCATATATACTTACGTCTAAGTATGCTCCACATATCATAATTCTCATCGGGATTACACACTTGAGAGATGTTGTCAGGATTCAACTGACCAAACTGGTAACAATTGTTGTCGATAAGACAAGTTAATGGCTGAAATGGAAAAAGTCAGTACCATAAAAAAAATATTCAGCAATGTTCTTCTGCAATCCTTTTTACAGAAACACTGAATTGCTGCTAAGTTTTCAAACAAAAGATAAAAGAAAAAATTTTAATATGAACATTACCTAGGCTAATACCACACATCCTTCAGAACATTACCTAAGATCATCAGACCAATCAGATCGTTATCAAGGCTAATCCGACTAATCAGAACACCCTGAGGCTGCTTGCACCATTCAGAACACTCTAAAAGTTCATCTGACCAATCAGAACATTCTAGAAGCCAATCTGACCAATCAGAAAACCCTGGGGCTGCTTGCACCATTCAGAACACTCTAAAAGTTCATCTGACAAATCAGAACATTCTAGAAGCCAATCTGACCAATCAGAACACCCTGAGGCTGCTTGCACCATTCAGAACACTCTAAAAGTTCATCTGACCAATCAGAACATTCTAGAAGCCAATCTGACCAATCAGAACACCCTGAGGCTGCTTGCACCATTCAGTACACTCTAAAAGTTCATCTGACAAATCAGAACATTCTAGAAGACAATCTGACCAATCAGAACACCCTGAGGACTACTCTGACCAAGAAAACAGATAGTAATTAAAGTTAACATCATAGTTACCTTAGCTACACAAGTCGCTGGAGCTGAACACTCATGGCATTCACTATGGTAAACAGTGAAGATTTGAGAATTACTGTAGGTGGAGTTGTCGTTACTCAAGGCAACTATGTAACTTGTGACCTTTGGGGTCAACACTGCAACTTGGTACGGAGTTAGGAAGAGGCCTGGTCTGTATAGCTCCATATCACTTACTGTGTTATTTGTTCCATCATTACTCAACTGGAAATAAACAAGTCATGCTTAAATAATGTACAAACTTTGATATTGCCAGGTAGGAGGGACGAAGGGGAAACTTTGAGTAATTTTAGTGAATTGAGTTGGAATGTTTGGTTCAAAGTTTGGCTGGGACCAATAAATTACGTCGAACTAAACAGGGTTTTCAAGTTAAATGACTTTTAGATAATGAGGTGTGACTATATTTCTTTTGACTAAAAATAATAAATAAATTTTCAGTTATACAAATACACAGTTGTTAACTACTTACATTACCTAGAATACCTGTTATTTGTGATAATATATAAAATTAACAAATTGGATCAATTTTTGGTAAAAAAGAGAAAAAAATGGAAAACAAAATCATCACCAATGAAAAAAGAAAGTCAAATTTAAAAGAACATAACATTTTAAGTTCCGGTGTTAAGGTATACAAATAATACCTGTATTTCCCATACTCTGGCTGTGAGCTTCTCCGACCTTATGAATGTATCCCCAAAAGCTACCAGCGATGTACATGGCGAATATGCAAGATCACAAAATCCATTTTCCGCAAGGAAGTACACCTCAGGGGCTTCAATTGTATTCACTCTGCACGCCTCACCTCCAAATCCTTCTGCACACCGACAGTAGCCTGAACAAAAATAAAGTAAAACTTGAAACAAGTTACATGCAATTGAGGGTGTCATATCTCTCAATGCCTCCATAAGGATTCAAACTTAGGATCTCTGGTTTACTTGTCTAAAGCTCAACTGATCAAGCTATAGAGAACATCTCTCACTGTGTGGTAAAGTAAGTATTGCTGCTAGTATTTTACCAGTAATACAATCTCTCTCTCAAGGAAATAAATTGTTCTCCAAATTTCCAGGGGTCACAGCGATACTCATTACTTGAGCCCCTACATGGGTGTCAATGCAACAGAGGTTTATTCGAATGTCTTCAGTGGGATTCAAACCTGGGACCTCTGTCTTATTTGTCTGATGCTTAACCTACTGAACTCATGATAAGTTGTCACTGGTCAAGCTGTTTATTGTGGCAAGTAGTTTCCAGTGTATATACAGAGATAAGTCCCAGACATATAGTTACATTAAATCAAAAAACCATATTTTTTCTTATTTTATGTCAGTTTTCAAATATGTATTGTTCAACTCACCTTCTACACATGTTCCTCTGCCATTGCAATCCTCAAAACAGATGCCATTAAGAATGGCGGTGGACGGAGCAACCATACGCTGAACTTCCGTCAGACACTGTACAATAATATTAGTCTCCAAGGTATGAGTCCAGTTATAGGAATCTGTGATCTGTAAACATCAATGTTCCAAGAAATGAAGATTGGTATATGATAAAAAAGGCAGGAATATCGATTTTGATCCTTTGTTACATAGGTCAAGAATATACTAAAATTCTAAAATGAAAAAAAGCTGAAATGTTTCTCCCAAGTTTTCCAAATCTCCATCATTGAAAACACTTCAAGCATTCATTTTCAAAATAGATGTAAAAAGACTTTTATAAAAGTGAAGGTTTCCTTATTACTCTCATTTGATTTTCAATGCCATTTTTTAAACAAGAAAAGCTGTCATACCCTGATATCAGTGACACACGCTTCCACAGCAAGATCAAAGTCGACATTAGTGATGTTTTCACACAGCTGTCCCGCTGTACTAGCTGCCAACACACCCTGACAGTGAGTACGTGCCATGTCTTCTGTTATGTTCGAAGCTGTCGGGAAACTGTAATCCTGTAACAGAAAATTTACGATGCACAGCATCTTCCTGAAAAATGACGTGTGTCATCTTGTCTTTTCCAAAGTCATTCTAGATAAATTAAAAGGATTTCAACACCATATTTGTTTATCAATTAGCCAAGGGGTTAAATTATACTGTATAAATAGTGACATTTGCAAGGAATTTTATTTCACAAGTTTGCAGTCAATAAAGAAAGCATAAAACTAAATATCTAGCAAAACATTTTTGTGGTGAATCAAAATATCGGAAAATATCTGTCAGGCTTGTGTAAATGGATGCCAACTGATAGATGTATGCTAAATGCAATATCTGTGAAATAGCCAAACCAAGAAAAAATTAATCCTGAAAGTATACATTATTTTTTGAAAGAAAGTAAAGAATTGGGCTTATTACAGGACAGCAATAATGTATTTACTAAAAGTGCTACAGAAACAGCACTAGATGTGGGTGAGCTTATCACCGCTCAAGAATTTCATGATATCAGCAGTATAACTAAATATGGATATTTTTGTATAAACCTGTACCTCACTTTTCGTTTTAAAACTTTCATCATGATTACATTATAAACATTGTTATAATTTGAAAACCTATTTTAGAATAAAACATCATGGATGGCAAGTTATTTGACGTAAAGAATGGCATTAAACAACTGAAGCACCATCCTCAATACCCCTGGAACATTTCATAGCGAAATGGAAGGTTCCATTTGCGACACCTTGTGGATAAGACAAGAAGACTAGTTTGAACCTTTGATGTACATCAAACAAATCTTGAGGTTGTATAACGCTATGTTGTACTGGCTTTAAAGTGGTGTGTTGCCTTTGTAATCTTCAAAAGAGCTTTTCAGTCTGGGCTTGGTCATTTTTTTCTCCTGACACCAATTTTGTTATGAAATGTTCTAGGGTTGCAGAGAGCAATAGTGATCTTAACTCTTGGAGTATTGAGGATGCTGAAGGACAAAATATATCTGTTACCTGTGGTATGAAGTCTTTATCAAACTCAAACTGCATGTTTTCTGGGACATCTTCTTCCCCACATCCAACGGGGAGTCGTCGCTGCATCACCAGCATGTCTGTAGTCAGATCATCTTGGCAAAACAAAGATGGCTCATTAAGCCTCAGATCATTTGTTCCAACTATTAATGGCAGTCCCAAAGGATGACAAAGTGACAAAGAGCATGAATATAAAATATTTCACTACAATTGGTAAATGAGCAATGAGCTTACATTAATTACTGGTGATGATAGTCTTGGGGGTTTTACTGTGTAGTACCCAGAGAAGACCTATGTGGTCAGGTAGATGACCCCATATCTTTTCATTTCCAATCCAGGAATTGAACCCCAGATGACTAGGTGAAAGGTGAGGTAGTTGTCAAGAGTGCCACCCAACCACCCAAAAGGATGTATTCAATACTATGTACAAAACACATCAATACTCCTTCTATACATATTCAAGCTTACAATATAATTCTCTAGCTTTCTAAAGTAGTAGGAATCATGCAATGTTTACACAATACAAACCATAAAAACAGAAACTTGTTCATTGTGTACTTACATCCTGATAACTGGTCAAGGGGACACAGGTCGGCATCCATTCTCATGCTACAGGTTTGGTTATCTCCCCTTCCACAGTCACATGACCCAAAGGTACGAGACATTCTCACCCTACCGCAATGTCCATTATATAAGCTTTCGTTCTGAGGTACCCTATGGATGAAAAGTACACACTTTCCTGTTTATTGATCTAGATCTTACAGTATGCTTTCCTCTTGCTTATCTTTGAGTGGTTCATATAATTTCTGCAAACCAGTTCATTGGCACCTTCAATTGAGATGGACCTACAAATATTAACACTGGCCTCAAAAGGCTTAAACGAGGCAAGTGAAAAAGCAAAATAAAGTCAAAAATAGGGCCACAAATGATGTCAACTGATCATAGGACCACAAATGATGTCAACCGATTATAGGACCACAAATGATGTCAACCGATCATAGGACCACAAATTATGTCAACCGATCATAGGACCACAAATGATGTCAACAAATTATAGGACCACAAATGATGTCAACAAATTATAGGACCACAAATGATGTCAACAAATTATAGGACCACAAATGATGTCAACCAATTATAGGACCACAAATGATGTCAACAGATTATAGGACCACAAATGATGTCCATGAATTAACTCTTATATCGCATCATAAAATTCATTGATTGACTGAGGAGTGTAGAAACCACCTACCCAGTCAATTAGAACGATCGGCGTTGGCTCTATCCCCTGATCTCTTTATAAAATTCATTGGGTACAAAAACAAATTGAAGATCATTTTTATCACAAAATTCACTATCAAGGCAAATATTTTACAAAAAACCGTAATTTTCACATCAAACAGTTGTGGATGAGTCATCCAATTTCAGTACACTACACTCAACTATCAAAAAGGTAACCAAAGCAAAATTTGGTATTTATAGTAAATATCGCTACACTATAAATCAGCTTTCTTTTGTAGCTTTCCATTTTTGTGATTTTACATATCACAACAAGTTCACTGCAATTAACTTTTGTGAAACAGACTGTATTATTGTAAACTGGAATCATTGTTTAATATCTGGCATTAATTTCTCCAATAAACTTTAGTGAAACAGGTTGTATTATTTTACACTGTACCTGTTGTTTAATATCTGGTCTTAATCTTCTGATTAACTTTTGTGAAATAGATTGTATAATTCTACACTGTAACTGTGTTTAATATCTGGTCTTAATCCTCTGATTAACTTTTGTGAAACACACTATATCCTTCTATACTGACATCACTGTTTAATATCTGTTTTACCAATTTACTTCAAGAACATTTTTCTATTCATAAAATTCACAAAACATGAATGGCACAAGACAGGAAATTGGTTTACAGGACATGACATCAAAAAAGGACCATAACACTGTATATGAACAACAGAGATAAGGGAAGTAATTCTATTTGGTGGTAACAACTACGAACTAATAATTGGTTAATTTACTTCCAGGAGAAGAAGTGATTAGTCCTTACCTCCATGAGAGAATGAATGGATCAGGCCTTCGTCCAGGGGCAGTATAAATTGACTTATCTTTCTTCTGTAGGTCATTGTTTTTGTCTCCATCAAAAGTTCCACAAAGGCCTGTAATTTACAGATAATTTCATATATACCAAACAACTATGACACAGCCCCCAATAATAGACTCCAATGACTTTATACCAAACAATTAATTGATAAAACCCACAATATTGATGCCCGTTATTTTTACAATACCATACTTTGATTTGGTACCAATATGATAGCAAACAGAACTCACCTTCAGTTTTGTTGAAATCTGTGCTGGATGGCTCAACCCAGACATGGAGATATTGCCAGGAATTTACGTCACTGAGGCCAACTTTAACAATTGTGCCAGTTGGCAGGTGAGCCTGAATGATAAAGTTCTATATTAGGTGGCTATCTTTACATCTTTAGTATAAACTTTCTATTTTCAATTTTTGTGGACTCCAATTTTTGAGTCTTTTTCATAGAAACTTGATCTTTATTTTATGAATAGGGTAAATAGCGCTTACAAAATCTACTTACACTAAAAATATACAGGAAAATATGGTATGTCGACAGATTATTGATTCTTCGAGAATTTATGGACAAAGAATACCCACAAAGCCAATGAAAATAAAACTCTCCATGAAAATTTATTATGTTACAGTACACTTCAACTCATTTGAGGTGAACCTGAGATTGAGATGTTACAGAATATCAATGCAAGACAGAAATAAATTGATCTCAAGCATATGAAGAGTAATATATTTCATTTCTTGTACATAACTTTTTCAAAATTTGTGCCAAACATTTTGAACTAGTTTCTCTTTCAATTTCTTCATTTGATTGGATTATCTCCCTTTGCAGCAATATGGCAGAATATGACATCATTTTTATTATGATGTCACCTGGAGCTAGGTATTGGTTAAAGGTACGATTGGTGTGAGTGAGACACAACAACTTGTACCTCATACATAATGCCTCCGTACAATTGCTGCAATCTGAAGCCAGGTGTCAGTTCACCAGTGATATAGTAATGCATTAAGAATGGCCATTTGGTGGCATGATCTTTTCTTGCTCCACATCTGTCCATCACAATGACGTCATCAAGGAGTTTAATGGCAACAGCACAGGTACAAGTTAGCTGACCATTACATCGTCTGTACAGAACATGTACCTGTCAAAATAATCAAATACACATTTCAAATTCAACAAAATTTTTCATGCATCATATGTTAAAATAAATATTTTATAGGGCAATAATTTCAAAATCTTTAGAATACATCCTCATGTTTTCATAGTAAGAAAGCAATCATTTTTAAATCTTCATGGCAGAGTAAGGAAGCATACATTATCAAGTCTTCTAGTCACAGTATGGTAGCATACGTCCTTAAATCTCCCTGCAACTCCATGTCACAGTAAGATAGCATAGATCCTTAAGTCTCCATGGTAGCATACATTCTCAAGTCTTCAAGTCACAGAATGGTAGCATACATCCTTTAATCTCCCTGTAACGCCATGTCAAATTAACGCAGCACACATTCTCAAAATCTACTTGTCACATCAGGCAGCAAACATCCTTTTGTTGTCAATTATGGTTAAATGGCATCATGCAGTCGACATGTCACAGTAAGGTAGCATACAACCTTAAGTCTTCAAGTCACAATAAGGTAGGATACATCTTAAGTCTCCATGTTACAGTAAGGTACCATAAATCCTTAAGTTTCATAACATAGTACTTTAGGATATTTTGTACCTCAAGTATATTACTGTAAAATCATAGTTTTTGTGGGGCTCAAGTATCATGCTTTTCCAAAAAATACACTTTCCTTAGGACTTGATTTCTTGCTAACAAAATCAACTTAACTATAATTTGTACCAACATTTATCTGTTAATCCTTTTATAGTCATTACAAATTTGTGGATTTAAAGTAACCAGAAGTTAAAGGAAAATAAATTCCCCAGAAAAATTAATGATAATACAGTATAATATAATATAACTTGATCCAATATTCTGTACTTCAGTTAAAACATGTTGCAAGTGGACATCATCTGTGTGTACTTAAACGGACTTTACACTTGGTACTTACAGCATACTGTAATTCCTTGTGTTGGTACAGGAGAAACTCACCCTCATAGAAGTTGGTGTAGTATCTAAAAATGAAAACATAGAAAAACAAGTTTATGTTTTATTCTTTTTCAGCAAATACTGTTCTACTAGAGTCGACCCAAGATCAGTTCAAAGTATGTGGGTTGATCAGCAGGGTGCTGTGCATTGGGTACGAAAACTGAAAGGTATGCCAAACTATTAATAAAATTTCAAAATCAACAAAGGTACATTCAATCACAATGTACCCAAGCTTCAACAGTGAGTTAGTTCTTTATAAGGCCAACTAATGTCTCCACTCAGGGTGAGGCTTCATCAAGACTGTACCATTATCATCATCACCAACAATACCTGTATCATCTATATAAACCAGTACAATGATAAACCAGTGCAATGATAAACCAGTACAATGATAAACCAGTACAATGATAAACCAGTGTAATTATAAACCAGTACAATGATGAACCAGTACAATGATAAACCAGTATAATGATAAACCAGTGCAATGATAAACCAGTACAATGATAAACCAGTGCAATGATAACCCAGTGCAATGATAAACCAGTGTAATGATAAACCAGTACAATGATAAACCAGTACAATGATAAACCAGTGTAATTATAAACCAGTACAATGATAAACCAGTGTAATGATAAACCAGTGTAATGATAAACCAGTACAATGATAAACCAGTACAATGATAAACCAATGTAATGATAAACCAGTGCAATGATGAACCAGTGCAATGATAAACCAGTACAATGATAAACCAGTGTAATGATAAACCAGTACAATGATAAACCAGTGCAATGATAAACCAGTGCAATGATAAACCAGTGCAATGATAAACCAGTACAATGATAAACCAGTACAATGATAAACAACTGTAATGATAAACCAGTACAATGATAAACCAGTACAATGATAAACCAGTGTAATGATAAACCAGTACAATGATAAACCAGTACAATGATAAACCAGTAGATAAACCAGTACAATGATAAACCAGTGTAATGATAAACCAGTGCAATGATAAACCAGTGCAATGATAAACCAGTACAATGATAAACCATTGTAATGAGAAACCAGTACAATGATAAACCAGTACAATGATAAACCAGTACAATGATAAACCAGTGTAATGATAAACCAGTACAATGATAAACCAGTACAATGATAAACAACTGTAATGATAAACCAGTACAATGATAAACCAGTACAATGATAAACCAGTAGATAAACCAGTACAATGATAAACCAGTGTAATGATAAACCAGTGCAATGATAAACCAGTGCAATGATAAACCAGTACAATGATAAACCAGCGTAATGATAAACCAGTACAATGATAATCCAGTACAATGATAAACCAGTGCAATGATAAACCAGTGTAATGATAAACCAGTACAATGATAAACCAGTACAATGATAATCCCGTGCAATGATAAACCAGTGTGATGATAATTTTTTTTGAGCCCAAAATAATGACTATATAACCAGAATAATGAAACTGTAATTAGCACAACCACATTTTGACATAATCCTTTCAATGCTAAAAGCACTAGAATAAAATATCCTCTAAAATAGGTACATTTATGGTACCAATACCAAATGTCAAATGTGACAAGATAGGACTGTGAATTAGTCACCCAATATGGGTGTCTTTAAGTAACATATTAAAGATCTCATATGACGCAATTGAAATAAAGAGAATAATTTGTGGTCACAATAATGATTCAATACCTTAGAAATTACAACAGAGAGTGCCTAGATGATATACAGTGTCTGATACAATGTCTGAGACAGTATACAATCTGTTCTAGCCTGGATCAGTGAAACTCTCACCTGCCATCAAATGTTCGAAGGTTCGGACTGTTTACTGAGCCACACAGACCTGGATGATCCATATCAATAGCAGTCACCTCCAATGTCTCAAACTCAGCTGAAGCAGACATTGTTCCATTCTCTATCACATGTCCAGATATATGAACACTCCGTTTGTGGTCACCATCATAGACTCCATCAATTTTAGCACCTACCATTATTTTGTGAGTCCATCTAGGAAAAATGATAATGAGAGAACCATCACCAACATCAAAAAACTAAACTTGTGATATTAACTGTAGAAAAATAAATTCTCATACACGTTTCATTTTTGTTTTTCCTTCATTGTGGGAGTCTTAAAACATATCTTCATTAGCATATCAAATGATGCAATTCTACAAACTATCACTTCAAAAACCTTTTTTTCATTTAAATTCTGGTGAAATAGTCACAGTAGAATTCACAATTAGTAAAAATTTATCAAATAAGGAACCAATGAAATAATAATTTAACAAAAAAAAAAATCATGAAATTTAAGCAGCATAAATATATCCACTTTTACAAAGGCATCACATCCAGCACTAAAAACACTGAGACTACAAACCTCCAATTAGTCATGGTGACTACAACTCCGCAGGATAAGTCCTCCATATCATCGCCTGAGCCAATGACCAATTGTTGTACAGACGACTGGTCAGGACAGGTCAAGTCATCCTGCGACTGGTTGACTGAGGCCTGGATATAGACATGGCAGTTCAAAGGCAAGACTGACCGTGCACATAAGAACGATGGAGGAACAGACATGTGGGTGGCAATCTCTTTTCCTTCTTCACCTTCCTGTACTGACAAAGTTGTGGCCGATACAACCTGAAAGTTCAAGGTTGTAAAGTAAAAAGTAAAGTAAAAAGTTCAAGATCTGAGATAAAATGTTAAATCCAAGAGGGACTTACAACAGAAATTTGTAATCTGCCCTATCTATTTCCATGGTAACAGAAAAAGTATTTTAACAGGGAACTTCTTCATGGCAAATCAGAATGCTAGCTTGATAATTGCACAAAGTTTTGATTATTTCTCTTGAATAATCTTGCAAAGATATAATTAGATACAGAAGTACCAAATAATGATTAAAACTGCATGATACAGGTGTTTCCTCCTTCTAGGGCATGTCAGTGATGCTGAGGGCCTAAATTTTGAAACCTTTTGGTTTTGAGGAGACTGAGAAAAATCAAAAGTGATGGTAACAAATGTCAAAATCTAAAAGGGTAGGTGCACTGGCCCCATGATTTAATAAAATTTTGAATTTTCACATTCTGATAATTGCAGAGGAACATCAATTACATGACTTTGTTTACTCTGAATTGTGCCAATATCTGATTGAATTCAAACCTGGCATGCAGTTTACATCACACCTTGGGAACGAAAAGTCCACCACCAGCAGTGTCTGGCACCTGCAATCTCCAAGACTGTATACGACAGAAAACATATTCTCTTCATTTGATATGTTGAATCTAGACAAAAACTTACTTGAACAGCAATTGTGATTGGTTCACTCTGTCTGAATGCCCCCTGAGTTTGGTTGCAGTTGTCATACATACATGCAGAAACACCACATGATAGCTGAAACAAAACACATGCTGATTAATATAAGAGCACTTTTATTGTCAAACAAAAACTCCTCCCATGTTTTGATCTCCATGAAATTCTGCTATTGAAATGAAATTCAAGTAAATATTACAACAAAATGACAATACGTGGTTTTGAAATTTTATTTTTGTGCTCTTCAAAAACCTCTGCTATGGGAATGAAATTCAAGCAAAACTTAACTGTACAATGACTCTAATTAATACTGAAATTTTATTTTTGTACTCTCAATAAAACTTCACTATTAAAATGAAATTCAAGAAAAATTTTACAATACAATGTCAATAATTAGTATCAAATCTTACTTTTGTACCAAATGGTAAATCTGCCATGTAATGCCTATCCAGGTAAAATTCAGCTGAGTCACCAGTCAGGCCCGTTGCTATCTCCTGCATGACAATGACGTCATCAATCAGCCATCTGATGTCGTACTGTATCCTACTCATAGATTCAATTGGGGAAAAGCTACATTTCAATGTCTGGTTAAAGACATCTTCTCCGGGAACAATAGCGACGGAGACATCTGGATTGCTCTTCACAATTGGGAAGTTATTACCTGAAAAAATATGAATACCACTTGTTAAAGCATATTTTAAAATACACAGCCAGGTATTATGAAATTTATTGCTGTATTTGACCTAACAAGGGCACTGTACACTTACAAAACCATAAAAGGGGTCCACTTCATAAAACCTTGTACAGAAAAAAAAAATCCATTTTAAAGTTGAGTGGAAAAATTTTAAACACTTTTTTTTATTAACATGCCTTTATGCATCCATTAGAAATGGCATGTAAACAGTTCTATACTAAAAAGTTTCCGGAATGCTCTACAAATTATTTTTAACCAATGATAACAAAAAACGTTTTGTAAAAACCAAACTAAACTGCATATACAAAATTGTTATCAATATTATTATTATTATCATTTTTTTTTTTAAATCTATGGACTTGTTTTTAAATTTGAATTTTCTGACATCACTGGCCATCAATACCTGTACTACATCTCCACTCCATGTAGATGAACCCAGACCAGAGCACGAAGTCAATACCAACATCTGATCGCGTAATGGCCATCAATGTACACAGACCATCCTGGATGTGGAAGGAGCGACACAAAAATTCTGTCTCGATTAGACAAAGTCGTTGACATTCGTTAATCAAGGAGATGCCTGCCACTTCCTTCTTTACATGGCCTATGATTGTATAGCCTGGAAATCTCTGCCAATCAATCCCTCGCTTTCCACAAGGATCTGGAACAGAAACAAATATCTTAATCTAGACAACAGTATTCTATTTAACTAAGAAAACAGGATATGATGAAAGATAACATACCATTCTGACATTGCCATTCGTACAAAGTTGAATCCATCATATCTATATGGTTGGCTCCTAAAGCCAATGTGTCCTTCAGATTGAGGGTACAGTTGCCAGATGATGCATTATAGGTGAATGACTGACAAACCGGATCTGGTTCATAGTTCATCAGACATGCCTCCAAACAGTTATTGATGTCCCCGTTACTAGCAACTTCCTCCAAAACCATGCCCATAATCTCACTTCCTTTGTACTGGTACCAGGCCAGATCCAAAATTTCACAGGAATCTTAAAAAAAAGAAGACAGCCCTTGTCGGAGTACACAAATTCAAAACCAGAGCAAAAATATACCACAGTTTTTGTTCACTAAGGTACATAATCAATTCATTCATTACTTTTTTCAATTCTTAATTATTTCTTTGAAATTTATTCTTTCCTTCCTTTTTTCTTTATTTTTTTCCCTGTTCGGTTGTTGATATTATGTTGAATTTTTAAATGAAGACAAAATGCAATTGAATTTTATCATCCTTGAAAGATTACAAGAATTTCTCCAAAATTACCATTAGCCATCTGCCACTGTGTTGTGTTGATTTTTGGGTCACAGAACTCTCTACTGTTGGAGGGGTTATAGTCGCCAGCTTCATAGCACACATCATTTATTAAACATGATGTGTTCTATATAAAACAGAAAAGAAAGAAAATATTTACAGTTTGCTGACAAGAATATATTTCAGCACAATTACAAAAATGAATCACAAAGAAACAAATTGTTTATACAGTGGACCTTCTCCAAACCGACCATGAATGGGAGATTAATATTTGGCCAGTTTAGAGAGGGTTTGGTTTGTAGAAGTGAAGCAATTTGACCATTCGGACTTGGATATAATCGAGCCAATTTCCGTTCTGTACATTACATTAACCATTCTGTTTGCTTTTAGCTTTTACACTGCACATGTAAACTGAATACAGGAAAAAGGCTTTATAGAGTAAAAATATTTTGGTAAAGAGGAAAAACAGTGATACTTGTATATCATATGTGAACCGAGTCAAAAAGAAATCTGCACATCTGGCGATCTCAGAAGTGACGTTACGTACACCCTGACATAGCTCATGTAGGATAGGCAGAAAATGAAAGTGTACAATATCTATGTTGAGACAATTTTAGCAGTGGGTTAAATGGTTTATAAAAATCACCCTTAATGAAGTACTTTTACCCTTATCAATGAGTTCGAAGAGATGAATTCCTACAGTAATTTTCCTTCAATAAACAAAAGTCCAAAAATAATACCATCAACATCTATTGGAAGTTCAGTAAAAATATCACCAAATAAAGCCCACCTCCCTTACTTTGAATAAGCTGTAATGTTATGGGCCACTAGACTTCATGTAGGATAATTACGGTATATTTGAATAAACTTTGATCTATTGAAGGTTTCACCACCACAGTTTGGTGTTATTCTGATCAACAGTTTCAGAGAAGAAGATTTTAGATTGGAATACTGACAAACAACACCCTAACAACAACCTTAACTCACATATATGTAAATCGTTTAAGTTGAGCCAATTTTCCCCCCTGATCTTCTGGTAATAAGACCATTGATATTTATTGCTGTTCTGTAGAAATATCCAGTCTGGAAGATGATGTATTGTTTCCCCTGGACTTACTAAGGGTTTAAAATAAAGTAAAAGTATTCAGTGCATATTTTTCTTTAATTATCATCAGTCCTACCTTTGGTGAGCATGTCATGGTTTGGACACTGCAGTCAAAGCAGAGAGAATTATACACAAGGAAGTAGGCCTTGTTACTCAGTGCTTGTGTTCCATTATTGCTGATGCTGATTTCGTAACTTCCTACAGAAGGTAGTGTACAGGTAAGCTCGTTAAAGGACACAAAGGTTGCTGGTATAGTTTCCGTCTCATTAATAACGGTGAAGGAAGTCTCATTCAACTATACGAAAAAAAGAAAATAAAAACAATATTTTGTCTTTATACAAAATAACAAAGTCAGAATTATATAGAGACAATAGGACTTTTATTATTTACAATTGTATACTTTCATACATTAGATATATATACACCCATCTATCAAATATGGCATTCTTAGGGGCTACTCTGTATGATTGTGCCTTGCAGATGATAGTGAAATTCTGCTGAGTGTTTTTACTATAGTGTTTCCTTACTAGCCTGTTGGTAATCACTAAATGTTAGTCTACAGGTCCAAGATTATCATTGGGGGGTGCCCAGCAAAAACAAACAAATGCATGATGACTGGATACAGCTGAATATAAAATGCCCTGAAATACATCTGATAAATTGGTACATCTGAATTCTTTTACAATATTTGTCTTAATAAATTTTAAGCTTATTATTGAAATTGAAACAAAGTACAAATGTACAAATGGTTGCTGTTCCTGTTACACTTGAAGTACCTTGCTAATTTTACATTTTTGATCACAAAATTGAAAAAAGAACATTTCCTACAAAAACAGACATTTTCATGTGATTTTATTTCAGTCAATTAATCTACAATTCATAAATGTCCACAGAAATGGTAACCAGTAAAAATTGATAATATATTTAGGATTTTCATAGAACTGTTCATCAGTGAATGCAAATGCTAATGAACCACAGAAATTTATGACCCACCAAATTTTCTGATTTTATAGAATCCATTCTTGAAGACAACCAGTTTATTTTACCTCAATCTTGCGGAAATGACAACTCAGTGTGTCCACATTGAGAGTGTTGTTACTGTATACGGACACAGATGAACAGAGGGCACTCCGAAGGTCACAAAGACCATTATTACTGAGTGAAAATATATTTGGGGCATCTGTTCGCTTGGTGAAGCAGTCCAGGCCGGCAAACCCTTCATTACATACACAAGATCCTGAAAAATACCAGTATAGATAAGTTGGTATCAGTTTCTTGATGTGACATCAGTTGTAAAGAATATCTGAATATGCAATGTATTCTGTAAACATTAGTAAAATCAGATCCCCCATCCACTTAAAGCCTAAGAGAAATAATGATGAATTTACAATAAATAATAATTTTGAACTTTAACCTTGAGCCTAGCTCTCAACTTTGACAACAAGTATTTAGCAACACTTTGAATAACCAGAAAATGTGTATAAAATCTATCATGAATCCTTCAGCTCCTTTGAAAACAAGAATCTGATCAGGTGTAGAACTTGATGTTATGATTCTTTGAAACTATTGAACCAAATTTAATGAGAAATTCTAAAGATATGATTGATTTGGAACAGGACACGACAAAAGGAGATGGAACCCTCGCTGCTTTCCTCCACCCCTTCCATAAAATTACTGATTCGTCTTTAAACTTGGAACTTACCTTCAACACAACTTCCTGCACCACCACATTCGTGAAGACAGATCTGATTGAGGATGGATAGCGGTGGACCAATATTGGAGGTGCCATTCCATGCTTCCCATAGATTCATGTTACTGTTCAACTGAATCTCACACTGTTCTTTAATGTTCTCTGCAGGTGTCAAACTCCAACGCAAGTCATTTGTGATCTGTAACAACATACATTCTATAAACTCAATGAGCTAATAACGATTTCAAATTTCCACAAATTAGTGAATTTTTGAAAAACATGAAAACTAAAGCCCCACAAAAATATCTGATTTTACAGTATGTGTGTCCTAATCAGAATTTTTGAAGATGATTTAAAGTAAGTTTGATGCCTTTATCTCTATTCTTCATGTTGAGTTAAATTAAGTTAGCATCACCTTGTCCTAACTTTGAGGAGGGATGGAAACCTGATGAATCTTCAAGAATAATAAAAAAAAAAAAAATTTTGAAAGAAGTTTGTCACCACAATTACACATTACACTTAAATGATTCAATTTGAAAACAGACAATACGAGAAGTTTGTCACCACAATTACACATTACACTTAAATGATTCAATTTGAAAACAGACAATACGTCAGAGGTTATATGTTGGCCCCAAGGGTTCTTGTAATAAGCCCACTCTAGACTTTGATTAAGAAAAAATGTGTTCTTCCAAAGGAGTTCTGTAATAAACCATTCAAGACCTTGATGGGTATGGTAATTAGCCAACCCAAGATTTTGAGAAGAAGAAATGTGTTGGCACTAAGGGGTCCTTTATAAGCCCACCCCTAGACTTTTTAAGTTACATGATGGCCATCTTGACCTGTCCTCTAATATGCCTGACCCTTCACTTTAAGTAAAAAGTATGTTTTTTTAAAAAAAAAATTTTGCGGAATAACTTTTAGCAACTGATACTAATCAATGTTGTTCGCCCAGATGTAAGCATGCATTGGGCCATGTGGGCTTGTCTAGTACTAAGCCCATCCCAAGACTTTGAGTGAGAAGTAATGTGTCATCCCCTGTAAGATATTCATTTTTCTTTATGATGCTATAGAAAACACTCCCCAACATCTGCAGGTGTGGACTTTTCTTGTGGCCGTAAATGATATGCCAGTGATGAAGTACAGGACAAAATCAATTATAGAAGCAGCTTAAATACTTTTTATAGAAATGCTTTCTGAGATGGCTGATTTGGTTTGAAGTTTACTGTGCTATGGTGGTTGAACCTGCCAATATTTCTAAACACAACACTAGTCTAATCACAACAACAAAATCAAAACGAAAGTAACATAAGTACTTAAGAGACTAGCTGTTGTTTTCATGAGGAAATTCTTGTAAGAATTTTTCATCAAGCCTACAGACAATTGAGAAAGAATTTTTTAATGATTTTTACTCTACCTGTATGTCATATATACAGTTCTGGAGACTGGCGTCATAGTAAACACCAGGTACACTCTTACATGCAGTAGCGGCTGCAGACGTTTCCACTGTTGACCTACACACAGTCTGGACTACAATCTCTGTTAACCCTATATCTGTGGGCCAACCAGGCACCTGTTAAACACGAAAGCATAAGGAAATGGAGGAAACATGCATATCTTACCTCAAAATAACATAATACTTTAACATAACGCACAATACTAATGAATTTGATGGAAAACTTAAATCTGTGATCAAAGTTGTTTGCCTGTTCAAAACATTATTCACAGGTGATAGACGTTACTGTAGACTTTTTTTCCGTAATCTGCATTCAATACTTTCTTTGAAACAAAAAGTGGCATGTTTCCAAATGTACACATGTACTTTATGTTCTTCTGAAAATTTCAGAAATATGATTTCGATATTTCTTTCTATTCATATTCTGTTCCCTCTGTCACCGCCTAAGTTTCCATATTTAGGACCCACTGTATCTAACTTTAAATTCAAACCAAAAGCAACTATTCACTTGTGTGCCTTTTGTACAATTGTCAAATCTTAAATTTTGTGGAATGTTTCTGATTTTGTGGGTATTTTTATTTTAATCCACAACTAATATATGGCCACAAAATAATAAACAGCTGAAAGTTTGCATCATTTTCCAGTAATGCTTGATTCTGTGAATAAAGAGGAAACTGCTTAATATCATGTTCTATTTGTCAAAGAGAAATGTGATAATAAGCAGAATGTGACATTAACAGTTGACATGCTTTTTTGGACATCTAAACCTCGATGTTAATTTTCTGATGTGCCAAACTGACTTGTTTCTGAAAAATTGTTTGAAAATGAACATTTTAAAGTTGCTTTGTTTTTCCCATAATAACTGTGAATTTTCTTACCTTTTATTTGTTTATTCTTTGAAATATCTAACCTACCATAAATTATCTGAACAATCTAGTCATATCTTACACATGGTATAATTCATACCATGACACTACAGTGTCATCAACCAATATTTTGTCGCATAAATCATTCATCCTTCATTGTGCACTGGGTGTGTACTATCTATCCACGAAATCAAGAGCCAACATCAGAAGCAATATTTTTAAAGCACCATGGAAATTGAGCCTTACAAATATATAAGGTTGGACTGCAGCCAGACATAAAACTCACCGGAACAAAGTAACTGGCGTCATAGCCAAACTCTGGGTACTGTAACTTAGCTCCTGGCAGACATTTTGTAGGGAAAACAGACTTAGCCATGACTTCGGCTGTGATGTCCTGCCCTGTAGTGTATAACAGGTTAATTACATATTAATAATGATGATGTCGCATTACTCTTCGAACCAGGTTACTTTAATTTTTCTTTTCAATGGTTCAAATTTTTGTGGTTTTACTGAAAGCTTGAAGCAAGAAGGACATTTTTTTCATCAATGTCATGAAACAGTCTGAGGTCTTCTCTAATCATTTCATTTTAATGATATCTATTTTCAGGATTTCAATTTATTCTTGAAAATATCAAAAAGTAGAATTTCTCAAGAATGACAATATTTACAGTAGCCAACCTGTCAGTCATGAATTTTTCAGATCTTTTAACAAATTTCTCTTTCTGGCGTAAATCTTGATATTTTTTTTGTATGCAGTCAATTGGAAAAGGACCAACAGCAAACTTCATTTTAAAATACATTGTATATCTTGCTTTGATAAATTGGTTTGTTTGACTTAAGGATACATGATTCCGAAATCCCATCAAAAGAACTATAATGGTACTGTATTTCACTTAATAAGCACAATGTTCCGTTACAAACACTGGAAATGGGATTCGCTTGAAAAAAAACACCTACAGAGAAAATTTTCCACTTGAAATCTGGGTGGAAAAAATAAAACATTTATTTCCCATCAACTTTTGTGTAGCTTATAAAAATTGATGATTGTATTGGCAGATCAAAGAGGTAAGGAACTTCTTTACAGGTAATTATTAGCACACCAATCCTCTTTCCCTGAATAAATGTAGGGGTAGAATTAAAGAGGCAGATGTGCTTATTAGGCTTAACACAGTATAACTGAAGGAAGAAAATCATAACATATGAAATTAAAACATAAACTGAAATTCAAAAGAAAACTCCAATTAGCAATTTTTTTGATGAACAGCAATTATATGGAACTGTGAGTTAATGGTAATGTTAGGATTACTAAGCACACATTTAAAATGATTCTTTAACAAATGTAAATGATTGAATGATATTGGATATCAGTCAAGAGACAACACATGAAATCAATGTCTGAAATATCAGTATTTATTTGAAATATAACTTTCTTCATAGTAAGTCCATCTTTTTTTAATTCACTTTTATAATGACTTCAGTTTCAATGGAGTGTGGGGCAGGGGAGAGGTAAACCACAATATGAGACAGACAAAAGGGAAGGGTTGATAATGGGTGAAATTATGAATTTAGGAGGCTATCGAGCAGATAGAAGGGTGAGACAGCAAGAACCGAGAGGGATCTTGGTGCCCACCATCGCTTAATCTCTATTTGTTCTCCTCTGTTTCTCTTCTTTCTTCTGTTTTTTCTATTGCTCATGATCAGTGATAAAAATCTTTTAACTGTTAATCCAATATGGTTGCCTGTTGGCCATTTTTTTCTTTATCAGTCTCAAAATCAATAGGGCACGACTAGGACCCAAAGGGAATTTACATATGAAAAGTTTATGCCAATCTGCAACAAAGAGACAAGTTGAACAAGAGAGGTCAAACAAACATAAAAGACACCACTGTACTTTGACCTGAAACACTGGATAAAGGTTCCAAAACAGATCAGAAATCAAAAGAGTTCAGAGAGGTCGGGCAAGATCGAAAGATTAAAAGATCCATTGACCTTAAATACTCGATAATGGTTCTGAAATAGATCAGAGGTCAAAGAGTTCAGAGGTCAAACCAAGCTCAATATGTCATTTACAGAGTCATTCTGGGTCAAAGACAACACCAAGTTAAGGAACATTCCATCAAAGCCTAGAAAAGAAAAATTTAGGGAAGAGATCAGAAATTTTTAATGGTTTTTAATTATTTACTGGGGAAAATACGGTCACATGAGAAAGCAAAATTAATCTCAATTATTGCCAGTTAAAATCAACAGATTCACATCTTTTGAGAGTCAGCTTTCCAAAATTGATATTGAATCATTGTTTATTAGTTGACAACTTTACAGGATTACATTCATTTTATCCCTCACATTTAAGAAACGTGACAAAAATAAATGGATTAAAATTGCACTCCTTTAGACTTTATCTGTAGTAATAATGTCAGTACATGTACCATCAATAACCTACCATACTTTTCCAGCAATTAGCCCAGACACCAACATATTACTGCTAATTCCAAGTTGGGGGTGGGCTTATTATAAGACAATGTGTTAGCATTTGTTTAATTTGTTTTATTATTGTTTTACATCCTATCAATAGCCAGGGTCATTTGCGGATATGCCAGCCTTAGTGGTGGAAGAAGTTCAACCTGCAGCCAGCACATGACATCTGTACTATGTAGGCCTTAAACCCATGACCAAGAGATGGAAGGTTATTGATAACGGCAGTCAGACACCTTAACCACATGGCAACCATGGCTACTCATTAGTTGGTAAGTCCTGCAGTAGGCTTATTACAAGACAGTGTATTAGCTTTTGTTGGTAAGTTCTTGGGTGGGCTTATTAAAGGACAATGTATTAGCATTAACGTATGCAAGCCTATTACCAGGTATGGGCTTATTGCTGGCTAAAGACTATAAATAGGTGCTCTACTTCCATTTTTCAATTAAGTTTCAAAAATCATTCACACAGCAATCAATCAAAAAAACTGTGATACCAAGGAGAAAACATCTCACTTTTCCCAGATAGATTACCACAGGACCAAGGAATTCATGATCAGGACTTTGTAAAAGAAAACCAAATTGGTTGATTTAATAAATTTCAATTAAACATGCTATAAGAACCAAAATATTGAACATAGCTTGGACATTTAACCAATAATTAGCTGACAATCAAAAGATGTGCTGCAATCGGCAATAAAGTAGTTAGGTGATTAAGAGTTGATCTAGATTATCATCTCATACTTACGCTGTTGCGGCCCAGCTGTAGTTCACAAATCAACAGAATATGATGTTCATAGAGTATAACAAATATAACAAAATATATCTCAAAAATATTTGTATTTTTGATAAAAAAAAAATGGTGTTCAATTTCCAAAACCAAAGTTCAAAATAAAATACAATATAAAATCTCCAATTACGATACTGTAACTTTTCCGTTTTTTTTTAAAGTCTTTTGCTTGATATTTTGATTAAGAATGGAATCAAATTATTACAATTAGCAAGCTTCAATGAGCTAAGACTTTACAGAGGGGTTGGGGGCAGTTGGTTGAGAAATGTTCAACTAAACAAATTTTCCTGTCAAGGGAAGCTGTTAAAGTTTAAAATTTGACAAACAGCATGTGAATGGAAAATAAATTGATCAAAATCTGAAAAAATTTACCATCTTCTTCAAAGGGACAGGAGAAGACGTCGTAGCCTACACCACAATCTTCAGTTCCTGTTACTCCGCAGTAACAGAAAGGCTGCTGAAAGGGGACAAAATCTGTGGCATCCGAACAATACCCATTGTAGATAGTGTCAGCAGGATCCACTCTGTCAAAAAATGATTTATTCATTTTATAAAAATTGAGCTGTTTGATAATTTCCAATATATCGGAATCTTACAAAATTAGGTATACATCTTGATATCCCTGCTTTAACTCACTTAAACCCCCTGGTATCGGAAAAATAAAACTTCCTAAAAAACTAATCTGGGGATAAATCTAATATGTTTGATAACATTATGGATAAATTGTACAAAATTTCGGGTCACTTTGACAAAGTTCTTGAAATATGTTGAAGAACAATATACTTATACTTTCTGGGAAATGTAAACTAAAAGTTTCTTCTTTGCCTTTGTGAGAAAAAATGAAATTCAATAAGCTTGCTTACCCCTCTTCCCTATAAAATGGTGGAAACATGTTTATCCCACATACTTTCTCAAAATTCTTTGAATGGCAGTGAAAAAGCTATCTTAACATCATGAAATTTACACCTAACTGCAAAATAGGTTGAGAAGAAAACACTACTTAAAATATGAAACCTCAAGGGGCAGACTTTTGAGACTTAATCAGCAGATCTAATATCTTTCATTGGCAGAAGTTTTTTCAGAAAATTTTTTATTCATAATATAGAATTAGACGATACTGATTTTGAAAAAAAACCCCACTTATATAAATCTTAAAAAACTTGATTTCATTGTCATTGCATTAGGTGAAAGCCCTATCAGTCAAGCAGTTCTTGAGAAGAAGTTGTTTAAAATTGTTTTTACAGATGACATTAACAAAACCACTACAGAAAGGCAGGCATACCTCCAGCTAAGTGAGAATGTATCGGGTCGGTCAGCATCTCCTGAATACTGCGAACCATCGGCCATCATCAGGTCATCATTGGGATTATCATTAAATGTACCACAAAGACCTATAATGTAACATGTACATGTCACGGCATATTCTCACTAAATTTGTCCATGTTGCTATGGTGGCAGTAAAACAGATGTATGTATTACCATACAAATCCTACAATCAGCAATGGGTGAGCTATCGTATAAATCCTACAATAATCTCAGGATAAGCCCATATAAAACATACAATAAGCCCAGCAAGTCCTACTATATAAAACATACAATAAGCCCAGGATGTGTTACTATATAAAACATACAATAAACCCAGGATGTGTTACCATATAAAATACAATAATACCAGCGAGTCTTACCATACAAAACATACAATAAGTCCAGTGAATCTTACCATGTAAAGCCTACAATAAGCCCAGCAAGTCTAACCATATAAAACATACAATAAACCCAGGATGTGACCATATGAAACCTATCATAAGTCCAGTGAGTCTTACCATATAAATCCTACAATAAGCCCAGAGTCTAACCATATAAACATGCAATACAATAAGCCATGGATGTGTAACCATATAAATCCTACAATAATCACAGGATGTGACCATGTGAAACTTATCATAAATCCAGTTAGTCTTACCTTATACATTCTACACAATAAGCATATGGTAAGTAACCATATAAATCCTACAACAAGCTCTGGGGGATCAACACATAATCAGTGACTTGAAGTTAAGAGCGAGCTTATGACAGAACAATGAAGAATTCAAAAGAATCCCAGGAAAAAAGGGGAGCTACCACATAACGTCTTACTGAAAATAAGGAGGAGAGGGCTAATTATAAAAAAAGTGAACATCAACAGATATGGAACATCAACAGATATGGATGGGCTTATTACCAGACATGGACATATCACTGGATAAATACAAGTCCTCCAAACAGCCCCTGTAGTCTAAGTCTAGTGAACATCAACAGATATGGATGGGCTTATTACCAGACATGGACATATCACTGGATAAATACAACTACCCCAAACAGCCCCTAGTGTCTTCGTCTCGTGAACATCAACACATATGGGTTGGCTTATTACATGACATTGGTTTATTGCTAGATGTGAGATAGATATGTGTGTAATATAATAAATATATAATGAAATCAATTACATGTTTATGTACACCTGACATATTGGTGAATTGGTTATAGCTGGTCAAGTGACTGTTCTACTGACCTTCAGTATTGCTGAAGTCTGAAGAAGATGCCTTCAGCCAAACATTGAGATAGTTCTGTCCTCGGATGGCACTTCTCTTTACATAAATTTTCATTCCATTGGGTAGAATGATCTGTTCAATGTCAAATCAAATGTATGTGTTATACAAGTAATAATCAATAATAAGTTTGATGTTCAAGAGGAAATTACTACTTAATTGAGTCAAGGTGAGACCTGAGTGGAGGTCAAGGTAGCAAATCATCAGCGAAAGAACAAGGTAAAAATCTCCAGTAGAAAAGTCAAGGTTTAAGTCTAGTAGAAAAGTCAATGTGGAGTTCTCCTGTAGAAATTAAGGTCGATGTATAAAACCAGCAACTGAAATTTCAATTTTAAAGTCACTCATGAAAGGTCAAGGTGAAATTTTCATTTAGTGTATCTTCAGGAAAATAGATAACTATGAAAGTGAAACACCAATGAAAAGTACAATTATGATATTTGAGGTTAAAGTGAAATCTTCAGTAAACAAGGTAAAAGCCAAAATCTCAGGATATGATATTAAAATTTTTATCACTGATTTAAATGAAGACATGAAACAAACCTTGGTTTTCCTGCCTTCATAGTAACTGATAATCCTCAATCCTGGTGTGAGAATTCCATTCCTGAACATTTGTATGGTTATAGGGTAGAACCCGGTATTTGTTTCATCAGGGCCACATTTATCAATGACCACAACATCATCATGTGCACGGACAGCAACGGCACAGTTACAGGATGCTCGACCGTTGCAACGGCGGTAGAATGTGCGGACTTCATACGGTAGGGTACGATGGCGATACATGATAAACTCCCCCTCGTAATAGTTTTCATAATGTCTAGGAAGAAATAAGTTATTCATATTTGTTAGCTTATGATGCTTGCTGGCTTTTTTAAAAGCTGATTTGTAATGACAAACACAGGTATCACTTAAAATTTTTGTTTGTTTTTTGAGGAATGTTTCTTTTTGAAGACAGGATAGAACTGCATCAAATTATGTTGAGTTTTGTGTTTTCTTTCTATGGTTCAAATTTGTGGGGTTTGATCGCTTCTTGATGCATAAGAGATGAATTTTTGGTAGAAGTCATAAAATGAACTATACTTTTCCTTAATCTTCCCACTTCAATGATTTCATTCCATCTTTAAAAGTATCAATAATAGGAAAAATATTCATTAATTTCATATCTTTCAAGAAAAATTCATTCATTTTGCTTAGCATGAGAATTTAAACCATCTTGAAAACAAATTGCTAAACAACATTCACTGTATCTAAGATTACCATATGTATCCACATGTAAGCTCCCGACTTCTTTTTTGCAAAATGATCAATTTCAAAATAGTGGTTGACAAGCAAGACCTTCCCAAACTTCAATACTAAACTTTAACACTAGGGTAGGGGACATATTTTAGGAGAAATGAACATGAAAATTAATCATTTATAATAACAATAAAAATAAAGACAAATAAAAACAAATAAAACCTCAATACATAAGAGAGTAAATATGAGTGAAATTGCTCATTTTTTTTAAAAAATCTGAAGGAAAACAAATTATTCATATCTTAATTTTTTTTTAAATCAGAAAAAAATAAGAAGATACATTTCATACTCACTTTGAATCAAAGCTGGTAAGATGGGGATCGTTGACAGATATACATACACCATACCGGTCTCTGTCAATCACAGTCAGCTGAAATACAGATCAGATATCACTTACACGACAGAATACTAAGGAAAGACGTAAAATTCCAAACTTTTTTTCAAGTCTGTGGATTAAAGAGTTACATGTATTAATGCTCCTCAGGCCTAGGAAGAATCTGTACAAAGTTTAGTCAAAATTCCGCATGAAACAAATTGGCTATAACTGGGATATCACATGACACGATACGATGCAATGGAACACAACAAAACAATACAAACATGGTTATCAATATATGTCTTTCCCTTTCCAATTAAAATGGCAGAGACATCCTAATTTATCTCAACTGTAGTTCTGTGTACCAACTTCTTACCTGTGATTCTGTCTTGGTGATGTCTGCCTGTTCCACTGCACCACTAACGAGATAGTCAGCATTCAAAACAAGCCTGTGTGAAAAATTTCCATCAATCTTATTGTCCAGTGTGGCCTTGACCTCCAAGTTAAACATGGCAGTCATCCAGTTCTCATTGGTTATGTTGACCATACAAAAAGGTGACGGGTAACTTGGGTTAACTCCCCTCTTGTACATACGTGATGAGACCTGTTTTAAAAAAATTTTACTGATTATACATTGTTAATGCTTTAATCCTTAATGTTATTACTTTCATATGTATCTGCAAATCATGATTATAATATACATCCATGTACAGTATACAAAATGAAGTAAGTCATCAATATGCTTTATCACATTATTAATTATCCAAAGCTTCTGTCTATAATTGCTACTGTACAACAAATATTCATGAGGATGATACCCTTGTTCCACAAAATTCTTCTTTACCCATAATTTCAAGTTGTAAATTATTTTTTTACTGTATCACTTAAGTTCAAAACAAACCAATTTGGCTATTTTGGAACATTCCCTTCAGACTGGTAATGTCAATAGAATGAAAGAGTCCTAAACTGTCACCTTAAGTCTGATAATGGTAAAAGTGTTGTCATCGAAATGCCACACTTAAATATCTTCTACTAAATGTTCTATAATAATTTCTTTTCTAACCAAGTAAGCTATTCTATAATTATTCAAAATGACAACCTGTTGTTCAATGAATATTTGCAACGATAATTTGGTTGTAAAAGGTAACTTAAGACAATCAATTCACTGTACAAGATAAATCTGCTCTATTGATGAAACCTGTCTATTCTGACAACCTGAACAAGACGGCTGGAATATACAATTACTATTACATGATTCAGATAGAATATATAAAAAGTTGGACCTGCTTAAGGATCAGATTATACTGGATGTCCGAATACTAAGAAGTTGGATTATACAGGGTGTCAGAATACTCAGGGTTCAGATTATACAGGAAGTCAGAATACTCAGGGTTCAGATTATACAGGATGTCAGAATATTCAGGGTCCAGATTATACAGGATGTCAGAATACTCAGGGTCCAGATTATACAGGATGTCAGAATACTCAGGGTCCAGATTATACAGGATGTCAGAATACTAAGGGTCAGATTATACAGGATGTCAGAACACTCAGGGCTCAGATTATACAGGATGTCAGAACACTCAGGTTCCAGATTATACAGGATGTCAGATTATTCAGGGTCCAGATTATACAGGATGTCAGAATACTCAGGGTCCAGATTATACAGGATGTCAGATTATACAGGATGTCAGAACACTCAGGTTTCAGATTATACAGGATGTCAGAATATTCAGGGTCCAGATTATACAGGATGTCAGAATACTCAGGGTCCAGATTATACAGGATGTCAGAATACTCAGGGTCCAGATTATACAGGATGTCAGAATACTAAGAGTCAGATTATACAGGATGTCAGAACACTCAGGGCTCAGATTATACAGGATGTCAGAACACTCAGGTTCCATATTATACAGGATGTCAGAATACTCAGGGTCCAGATTATACAGGATGTCAGAATACTCAGGGTCCAGATTATACAGGATGTCAGAATACTAAGGGTCAGATTATACAGGATGTCAGAACACTCAGGGCTCAGATTATACAGGATGTCAGAATACTCAGGGTAAGATTATACAGGATGTCAGAATACTCAGGGTTCAGATTATACAGGATGTCAGAATACTCAGGGTTCAGATTATACAGGATGTCAGAATACTCAGGGTCCAGATTATACAGGATGTCAGAATACTCAGGGTCCAGATTATACAGGATGTCAGAATACTAAGTAAGACAATATATAAACATATGGGAATAATTTGAACTGGTTTGCTGAAGTTAGACACAGTCTGACACCTTTTCAACAAAGATTAAGTACATGAAAAGGAAAAATATCAGGACACTGTCAGGATCAAGCGATCAGACAGGGAATGTTCGAGTACTACCAGTCTAAGGAAGTGGGGTCGGAGCATTGGGTTTTGATACATTTATAATACAAATACCTGTTGTATGAGGGTCCCACTAGGACAGGTAACATTTCGATCATCAGTACTGCTTACAGTCGTAGTTAAAGATATAGAACAGTTGTCAGACGAAGTGAGCCCCATGTTCCTACACAGGACGTAAGGAGGGGCAGTAAAGTCTACAGCGATCAATGCTGGTGCTTTTCCCTCGTACAGATCCATCACAGCTGCACCACCACTTACCTATGGAAAGGTTCATGTCAAAATTCTTCTTTCATTTTTTTTTTTTTTTTTTCGCATACTCTTCAATTTTATAATAAAAATCATAAATCTTACATGGAATTCCATTTCATATAAAATTCATGAAACAGGTCTTAGAAGTTTTCATTTCACTAACCCTTTGGCAAGGCAAAAAACAAAAAATGACGAGTGTGATAAATCTTGTATGAAATGGAAATAAATGTAAGATTCTGTTTATCACAAAACTTTAATAAATTCAGGAAAACAGCATTTATCAGACTGATACAAATTTTAAATACAAAAATACAGATTATATTCTCAATTTATGCATCTTTTTCTTTGGTGACATCACAATGCATATGACATCATGACATTATGATGTCATAATGAAAACAATGGGAACTTTCAGTCAACAACAGCTCTGCGAAGTCATATTTCACATAACATAACAAAAATTTATGTGATGGGTGTATTACACTGATAATAGTAGCATAATATGATAAAAAAAACCTAAGGGAGAGTACACACATTTCCCTAGGGATCTACTCACCATGATAGTAGCAGTGTAGGGCTCAGAGATGACTAGCGCTCCTCTGGTGTTTTCACAGTTACCATAGTAACAAGCACTGACCAAACATTGCAGCTACAACCAAGGAAACATCACTGAATTTCCTAAATATCATCTTAATTTACAAATTATCTTATGCCCCTCGTCAATAATGCATCATCAATAAACAGTAATTCCAAAATGATACATCCATCGTTTTGAAAATTTGTCGGTCCTTTAGAAAATGTTTTCATCATTTAGAATTTTTTTTCATAGAACTATCAATTGCAAGAGCAGCATTATATCTCTCTCCTTCCCAATCTAACATGGAATAAAAACAATAAATAATATGAGAGCTGCCAACTGAAACACAATGAAATTCATCTTTTTTTTAAGAACTAGAATAATTCATTTGATTTTGAATTCTGCTTCACTCAAAAAAAAATTTGTTTTCCTACCACAGAACCATCCATGAGGCTGTTTGCATGCAGCGCTGGTAACAAAGACTCAGTCAAATTGTCCGAAGGTGTGTCCTCATATAACTGGACTCCATCCACCTTCCACAGGACATCATAAATGACATCCATTCCTGTCTCGATCGGTGGAAAAGAACACATGAAGGTATCATTTCCTGGACCGTTGAAAGACGCCACCAAGGTAACATTGTCAACTAAAGGCCCTGTTAGTAAACCTGCAAATATATTGAAGAAATAATAATATTGGCTGTGTAAAAATAATGCATTGTCTTCTGATTTAATTCATATTTCTAGGAAAAAACCCCGAGTACTTATTTCTGAGAACAGATCAGAGCTATCCTGATGTATACACACATTATTTATTTCAATGTGTCTGCTAGGGATCGACCCCTTAACCTAAGGATTACTAGTCTGACACTCAACCGATCAAACTAAAGAGAAGATTTCTCTAGCTGAGCGGTAAATTAAAGCTAGTATTTTCACTGTAACATTCTCCCCTTTCCAAAGAGAATTTGTCCTGGAGTATGTCAAGGGTAACATCAAATCTTTTACAGTAAGGCTAGGTATTTCTATCATAATCACCTGGGTCTCTATATGGGTGTCATTGAAACAGAGGTCATCTTTAATCTAAATGACTTCAGGAAAGCGAACCTACGACCTATAGCTCGCTAGTGTTACGCTCAAATGATCAGGCTAAAAGTAAGTTCTGACTGAGTATATACTGTGGCTAGTATTTAGCCGTATTCCATGATTTTTTTTCATAAATTCATACTAATAACATTATCCTATATAATTTTCTTGTAAGAAACAGTTTTTCATAAAAATCAGACACAGAATTAGCTCTGTATATCCCAATCACCTTCCAGTAAGGGATTAAATCATACACAAGTTTATAGAACATCTCTCCTGAGTGCAAGTTGGTAGGATTGGTATAGTCATAAAGGTTATCATAATTGCATATCTTTTTAATTATGCTAAAAGACAGTATAAACAATTAAAAGACATGGTCATTAATCGTGGAATTACAGTTTATGGTAGAGGTGTTTATCAAACTGGATGTGAAGGAAAAGACTTATCTGAGACAGATATCCATGTGGTAAATTGTTCCACTTGTTGTATTATGTGGGGGAAAAAAGGTACCCGTATTTGAAGAAATCTGTTTGTATACTTACTGTCTACACATGTGTGATAATGGTATTCCCAGCCTGTGTATAACGACCCATCACCCATCTCGTTTTCTAACGTCAGCTCAGTGAGGACACAGAGCCCCGCTGACTTGCTCAAGACAATAGCAGTACAGGTGGAGTATGCTTCACACAGTGCCTGGCAGTGGTCAAGTGTCCACACATTGGTCATTACAACATTGTTTGTTAGATTGAAACTGATCTTGCTTGTCCATTTTGTCCATTCCACATACTTCCCAGGACAGCGGTCATCTAAAAGATAAAACACACATGAAACATTGCACTGAATGCCCCAAACATGTTCGATGTTTTACTTATTTTAAATAACCAGAAAAACTAAAAAGGACACAAATAAAATAAAGGAATATTTGTCCATAATTCATTTGTAAACTTCATTAAAAGTAACACTGACAATCTTGAAAATCTGCCATCCATTTTCTGTTATATCAACAAACATGATGTTACCAAATCGTAAGAAAAGATGTGGTTTATAATCTGGTGCGGCTTATATGTGGATCACATAACAAAAAAAATTGATGAAAATTGGCACAAACTTTTAGCTAAATTGCAAAAATTTTCATCTATCTATAAATACATTATTGTACAAAATAATTTACTTCTAATATGTTCATTTTTCCCTTTCAGTATGATGATATCAGTAGTGAATTGTGATAATTATTTGTGATTTGAATGAACATATGTAGTTACCTTTCACACACTAAAAATTACAAAACAGCAAAATTACTGCCATTATGACAAGAAAGAATCAAGGACATGTCCAGTTTCATGATGCCATTGATGTTTCTGCCAGGTTTGTCACCCCATCAACAGCCAGGGTCAGTTTGAAGTGTGTTTAATTGCCGGTAGCTGGTACCACAAAGAGCTTTACTGAACAACATACAGGAGGCCCACCACATACCATCCAGAGCAACTGAGGTAAATATGTTGCCCAAAACATAACAACAGTACAGACCAATCCATTTCTTAGCTCCCTGAGGAACACAAAGTACCCCAGGAAGGAAGCATCAAACCATGCACCTCACATAATCATCCGAGGTTTTGTAGGCGAGGGTTCTACCGTCTGAATTTTTGTGGTATCACAGTAGCCATTTCATAATTCCTTACTTACCAGTACATTGCCATTCTGAGTAAGTCCATTTGCTATTGAATCCTCCTTTGTCAACATAAGTCGTCACATCTGCCTCTTGAAACGGGGACAGATTACACACTGAAGCAGACGAATCGTAGTCAAGGGACCGACACTGGAAGCCTCCATCATATGTGGAACAGACACTCTGGCACTCCTCAAGACTGGCTACATTGTTAGTTGTATTGAGGTTGTAAAATGCCATAGCAGAAGAATTGCTGACCGTCCACTGAAGGTCCGATGTCAGGCAGGGACCTGATGAACACCAAGGGTTAAATAATTACACATTTTCTTAAATCTCAAATACTAATAATTTTTTCCAGTATCTATATACTCAATACTGTATCATCGTTTAAATTTGTAGGCCTAACATGTCACTTTTGTCCCGGTTAGGGTAAGTTCAGCGGTATTAATAATTGCACATATCTATGGGCTAGTGTCCACAAATACAGGAATAACATGTTTTAGGACATATCGGTTCGCTGTAAAAAAGTTTGCTGCATATCTGATTTTATATCATCATTATGAACTGCATATAAAGATCCCCAACAAATATTACCATGGAATATTGGTATTGGTATAATTCATTATCTTTTTACTGTTATGTGCCATAACACTGTGTCCGAGTTGTGACATTACAATACAGTGAAACTGATCTGTCAAAGGCCAAACTATCAGTGAACAGAATCACTATATGATCTTGGGCTTCATCAAGTTTTAAAGACACAAGACTCCAACAAAATCAACCAAAAGAAATTTTTTCATTTCTTCAAAATATCTTTATATTTTCCATTTGCATTAGTGACATACATTGGTTTTCTTTGTCTAGTAGTTACCTGGACGAGTACTCCATGTTGTAGAATTGACATCTGGAGCACAGATCTGCTGCTCATCAGCCGGATTTACCGTCAGATTTAAGTAACACATACCTTCTATAACACAGACGTCTCCCTAAAACATCAAAATTATGGTTTGGTTTGAAGGTCACCTGAACCATCTCAAGGACATCCTTCTCCAGTGAAGCTGACACACACCTCTACGTTCCCAACAGATCATTTTACCATATAATCTGATCAAAGTCATAAAACAAGGTTGATTTTCTCTGGATACTCTGATTTCCTTCCACAGTTAAAACCCCTTCCACTTCCACCAGAGCCAACAAGAGTGATCAAAATAATGTGGTATAGCTTGCTTCACAATTGTAAAATAACATTTTTGAATTTACATTATATGACCATTAATTATAATCCACTTTATCTTAACCTCTTTCCTGAAACTACTTTCTTTAAAATCTTCAATTCTTGGGGAAAATCCTTTCAGTATTAAGGTAAAATTTCTAATGGTGATTTCTGAGAAGTGTGCTTCAGTTAAAAGCATGTTCTTTATAAAACCTGAAAATCATATGTCCTCACATCCTCAATATTCCAGAGGTTATGATCACTTTGCTCCCCTCACCCTGGAACATTTCTAGGCAAAAATGAAGGTACAAGAAAGTAATTTGATTGGTCTAGAGCATGTTTCAGGAGAAAACACTGACCAATAAAATTACAAAAGAATGAACCCCAACTTCAAACCAGTACAACATACCATCATGTGACCTCAAGACTTGTCTTATAGATGTCACACATGCCACCGTTAATTTTGCCATGAAATATTCCAGGAGTGCAGAATGCGATAGTGGGTGTAACCCTTGCAGTATCGAGGATGATTCTCTTAGTAATGTAGACTAACTTACCTTTTGAACACACGATCCATCAGCAATGTTACACATGTAACACATGGGGTCATAGGTCAGATGCAGAACACCATTGCTGATATTGCTAGTCGAATTTATGTTGCTAACAGCAAGCATGTAATTAGCCGCTGCTGGTAAAACACATCTGACCTCTGAGAAACTGACAAAGGTCACAGGAGCAACCTGCCAAGAACCTGACGCCTGGTAGCCTGTCTCATTAACCTGCAGTGGCAATAAAGATTATATCATCATATTTAGTCATCAGTAGGCCAATGCCCAGTAATAGGCCCATCCAGATATATTTCTGTTCATTAGAATTACAAACAAAACTTAACTCATCTTGTTATAACCCCACTCCCTACTTTGATTTAGAGGTCATGTGTTGGTCCCAGGCTTATTAAAGAATACAGAAATGTATGGCTGTGAAAGGTTTCAACAGCCAAGCTAAACTTGTAATACACCCAGTTCAGATCATTCTTCCTTATGGTCCCAGGGAAAATACCTTACTTGAGTTTCCATTCAAACCAGATTTAAGAAACAAATTTAAAAAATACTTCATTTTACCAAGTCTCAGTCATATATTGAACAGTTTTTATAGACTGTTATTTGTTAGCATGCTGATGCCATACACAAGAATTTTTACCCATGTGCTATAATTTGATTATTTATTTTCAAACTCAACTATCAGCTTAAAAAGTCTTAAAATAAGAATTTTTGGGGTTTTTTTTGTAATTAATTTTTACATATCACACAATATACAAGAGAATCCACACAAAAACATACACACACACTCTCACACTTGTGTGCTAAGACTTGAATACGTCTTACACATGTACATGCATCATCATTATCATCTTTAGCATCATGCACATGTATCTACTACTTCCTGCACACAAAGAAATCTTCAAATAATATAACATATTTTTGGCTTTATCAGAATGTTTCAGTGTTGCACTAATGAAGTGTCCATGCTTCATAATGCAAACTTTGTTGTTCAATTCAAATTTCTGTGATATTTTATGTTTTGTTGTAAGAGCTAATGTTGTATATTTCCTTGTATATCAGAAAAAATAAACATTCTAGTATTTTAAATCTTGTATCTTGCATGGCAAGTTTCATAAAACAGATGTTAGCTCCTGATTGACATGTTTATCAAATCAATGTGGGTGCCTTAATGTCCCAGATTCATCAGGAAAAATATTTTACATGAAGTGATTTGATATTTCTAATAATATTGAAATCCCTTCTTTGAAATTCATTGTAATCTTTTCAGTTCTAAAGACAAAGATGTTATAAGAATATTAAAATGTTTGAAGCAGCAACTAACCTGAATTTCCTGATGGTAACACGTCAGATTTTCTGAGTTGACAAAGGTGAGGCCTGTAAGATACACACTCTGACAAGGAGAGATCCTGGAGTTACATAGACCGTCCACTGGTTGGGCAATCCTTATTGTCGGTTGATTGTCAATGTTGACGGTACAATCAGGACCAATGAAACCAGGGTCACACACACATTCACCTACAACATATACTGGCCATAAAGAAACTGTCATCCTTTTCAAATTTATGAATTTAAAGAAATATAGATTATATTTTTGCAGAAATCACCTGATGAACAACAATTTTTTTTGTGTGTACTCTGTTTCCAACATATTTTTAATCAATTTAATATTCCATCCTCAAAAAAAACGGAAAAAAAGAACCTCTTGAAAACAACAACCATTACAGTGTACCAAATTAAGGCCAGGCAAGTAAAGCAGGTTGGAATGGGTAGGTCAGGGTTGAGACTGTAATAAAGTTTTCAGTTTTAGCAGTTGTCAGGTGAAGGTGAGAGATGGTGATGGTCAGGGTTTGACAGGTGAAGGAAAGAGATGGTGAATGTGTTTGGACAGTTGAATGAGTGTTGAAGGTTCTGTGAGTGGACCTCTCTTGGACATTGTCAGGTGAAGGTGAGGGATGATGAGTGTTAGGGTTGGACAGACAAAGGAGTGTTGAAGGTCAAGGGGTATTCAGGACTACATTGGGGGTGAGGGATGGTGAGGGTTAGGTGTTTGGACAGGTGAAGAGTGCTGGAGACTGTGCGGGAGACACCTGTTGGTCATTGACAGTTAGAGAGGAAACTGAAAATTTGAACATCTTAACTTACCATCAGTACAACGGCCGTTGTCACAATGGTAAGGACACAGACTGGCCAGTGCAGCAGTCAGGTCTCCAGTTACTGTGTGATTCCTCTCAAGTTCAAACAAACACCGACGGGCTAAGAGTTCGTTCAAAACCACAGCCCATCCTTGATCATTTGTCAACTGTTTCACAGAAACAAAAATGCTGGTAAAAGTGCTAGTGGTAGATATATTTAGTATATTACCATATAACCAGTTTTATAGTGGTATCATATTTTTGCAATTTTGTAGTTGTTAACTTGTTTGAAAAAAATTTAATCGGAGAAATAATGAGACACATGCATGTCCTTTTACATCCAGATCACAAAATATCAATTCATTGAAATATAACTCAATTGTTTTAACAGAAAACCACAATGATTGTGACTCTTCAAAATAACCAGCTGTACAATATTCGAACAGGGACCTGCTAGAATTGCTGATACTCCCAAAGTAAAACATCAATACAACCAAAAGTGGGAAGTATTCCAACTTTCTTAACAATTCTAAATGTGATTTAACATTCATAGTAATTAAATTTTCAACCTTTTCATAGTTTTCAGAAGATTTCAAGATTAATTTTCAAGGCCATTAAAAATCTTTCATAAACTGTTTTCTAAGATGAATATGTATATATCTACCCGAATATTCTCCTTGCAGTCATCTATCTCTGACTGGACCAACAGTGGCACAAACTGACCACAAGATTCATTCAGAGGGCTTTGATTGACGGCATCTATACAAAGTTGTTCTGCTGTTGCTTCTGTCACACCTGACCACCCTGTAGTCTGGAAAAAAAAACATTCAAAAAAGTTCATTGGTTTTGTCTTCCAAATACAATTGTTTAAGGAACAAAGCAAAATAAAAAGGACCTAAACTTTCTGTTGTTTCAAGGATTGTTAATGGATGTTTTTTCAACATTTTTTACAGCTCTATTTCTGGATAATATGTTCCTAAGTTTCACACATTGCCTGTACCTTAAAAAGTTTTTTTTCATTTAAGAACATTTTGCTGACAAGATCTTGATGACAAATGAAATTGGGGTAATGGACATGTGAAAGCCCTCTCCATACAATAATAAACAACTATAGAAACACAATTAAATGGTCAGCAAATTTTAGAATAAGAAATAACGTTGAGACTGGAACATACAACTCTTTGAATATAGTGAAAAATGAATAAATAAATCAACTGAAGATCAATTAGTGTCATTTCCTGAGTTTGAATTTTTCTATTTTCTATCTGAATTTTCAATTTTTTTGTCATATTTTCGATCACCAGCTCATCACTACTTACGAAAACTGGTGCACTGGAGTTGTACAAAAATGACCCTTTCCTATACTGGGTGGAGTCAAAGGGGAAACAATTCTGGGGCATCATTCGACCTAGTAGTACAATGTCAGTTATATCCTCACCTAAAAATGAATCCAAAATGACATAAACAAGAATTAAACATTGGTTAGAACCGGAGAAAACTGCTACTACCAGACTTATAATAAATTTGGTGATAGAATTAGTGTAATACTCATGGAAATAATTTTTTTATCACCTTTTTCTGTATCACCAATAACTTTCAAAAGATTAAAATTAAGAGTGAAAAAAGGAAAAAAAAATTTTTTTAATGTTGCAAGTGACTTATCATTTCATTTCCATGTTTTTACAGTACAAAGGTTAGACACGGAAACTTACAAAATCCCATGAAAAGTAAATTTGAAATTTTCTTCTCATAAGTTTCAAAGGCACTAAAGAAACATTTAAATAGATTACTGACAACTACAACATAACTGGAATCTAACCATTTAAAATGACAAAAATTACTAATTTGAGACTTATTTTCAATGTTGTTACCAAGGAAGTATTCTCTGGCACTGTAGCAGCTTTGGACAAGTCCCCATGAATCACATGGTGCAAATTCAGCCCCTGTACATTGACACACACTGCCAACAGGAACAGTTCGATCGTCCCTTTTGTCCTCACAGAGACCTGTGTACAAGCTGTCTGCCTCCGGAACCCTGGAGTACAGGAGTATACAACATGTGAAATGTATGCATTACAAGAATAAGCCAGCACCATAAAACTTATACTTGTAATGCCAATTCTATCCTGAAATAAGCACAGGGCAAAGGGCTATTTCACACCTCATGACTCAAAAGTCCGAGAGTGGGCTTATTACAGGACATTTTGAAATAGCAATTATTGGTAATGCTGCGATGGGTTGGTTTTTCAACAGACATGGGCTACTTAAATAAACCCTAATTTTTTATTAAATTTAAGCCTATCTTACCAAAGTTTTACTTTTATCAAAAAATCTACACATTAACTCGAAGAATTGTTAAGTTTTTTTCTGTTGGTTCAAATTTTTGTGGTGCTACCAAATGTAGATAGGGATGCCTTCAAAAACTGAAAAAATAGATCCCCTCAAAAATAATATTCTTTACAGTATCTCTCCTCATCCATTAAAACATTTATCTTTAAGGATCATGAAGTAAATTTGTTTTCATGGATCACAAAGGACAATTAATTTGTTTTCATATGTGGTTTACCTCCAGGATAGTGTGAATGGGTCTGGGTACTTGGCCCCTATAACTGATGATGTGTTGTCACTATGGACAAAGTCATTTGTGTCTTCGTTATCAAAGTTCCCACAGAGTCCTGGAGAGAAAACCAAACAAATAGTTAATATGTGTGTATCATATGGTTTATGTGAAAATGGTAATGAATTTAACATTTAATCACAACATTATATTCTTTTAACTATATACAGGAAATCATTTCTTAAGAGTTTTTACATGAAAGGGAAATGAATCACAAGAGATATCCAAATGCCTAATGATTTTCCAGAAAATTGTTATAAACAATCTCTTTCTAATAGGATATTGTAAGGCTGACAAAAAGATTTAAGAATTAAATGCCTCAGCTCCTTTACAAAAAGTTTAATTGTTCCATGAATTTGCAGCAGTTTTAAAACATGACCTTTGACCCATTAAACTTTGACTGATAATCATCTTAATATGAAAAGAGTAAAACCTGGTGTAATGTTATGGGTAAATATCAATCCAATTTACTGAGAGTTTCTAAAGATATGACATTGATTTGGAAATAAGACAGGATGTGACAACATGGTAAGATGTACAATGGGCAACATCTGATTTCCTTCCCTTCCAAATTTAATGATGGCGCTTAAGAATATCATCAAAATGTACAATGATTTGCCAAAATACATCTAGCTAATCTCTGAAGTGGATGAAATTATTCAGGTGAGCTTAAGAAGCAGTAGTGTAAGAGTCAGAAGACTTTGACTTTGAGCATGTAAATCTTTTAGTGCTTTTGTCATGTGACATACTAATAAACTAAATCTCACCGCTGGTGTGGTTGAGGTCAAGAAGTGATGGGTAGAACCAAACATTCAAATATGTTTGATGGCTCAGCTGAACAATCAGCTGTCCACCTGTTGGAAGGTACACCTGCAGATCAAAATAGGCAATTTGAAATCAACATCACTAAAATTTTTATATTAAAAGTTTAATGAATTGCAACATTTTGACATTAAGCAAAAATAAAGAAGAGAATATGGTAATGTTAAAAAGCATCATTCATCATTAAAAAAAATAAAAAAATTTGAATTTCACTGACAAGCAAAACATTTCTTTTAACATCGAGTCATCAATCAGGACTAGCTCACCTGAAATTCCCTTCCAGAAGCCACACGAACGACACGAAATTCTGACGACACAGCACCATTCGTATACATCTGTGTTTTGATGGGATAAGTGAGATCAGAGCCTCTTTCTGCACCACACCTGTCAATGACTAGAACATCGTCATCCACTAGTACGCCAACTCCACAGTTACAAATATTGTCATTTAATCCACAGCGTCGGTAAAACAGGTGAATCTGAAAACATGGAATTATGTTACGGCATCATGAAATTGTATTCACTGATTTTTCCCAATTAAATAAAAATTTATTTTGAGGTCAGGGTTCATACAGTAAATATTTCATGCTCAAATTGTGGATTCCTAACACCAGTTTTTTTCTGTCAAGGAAATTTTAGAATCAACTTTTCTAAGAAAATTTTTATCCATGTAAAACAAACAGTTGAATAATACAAGTACCAGTAAAACTATTTTGGCTCTGACATGGATTTGAAACCCTATACTATTAGTGACAATTATATAAGACACAATCATGAGACAGTTTATTTATCAAAGTCTATAATTTTGTAGTAAAAGAGGTTGATCCTATGGATTTGAAGTAAAATAGGGTACAACATGTCGGTCTTATGGATATGAAGTAAAATAGGGTACAGCATGTTGATCCTATGGATTTGAAGTAAAATAGTGTACAACATGTTGATCCTATAAGTATGAAGAAAAAGAGGGTAGAACATGTTGTTCTATGGATATGGAGAAAAAGTGGGTAGACAATGTTGATTCAATAGGTATGAAAATAAAAGAGGGTATAACATGTTGATCCTACAGGTGTGAAGAAAAGGAGGGTAGAACATTTTGATTCTATCAGTATGAAGTATAAGAGGGTACAACATGTTGATCCTACAGTTATGAAGAAAATGCTGGTACAACATGTTGATTCTATCGGTATGAAGTAAAAGAGGATACAACATGTTAATCCTATTGGTGTGAAGTAAAGGCACAACACGTTGATCCTGTAAGTTTGAAGTAAATGATGGTATAACATGTTGATTCTATCAGTATGAACTAAAAGGGGGTACAACATGTTGATCCTATTGGTGTGAAGTGAAAGAGGGCACAACATATTGATCCTATTGGTGTGAAGTACCGTAAATATTCGCGTATAGTGCGCACTTTTTTAAGCTGAAACTGTCGTGTCAAAAAGGGGGTGCGCACTATACGCAGGTACATGCCATTCCGGGGGTTATCATTCCCGAGTTCTGCATCCGCCATATTGGATTACCTCCCTTCACATAGTTATATGTAAAAGTCGTCGGTCTTATATGATAGTTTGGAGATAAAAACAACAAAAAAATAAAATGTTTTGATCATCTGCCATTCACGCTAGCATTACGGTGAATCTAATTTTTTTTCGTTTCCCGTCATTTTGATGATGTATCTGTGGAATTCAATGAATCCGAAAGTTTTTAGGCGATTGTCGTTCTGTTCATAAATCGGACAGCCCATCCCACCGATGCCCAAAGTTGGTGACCCCATGACCTCTCTTGATCTGCATGGCCCGCACGCGCAGTTCTGTTGTACTGGCAGCGATGCCGGGATATCGGCGATCGCATACAGAGTTGAACAGCTCTCTCTCTCTCCATCTCTGGGTGTTTCGCTGTCGCACCTATGTCAGCCCTTCTGGTCAGTGGTTGGGACTTTAAACGGTCTTTTCTTTCTTCCGTGCCTTGATATTTCACTCTGGAATGTCGAAGTGGCGACCGGCGGCACGAAATTCCAGTCTCTCGGCGTAGTCAAATGGCGTTCGCAGTTTCCCCATGTCGAAGTCGGTGTAAATAATCTATCATTAAATACCTACGGATACCGCGGTGGGTACAGATACCATGAAAGATCATGCCTATACTGAACAAACCACCTGCTTTTATGGGGACAAGGTAGGATTGAAAATGTTCAAACAGTTAAAACAACATCGTTTTCTGACCAATAGTACGCGTTCAGCCCAAGCCGGGTGTCATCAGTCTCCTCATACTCAACGTGTTAACTGTCATTAACCGTTAATTATACAATCAGCCAAGCCTTTCATGCTTATTAGGTCACCTGGGTAAATTTGTTTACTTAAGGTAATTACAGGTGTTAGGGTCACGCTCATTGTGGTTTCCTAATTATCAATGGATCAGACCACATCAAATGTTTTGTCGCAGTGACCAGTCAATTAATTTTTCTGTAGATTTTTTTTTTTTAAATCTGATCTCCAAAAAGTACCTGCGCACTATACGCGAGTGCGCACTATACGCGAATATTTACGGTAAATGATGGTAGAACATGTTGATCTGGTACCAAATGTTACCAAATATATCAACAACCATGGTTTACCGAGACCTAAATGATTAATTACCTCAAGTGGGATTGTAACCAGGGCCAAAATGGAAACTTACCTCCAGTGGAAGAGTGTCATGTTTGTAGAAAGTAAATTCTCCTTCGTTCTGGTTGTCATAGTTTCTGTCAACAAATAAATTGTCAATCAATAAGATTTAAATAACTGATCATTTCACGCTCAGTATGAAATTGAAAATCTTTTAAATTGATGAAATTGAGAACACTTACACCCCGTCAAATGTCTGCAGATGAGGGCCACTTGTTGAGCTACATACTGCTGCAGTATCCTCATCAGCCACAGAAACTTCCACCTGCAATAGGGAAAGTTCTTTGAAAGTACATTGTGAGTTTCATATGTCTGCAACATAGTTCTCAGACAACCAAAATACATGATAACACTTAGCATTCAATAATTCCTCCATATCCCTGATTTCGAAGTATCAGTAAATTATGGGCATCAATGATTTCTTAACATATCAATGATTTCTAGATATCAGTAATTTCCAGATATTGGTAATTTCCAAATATTTGTGGTTTCTTAAAATACCAATGTTTTACAGAAATCAGTTATTCCAAGATATCAGAAAAACCAGACATCGGTAATTTCCAGATATCAGTAATTTTCAGATATTGGTAATTTCCAGATATCGGTAATATCCAGCAATTCCCAGATATGACAATTCATTTTCTATTTTAAAAGGTTAGCTAAATGTTGATATATGAATAGAAATGTTTGCAAAATTGGCTTGTGATTTTTTCAACAAATTTCACCATTCATTTTCCTTACATCAAAGCCAATGGTTAGCAGGAGATTCTGGTTGGCTCTTGTGTCTAGAGACACTGTGACTTGTCTTGTGCCATCTATAACACCATCCATACTTGCAAGAACTGGGATGTTGTGTACCATTTCCCAGTTGTCCTGTGTTACCGTGACGATACAGGACTCTTGGCTGCTGGCTGACTCAGGAAACACAACTTGAGACAATTCTTTACCTAAAAACAAGGTTTTTTCAAAAGAATTATGAATGAAAATCACGAGAATTAGGGTAAGTTCCTCTTAAATAACGATACAATGTTTAGTATATCCATATCTATAGTTATCAAAAAGCTATAAATCCTACCACAGGGTTAGAGGTCCTAACACCACTTTCAAGGTTCTAACACAAAGCTCTAGATGCTATCACAAGGTTAGAGGTCCTAACAAATGGTTCTACTTCCTAACATAAGGTTATATGTCTCAACATAAGGCTAAAGGCCCTAACATAAGGCTTTTTAGGCCATTACATTACATTATGGGAAGTTATATAAGGCTACAGGCCCTAACGTGAGGCTACAGGCCCTAACATAAGGTTATAGGTCCCAACATAATGTTATCGGTCCTAATATAAGGTTATAGGTCCTAACATAAGATTATAGGTACCGACTTAATGTTATCAGCCCTAATATAAGGCTAAAGGTTCTAACATAAGGTTATGTATCCTAATATAAGGTTATATGTCCCAACATAAGGTTATATGTCCCAACATAAGCTTAAAGGTTCTAACATCAGGTTATAGGTCCTAACATAATGTTATCGGTCCTAATATAAGATTAAAGGTTCTAACATAATGTTATAGGGCCTAACATAAGGCTAAAGGTAATAATATAAGACTAAAGATCCTAACAAGGTCCTATCATTCTTCCTAAAAAATTACTTCAAAATGTTTTCCATAATAAATCCATTTCTCCACAGTAAATCATCACATTGTTTATATTACCTCCCGAGCATGTCACTTCGTCAACAGATCCGACCCTGGCTTTCACTGTAAGTGGACAGCTTGCGTCTGAATTCACACCCTGACAAAACACTGCTGGTGGCACAGTTGATTGAATCTGAATGACAGCAGGGGGTCCGTTCTCCACCACACTCAGACTTTCACTGCTCACCCTCTATTCAGAATGTGAAATATTTTCATAAGAACCAAATGCCTAATGCATGGAAATTGCTATAAATAAAACTATCAACTGACAGGTTATATAACATATTGACAGGCCTTTTTCCAGGAACTCTGTCAGACCAAATATGGGCCCCATTCCCATTTGGATTTAATTCATATTATAACATTTCACATTCACAAAATACTTAGTCCACTCCTTCCCTGATCATTTCACATTCCCAAAATGAGATAAAAAATGCCAAGTCACAAATGAATAGAAATGGTTAATAAAGATATATGCCATTGAGCTAATGAAAAATTTACAAAACAAACTTTTTCTCAGAAAGTTTATTTTTGTACCAGTTAGTTGATACAATGTATATCATTTTGGAGGGCTCAAAGTCAAATATTAGAATAAACAAAAACAAGAAACAGGGTTTTCAATAAAATGGAGACATAATTATATTACCTTGATCTCTGCCTGAAAAATATTGCTGAGTTTCTGCACTCCTCTGACTGATTGACAGGTTCCACTGTAACAGGGCTCTATGCTGCATCGATATTTGTAGATCTGTAACATTAGTCCAGGTATGTAACATTTGTTTTTTTATCAGTATCTACCAAACATTAAGAGTAATAGGTTGTGTCCTAGAAACAAACCAAAGTTTATAAAATATGACACTTGCTGTTCTTTGCTTGATGTTTAGATTTCAATAAGCAGTTGTTTATTGCCACTGGAGTCACTTTGAGATGGAACCACTAAGCACATCTGGTAGTTGCTTCACTGAACATTATACAGGAGGCTCATTGCATATTATCCACAGCAGTAAGTGTAAAATGTCTTGCACAAGCACATAACCACAGCAACAAAAGGACAATCTGTGATCTCATCTTGTCGACCGTGATGTTAATAGTTGACATTTTGTTTTGACATCTAATCCCAAACTTTTTTATTGCACAAAACTGACTTGTTTCTTATAGAACTTGTTTGAAGACAAAAATTGGTTCTTATAGAACTTATTTGAAGACAAAAATTTATAATTTGTTTTGCTTTCCCAAAAGCAAAGTGATTTTTCTTAACTTTTGTTTGTTTATTCTTCTGCCGTCATAAATTATGAAGAATGGTCATGTAATATTTACAGTTTATAAATGGTCAATTTCGTACATGATACTATGGTGTATAATGTGATTAGATAGGGTATTGTTCAGCTTGTCATTTCAGTGGTATGGCACTATAAAAACACCTTCTAGTGGCCTAATCATCCAAGTATACACCATCCGAAAGTCGTAGGCTCAAGTCTGTGAAAATGTCTGATAAACTCACCCTGAAGTCATTAATAAGGTCACTGGCTTTGATAGGAAGGATGTTATTAGACTGACCAGTGGTCAGAAGCTCTTCCTCTAATTCTTCTACCTCCCTCCACCATGTCAACCAGTATTGTATCCCTCTGGTAGCCACATCCTTTAGTGAACAGGTCAGACTAAGGTCATCCATAGACACATAGTTGAAGGTCAACTCGGGGTCAGATATTCCAACAGGCACTAAATTCTCTACAAAAGTAAGAGCAATTAAATTTATTAGAGTAAAAGCTTGTACTAGCTGGTTCTGATGTTTGTCTAGCAAAATGTGGGGCCAAAAAATATGTTTTTCCTCTAATATGTCAGAAACTTTCTTTAAAGCTTTTTAATATGGATAAATATAGAGGATTCTTGACTATAAAATATCCTTTCATGAAAATTGTCCAAAGTAAGGCTAAATTCATGATGCAATACATATTGCTGTACAATGCTAAGGATTCAATATGCATCATGATACATGTTTCCTCAGAAGATCAACTTCATAATGATTGAATACATAATGTTCTTAAGTGAAGCCTTACATTTCAATAGTTAAAATTATCAAAATTATTTTTTTACATAATATCCTGTACTTTCTAGGTATGATTGCACAGTTGACTATGTATTTGCTATACAGTAATTTCAGTAGGATTTTCAAGAGGAGCCCAGAACTCAAATTCCAAAATTTGGCCGAGTCCCAATACTAAGAGATAAAGTGGGTTCCCTAAATTTAAGCGAGTTCAACAGATAAAGTCCGAGTCCCAAAAACCATTGATATATTAGCCCTTTCTTGGAGTTTGATAAAAATTTATTGATTATTAAAGTACTTTTAACATATCAGGTTACTGGTAAACAAAAACAACTGCGATAAACTAGAAGATGATACGATATGCAAAACAATATGTCATCACAGCCCTACTCAAAGGAATATACACAATGTAGGCTAAGAATTACAGGATTAGCCAGGGTAAGTGGAAAAAAGTTTTCTTTATTTTCTTTGGCCTAAACATTATGAGAATGAGAGGCAAGAAATCATTTAAGGAATTGCTTAGGAAGAGGAAACAATAAAAACAACATTTCTTTGTAACACAAGGGTATCTAATACCACACAGAAAATCCTTTGATTGTGAAGTTGCAATGGTCTTCTGTTAAACTTGTAGTTAAATGACAAATTATATTAAACGTAAAGCTTAATGTAGCAACAATAATATGTAATGCAATGAGGTTTGTAAAAATGTTGTACTTTTAATTAATTCCTAAATCTGTGAGGTATGGATATACTATCACTATACCTTTGGCACTTTAATCTTAACAGACGATCATCAAAAAATGTTTTAAGTCAAATGTCAAAACTGATATTATCAGACTAAAGTGTATATATCTCAGCTTGGTTTGATGGAGAATTCACAAGATATTTGTAAGTTACTTCACATGAATGCACAAAGCAATTATTAATATATGCCACACTTAAACTTCAGAAGTAACTTTAAAACTTTGTTTGGTCTAAAGCTATTTAGAATATTCAGGAAACTGTGACTGGAATATACAACCAAAAAAATAAATTCTTGAAAAAAAAAAGCTTTTCAGGTTTATCACTTCATCAACAATCAGCATCATTTAAGGCGTGGTCTCCTTGTATTATCTGGTGGCTGCCTTTCTAAACAGAATGATTTTTATGTAAAGTGTCTTGTTTGTGAGTACAACCATGTCAGCACAGACCGGTCCATTTCTTAGCTTCCTGTGAAACACAAGTCTCCACAGGTAGAGAGAGTCTAACCATGCATCTCGTATCTTCACCTGAGGGTTATAGGCCAACACTCTTAACAAATGAGCTATCATAACCCTTAAACAAGATGGATATGTTGATCCTTAAAGATAGCTTATCTATAGCGACCAGTCTCTGTTCTGTATTATTTACTTAAAAGTTAACCATACTTCAATTTAACATAAATTGACACAACAAATTTGCCAGTTTAGTCTAGTTTTACAAAATTATCGAAAAAACATCAAATCTCTTGATAAAGGCACAAATTGTCATCTTCATTTTGTCAAATATATTGTCACAACACACCTTTATCAATGAAGAAAGCGTATTCCCATTAATTTTTGCCCTGATAGACATTTTGTACATTAACTGATGAAAGAGATTTCTAGCTTGAAAAGGAAAGTGAAATTTATTTACATCTGTGAATATTTTCATTACAGTAAATGGTTGTACTTGTGACGTAGGCCAGACAAAAATATCATGTTTCCTGTAACATGTTGGCAAAATTTATAGAAGTTAAGTAGACAAACACTCTCATTTAAACAAATAAATTTTTGTGCTTTTTAAAGGAAATCTTGACTTTGATTGTACTTCTTTGAAAATTGCAAGGCCGTTATATCTAAACCCAAAAAGAATCAAATCATAGACATCATTATCAACACAGATCGCATGGAATTTTATGTGACTTCCTAAGATTGTAATATTGCTGCTGCATACATGTGGTCATAAAATTCAGGGGCACTCTTACACAAGGTTAGGTCTTGCTATACATATATGTTATCTAGACTTGCTGTGCTTATAAACCAATTTTCCCGGAAAGAACAAAATTAATTTTTTCATACACAAACAATGAAAGAAAGCCTGACAATTTTCAAATTGATTGTGCGAACTTTTGTGACAAATAATTTCTATCAAATTTTGTTATTATTAAAACAAATGCCTGTTTAACCTTACTGAAATACCACCATGTACACTAAACACCTTTTCAGACCACAATATAATCAGAGACGTATACATCACATGTGTTATATATGTCTCTGATATAATGATCTTATAGAAAACATAAACAAGCGGAGTATTTTCCGATTGACTTCTACCAGTTTGATGGACTCCTATCAGTTTTGTAACAAGTCACTTTATATATTGGAATTATTTTTGTTACGAAAAGGAAATTCACTTTTCAGTAGCTAAAAATGGTTCTGGTCAGTTTAGTTCTAAGTGAATGGGACACATGTCTCTTAGACAAGTTAGATACCAACATGGCGTGCACAAACACAAAAAGTCTCTACTGGGCCTAGTTTCTCATCCCTTAATATCATACGCCCCTGCTTTGGTTAACTTTCGCCATCGCCTCGGTAATGAATGCTATCTCGACAAGTTATGTTCAAATCTACGAGACCTAAGATAAGTTAAAGACGAAAAATTGACAAAGTACTTGACTAGCCTAATACCGATAAATCTGCCGCCATTTTTGTTTGGGTTTTGTGTCTGCCTGTGGGGAAAACATAACTAGACGTGACCGTGTCGACTGCTTGTATGTCATCTCATGGCATGCATCAAAATTGTTTTTGCCCGTGTAAAGAACCGACATTATTGCTATTCGTGGGATAAGTTTGCCGTTTGTTTCGCCTTCCAGCTGCTGAATCTGATGCCGGACATCGTCATATTTTCCCAGCAGGCATCAGCTAGGCGTGATTGGGTTGTCGCACTTTCGAAGTTGGCGGAGGGACCAGTACCGTAATGATGAGAAATCGTAGAATACCGTCACTCGGATTCACAGATAAATGTGACAAATATTCATCACTCCCATAGCATAAAAACATTGCCCGTCACAGGAAAATATGAATTCTATGTTCCATTACGATAAATTAAAAACCCGATCTCTACGATTTAAAATGAATCCCGAACTAATCTGCAGAAAATATGATAAAAATTCATTAACTGACATCTTAAAAAGGGAAAGAAAATGAATACCGTGTTACATTACGGGAAAACCTTGTGCTCGGAGTTAAGGAAGTGAAAATACCCAGCAGAAATATTTTTATTTTGCAGGCTATCTCAAGGTCGCTTAACTGCTGTATATGGTATGAATTTCATATGATACCTATTGAAACAGTCTATCGGCCCTACTGTGAGGGAGTTCGTGCGTGTTTCCAATACCGATAGTTCATCTTTAAATTTTCTTTGCTACCCCAGTATAATCAACAGATTATCTGCATACCCATGCATCTCTGTATGGGTGTTATCGAATATAAAACATGATATTTGATAACAAGTATTGGTAAAAGTTTAAAAAGGAAAATGGTTTAGCTTCAGAATTCATCATGATTGACAAAGCATACAAGATATATATTACCATCAGTTATATTGCACCCAAAAAGTTCGAGTCTAAAGCACGGCTCCCCAGTGTAGTTGAGGACAACAATTCTGACCCGTCTGACAGCAACTTCTTCCAACAGTGGAAACGATTTCACGTCCGCATCAGGGAAATTTGTTAAAAACGTCTCCTGTTTGAAACACATTAGAGTAACAGTTTTACATACAAAATATAGTGAAATGCATAAAAAAACAAATATCATTTGCTATATGTATGCCTCTCATAACTTGGGCTGGTCAATTATGTGTATTGAATAGGTAATTTCTTTCACTTTGATTTGCAAAGTGCTAGATAACACACCAAAATGTATTACTCCAAAATGCATTAGTGCGTTCGTCTCTTATTGTGCTGTTCAACAAGCTTTCACAGTTACGTATGTGTGACCAATTATGTATATATACGTGTACACACGATGCATTGCACAAAGTTCTTCAGATTTTTAACAAAATTAATGTTTAAGATTACCTAAACCGATTGCAAGATTGATTTTTTTTATATTCATGTGTAACCAAAGTTTTCAGGTGACTTGACATAGGGCAACATAACAGCACGCCATTTATGTCATTCGTATAGCATTGTCAACAGAAGGATTCGTTTCATTTTCAGCTTTCACGCTCTCATGCCATACAGTTATGCTTCATCATCCCTGTTCCTAATCTTACCAGCGATTATTTTGTTTTCGTACTTAAATTACCAAGACAGGACGTAGACAATGATAAATGGATTGTCGACTTTACCGGGAACAAGATACATATGTACTTACTGGAGCGTCACCGGTTACATTGTAGTCGGTGAGGCTCCCGGGGGGAGATGATGCCAACTCCAGCTGTAGGGAAAATATCGATAAAAACGATTCCTGTGACGTGAAGTTTGTAAATGGGGTCTGGATGGTAAAGCCGGACAGGTTATACGGCCGATCAAAGGTCACCTCGAACCACTCTCCATCCTGGGCCGTAGCCGGGCACCACGCGCCAAATGCTGCATCTGCAATCAACATAGAAGAGGTCGGAAGTTGCATATTGTCTACTAGTTGAATGCACCAAACGAGCAAAAAAAAATTTTGTGGGTAATGTAAACAACACAAGGGAACAGCTGATTTTTTAATGCTTAAGGATGATGTCTTATCACCTATGATACACAATCCTCCTACCCCTCTCCTTCACCAGATGAACAAATGAATGGAGAAATCATTGTTTGTTCATCGTAATTGCTAATTCAGACACACGGATTTTTTCTTCCATGTAAGTTTATACGCTGCATCTGTATTCATATGACTGAAAAGAATTCAAAACTTCCACAGTGGTTTGGAATTAGCGAAATGTTTTAATTAAAACACTTTTTATTGACATATAATTATGAACCGACTTGACGTTAACAACTACTCTTCTTTATTTACATCCGGTTCACAGGGACTTACCTTGACAACAATCAAATCTGGCGTTTTCAATGTCAAGGTCATTTCTAACTGATGATGCAGATAGTTGATCACGAAGAATGGCGCCATTCCCGAGGCCTGCTGCAGAGTTACAGTTCAGGTCTGGAAAATGAAAGTTTTTTTCATATAAAATTCTCAAATTTTTTATCGTTTTATCAAAAGTCTGTTTTTTCGTCCATTTTTAATCGACACAGAACGTGTTGATGTCGCCATTACGTCCCTTTCCCCTTCATAAAAAACAAATGCTTAGTTGTTTCAATTTATCTGACCTTGTTTCAAGGCCGCCCGCAATCAACATTTATATGTTTGTTAGAAATCAACAGAATACTCGGAGTTTTTCAAACATTTGACCTTAGGTGCCAATTTTAACTGCAAAACGAAGGAATACCGGTTGCATTTGTTGCAACTGGCCCCTTTTTGTTCTGATTACAATCCAGAGTTATCGCTCCTTGCAGTCAAATGACAATCACAATGTCTTCCAGTAATCGCTGATTGTCTTTGGAAATCAGCGAGTGTAAAGAACAACAACGAGAATGACATTGTCTATATATACCGTATATAGAGATATTTTTGCGCTTTGCAATTTTGCCGTGAAGATCATCACGTGTCGCCCTTTTCAGAAATTTTAAATGCTCTTTTGCAGAATTTGAATAATTCAGAATGGACATAGAATGAATACATGTATAGCTAACACACACACATACACACCCTCACACACACACACCCTCACACACACACACACACACACACACACACACACACACACACACACACACACACACACACACACACACACACACACACACACACACACACACAAACACACACACACACACACACACACACACAAATAAATATCTAACTGACCAGTTAATCTAGATAAGAGATTTACATACCGGCTAGTATTTGTTTATTATAGAAGTATTCATGACAAGGAAGTGTTCAGGTGTAGGGAGATATGTTAACTCTATAGATGTTATTACTCGTGTGTTTACCATAAAGAGAAGAATTTTGCAATTTTGAAATGGCCGTTAAATTCGCGAAACGTAGATACGCACAAAAAATAAATAATAATGATAAGATGATAAATGATATGTATGGACCGTGGGTTGGGGATACGTGCCAAGTCCCTGAGTGACTGATGACGAGGCGATATATCATGAAGAACTATTCAATATTTTTCATACCTTTGTACTTGATCGTTAATTTACCTCTATCCGTTTCTATATCTGTTAGCATTGCTTTGATGTGTAACATATCAATTGCCATCGTTTTCAAAGCATACATTTTCAGGGTGACATTCGAGCTCTCCCCTGATCAATGTTTAGTTCTCAAATTATATACCGAGGCAATGACGTCATCTACTGTTAATGGTTTAGTGTATGTATTTCTTTATACCGGAAATATATTTAAAGGTTTTTTTTACCTAGGGTAATGCCTCTTTTGTGTCATTATCTCTGTTATTTACCTGTCTACATGTCAGTATGGACAATGGTCAGCTCCGTTTTATTTATACGTTTTGGCGACCTTTCTGGCAGTTGGATTTACAACCAGCAAAGGGACAACACTACAGATTACCGAGTGTGATTAGAACTCTGCCATTTCACTGGACTTATGTATTATACAAAGTTTGACTTCAATCTATGTATTTCATACATATTTTAAAATACCGATATATACGGACTTAAAGCCCCAATATACGTAACATTTACCAAAAATTCAGTGTAGAATCACACACAATTATTGAGATATTCTCTAAGATGTAGTTAAAATTAAGTTATTCAAACAATAGTTACCATGATTTTGTGCATAAGGTATTGACATATGAGCAGTTGAAACTCGCTATTTGTAAACACACCTCCATTTTAAACACGCCGCCATCGAAATTACGATTGTTGCCGAACCACGTCGGAAAGTTCATGACCTGATCTCGCGAGAGTTGAGGTTTCTACTTATAGAGGAAGCACATGCAGATATGTCTACGGTAAGTTTTTGTTTACAAACATTGTTTGCGAAGTATTGTCGAAGACTTGAGGTATTCCTGTGATAAACATTTAGTTTTTGGGAAATTATTAGAAGGAATAATTAGGTTAGAAACGATACGACGCACAATTATAACGTAAGAATTCAAAATTGGCCTGATGTATGATTGGAAAAAAAGGAAGCGACTGGTGAACGTCTGTACTGTGTCTGCCATGTTTACACACACGGAATATGCGCATGCGCAATGTCATCGCTACGAGCGGTAATGTATGAATTATTGTGGGTCCCACATTGTTTATTTTCCGATTTTTTCAATTTTTATTTAAATTGAAAACAGTCAGTTTTATTTTCTTTAATTAAAGGAAAGTATGTTTTGTTACATATATTACGTGGAAAATAAGATAAAGTTTGTTTTCTTATAGTGATTTTTACGTATATTGGAGCTTTAATTGTCATCACTCTCCAAACTCATATTGTAAGTTACAAATTTAAAACAAACGCCTTGAAGAATAATAACCATCATCACAAACGAATTTAGAATTTCTTGTTTTGTGTCTCATCACACAACATACCAGACAAAACCTAACAAACGGAACGCACAAAAATGATCAAGTTCTTGAAACCAGCCATACAAAAAGGAAATTAACATGTGCAGCGAGGTGTGGCCTCTGTATTCAAGACGACACGACTTCATGATAAATACATTCCGTGTATTGACGTAGTGATATTAACATATAAATACAAGGCATACAGAAACACCAGTATAATTGAACGAGGAATGTAGGTGGGCTAAATTGACCCAATATTTCTCTCGACACGAACTCAGACTTTATTCAGTTCTTAAAATGACTTTCACGCTAACCACTGATTATTGATGATGACTCTTCAGACGTAAATGTATTTCTGATATTCAAGAGACATTTAAGAAAATACAATCACCGCCGAACGTCATATTTTTTCAAGCCCACGCCCTCATTGCATGCTTTGACACCTCATGCATAGGCAGATCGGTGGGGGTGGGGGCACTTTAAATCACATACAAACTGATGACGTTTCTATTAGTATTCATTAAAAAATAATCTTAAGTTGAAAAGTGAATTTCTTTAAATCAACATTACCATTGACTGATTTTATTGAGAGAATCATAACTTATCGTGATGAACCATTATTGTTCCTTAGTTTTCATTTTATTGCTGACTTTACTATTACACCTTTTATTAGGAGGAATGACCCACCGTTCTACCTGTTTAACTTGAAGCTAAAATGATTATCAGATGTATGAAGATGATCACATAAAAAGTTATAAAAAAACCAAAAAAAATGTTGGAAATCTGTACGGGTCTGACACAATACAAACGGGGTTATTTTAACAAGTTTAAAAATCTGCCCCTCCCTCCTCTAACATTAAATGCTGTATGTATCCGCGCCTGACATGTCTTTGGTTATATGTCCTTTTGTGTGCCTCACTGAATGATATACGAGAGGCTCGTCGCAAGTCATCAAAGCAATTTTGGTAAAGTGTCTTGCGCGAGGATTCCAGCACTTCTGCATAAACTGTTCCTTTTCTGAGCTTCCTGGCTTGGATATTCACCGACTGTTATTTTAATCTACATAAGGTATCCTCCACCCTAGATATCAAGTGCATAATATCATAATAGCGGGTTCTTCAGAATGTCTTATCTTATTTTTGAAATTCGGAATGGCAAATACTGTCAAATGAAAGGAAAGATGATAAATTTCTAAAATAAAATAAATCTGCATCAACAAAAATATAGTTGACGACAGTCAGTATCTCGGCAAATTCCGTCATGACTCGGAAGTCGGAGGTCAAGCGGTACGTTACATAGATATAAAAGTGATCATGTAAAGAAATTATGAAGCGAATATTTACAAGTACACTAATATTTCTAAAAAAAACAACAACAAAAAAACAAAAACAAAATAAAAAACAACAAATACAGCGAAACAAAACAAAAACGAATAATAAATAAAACTTACATATCTTAAAAAAATATACAAATAATTGTTTTGGTGTAACTGTACTCTGAAATACAACCCAAAGTTCGCTCTGGATATTACCTGTCCACTTGACAGAGGTGAGAAATGATCGGATTTTCCGACAAGGATGGGTGTGATACTTTAATTTACAAAATTCATGGTGGCTGATTTCGGCCATTTCGCCGATGCGACATTGCGACACATGTACCTTATCTATGCGACGATGCGACTAAAGACCCCGTTGGAACGAAATGTCCAAAATCAACTACCATAAAAATACCAGGACAATGTCACTTTAACTGGTAACTATTGAGAGGCTATAAAAGGCTGTAGGGCGCTCACAATCTGGAATCAGAATACAAAATAATTGTGTGAATGCGCTACCGATTGACGCATGCTGTTCAAGCCATGGTCTACTTCATTTAAATGATCAGATCACTGCACGAGATGAGATATATACGAATCTTTATCATATTTAAGCAAACACCAATGATGATAATGGGAATGTCCTTTTTTTTTACTGTATTACGTATATTTTCCTTTGATATTTAGGAAACTGTACAAAAGAAACACAAGTGCATAACACATTTTAATTTAAACATAGAATTATATATAGTAAAGTCTAATAACAAATACAGACAGTTGTCTCGTACCTCAAGGACTTGTAAGAGATGTTAATGGCCTAAATTAGGACTCGTCAGTGATGCTTAGGGCCTAAATTAGGACTCGTCAGTGATGCTAATGGCCTAAATTAGGACTCGTCAGTGATGTTAAGGGCCTAAATTAGGACTCGCCATTGATGCTAAGGGCCTAAATTAGGACTCGTCAGTGATGTTAAGGGCCTAAATTAGGACTCGCCATTGATGCTAAGGGCCTAAATTAGGGATCGTCAGTGATGTTAAGGGCCTAAATTAGGACTCGCCATTGATGCTTAGGGCCTAAATTAGGACTCATCATTGATGCTAAGGGCCTGAATTAGGACTCGTCAGCGATGTTAAGGGCCTAAATTAGGACTCGCCATTGATGCTAAGGGCCTAAATTAGGACTCATCATTGATGCTAAGGGCCTAAATTAGGACACGCCATTTATGCTAAAGGCCTAAATTAGGACTCGTCAGTGAT